GGATGCACTCCCCAAGTTTGGAACCGCTCAGAAGCACTCTATCTCTTCTCCCCCGGGTGCATATGTATTTTTTTCTTTTTCACTTGTGCTCTCTACGACTCGTCGAGTGCGAGTCGGGGAAATTTCAAGGAACCCCGATATCTGGGGTATTTCCCCGCCTCCTCTTCATCGTTCTCCTCGCCCGGCGGTACCGCACACCTGGGCTCGAGGGGTCCAGCTTCGATAGAGTGCTCGCTACCAGGACTAGATGGCGGTCCCGGCCAGTCTCTCTATACGCCCCCTTCCTTCCTTGGATTGATATTCCGCATCGCAAAACCCGGCCACTCGTTTTTCCCCTTGTGGGGGAGGGTCGAATCATCGTGACAGATCTTCAACTCGGATTCGCGGTAAGAAAAAAAAAAAAAGAAAGCAAAAAAACCTTGGCTGGGTTGCAGTCGAGGCCGACGTAGTTTTCTTGTCATTTTTCCTGCTTTTATCCTCGATTGTCGGCGAGCCTAACGCCACCGGCCTTTGAGAGGGCCTTTCCAAGCTTGAGGGGCTTCTCCATGTCTTGCATTTCGGCGCGCCTGGCGCCCTTCCCGACCCTCGTGATTCTTCGAGATGGGCCTCTGTTTGTGGCGTTGCGGGGTGGAGCAAGGCTGGCTGGCTTTGTCCCTGGCTGGCCCTAGTCGTATGATTGCGATAGCTCCCCTTGTACGATTTGTATCATGGGAGGATGTGTTCAATGTTTTACATGGCCTATAGATCGACAGTTTGACCGAACAGTTGTCCCATCTTGCCCTTATCGAGAGTAGTGCCCTCAAGATTGATATTCCTCCCAACCTCGAAACGCCTCTTGGTTTTCTCTAATCACCAAGAAACGCCTCCGGAGCAAGCTTTGACCTCTCTGGACCAGGCCAGGCATAGCTCCCCAGAGCTATCGCGTGGTCGGCCGACTAGCCGAGTCACAGCTTTGCGGCCAGCGTTCTCTCCTGCATTTCCTTTCGCATCCACCACCCCAACGCGACAAGCCTCGTGGAGAGGGTCGCAGCTCGGAGTGTCAGTGCATGCGATCCTCATTATCTCTCTTCAAGGGGAAAAGCGAACGCGTCTGGACTGAGGTGTGCCGATGGATTACGTGTGGTCAAATCGACGGTCCCTCCGATCCGACAAGTGAAGAAAAGAGGTGTCGTACTCTATTACTTGTAATCAAGGGAAATGATGGGGTGAGGACCGTGCCTGTTTGTGCCTGTTTGTGCAGGAACGGGAACCAGAAACACACGCGCCCGAATACTACCTCGAACTTAATACCACATCGTCAAAAGGAATCTCGAGATGGCATCAAGAATGAATGGTCACTTGGTTTCCAGTATCATCACTTTTTCTCTTGCTTTTTTTCTTTCTTCATTTTTGTCCCGGGAGGGTATCATCTCGTATAATGGAGTGTCTGTGTCTGGATCTATGGATGGATGTGTGTTGCTGGAGGGAGGCATAAGAAGCCCAGCGCCCAATCCGGAATCCTCTCCACCACATATGCGCCTCATGGCAATTGCCAGAACTGCGCCTCTACACCTGCCAAATAAGGCCCGTTTCCATCATGAATGGGAGGAGCCGAAAGGTCAAGCCACCTTCCCGGAGGAATGCGACTTGCAGACATCAATGACCTGAGCTGGGGGAAAGGCCGGCAGCGCCGGTGGCAGCCCTCGGTTTCAGGCTTGGGGCTAATCAGCCAACGAGGCCAAGGGGTTTCGGGACGAAGGGCGAAAAAAGGTGATTTCATCAGCTGGAGGAGTCCCAAGGAGAACCTATTTTCAGATGAATCGACGCACAGGGCAAGTTTTGGGACAAGGGTGAAGAACTCTGAAAGAGGGTCCTTGTCTCCTTGTCGGTCTCTTGTCCATCTCTTTTTCTTGCCTTGGGCACCCGTCACCGGGCAAACGCCTTGGAGGGGCGCGCAAACGAAACGACATACCCGAATCGAGAAGGAGCGTTTGCCGCACCACAGCTGCACCTTTGGTGATGCATTTCCTATTCTATCTAGTAACAGCTAGGGACTTATTCCCCGTCCGGAAAGGACCCGTTGATGGCCCTGTCTCCCTTCCTTCCTTCCTCATGTCCGCATCCTCCTGGGAAGAAGGAGGGAAACCCGAGTGCGGCGAGTTGGGGAGGGTGAGGAAAGACGCTTGTTGCATTCCGGGTCGTTCCTAACCTCGCTCTTGTTCGTCCAGATCTAGGCCCGCAAACACTCAATTGGACCGGAAAGAGGGGAGGACGTGGCTGCGAGAATGGGAGCAGCAGCGACCTAGGCTACGTTGCAAGAGCTGGATCCGGAACAAGGGTGAAGAGAAGGGATTGAGTTGATGCCCACTATTTCAAGAGTCCTATTTTTCTTCTTCTTTTCTTGCTACGAGTGTGCTGCTGCTGCTGCTTCATAATCCCACAATCCTGATGCCGTCCGGCTGTGACTTGCTCGGGACTTGCTCGGTAGCTGTTTCTAATAGGGCTAGTCCAAGTCCACCGTCGTATTTTGGATCTCCCAAATCCCGCAGCGAGAAGGGGGAGGTTGTTCCTGGCAGTGATCTCACCTCAACGATGCCGTTGCCAAACTCCACAACGAGGCAGCAACGAAAAAAGCAAGTGTGGGGCTCGTGGGATATCTTGGGACGCTACTCGACGAAAAATACAGCACGCTTCTCGGAGACCACAGCTTCACCAGCAGCGGCACCAGGATCACAGTCATGTACTTTTCTAGGCGACACTGTGCGGTAGAAGGGCCCGCCAGGGCAAAGAAAGATGCCCAAAATTCTGGTACCTGGTTGGAGCGGGCTCCACCTTCCGACGAGAGATGGTGGTACCTCTGTACTTTGGATCATGGTGCAACAATCGCGCGCATCTCCTCTCCCCTCCCCAGCCCAGAGCAGAGCTTCCCTGCCCCACTGCTCGAACCCTGGTCGTTGTTTCCTCCGCCCCACCTCGCCTTGTACCTCCGTACCACCCTTGCAACCAAACTACGAAGTATTTTTCTTTTTCTTTTTCTTTTTTCCCTTTTCGTCGATGAGTCCGTTCCCCAAAGACGCGTCGAGAGAGCCGACTTATAATACTTTAACCATTTATCCCCAGAGCCTCTGCTCCCATCCCGTCTCCTCCATCCCGGTTGCCGTTCGATTTTTGCAATACTTCTTGATCCTTCTGATCTTGCCTCTCTTTTTTCAATTCTCATTCGCTTCGTTCAATCGTGTTGGTCTTTCGATATCTGGATATTCGCCATCACTTACTAACACTCGTCAACACACCATCATCCTCTTCGCTTCTCCTCTCTTCACGGCTGATCACTTGCGTGTCTCATCAAGTCTCACACTTGGCCTTGCCCCCCTCCTCCTCTTGCGATCAACCTTTTGTGCCCAGCACTTCTACAGCCCACTTCTGGTCCCAGATCGACCAGGGACTTGTTTACCCGCCCTTCGCTTCTGACATCACTGCCTGGTTATATATCGAGAAACAGGTGCATCTACTCGGCGTGCCGCTTCCTCCCCCACAAGCTTCTCCATCCGGTTCGTATTTTCACAACGAAAGAATAGAGAACAAAAAACCAGCCATTGCCCAGAGCGCTCCTAAGGCCCAGTACGCCACACTCTCTCGGCCCGTTTGGAAGCTGCCATAGACTGGTTGGCTGTTGGGACCTGGTCAGCAATATCGACGCGCATTTTCCGCTTTTTTCATATATGCACCACAGGCCGCGTCCCGAGTATCCTCCCTCCGTCTCGTGGTACTCTCTTCTAGTCAACCTTTTTCCCTTCCTTTCCATACGCCTCTGCCATTGACCCCTTTCCTTCGTGGCTAAGCCGGCTTTGCCAATTCTCTTGACAGCCTTGAGCACTTGGGGCCACTTTTTTACCTGGATTATTGTCGCCTCGAGATCTCAAGTTCCGCACCCACCGTTTCTATCGACCGCCTTGAGGGCCCGTCCCACCACAATCGACACCCTTTCCCCTCAAAGTTCCCCGCGCAATAAGGCCGGGTCCGCACTTGGTCCCCTTTTTGGTGTTTTCCCGAGAACCAGCGATCTCGTTTCTTATTACGCCGGATCGAGTCACGCCCTTTCTCACGCCCTTTTCTCACCCAGCCTCCATCGCCATCCTTGACCTTTTTGGCCTCTTAACAGTATTCTTGCCCTAGTCAACGGCTGCTTGACCGGAAGCGTTACCCGCCGTGCCACTAGATTTCAACCCTCCCACCCTCGGGCGTATGGTACTTGAGTGTGAGAGTGTCTGTGTGCAGGTCACTTATTTACGTGTGTGTGTCGAGGTCTTGGCCTGGTTATAAGCCAACTACCGGCAACCATCCAGCGGGTACTGCGCTCAATTTAACCAGCGACTCACATTTTCTCCCTTGATTTCCCTCTTCCTTCACCCACTACGGCTCCCGAGTAGCCGCAAGAGAAGAAGAAGAAGAAGAAGGAAAAAGCCGCCACCTGTTGGGCGAGCCAAGGGAAAATCAAAGTAGACGGTCCGAGAGTTCCCTGGAATCACACGATCAACCTTTCTTGTCCGCCATCCGAAAGATCCGCCTATTTCGGCGTATAGCCACCCAGGTGTCGACTGGTTTGCACACCCGCGTCTCGAATATATTCCCCGCCGCCCTATCCACACGCTCCCTTGACCCTCTTCCCCTTTCTATCACCCTTTTTTCCCCTCCTCTTGGTTTGACTGCTGCTCGACGTAAGACGGCTCCCCCGTTGTCGCTCCCTCCCCTCGTTGGGCGAAGGACGATTACGCAGCCTGACGCAGCGCCCTGCTCTAATCGCGCAAACAATCATTACCGGGTCTGGAAGGCAATAGCGCTTCCCTACTATTATCATCGACCCCAATTCTCGAACCGCCTTTGATATATTCCTCTAAGGGGTATATCAAGACTCTCCAGAGGTTCAGGAGAGAATTCCGGTTGTCTCGTTGGACGACCAAAGGTGATCCTAACCTATTACCGCCCTTCAGTCGCCCTTTTGGGTAACCTTTTCTACCACAATGGTGATGCCACGGATCCTTCCTGTCGTCCTCGGCTCGACAGCCATCGTCTGTACAGCAGCGATCCTGTCGATACACATCATCCTAACGGGCCACATACACAACTTGGCGTCGGTACGGACAAGTGCAGTGATATCTGCCTCGCTGGAAGGCCTCGTTGTCGTCGTGTTGGCCTTTGTGTTTGTCACATACTTTGTGCTCAAGGCGCCGCAGCACACCAAACGGTCGCAGAGCATCTTTTTCGGCTGCAGCGTACTTACCTCGACGCTCGCAACCATTAGCTCCTGCGTGACCTTGGTCACGCTAGGCAAGGCGTCCAAGTTTGGTACGGACGAGCTCCTTGGTGCTAATCAGACCAGCTTTCTCATCGGCGCCTCGGCGGCGTTGGGCACCGCCTTTGCCTCGCAGCTCATCTTCCTCGTGGTCCACTTTGTCCTTATCCGGATACCGCCCAACGGCATGATCGAATCTCTTAGCACGGACGAGGAGGATCTCCGCCAACACCGCCTCGAGGTCAAGTCGATTCCCTACAGCAAAACCAGCCCCGTGAGCCAGAGGACGCGAACGATCTCCCTAGAGTCCCGAAGCCCCCTTCGACGAGCAGCGGCCGATCTGCCGTCGAGACAGCGGGGTCGTTTCGCACCTCCATCTCCAGTGTCGTGCGACCTCTTTCTTCGCGGAAGCTACTAACCCGGGAGAAGCGATCGTTTTCGCTTGACTCTAATGGCTACCATGAGCGGCCCAACACAACCGAGGACGGGTTCGATTCGTGGGATACCTCGGCGGTGGATCCTCAAAACAGGCAGACGGTGCTGCAGTCTTCGTCACCCACGCCTGGTCGATTCCTGGAGACTATCCCGGCTAGCCCGACAACGAGCAGAAGTCCCAGCCCCGGGTACAATTACGCCTTGGATTTCGAGCCGCCGCGAAGCCGTAACCGAAGCAGAAGCTTCAGCCCCGCTGGCACAAGGATTCCTCGCTCTCCGTACTCGCAACCGGCTGCGGCGACCAGCGAGGCCCACATTCACCCCTCTTCCGATCCGACTCTCCCACGCCTCCCCTCTTGCCACGCCCGGTACCATTGTCATGGCTGCGCCCAACGCTGGCCAGATCATCTCGGACAGGCAAAGCATCCGCTCGCTATCGAGAATGAGGAGCGGTAGCCTTCCCACGGCGCCAAGCCCCTGAGTCGCCAAGGTAGCTTCGACGACTTTGTACCGCTCCGGCCTTCTCCGCGGGAGTCTCCTCCGGTTTCAATTCACGAGGCTCCCGAAGAGGAGGAGATGTCGCCTCCGGAACGCAAGATGACGCCGCCCATCCCGGACTGGATCTTGAGCGCCGGCACCCGCACTAGCCTCTCAAACTATGACAGCCGACGGAACAGAAGTCAATCGGATGTTCAGGTGTCACAGCCACAGCCCCAACTCCGGCTTTAAGGAGCGAAACAAAAAGAAAAAAACCAACCACGACTACACACACACACACACACATCACACATCACACATCAGTTCATGAATTTTAATGGTGACATGAAGAGGGAATCTTTTTATGATTGAATGGGATTTCTTTTTATGGATTTTGATGTGGATCTTTGATGATACATTTCATGAACTGAGGCGACGCGACAGACATCTGTCAGCCATGTCCGATAAGAGACGAGTTGAGGCACTTGGCCGCCTCGCCACCTTTTCCTTTGTCCTTCTTCATATGTATAGGTAGCGGCGATTTGGGGTTCTCGGGGGCATTTGTTTTTTTACTACTTTCTTGGGTGGTTGGGATACTGAGATACCTTTTTTCCTTTTCTCTCCTTTATTAGGGACCACTCCCTTGACACCACGAGATGGATTACGATTCCATTTGGCTAATCCATTCCTTCACTCCTTTGACTATTTTTATCTTCTTTCAAGCGAGGCGTTGGTCTCCCGAAGGAGGTTGGGTAGATAGAAGAGGCAGGTCATCAATGACGATGGCTCGCCGCAAAGAGCATAAATTCAAACAATTATATGAAAAAAAAAAAACTTGTTTTGGCAAAGTGCGTGACGATCTTGGGGGAGTGTTCCTCTTGCTCTTTTCCCCTTTGCAGCAGGGCTGATCAGCAGGCTTTGGGAGCTCTGAAGGGGTTGGAGCAGATGATGAACACGGCCACGCTGTTACGTTTGGGATTGTCTTAGTTGGCGGAAGTTTATTCTACTTGGCCCGGTAGTTATGCTAGCTCTGGAGACGGCACAAGGGGAAAAAGAAATGGAAAAAGGGCTGTCATGTCATGTCAACGCCAGCCGGTATATGTCGTACGTTGTCGGGGCATGCAGGGCCTGAGGAGGCAGGAAGCAGGCAGGTCGAGCAAGAAGGGTTTCTGGGGAAGCATCGGAAGTTTAGTGAGACTAGCAGAGGTGTGTGGTCTTTTGCGTGACAGGACGCAACGCAACGTCTGTATGACATGATGGGGGAGAAGAGAGGAGGGAGAGGAGGTTGAGCCGTTGGGGGACGCGGTAGAAAGAAAAAGAAAAAAGAAAACTAGGGGAAAGACACGGGGGATTCTACGCGGGTCACAGGGCTAGCAATGGCGCTGTTGGTCTGTCTCGGGTTGAGACGGTGGGGGCTGGAGGGGAAGAGATATAGAGGTTGAGATGGGGTGAGAGAGGGCACGCTAGAGAAGTAGAGGGTGGATGTGTGTGTAAGTGCATGGCTGTTGGGGAGGAAGTGGACGGGGGCGTGTGAGACAGCCCGCGTCCTTCTACACTGTGTGATCCATGTTTGCTTCTTTTCTTCTTCTTTTCGGTGCCAAGGTGTATTCGCTCGTCGCGGGTATTCTTCCCCTGTGTTCTATGTTTCGCACTTGGGATGATGGACGTTGTGGATGAAGACGATCCTCGGCCTGGCGGAAGTGGACTTTGTCAGGTGTGGTTAGTCTAGAGAGAGAGAGGCTGGTGGGGGAAATCCGCTCCTCGGGACCTCCGAGATCAATTTGATGCGAGGAAGATCCTTGCGACCGAGGGCTGGGGGAGAGTGGATCCGCAAGGGAAAAGAATTGCGCATGAAAAAATCGAGTTGTTTCCCCTTTGACAACTTTTTGGGGGCGATCATTTCTCGCATGAAGCAGTGGGCCTGTGTAGTTGGGATTGGGGATGTGTTCTCGGGTCAGGCCGGGCTTGGCTAGTATCGGTTCGGATCGGTGGAGGAGGGGAGGCAAAGGGCGGAAACAACGTGCAAGGTAAGGGGGCTAAGGAGGGAAGAGAGATCCAAGGGTATGGATGGGGTGATGGAAACATCTGGATGACTGGCCCTGGTTCTTGCCTCGTTGTTCGTGCAGCGAAGGATCTGGTCTGGTGGAGATGGTCTGAGGATTAGAGGTGCAACTATCATTTCACTGCTGGGCATGCGGGACTTTTTTCTCTTTTTTTCTTTTTTGCCCTTGGTTTCGTGATCTATTAAATCTAATGTTTAGTGTTCTGGTACTCTTCCTCGCCAGCCAGCCTACGACGGAGAAAGCGGGGGTGGCTTCCGACAGAGCCTCCATGTCAACTCAAGGGGTTGTGTGGGTGATGCGCGGCTGTGTGGCTCTGTTCCTGGATCTTTGGCCTAGATGCTCGAGATGTGTGGGAGGGGGAGAAGGTGGTGTGGCGCTGTCGGAGGGTGATACGAACAAGGGGTCTGATACGTCCCCTGGATTCGCAAGTTGTTAGGGTTTTATTTTATTTCAGTCTTTTGGTCTTTCGGCCTTCTCTTTCTCCTGGAATTTGCAGAGCCCTGGGAGGAGGCAGGCATTGAGTCGCGGTCTCGGACCGGGGCTGGTGGATTAGACGGGGAGGGGTTACTCGGATCCGAGGGTCGAGACCGGTTCCTGGGAGGCCAAGAAGAACATGGGGAAACTTTGTGTTCCGCGAGGCGCCACGGATCGAATCCGCGATTGGAAAACCAGGAAACAAAGACTCGAAATAGACTGACCATATTCATCCTAGTTTGTAGGGACCTTTTTTCTTATTCTATTCTTGTCCGGGCCTCGAGGACCCGACCCGGCCGGCCGGCCACACCAGCGCGCTAATACGAGCCAAGGGGCCGGCGAAGGGGGCCGCGAAGCCCATTTTCACGACCAGAAGAGAGGGGGAAAGCGAAAGAAGCCAGCAGTTAGCTTTGGTCCGTCTTCCTTTTTCTCTGGATGTGGGACTTTTTCTTTTTTTCATCACATTTTGAGAGGGTCGCTGCTTGTTGGCCCCCTTCAACATGAGGTGGAACGTATCGTGTTTCTTCAGGGTTGTCGGGGAAGCCGGCCAGCCAAGTTCATTGGAGAAATCGGCGATTCCCCCTGGTCTCCCCGCCTTTCCCCTTTGTTGGTTTGATGGGAGACAGGAAGGCGTAGGCTACTGTTCCCCGCCTGTCAGTTGAGGCGAACGGTGGGGATCCGGGTTCAAAGCGCTGTCTCCGCCGTCAATGCATCGCTCAGCTCTGGCGATGCGGCCGCACCCTCCCGGCTGCCCGTCTCGATCCACTCCACCAGTTCCGCGCGGAAGAGGCTTGACACTTGACGAATGCCCGCAGTGCGATAGGCTTCTTTAATCGGGGTTGGAGAGGAAATTAATACATACGACCATAGCTCGTAGAATATTGAGGGTCCCGTCCGCTCCCCTGTACACAAGCTGCGAAGCGCCGGACTAGTAGTTGGGTCGGTGACGACCAGCGAATCCCCGGTGTTGTATGTTTTTTTCTTTTTTCAATCTTTTCTTTTTAATTTTTGTTCACAATACAAGATTCATAAGAGTTTTTGCACTTGCCGTTAATGAGATCAATCGATCCATGGAAATATGCAGAGAATTGTGAGGTGCAAGTGGCACATTTCGGTGTGGTTCTGAGCATTTAGTGGTGGACGTGTCGAACCCGACAGCGTGGTTCTGCCGCGCACCCCGCGAGTCTGATTCGTGGCCCCTCTCGCACAAGGCCTAACCAAGGGTCCAAGGAATGAGGACTCTGGCTTCTGAAACCACTTGCGACCGTTCCAAGAGCCAACTTGCATGCTGTCGGCCTCCAGGCTAAGCGCGCGATTTTAGGGACATGTTTCGTCACATTTTGGCAGGAGATCCCGTCACGAGCCCCTTGTATCTCTTAGAGAGAACGAGAGGGGAAGAGAGAGAGAGAGAGAGAGAGAGAGAGAGAGCTAATGGATGAGGCAATGGCTAAGGGTTCAACATAGAAAGGGGAAGAGAGAGACAAGAGGAACGGGTGGGGGATTATGGGCGTTGTTTTCTGTCAGATTTCCAAGAAGATCCAGTTGTTTGGGATGGGCCCCTGAAGGATCAAGATAACGTTACCGCATACAGGCGACTGATCACTCGGCATGAGGTGACACAAGATTTCCCTATAGCCGGATAAAGTCAGGTGGCCCAAATGTATGTGTGGAGGGTTGCACGTTTATAAAACGCCGCCCGTCTGCTGTACAACCTGCTCTCCTTTTTCGGATTAGATTAGGAGAAATCACATCAGGATTGCAAGCCACCATGGATTCTCCTCCTCAAGCCCAGCCCTTCCAAAACAATATCGTGATAGACCGACCCTGTAGTGCTCAGTCTAACACTGATACAGCATCTGAAGCCACGTTTGTGGCATCGCCCGCTCTCGATGAACTCAACGACGCCGAGTCCAAGGCCCTCCTCGACACCATTGACAAGCTTCGGGCCCTTGGCGTAGGCGACATCATTCACCTCCCCAGATCATCGTCGTCGGTGACCAGTCGTCTGGAAAGTCCTCGGTGCTAGAGGCCATCTCCCACGTCCGTTTTCCCGTACAGGGAGGCGTGTGTACGCGCTTCGCTACCGAACTCGTGTTGCGGACTGCGCACACAGCCTCCGTCGTCGTTGATATCCGATACGCCAAGGACAAGTCGGGACGCCACACCCTGCCGTTTCGGAAAACAAGCTTCAACAAGGATGACCTGCCCACTCTGATTGAGGAGGCCAAGGCCGTCATGGGCATCAAGGCCCATGCCGGCGCCAAGGGGAGGGCTTCTCCAACGACGTGCTTCGCGTGAGCATCACAGGGCCAGACGTGCTATCGCTCACCATCGTCGACCTCCCCGGCTTCTTCCACTCGGAGACTTCGGAGCAGACGGCCGAGGACAAGCACATCGTAGACAAACTGGTGAGGACGTACATGAAGCAAGAGAAGAGCATCATCCTCGCCGTGCTTTCCGCCAACCAGCAGGCCGCCAACCAGAGCGTCCTGACCATCAGCAAGCAGGAGGACCCGGGCCGAGAGCGCACCATCGGCGTCATCACGAAGCCTGACCTCGCGGGGAAGGCTCCGCCAACGAAAAGGCTTACCTCAAGTTCGCCCGGAACCAGGAACCCACGCACCAGCTCAAGCTAGGCTGGCACGTCTTGCGCAACCGCAAGGAAAGCGAGGCGGGGATGGGGTACGGGGAGCGCGACGCGCAAGAGGCCGAGTTCCTCCGTCGGGGTGCGTGGAGCGATCTGCAAGAGCGGGACAAGGGCGTGGCCGCGCTGCGGAGGAAGCTTCGCAAAATTCTCCTCGACCACATCCGGGAGACCCTGCCGGGCCTCGTCACGGATTTGCAGGCGAACCTCGAGAAGAGGGAGCTGGCGCTCAAGCAGCTGGGGATGGCCCGGTCCAGCATCGAGGACATGCGGTCGTACCTCATCAGCGTGGCTACCGAGTTTAGGGACCTGGCTATGCGCGCCACTGAGGGCTCGTACACGGACGAGTTCTTTGGCGGGCTGGGCGACACGCGGTGGAAGCTGCGCGCCCAGATTCAAAATTTGCACCACGCCTTTGCCCATATTATGTCGACCAGGGGGCCAGTCAGCGGATCCTCAGGGAAGATGAAGAAGACGAAGACCCAGACGAAAATGACGATGACGATAACGATGACGATTCCGAAGCATATTCCGACGTCGATTCTGAAGACGACGACGATGATGATGATGATGATGACGACGACGACGCCTACAGATCGGCCAACGCCCGTCCCGCGTACCTCAAGCCTCTGCTGCGGCAGTACGACTTCCCGCGCCCGGAGCGAATTAGCCTCGAGAAGAAGACGAGGCAGCTCACGAAACTAGCGGCTGGGAACCGCGGCAAAGAATTTCCCGGGATCCCCAACCACAACCTCGTCATGCAGCTGTTTTGCGAGCAGGCGCGGCCGTGGACGGCCATCGCGGACCGCCACCTCGACCTCATCCTCGAGGCGGCGGGGGACGTCGTGCGCGGCATACTCGAGCACATACTCGGGCCCGACGACGCGACCAAGGCGTCGGTCCTGCGCGATATTGTCGAGCCCTTTTTCGAGAGCAGGCACGACGCGCTCAAGGCGAAGCTCGAGGAGGTTGCGGTGCCCCACGTCAGGGGCTACGGGCTGCCGCTCCTCGCCGACTACCACGCGCAGATGCGCGCCACGTTTACGAAGCGCTGGACCTCCAAGATTGAGTCTCTCGTCCAGGACGACGCGGTGTCGGGCAAGGCCAAGGCCAAGCCCCTTTGCAGGCGGCCATGGTGAGGCGCATCGTCGGCGCCATCTCGGATGATGCGCAGGGGAGTGAGTTCGGCACGGAGAAGATTATTGACATGATGCAGATTTACTATGATGTAAGTGCACAAGAAACGTCTGCGTTTTTATAGCTACAGGAAAAGGAGGAAGAAGAAGAAAAGACCAAGAAAAGAAGAAGAAAAGAAAATGCGGAAAGTTGCTGACCGGTGTGCCCCTCCAAAAAATAGATGACCCAGAGGACGTTCGTGGACAACATCGTCAATCTAGCCGTGGAAAGCTGCCTGATGACGCAGCTCCCCGGAATACTGACCCCCGCCATGATCAGCCGGCTCGACGACGAAGCCATCCGCAACCTGGCCGCCGAGTCCGACGAATCGAGAGCCGAGAGGGAGCGCCTGGTCGGGGTGACCAACACGCTCCGGGAGGGCCTGAAGCTGTGCCGCAAGTACAAGCCGTACGCCAGGGCCGCGAGGACGTCGATCAGCACCGCCCAGTCGGCGCACGGTAACAAGGTCAGCAGCACCCGGAGCTCGCCGACGCCGACGCGTGCCGAACCTGCTGTGGCCAAGGACCCGCCACCCGCCGCGTCCAGCGGCGGGTGTTCGGCTCCAGTAAGCCGGCGGCCCAGACCCCGTTCGGCACCGGTCCGTCGATGGCTGAGACCCTGTTCGGCACCAGTCCGTCGGTGGCCGAGACCCTATTCGGCCCCACCAAAAACCGGCAGTCCAGACTGCATTCGGCACCACCAAGGAGGCGGGAACCCGAAACGCGTTCAACTTTGCTAGCGAGCTGAAAGGTGTTCAAGGCGCGGGCTTATTTTCGGAATACGCGAAACCTACGCAGTCTGCAAAATCGAGTATTTTTTCAACACGTCCTTGATGCGTGTGGAAACAGGCGAGTAGGCCTTTGGGCATTCGTTGTCTTCTACGAAGTAACCCTCCGCCGCGTAAACCTCTTTTTGTTTTCTATCTTGGCTAGGGTCTTTTTCTCTCCCTATTTTCTCCACTCCTGGGGAATCCTACTTTTGCGGGTTGCCTATGTCGAGGCCTGATACACACGGATGACGGAAGATGAGTGGGTAGGATGGAATAAGGGAGGGTGTTAGTCGATCTGTCTTGTGTTTCTTATTCACCGGGTACGTAACGTACGGATACAGTGTAGATGTGGATATGGGTATGGACGTAGAAGCTCGTAATAGCACTTGTTTTTTTATTGTTTTCTCCCATGATGATCAATGTTTAGAGTTGGAACCCGTGTACTGGTTGGGCTGGGGCTCGTCTTGCTAGGATTATCTACAACTGCATTGTAGAAACCAGCCCTTTGGCCGATCACTCGTTGAATGGGAATAGTGTCGGCGTGTTGTCGAAACGAAGAGGCGGAAGTGGCAGGAAATGGGAGATTCACAGTCATGCACCTAGATTTCACTAGAGAATCAAATCGTCGAGCTACTCCTGCGAATCCGTTGCTCTCCACGCCGATCCTCACGCTTGGAAGTTTCCCTTCCCCTCCCCTCTATATATCTCCTTCGCCACCCCTTGTCCTTCTTCTAACGGGGCGCGGGGTTGTATGTCTTTGATTCCCTTGAAACAAGAGCCCTCCCAGAAGCGTTCGTGTCTGTTTGAGATACCCCAGAAATCCATGGATGGTCTTGTCTCACGGCAGAATGTCTCACCATTCGCATCATCAGTAGACACTCGATGACGTCTAAGCCATCTGGTGAGATCAACGCAAAGGCACTAAGCACATGCGACGAGTAGAAGTTGGATGATCATGTGCAAAGTGAATCTTGAACGGGGTGTGAGTTTACAAAACGAGAATAAAAAAATAGGAACCAGCAGTGAGGAAGAAAACTACCTCGTCCATTAGAACTAGACCGTTGGCATTAGACCCAGTTAACAGACTTTACCTGTAATTTCGGGGTCCTTCCGTAACGAGCAAGACACAAAGTGCCCATGAAATCGGTGGCGCGGAGCTTTGCAATGGCTCAATTGGCAGCGGACCGGCGTGACTCCACTTCGGATCGTGGGCCCCGCAGAGAGCGATCAGATTTTGGATGACAGCTCCCGGTTCAATGGCACGCGGACGGAGTTGTCACGGATATCTCAACGCGCTGGATTATTTATCATCATCGTCGATTTTGGGATCCACCGCGGTCTCTTCCCTCCGCGCCGAAGTGAGGGAACGGGATAGCAAAGAAAGAAAAAAAGGCTATGCGTAAATAAGACAAAGTCGTCCTGTAAAAATTCTTTCTGAAGCCTAAACTCGCGTGTTGCCAAGATGTCCAAGACGGACACCAGCACCGAAATATTTGTCTCTCCCCCACTTTCCTGTGCTCTTTTCTTCTCGGTGACGCAGCCAGAGCTAGCGAGAGGACAAGGCCGGCCAGGAAGGACATGCGAGAGAGACGTGGTCGGGTCGGGACCTTCGGGCGACTGCGTTTATAGGCTCCGCTGGGGCTGAGGGCTGCCCCGAGGGCTTCGATTGTGCGAGGTGAGCAGGCGTGGCTTTGTGTGATACGATACGAATGGTCGGATAGGGAGAAGCCTCCGGGACGCATGTGTTTTTGTGTTGCACGCTTTCTGGGAAGTATGCCACGTCCTTGGGCCGTGGCCGGGGCTCCCTTCCAATTGAGACGTGTAAGTGACTGGCGGAGCTTTGGGGTTAAAACGCCGGGATCCGGGAATTCTTTGGTTTTGTTGTTTTATTTACAACCGCCTTAGCTACAGGCACAATTACAGCGGCCGGATTCCCGTTACAAGTCGCCCTGGATTTTCCTGGAGAAGATAGCCGGGCGTGCTGATGATCGTAATGTCCGGTAGCACGGCGGCGAACCTGTCCGAAGGGCCATATCGGTGCCGTGGAGCGCAGGACAGTGCTGTCCGCCGTGAAAAAGACCCGCCACGTTCTTGAGTGCGGCTGAGAGCGACATGTTCGCGCGCCCGACCAAGTGTATCACACAAGGTTGATTTTCTGGGTGTTCAACGAGGTCGGGGGAAGAGAAGGGTGGCAGGGGCTGGAGGGGCGTGGGTTGAGCGAAAAGGGATGATCGTCGCGAGAGGGCTTGGAAACTAGGGCTGAAAACAAGAATATGGAAGAATCGGGAAGAGGCCGCAACCAACGATCGGCGATTCGGCATGGGTTACGAAGAAATGGGAGTTTGGCAGGGTTTCTGCAAGTATCAAGGCCATCATGATCAACACAACACAATGCATTCGCTAAGCTACGGGCGGGAAGGGAGAAATCAGGAAAAACCGGGGTGAGCAGCCCGACAACTTGGCTTTTCGGGGCGCAATTTTTCTATTTTATAAGCCCTTACGATTTGCTGCTATTGGCGCATGCGGCGCAGATTTTGGATTACATCTCTGCACCTGTTGAGCGGTGGCCGGCGGGCCAAGAGGGTGCGGGCGGTCGTGCCATCGCAACGACTCATCCAAAACCCACTCACTTATACCAAGGTGATCGTTGTTGGAATTAGAGTCACCTTGCTCCTGGCACTTATTCAACTGGGCGCCTAGACAAGTGGTGGAGGCGCGCTGGGGAAGCAAGCCTCGATGGCTTCAAAAGATTAAAGAGGGCGGCGAGAACATGCCATCTCGAAAGACTGATTCGTTCAGACCAATGCGTATCAGCCACACAGGAGACGGCGGCCAGAAGGGCGGGCTAGTTAGTCGCTGGCTGATACCTAGGGCGCATTTCTGCTATTGTCCTTGTTTGGCTGAATGTCAGGCGATGCTGGCCAAGGTCATCATCTCATGATGTCGGCTCTTGCCTTGGTGCTTGGTTCAAGGGCGATTTCATGATGCGTCCTGTGGAGCCTCTCAATATGCCTTCTTGCCGAGAGACGCGTATGCTGCATCTCCATCTCCATTTTCTGTGCCCCTCCCTCATGGCAGGCGGTCGGAGATTACAAAGTAACGGCTGCGAGTAGGCCCTCGGCCGGTAATTGCGACTATGGGAGGCTGCGAATGTGCTGTTTGGCGTGCAAGTGGTCGAGCCATGACTAACCACGGTGCAGAAATGGTCTCGAGGGAGGAAGTTGTCGTCTGTCGCTCTCGGTCGGGAGAAGCAAACGATTCGAGTTGATCCAGATTCGATCTCAAGTGCCGGTGGTCCCTAGTACATTCACAAGAGCGGGAGGTCAAGCATAAAGAAAAGGTATGGTCTACATAATGGGGGTGGACAGTGTGAGAAAAATATGCACCGCCCTGCTTTCTGCTTTTAGCAGGTGGGGTAATAAGTACTTCGTACCTTGCGACACCGGGTCCAAGTGGAAAGGCCGTGATGCCAAGATGACGATGGGAGGCTCCCATTGGTTAGAACCGTAGGCTTCGATGGGTCCATCTTCTATTAGTTCCGGTTCGCTGGCGCGCGGGCAAAAAGAGGAGAGACGCACACCTCTCCCCTGCAGGCCCGCCCCCTGGTCAATGTGACTGCGCCTGTCCTTGTTGGCGCGTTTCGAAACTTGGGAGGACACCTCCTGAAATTTTGAGGGCAGCCGAGCAACGACTCGTGAAGAATTAATGGTGTGGGAGAACGGGAAAAAGGGGAGGATGGTGGGTGAGAAGAGCTTCAGCTGCTCAATAGACAGCACAGGCGGACAGACAGGCAGACAGCTGGGCGCATTGAATACTGCACCAAACTTGAAGTGGACACGGGCAACACAGCCTTCTTTTTATTTGAACACGAGAAATTTTCTGGGGCATGGAGGACATCCTCGAGCGATCATGACGCTATTGCCGCGCAGTCCTCGATCATAGCGGCGCTGATCTTGGAGTCCCAGCCGATCTTCTATCCGGCTTCCCGTTCAGAGTCTTCGAGGCCCGCGGGCAGAAAGAGAGAGAGAGACAGGAGGGGCCGGCCAACCCCTGGGCTAGCACTAGATACCTTCACATGGCCGTTCGACCCTACTTCTAGTGCGCTTCAGGGCTTCCTTTGCCCCTTGAGATTAACCTTTGATGTGAGCCACTCCCGAGGACAGGTGTGAAATGAGCGTACAAGTAATAAGGGGGAATGGGGGACTGGGGGAGGGGGTGTTGTTCAGAGAGATGGGATGTGGGACGACTGGCCCAGAGGAAGGATTGAACAAGTTAAATGATCCATTCCCTTTTGCTCTCGGCGATGGCGACGACTCTGGGGCAGAGCAGACGGAAGGAACGATTAAAGGAGGGCGATGGCAATTAGAGTTCGTCCGTGATCCAGGCACAGTTGGTTCATTTCCCACTTGGCCCCTGGACATCAACAATTCGCTTCTTCCGTTCCTTAGGTGAGCCCTCACCGGCCGCTTCCCCTTTTGCGCCCGGAGAGAGATATTTATAGGGGGCGGAAATGATAATGTAAATCCTAAAGTGGCAGCCTTGAGGTCTGGAAGGCTTGACCAAAACTATCTCCAAGGGTGTCATTACTCTCCTAACCACCATTCTCATCAAGGAGGAAAAGGAAAAGCGCAACCCCGTTCTTGCCGTTCATCCGCTGCTCACGAGGGAGGTGTAGGTAGAGTCGGTTGAATCCATAATAAATTCCATAGATTTATGGATCCATTAGATGGATGGCGAAAAACAAAGAGATAAAAATAAAAATAAATCAATTCAAAAGAATCTGCGAGTCGAGTCCGCCCGAGGTAGCCGATTTCATATCGAAGCAGGCAAGCAGGTCAGGCTGCACTTCGCCCCCTCTTCGTCTGACTCTGGACCTACTCTGGGCCTGCTCTGGGCCTGGATGCGCTTGAGGGTCATTTTTGTGTGAATCACAGGTTTTGCCCCCTCTCCTCCCCACTATTCAATATTATGGAGGCAACATCAATGGATCAATTGATCCCGGGCCCAGTAAACTTGGAAAGGGCCACCGTCTTCTTGCCGGGTGCGGTGCGGTGCTTTGCTCGGTTCGAACGTTCAGACCCACCCCAGCCATCCGCTCCTTTCCATCCCATCCACCAGCCATGATCCGTCTTGCCGTGCTCCTGCCGTGGTAGGTTCCAGGAAATCGCACTTTATGATTCCCCACCACCTTCCAAAAGTCCACTCTCCTGTCAATGCAGTCAATTTACAGCTGTCTCCGCTGCATCGTCCTTTCCCTTTGGTTTCTCCTTGATCCGTGCTGCATCTGCGTAAGCGTACTGTAGGTCGGGTATTTCCCTCGCTCGCTTGCGCCTCGGTACTGGTGCGCTGGGCCAACACAAGGTACTTACCCATACTCGCACGAGGGCACTGTGGGTGTCCCGGGACGTCTCCTCCAAGTCTTTTCAACTTGGACAGAATTCTGGAGAAGCACAAGTACTGCATATGGGCCAATAAGCCTGACCCCAGCGCTGTCCGTTTGGACAGCTCGGGATAAGGGAAGAGAAGAACCTGATTTGTCCCCCGAGAAGAAAGAAGACAACGAAGAGAAAGACAAAAAAACGGCCAGCTTACAGTCACGCAAGTTGGCCACCCTAGCGATGCCGGCTCTTCCAATCCATCAAGGCCACGAGGTCCCCAACAAACATGGCTTCTTGGGGCCATTTTTTTGCATGGGACCTGCGCAAAGAACAACGCATAACATTCGGAATAGCCAATTCCTCCCCCAGGGCCTTGACACCCATGGGCGAATTTTCATTCACAGTTCCATCATTTGACTTGGCGACATGAATTGGGATTGGGGTGCAAGGCCAAGACACACCGTCTGGTTCCTCGTGCCTGACTTGTCGTCGCCACCCACATCTGCTGGCATCGTCCAATGACCAACCGCGAGCGTATTTTTCTGTTCAATTGCCTCGCTGCAGGTACAAAGTCAGTTCCAATGTGTTTGTCGTCTTTTTCCCCTTTCCTTCCTGTTCCTGTCAATGGGCTCCATCAGATCCAGGGCGCCCCTCTTTCCCACCCCCTCTTCCCTCTTTTCCTCCTCTTTTCCTTCTTTCCACAGGAGCTGGTCGTCTCCACTCCTTCAACTTCGCCACCCAACCTCATTCAACCTCTCAGGGCCTTCCCCTGCTGTGCGACAGGGTTCGGTACCAGGGAACGACTCAAGGCACCAAATTGAAGGAGAGACGAGGTGAAAAAGAAAAAACAACTTTGCAGAACTTTCCCCCGATCTTTACGCGAGATGGGGGAGGAGGGCGGGGAAGAGGGACGAGAGGCAAGGCCAAAAGGCGGGAAAATCAGGAGGCAGGTCAAGAAGAAAGTTGCGCAAAAGTGAGGTGAGCCACCGCACGGCGCCCAGGTCGCCACAAAGCCATCCATGGAAACTGGCTGCATCTTCGACCCTCCTTGTTCAGCCGAAGGATGCAAAGAAGAGGAGAAGGGCAAAGAGGGGAGAAAACTCTGGCTGGGCTGGCCAAAAAGCGCTGACCAGAGTATTACACGATGGTGTGATCCGAGTTGCTGAACCGGGCAGGCAGGGCGAGGAAGCCCAACGAAACGTGGCGAGCAATTGTTTGCAAGAATAACCTTTTGATTGTTGGCAATTGACGACTATTACCAGGCAGGCACACAGATTTTTAGAGATTCATGGCTCCCCTTGTCAAGCCATCAAGCTTGGAACAACGTTTCTTCGCACCTCTCCCGCAGTGTTTCTCCGAGTCCCGACTCATCCCTGGCGGGCACACAACAAGGAGCGTGGGCGGTGTCGATCCTGTAACCCTAGGCTGGCTTGACTAGGCCCAAGCAAGCCCGGATTGGACTGGTGAGGGGACCGCTCTCCCCCGGATTGGGCTAGCGTCCCCTTTACGAACCACCCTGTGGAGGCACCGGTGCCTCTGCTCGCCCCTGGGCATTTCCACAGACGTTCTCGGAGAGGCTGATTCTGATTCAGGCCATCTGGAGACCGGGTACCTGTCAACTCAACTTTTACCGTCTCCAGATTCAGCAGTCTTGACGAGGGGATTGTAGTATTAATCATTTTCCGCATGGTGGGTTTCAACGTTGGAGGAGCGCAAGCCATCCTGCTGCCATTGTCGTACTTGGGGCAACGCAGGGACGCCTCTTGGCCTCTCTCTTCTAATCTCTTTGGCTTTCTTTGCTTCTTGTCCTTCTCGATGTCCCCATTCCTGTGTGTACCTGCCTGGCGCTAGCAGTTATCCTGCCTCCTGCAACTCCCACCATGCATCTGTCGCTGACTTCATTCCTGTCAGGGCCTCTGCTGGCTCTAGGCTTTTGGCCACTTTGACCGAGTTTGGAAAAGCAACTATTATCGGTCGCGACGGGAAGGGAAAAAAAAAAAGAAAGACGAAGAAAAAAAGAGGAGCCCTGCTCAAAAAAGGCGCTTGCCACGCCACCCCTCCATCCTCTTTTTGATTTGTTCTTGTCACTTTTTGCTGAGAATCCTCCCGGCGATACCCTTTCCCCCGACCTCAGGCCAAGGCTCTTGCAGGCAGAGGCATTCAAGCCAGCGGAATGGGCGAGTGAAGTGCAGTGGAGCGTGGATGTGAAAGGCACCTGCGTCCCGCCGACGTGGCGGCACTAACACACACACCCACACCCACACACCGTAGCCTCAAATGATGTTCCCTCTCCAGCATGGTGAGCGGACCACACACCCCCTCCCCCTCTCTCCATCCCCCTTCCATCCTTCGAAAAGGAGACCCCCCTTGGGTTGTTCCTCACACCCCCTCTCCTCTTCGATCTTCGAGTTCTCTTTTTCTTCTTCTTATCCGACCTCATCCCCCTTCGTTTCTTCTCACCTTCATCTTGTCTCACTCTCTGTCACTCCTTCAAACGCCCTTCTTTTCTGTTCTTGTTTAGACGAAGCTGCTGAGCCTGCTGGCACGTCCTCTCCTTTACTTGCATATAACAAAACCACGACGCAGTTTCGTTCCTTTTGAGCTGCTCACCAACAACCCGTCTTTTCCTGATCACCCTTTCGAAGCCGACGTACGGTTCTCCCAAGGGCTCATCAAAGACCATTTCATTCTTTCGGTGCTCTGGTATCAGCATCTCTTCTACAAAAACACCAAATCCTGTCCACCATAGACGGACAGTGATACAACACACACACACAAGAAAGGCCTAGTTCCCGAGACTTAGACACATATTGACCACGAACCGTTTAACGGCAAGACGTCGACGACATTCAAGATGAAGTACTCCACGATTATGGGCGCCGCCATGTTCGGCGCGGCTCTCGCAGCCAAGGACTCCCGCACCTTTTCCGTCATGCGCTTCAACGGCAAGGAAATCTTCAACGGCCGCGCTGACCCCATCGTTAACCCCGGCGCCACCTCTCCCCACGAGCACACCGTGTTCGGTGGCAGCGCCTTCGGACCCGACGCTACCGGCGAGTCTCTCTCGCAGTCCAAGTGCACCAACGCCAAGTTGAAGGGCGACAAGTCAGCCTACTGGGTGCCCAGGCTCTACTTCCATGACGAGGCCGAAGGCACTTTCGAGCCCGTTCCCGTCTTCTACACCAACATCTATTACTTGTAAGTGTTATGTTTTCGTTCTTGCTTGTTTGAATATGAATATATATGTATGTATCATGGCCACTAGGACTGACACTAACTGCTCTTTACAGCTTCGATGCCACTGATGATGACATCAAGGCTTTCCCCAAGGGTCTCTCGATCCTCGCCGGCGATGCCAGCACCCGCAATGTCCCCCAGACTGGAGGCAGCGCCAACTTGGACCCCAAGGACGGCGAGATCAACAACGTCATGTGGACGTGCCCCCGTAGCAACCTCGACAGCCCCGGCTGGGTTGTCGGCTCCGATGGCAGCGCTGCCGGTATCCAGGACCCCAACAACAAGGGCCAGGGTGTCGGATTCCCTAGCGCCAAGTGCGACGGCTATGCCTCTCCCCTCCGTGCTGATATCCACTTCCCCTCTTGCTACAACCCCGAAGTTGGCCTCACTAACTACAAGGAGAACATGGCCTGGCCCAGCTCCAAGGGCACCTCGGGCGGCCGCGTCAACTGCCCCGAAGGCTACATCCACGTGCCCCACCTCTTCATGGAGGTGTACTGGGACACCCCTTCGTTCTCGGACCGCTGGACCCCCAAGTCGGATGGCGAGCAGCCCTTCGTTCTCTCCAACGGTGACGTGACTGGCTACTCTCTCCACGCCGATTTCCTGGCCGCCTGGGACGAGGACCTCCTCCAGAACATCATCGACAACTGCAACACGGCGCACGCTGGTATGGAGACGTGCCCCGGCGTCGGTTCCCAGGTTAACACCGAGACCTGCGTGGCGGAGAACTCGGGTGATAGCGCCAGCTTCAGCGTTGCCAGCGTCGGCGGTTCTTCCTCCAAGGCCTCGGCGCTTCCCGGAAGCAACCCCTCTCTGGATTCAAGTACGGTGCTGCTTCGGCCGCCTCCTCTTCCTCGTCTTCTTCCGACAACAGCGCCGAGAACGACGTTCCTGTCAGCAACTCGTCCGACGAGGATTCGGAGGAGGTGGAGATTGTCGAGGAGCAGCCCCAGTCTCCCGCCACTACCGCCGCGCCGGTTGCTGTGAAGCCCTCGCCCGTGTGCGTGACTAGGACCAAGACTGTGGTCGAGACGGTTACCGTGTACGAAGACGCTGTTCCTACTCCCGAGGCCAAGAAGCTTCGTCGCCACCTTCACAAGCACGCGGCTCGCCACGGTTCTCACATGAACTAAGCGGCGAAGGAGAGGAGGATTTTAGGCTTCGAAGATGACACACTTTGGATTTCGTGTTATAGCGACATCATCTCACGGTTTACCATATTTTTGATCATGATTTCCCCGTCTCGATGAGAGACTCTGTGGAAAGGGAGTTTTTCTGTTCTCTTTTCAACGGGAACCCTTGGCCAAGGGGTTGGTTTAAGTTTTTTCTGTTTCTTTTGTGTTTTTTTATCTTTCTCTTCTTCCCTCTTCGACATGGTTCGGACAGGCCCCCTTTTTTTTTTTTGACCCATCTTTTTTTTCCATCTCTTTTATACCATTCTTACTCAAGACATAGAATTAGGGAATTTACGGAACACTCTTCTTCTTGTTTTTCTCTTCACTTGGTTCATGATCCTCCCTTGATTTCGTGCTGTAGATGTACTCCCTTGTGTGTATTTGCGTGTGAGAGAGACTCGAGCACGCATGAAATGAGGGAGGGCAAGATGCCTTTTTCAGATGCTTTTTTCTTTCCACCCCGTCTAGGGTTGTTTTTGGTCATTTCAATGTTCTGCATGTATGAGCAATGAGAGCAGAGGCGCGAGGTTTCCGGGAAATAACATGGAGGGAAACGTGGTGTTTTGGCCGGGAAAAGAAAAGTCGAGGCATCATGTATCAGGGAAGGGAGGAGAAGAAGGAAAAAGTACGACATAGCCTTGCTGTCTAGCCTCTTTTTCCTAGTTTTCTTCTTCCTTCTCTTTGGTTTATTCTTCTCCACATTCGCTGTCTATACCTTTTTATCAAACCCGGCAGGGTATCCGGTTGCGGAGAAGACACTGCTGTCTTCTGTGTACCTAGACTCGCCGTTTTCTTGTGTTTCTTTTGGTAGCTAGCATGAAATCACGATGACCTCTTTTCTACAACCTGTGTGCTGTGGGTGTTTATGGCCTTGGTGATTTGCATCTAGAGATCTCGATGGTGTGGCTGTCAAGTGTACGGGGTAAGGCATAGGAAAGGCGAGAGGGGGCCACATACAACTTCAATGGACGGGTCAATGGAAGTGGATAGATTGGATCTTTTTACCTGATGGTGTTGTGGACCCTTTTGTGTTTCTGGCTCACCTTAACTTGGTTCATGGCACATGGAGGTTGGTGTGGATCGAGGTGGACGATGTCGATACTCACGTGCTTTGCGATGCGTCTGCAGAACCGGAGATGAGAGAGAGTACTGAGAGAGAGAGAGAAAGCTGCAGGACAAGACGGTAATTCCGCTCCCTTCTCGTTCGCCTTTCCCCTGACCCTGGACCACCCTCCGTTCCGTCTCCGCCCACGCCCGTGGCGACGTGCACACCCACACTAGGTCGGGCGGACTCCGGAACTTGTGTGGGCAGTTACAAGGTAAGTGCCGGGTAATTGGGGGTCGGAGCAAGTGAAGGCGAGAGCGAGGGGGTGAAGGGATACAATGACCTTTTTTTCCTTTTGTTTTTCTATTCTCCTAACGGAGTCTTTGTGCGTATATAGATATACCTGTACCTTTCTTTCTTTCCCTCACTTTCTCTTTCTTTCTTCATCCACGCACTGCAAAGGTAGAGAGAGACGCAAAGAGAGATAGAGAGAGAGAGAGTGTGTGTGTCTGTGTGCGTGAGTGTAAAAACCTCCCCACTTCCATCCGTCAGATATGTAGTCTTTCGCCGGGAAAAGGCCCGCGCGCAGGTGAGTGATAAGGACGATAGGCAGTAGAGGAACCGAAGCGAAGGGGAAGCGAGGGAGGAGGTAAGCGAGGTGGAGGAGGTAAGCAAAAAAAAAGAGACCCAAAGAAAGGGTGGGGGTGTAAGTGGAAGACGCCGCATGGCGGCTAATTCGGGAGATTTTCTGTGCTGCAGGTCCTGCGTCTGCGTTGGTGGAGAGTCGGAGGTTCTTTGGAACGGCTCTGGGAAAGGGAGGGGGCGTTTCGCCACCGGGTTTTCTTTTTCTCTGTTGTGCTTGTCTTTTTGCCCTGGGGGCAAGGGACGGGACGTGGATAGGAGCACTATGGACCTTGTTTTTTTTTTTTCTTTTTTTCTTAGAGAAGGGTGAGGACCCGGGAGAGAGTGGGGACGGGCAATAACAGCTAGAGAAGGAGAAAAGAGGGTGTGTTCGGTGCGTGCGTGATGGGGATGTGATGGCGAGAATGGAAGAAGTGAAGGAAGAGAGGGGGAGGAGGCATAGATGGCTTCTTTTTTCGTTCCTATCCTCCACCGGGCAGACATGGCAGTGTGTCCGTGTTCTTTTTTCTTTCTAGCTCTGCGTCCCGGTGGGAAGGAAAGAGGTGAGGGCGCGGGGAAGGGCATGGGAGAGATCGGAGGGGTTGTTCCCGAATTGGACGTTAGGGTGGTTGTGCTAGGCTGTTTAAGCTTGTTCTCGAGTGGATGAAGAATGGGTCATATTAGACAGGGCGCAGGAGAAGAAGATCTCCTCTCTCGCTGTGTACCTTGAGTTTGCTTGGCATCGTTGCCCCTGCTTGTCAGTTTCGGTGTGGTGGCTCTCACCGAAACCAACTGCCCGGTCGGCAACGAGTGACAGCAGCTGACGTTCGCAGCATCGAACGATTTCACTTACACGAGATGTCAGGCATCCAAGGGGAGAATCGTCAAGGGGGAATAGCATCGAGTTGAAAAAGCCGGTGGTCCCCTTTTTTCCTCATCCTTTAGCTTTTTTAGTTTCTTCTTCTTTTGCGCCGTGTCAAGTCCCCTTGGCGCCATTTCGTTTTTGCTAGGTGAGGCGCCTTCCTACCGCAAATGACGGGAAATCTTTGCGGGGTGAGCGAGCTGCGTGCCACCATGAGTCTAGATGACTCATAATGAATAGTTGTGAGCCTCTTCGACGTCTTTCTTGATGCGGTTTCAGTCGACCGCCAAAACCTTGCGCGACGGCGCGCCCGAGCAAACCACACACACACGTCCGGGGATCGAATAGCGCCGTTCCCCTGGGGGTTTTTGCTGGTTAGAGTGGGATTGGGGGAAACCACACCTAAGATTACATGTAGTTAAAAAAAAATGCATACATGTCGTATACCCAAAGGGGGAGAGAGACGGTTGAACGGACGGGAAGGGAAAAAGAAAACAAACACGATAAAAGGATCGAGATCGCAGTCTTCTTTTTCGAGTCTTGATTCTCCTGTATCCTTGTCAAGCAAGAAACAACAACCACTCGTGGGATACCAAAGCACAAGTTCTCACCATTCTCCTCTACGAGACGAGGATGATATCCTCCTCGTAACCAAACCATCCTCTTTCATAAACAAAAAAATTGCATAGACAAAAAAACATATCGATTCCAATGAAGTCCGAAACCACCGCGGCTTCCACCAGGGTCCCCTCGGTCCTGGAGCCGGAAGCAAAGCCCGACATGGTCGACGACGCCCTCCACACCGAAAGGACGTGGCCGCCTCCTCCTCCGCCGCGAGCGCCTCCGACAACAATGTTGCTCCCGCGGCGGCTGCCTCTTCGTCCGCGGACGAGGGAGAGTATCCGACGGGCTTCCGCTTAGTCGCGACCATCCTCGCCCTCATCTTTAGCATCTTCCTCGCCTCTCTCGACATGGTACGTTTTCCCTTTTTCTTGTTTCTCCCCTTCCCGTTTTGATCCCTTAGTATTAACTCTCGTGTGTCTTCTCCCCTCAGACCATCGTCGCCACCGCCATCCCCAAAATCACCGACGAGTTCGGCGGCATCGACAAAGTCTCCTGGTACGGCGCCGCCTTCTTCATGACCAACGGCAGCTACCAAACCGCCTGGGGCAAAGGCTACCGCTTCTTCAGCCTCAAGTACACCTTCCTCGCCTCCGTCCTCGTCCTCGAAGTCGGCAGCCTCATCTGCGCCCTCGCCCCCAACCCCATCGTCCTCATCCTCGGCCGCGCCATCACGGGCCTTGGCGCCGCCGGCATCGGTACGGGCGCCTACACCATCATCGCCTTCATCGCGCCCCTAACCGTCGCGCCACCTACACCGGCTTCATCGGCCTGTCCTACGGCATCGCCTCCGTCTGCGGGCCCTTGCTGGGCGGCGTCTTCTCCGACCGCATCTCCTGGCGTTGGTGCTTCTACATCAACTTGCCCATCGGCGGCGTCGCCGCCGCCATCATCCTCTTCTTCTTCCGCACCCCGCGCGCCGCCCTGCCCACGCCCGCGACTTGGCGCGAAAAGTTCCTCCACATGGACGTCGTCGGCACTTCCCTCATCATGGGCGCCATCATCTGCTTCATGCTCGCTCTCGAAAAGGGTGGCCAGACCGAGCCCTGGAGCTCCTCCGTCGTCATCGGCACCCTCGTCGGTTTCTTCGTCATCTCCATCGCCTTCGTCGTCTGGGAGGCCCGCATGGGTGAGCGCGCCGTCATCGTGCCCCGCCTCGTCATGACTCGTTCCGTCGGCATCGGTAGCCTCTTCGCCGCCTTCTTCGCTGGCTCTTACCTCGTCGTCCTCTACTACATGCCCATCTACTTCCAGAGCGTCGCCGGTGTCGCGCCCATCACCTCGGGCATTCGCAACATCCCCTCATCGTCGCCGTTACCATTGCCATGATCGCCTCTGGTGCCTTCATTTCCGCCACCAACCGCGCCATGCCCGTCCTCGTTGCCGGTGCTGCCGTCGCCACCGTCGGAACCGGTCTCATCTACACTCTTGATATCGGCTCCGGTACCGGCAGCTGGATCGGCTTCCAGGTCCTCGCCGGCCTCGGCTGGGGTGCCGCTTACCAGATCCCCATCATTGTCGGCCAGCGCGGCGCTCAGCCCACTGACGTTTCGTCCATCACTGCCATCGTATTGTGTAAGTCTTTCTCTTTCTCTCTTTCTCTCTCTCTCGTATCTTCTCTGACCACCAAACTAACTCTCACCCCCACCCCCAGTCTTCCAAAACTTCGGCAGCACCGCCTGCGTCACCGCCGGCCAAGCCGCCTTCGCCAACCAACTCCTCAACAAGTTGTCCACCGCCGCGCCCTCCGTCGACCCCGCCGCCGTCATCGCCACCGGCGCCACCGCCATCCGCACCGTCTTCGACCCCGCCGATGTCCCCGGCATCGTCATGTCCTACATGGCCGGCGTCAAGGTCGCCTTCGCCATCGGCATCGCCGCCGCCGGCGCTGCTTTCGTCACCGGCTTGTGCGGCGACTGGAAGGCGGACGGCAAGTCCAGCGAGGGTGGTGATGTCGAAATCATTGCCGCCTTGTAAAATTCTTTTTCGCATTGTGAAAGGGAGGAGGAGGGAGAAATGAAAAAAACACATACACAGAGATGACATGTTTATATTGCTAATCAGCCTTGCAGCATTGCATTTTTTTCCTTATTCTTTTCTTTTCTTCTCTTCAGATTTAGAATTGCGTCGATGATTGTCAATCGGCTGCCTTTGATTAATTCCTTTTTCTTTCTTTTTCCATACTATAGATCATAGAGGAATAGATTCTCTGGATGCATCTAGCGTCCATGATTTAGTTGGATATTCGGTTTCTCCTGTTGCAGTGACTTCAAGAATCTGACAAGCCAACAACCCCTTTGGAAGTCGATAGTTCTTCCTTGTATGGTTTGGCCAACTGCCAAGTCCCTCTCTCTCCTTCTCTGTGCTCCAAGTTGTTCAGCATCAAAATATCACGATACTACGTCCAGGCGTGTACTTACGAACATAAAGTGTAGAGAGAAAGGAAGGGTAAAGGCTTGGGGCGACTGCATTGCATTGGTCGAGCCTTGATTGTACTCATCCCACTATAGCATTCCGAATCGCAAACCTACGCGTTCAGCTATTCCTATATTCTTTTGTACTTTTCTCTCACTCTCACTTGTAAAGTCGTTTCCGTCTCCCCCTCCTCTACATCCTCTCCACAGGCGACAAGCCCAGGAGCCTCATACCATTGTTCAGCACCTGCCTAGCCGCCTCGTACAACGCCGCCCTAGCCTTGCCCACCTCCTTCTCGCTGCCCACGACCTGGAGATGCTCGTAGCTGGAGCTGAGCACGTGCGTCATCTTGAACAGATAGACCAGTATCGTCGTCGGCTCCAGCGTCTTGAGCGCGTTGGTGACCACGTCGGGGTACTGGGCTAGGAATCGGACCAGGTTCACCGCGTGCGTCTCGATGAGGAGCTCCAGATCCGCGCCCGCAACCTCTTCCGCGGAGAAGCCTGCCTTGCGGGAGATTGAGCAGAGGCGAGCATGGGCGTACTGCAGATACGGGCCGGTGTCACCTTCGAACGAGGTCATGGCATCCATGTTGAAAGTGTAGTTGTTGATCCTATACAAAGTGAATTTTAGCGTTAGCGTTTTCTTTTGATAAACATACCGGGATATATATCAGGATCAGCGGATCAACGTACCTCTTGCCAGTCATATCCTGGGCCATGACGGAGCTAATACCCAGGATGTCGGCAACAGACTCGGGGTTCTCGACCTGGGCGTACTTGGTCTCGTTCTTCCTCATGACGTCGTGCATGTGGGAGCCCACGTCCTTGAGGATGTCGTCCAGGAACTTGACGGTACCCTTGCGGGTGCTCATGCCGAGCACGAGACCAAAGTTGACGTGCTGCACCTTCTTGGCGATATCCGTGTGGCCCATGAGCTCGATAATCTTGAACAGCTGTTTGAGGTGGAGGTCCTGCGCGCTCGCTACGACATAAATCAGCTGGTCAAAGTCGTACTTCTTGTGGCGGTTGAGGAGCTCGCTAATGTCGCGGGTGAGATAGAGCGCCGTGCCGTCCTTCTTCCGGATCACGGCCTTTTCGAGGCTCTTGCCCGCCTTGCCCGCGACGTGCTTGGAGAAGTCGATGAGCACGGCGCCGTCCGAGTCCTCCGAGATACCCTTGTCGGCGAGGGCCTGGGCGGCCGCCGCCATGTCCGCTTCGGGGACCTGGCTCTCGCCCGAGTAGTCGTCGAAGTGGATGTTGAGGCGGGCGTACGTGTCCTTGTAACGGACGATGCTGAGGTCGCGGAACCGCTTCCACTGGCCGAGAGCCTGCTCATCGCCGTCCACCATGCGCTTGAAATACTTTCGCGCCTGCTCATCCACGCCCGTCTCCTTGAGCTCGTCAGCCTCGGCGGTGTTGCCGCTGGCCCGAAGCGCGTCCATCTTCTCCTTCTCGTCGGCCTGGTCCTTGCTGATCTTGACGTAGATCTCGTACAGGTGGTTGATGGGGTCTGCCGTCAGCGCCTCCTCGTTTCCGTACTTCTCAAAGCCTAGGGCCAGGAGACCGTACTGCTTTCCCCAGTCGCCGAGGTAGTTGATCCTCACGACATCCCACCCGGCACCCTCGTATAGGTTGGCGAGAAACCCGCCAATAATCGTGCTGCGCAAGTGGCCGGCGTGGAAGGGCTTCGCGATGTTGGGGGAGGAGAACTCGACAATGGCTCGCTTGACGCCCTTGGAAGGATCGCTAGGGTCCTTGAGGCCAAAGGCGGCGTTTGTTCCGTACTTGCTGCCGCGCTTCTGCACCATGGGTAGGAGGAGCTTCGTGAGGGGTCCTCCCTTGAACCAGAACTGGATGAAATGACCGGCAGCCACGGGCTTGTTGACGAGGGGAGACTCGGGGAACTGCGGTAAAGAAGAATTTCCGAGTTAGCAAGCAGAACTCACGAAACGAAGGGACAAAAAAAGAAGGAAAGAAAATCCGTGTAGCCCTAACTCGTAGTAAAGAAAACTTACCTTGGAAACCCACTCTTCCGCCAGCTCATTCGGCTTCTTGCCCTTGACCCTCAGCGCAGGCGTGGCGAGAATCAAGTCGCCCTTGTCGCTCGACTGCGTCCACTGCAGCGCGGGGTAGATGATGGCCTTGTCGACACCGGTGACATCGTGGAGGAGAGTGGTGAGGTGCGAGCGGTACACGTCGACGGGGTTCACCGCGGGGTAGCAGTTGGGATAGGCGTCGAGCTTGTCGACGGGGAGGGGCTAGGGGTGTCCGCTGCCGAGGAGGCTTCCGCAGCCGGGGCGGGGCGGAGGGGTAGTTCGGTCGTGGCCATGGTGCGATGGAGGGCGAAAGGTCGCGAGCGAGTTGTGGAAGGAGAGGTTGTGTTGGTAGAAAAGGTGAGGGTGGTGGTGGTGGTGGTTAGAAGTTGGTGATGGTGGGGTAAAAATCGTCTGCGGGGGTCGAACCACGGCGCGGCGCGGGGAGCACGTCGACGACAAGTAGCGTGTCGAGCAAAGAGGAGAAGAGGAACTGGAAGAGGGACGAAGAGGAGAATGCCGAGCTCGTTGGTAGAGGGAGGAGGCACAACAGCACGGTGATGTCGAATTGGGCTGGGAGAGGGAGGAGGTCACGGTGCGTCTGGAAACTGCCCGCCAAGTTTGAGAGGTATGATTCATCCCTCTCGAGATTTTGGCCCGTCAAGGGCAGAAATAAAAGAGAAAGAAAAAAAAAAAAAAGAACCTGCGCTTCCCAGGCGGGGCAACCGCGGGGCAGGTTTGGTTTGGGTGGTGTGGTTTGGTGTATCCCTCGAGCGTGAGCCCAAGTGAGTGACAGTGGGTGGCGCCTGCTTTGCCCAGATTGGCGGTACCGGTTACTTGTGGGTTTGCGCGCTGCAGGACGACGGACCCATGTCGCGTGTACAAGGAAAAGGGCAGGAAACAAAAAGGGTCGCAAGCTACACTACGCGCTGTAGTGTATCATGACAACGGCTTCCCGTCCGCAATTGATCCCCTTGGGGAAAAGTTTTACAGCTTATCAACTATGCTTTAGTGGCGGGCGCGGTTAGGCGAAGGGGCTTGCTATGATTTTGGGGAAGAGACGGGTGACGGCGCGTGGATGTGTCTGGTTTGTGGTTTGCTTGGGGGAAGAGGAAGCAACGAAAAATTTCCCAAGTCGGTAGATATTCGGAAGTATCCGAGGAGTCAACTGTCAACCTTGGTTGACTCAGATAATGTCAAGATACTCATCATATAAGAAAGGAAAGATGATATATTCTTTTTAGGATCCCGTGTTGAAAAACGGACAGAATGGGATTATAAGGCAAATTGGGACAAGAATTAGGAAATCTCCCAGTAGACGGGAGGGGCGGATCGAGGCATGAGGTGTCTCGACGATGCCCGTTTGTTCGATTTCACACCTTCACCAGGTACAAAATCATTACCGATAAAAAGGAATCAATAAATTCGTTCATTGAAGTCTGTTCGTAGTAAAATAGGAAAGAAAAACACTCCCCAACGCCTCATCATGCGAACCTATTCGCGCGCGATACTTGATCCCTGCGCATGCTGCCATAATACCTCCCACAGCCATCCTTGCGTGGTGAAGAGGAAAACTGGGGGTATTAAAAGAAAGTTATTTACAATCGGTAGTTGTTCCATCCCCTTCCCGGGCTTGGTATCAACTTGCCTCCTCGTCATCATGGAGATGTGTAGAGTGGACTTGTGGTAAGAAAAAGGATCCTGCTGTCATAACGTCGTTGCGTGTGGGCACACTCCCTTTAGAAGGAGTACTCCTCCACGTGCAAATGAATGCCCTGCGCCCCTGTCCCCTTGTGAACCGCCCTCTCATCCGACAACCTCGCCACGCAGTTTCTCACCCTCGCCACCAGCGGCCTACCACCACACACCACCACCAACGTCTCGCCCAGCGCCTTCTCCACGGGCTCCCGAATAAGCGCCGCGAGGTCCAACCGACAATCGTACTCGCGAATCACATCCAGCTCCGGCGAGGCCACGCCGTCAAGACCGACATCAACCACAGCGGAAGAAACAGCAGCAGCCTTTTCCGGATCGGAAACGTCCTCGGGTAGCGGGCGCACCTCGGAATCCCGGCGCGGCGCAGTAATAGCATCCTCGCTAGCGCCCGTCTTTCGCGCGCGTCCACGGCAGAGGACGTCGTGGACGCCGAGGCAGACGACAGGAAGTCCCCTGCGCATCGAGCCTCGCCGTCTTCTCGGCGGGCGCGGGCGCGTCCTTGCACGGGCCCGTGATCGCCACGTGGGCGTGGAGCTCCACGTCCGACTGCCGGCCGCGGGCGAGCGCCTCGCGGATCTGCTGCACGTAGAAGCCCGTCTCCTCGCTCTGGCGGGCCGTGAGGACAAAGTCGGCGCGGCGCAGACACGTCTTGTTCTTTTTGCCGGACCGGGCGATATCCTCCAGGATGGGCAGGGTGAAGGACGCGCCCGTCGACGCCGAGATGAGGATCACGGTGTCGTACACGTCCCAGTTCGGGGGCTGCCGTACGGGCCCGTCACAAAGGCCGTCGTGCGCATCAGCTCGCCCTTGTCCTGCGCCGCGGCGGCAGCAGCGTGCAGCCTCTTGGAGAAGCCGCCGTGCTTGCGCACCACGAGCTCGATCGAGTTGCACACGCACTCGCCGGCAATCTTGTGCGCGCAGGCAATGGTGTACGGGTGGGCCTCGGTGGGGCCGACGGACGGCATCCAGAGGTAGAGGTGCTGGCCGGGGCGCCACTTGAAGTGGGCGTCGCGCACGGTGACAATGGTGGTGCGCTCGCCGGCGACGCGCACGAGGGCTTCGTGGCCCACGCGCTTGCGGCCCATGCAGGGGCGCCGCCGACCTTGAGCTTGAGGTTGCGCAGCGCGAGGAGGGACCAGCGCGCGACGCGGTCAAAGGCGATGAGGCCCACGGCGAACCACACGTTGTACATGGCGATCGGCGGCAGGTGCTTGTACATGAGCCAGATGAAGATGACGGCGGACAAGACGTGCTGGACGACAAAGACCTCGTAGGCGAAGGCGCGCACCGGGTAGAAGGAGGTGACAAACATCCACAGCAGCACGGCCCAGCCGCCCAGGCCGTACTTGACCATGGGCATGATTTCGAGCTCGAGCTCGACAAAGTCGGCAATGACCCACTGCGTCCAAAAGTGGAAGCCGTGCACGGTGGCCGTCACAAACATGGTGCGCGACACCCACCGGTGCAGCCAGTTGAGCCGCTCGTGGCTCATCCCCGTTACCAGCCCGATCGGGTTCGTCTTCATCGCCAGCATGTAGGCGAGGGCATTTGCGTCACCGTGATCCACCCGTTCCGGAAGGCGATGCGCTCCCAAAAGTACGCGTCCCGCACGACCGCCTTGTCCGCCATCATGTAGATGACGACCGCCCAGTACGCCAAAAGGATCAGGATCCGGCCCAGCGGCGGCGGGCTTGCCCACGACAGCCACCGGATAGGGATGTGTAGCTGCGGGTAGGATAGTTCCCTACATATCGCCGTGACTGTTGCCCACGCCTGTGACAATGCGTTGGTCGGCCGGCTCGGTGAGAGCGTATAGTCGCCCTTGCATCTCTTTCGTCTACATTTCGAGAATGATTAGAAAAAAAGGAAGAAAAACAGAGGTTTTCATCACTTACCTCCGTACGACTTGGATGTAATCGATTAGGCGTATAACGGCGCAGAGACCAACAACACCGGTAATGATATACCAATACGCCCTGGCTAGGGCCATGTTCGTTTTCTTAAAAGCGCCCGTCCCCGTCGTCGAGGAGCCGGAGCCTCCATGGTGGCTGTGATCCATGATTGTGGTGATTATGTGTGTTCCTTCCCTCTTCACTGCTTCTTGTTCCCGTCCTCCCTCGAATCCGACAAAAGACAAGCTTTGCTCCGCCTTAGCGGATGTACAAAACCAGCTGCTGCGACCTCGGTGGAATTGTTTCAGACCAGACGTTTTCGGTCCTTTGCTTCCTTTTTTTTCTCGTTTCCCTTCTCTTCTTTTTAGATTTTTGCCCGCTTTGCCTACTTCGTCTCGTGGATGTCGAATGGAGGAAAGGCGAAAGGCGTAAAAAGAGAATAATACCCCAGAATCGTAAACGGGTAAAACGAGGAGCGAGGATGATGTGAGTGGTTAATAAGGGCACACAGTCCGGGGTGCAGTGCTGTATCCAAAACGGCACCGGATAGCCGACTGGGAAAGGTGCCAGCGAAGGCCCGCCGAGATAATTTAGATTGACGTGAGAAACAACCGAATATTGGGCATAATTGCAAATGACGCGGTTGGCTGGGGAGATCGACGCTCAATGAAGAGAAGTAGAAGAATAAGAAGGATGGGGAAACCGCCGGCAGAAGGAGTAAGAAAAACAGGCCTGAAAGTTTGTGTGTGTCCCTCTGCGTGGGTGGATATGGGTGTGTGAAGGTGACTGTGTGAGTGTAGTCTTTCGCAGCACTTTTGCGGAAAAGCGTTCAAAGGTCCGTGATAGCCGTGGCGGGGGTGGATCGCGCAGAAGAAATCGGATCTCGGAACGAAGAGTAATATGCGGCAGCTACTAGGAGAGACGACCGCGTGCGCTCAGTAGGACGAGGGAAGAGGCGAACGAAGATGGCGAGGTCGACGGCGGAGGAGCTTTGTGAGGGCGGGGAGGGTTCGCGGGCAGATTGGTGTGGGAGGTAATTAAGCTGTTCGTCATCGACTATCCGGGCGCGCCGCTGGACAAGGAGATGAACAGGAAGGATGGATGATCGAGAGCGAGTTAAGAGAAAGAAGACGAAAAGAAACGAAAAAGCGGCCGATGTGCCAAGAGGAAGTTCGTAATGGAAAACTGGGTTGCTCGCGATGGCCAAGACTCAGACAACAAGGACGCCGAGACAAATCGAAGAACCAAGACAACCCACGCTTTTGGATGTTAATCGGCAAGCTTGACGATTTTTAGGGAAACCGTTGGGCAAAAGTGAGAGTGATGGCACACAAGCAACTGAGCAGATTAGAAATTGGAATCACGCTCGTTATGGTTAGCTGCCGCTTTCCGAGGAGCTGGCTGGAGTGTGCTCCTAGTACACGGAACGGAATGATTGAGTTGATAGGCATATGCGCTTGCGAAACTAAACAGAAGCCCCAGTTTTTGGTACAAGTAGGGATTCGATACCAGCTCAAAAGCCTCAAAGAACAACGAACCCGACTCGGAATAGGTAGTGAAGAGCAAGTTTGGGAGAGCTTGGCCCCATCCTCCTCGCCGCAGACTAGTGACAGGAAACGTGGGGTTTCTTCGGGATCGCGGCTTTTCGAGAACAAAACTGGGGCCGATGTGGTGGTGCCCCCTCCTTGCAAATGTCGAAAAAGGCATCAAAGAACCTAGAAACCCAAAGGCTTTCCTTCAAGTTTGCCTACGCTTCCGTCCCCATCAAGCCCGTGAAGGAGCACTGAATAATCCAGATTTGGTGAAGAGACGTCTCACCTGGATCGCACGGCACACCTGCACACACACACCACACTGATCCAGCCCGTGGGGTTGAGTGATCGAACGCTCTCTCTCGTGGTCGCCAAGGCTAAGAGGAGGGGAGGCAAAGAGCAAGGGCCCCGGTGCAACGCGGGGAGCCAGCCACAATTTGCTCAAATGCCCTCAGGTTGCGCAGGACGGACCAATCGCTGCGAGGCACCGATGGGCGCTGATTGGATCCGGGCCACGTCCAACCCAATCGGGGGATTCTTTTATCCACAAACGGCCAGGGATCAAAGTTGCGCATGTTCAGTTTTTCTCGTAGCATGGCGAAGGCTGGGCGGCCAAAGTGGGGTGTTAGAGGGGTTGAAGAGTATGAGAGAGGTGCAACTCCAGCAAGATTGACAGGTCCTCAAGATAGGTAGAGGCCAGCCAACTGAGGGAAAGAGCGAAGGGCCCTCCAAAAGAACTTGCTCACAAGATTGAAGATTATGCTAAGGAAACATAGCACGAGTCTTGGTACCCATCCATTGTATCTGTGTCGCTTCCACTAAGTGGCTCGGTACCTCCCGAATGAAAATGGCCGTTGCCGTTGCCGTTTCGTCTCACACACTCTCTCGCATCACAAGCCGCACATTGATGCTTCGCAACTAGAAACGGGTGGCTGTTTTGAGCATGTTCGGGCCTCGTGTCGATTGATGTCATCTGAACTCGGCCGGACGACTCCTTGCCGTCGTCGTCTGGCTTGCATCTCCATCTGCGCTGGTTTTCTTTCTCTCGGCCGGACTGTGCCGGTCTCAAAGCTGAGAGCACTACATCATCTCCCTCTATCATAGAACGGTACGACCCGGCTCCCTGGGAACGGGGGAAGGAAGCAAGCAAGCATGTGGGAAGCTCCTGGCCCATTTTAAGTCCCTAGCCTCGACCCCTCCGGGTACTCGTTGCCGCATGGGTGACCATCCATTCGTTGCTTCCCAGCGAGATGCATGCTTTCCTTCTACGAATAGTATACTGACTCGCGCGGTTGGCCAAGAGCTGGTCATGGATCCATTGGATTCGCCGAGCCATGGATGACGATGTCGCTCCTTCCCTCCGTTTCTTGGTAGAGTGCGGTGATGCTTGGTGTCCATGTTGTAAAGAGCTCGACTCCAATAGCTACGATGACCGCGAGGAGTAATTGACAGAAACCAAAAGACGGCGTACAAGGTCTCAGAGCTATCAAGACATTTTGTAAATTCTCCCGTCTTTTGGCTCCCCTTACTTCCATGTTTTGCCTTTTGTGGTTTGTTTTGTCTCTCCATCGTGGCGAATGGCAAAACGAGATCGCAAGTAGCTTTCGTCCTTTTTCCCACCAAAAGACATGTGGCACGGAAGGGAAAATATGTGTGGGGCCGCCCCAAAATACCAAAATACCTGCTCAAGCAAAAGCGCTCCTGCCCAAGCACGAAACGCTGCAACGTTGGTGGAAGGAGCTGTCAAAGCTCCAGTTCCTTTCTCGCGGGCTAAAAACCGACTCTTTTAAAGCCCCCAACGAACTTTACCAGCCGGTTGCGCCGGCATCTTAAAGCAAAGTCTTGGCCAAGATCTCCACCCGGCGCCCCCCAGGTCCTAGTGTGTCCTATCCTTAATAGCATCCCGCGTTGCCACAGAGGTCGCCTTGCTCTCTCCCGATTACCGGACGGCCGCCCATTTATTATTATAGCCTCTCTGTCCTCTGGCGTCATTGTCAAAACCCTCCTCTCTCCTCTTTTCTTCCTCTCTCGTATCCTCTTTTTATTCTATCCCCTCTCTCCTCATTCCCAACGAGTCAATTGGACTATTCAAGACAGCATCAGATCATTCTGTGTGAACAAGAACTTTTGCTGCTCTCCCAGACAGAAAAACAGCTCTCTACCTCTTCTTTCACCCACCCCACCTTCTCCCCCAAGAAACCAGCAACCATGGCCCGCCTCTCCGCCGCCGTTCTTTCCCTCCTCGCCTCCACGGCCACCGCCCACTTCAGCATTGACTACCCCCTCTATCAAGGCCAGCAGCGAGAACAGCCTGTCCAGCGGTCCCTGCGGCGGTGCCAAGATCGACTTCGACGCCGGCACCGTCACCGACTTCCACGTCGGCGGCGACGCCATCGCGGCCACTGGCACCCACCCCCAGGCCAATTGGCTCTTCCGCGCTACCACCGACCTCACCGGCACCTCCAACTGGACCCAGCTCTACCCCATTGTCGAGCAGAGCGGCCTCGGCAAGCTCTGCCAGCCCAAGATCACCGTCCCTGAGGAGTGGGTCGACAAGCAGGGTCTCATCAGCGTCGTTGCCCACGCCGAAGATGGTGTTCTCTACGGTGTAAGTTTTGGTCCAAATACTCTTGAAAAAAAGACTTGATTTCCTCTCACTTTCAATAGACTTGCCGCTAACCTATCTCCCAATCTTAGTGCTCTCAAGTCAAGTTCGTCGAGGGAACCGGCGAGCAACCAAGCTCCTGCAGGAACACCACCGAAAACTTCTCCTTCACTAGCGACTCCGACCTCGAGGCCCTCGTTGATGACGGTACTGGCTCCTCCGGCTCCAACTCCTCCGACAGCAGCGGCGGCTCCGGCGACGACAACAGCAACTCCGACGACAGCGGCTCTTCGGGCGACGAGGGCGCTGCCTCCAACTTTGGCACTAGCTTTGTCGGCATGGTCTCCGCCGCTGCGTTGGTCGCCGGTGTCCTTGCTCTTTAATTGTTTATAAAGAGAAAGGGAATTGTGGCCTACCCCGATGCTTCGGAATGGAATAAAGGCGCTTGCTTTTCTTTCCACTTTTTTGATTTATGCTTTCATGTATAGTAATTTACTATGGCTACGATACGATACCAATGTTGTTTTTGAGGGGAAAGTTTGGATCAAGATATAAAATGGCAAACACTAGGTTTACCAATGCATCCATGTATATCCAGGATATATACAGTACATAAGATGAATGCACATGAGGAAGACTTGACTTATTGATATCTTTTACGCAAGCGGAGACGCATAAAAACACTGAGAGCATGGATAGATAATGAATGGTTGATTATTGGGTGCCTAGACCTTCCTCTCCATCTCTAAAGCATATCCACAAGCCTCTCTTGGACATGTGGTGACTAGTAAGTAGTAGGGGGTGTGCTCATCCCCAAGACAAAACTAAGTAGAATAATAATACAATTCATGTCAGCTAGGTGAGCGGTGTGTACCTGCAGACCGAGATCCATATTGCTCGCCCCTTTCAGCCTGACTGGAATTTCATCCCTACCGCGTGATGGAAGAGAAAATGGGGTGTGCATATCTTCCTTTCATGCACATATTCCCATTCTAGTAACAAACAAGGCAAGGACTAAAAGAAGACAAAAAAATTGGAAAGAAGACTTGGAGAAGGATAACAGAAAGAGGGGAAGAAAAAAGGAAGTGTTGGTTTTGAGAAAAAAGAAAGTCATGTCCCGTCAATCGTGAGAGAGAACCAAAGGGCCACGCCCATTGCCCTGGCTCGTAGTTGCATGGATTTTTCAACTCCCTTTCCTTTGTTCAAGCCCTCGTCGTCACCGCCGTGCCCACCCCAAAGTTATGAAGCCTCTCGCCAATCAGGTATGCCTCGTCCCTGATTCTCGACTTCCACCCCTAAACACCCCGACGAGGCTCCACACCATGGTCGAGCTGAGCGCCACCAGCGCGGCCGAGAGGAAGCTGAGCCTGTAAATGAGCGCCATGGAGACGGGGTCGTCCGAGAGCCGATCAAACGCGCCCGCCGCCACGAGCACCCGCTTGATGAGGGGCACGATGACCACGGGCGGCGCGGCGACGGCGATGACGCATAGCGCGATCGCGGGGATGACAAAGGCGCGCGTGAGCACCTTGACGTCGGGCCGGAGCCAGCCGCGCCGGAACACGGCCTGGCTCGCGTTGGCGAGGCGCGTGCCTGCGAAGCTGCTCCGGAGCACGCGCGTCGCCAGCTTGAGATACAAGAGGCCTAGCGTCCACGCTTGCACGGCGCGAATGGTGTGGATGCTGTTGGCGGCTGCGAGGGCTGCCCCGACATCGGGAACGGCGTCTGCTCCCGTCATGACGGGGGCTTTCGGGGGCGACATGTACGTGTGGAGCGGGATAATGAGGTAGAGCTCGATGAGCGCGCTGGCGAGCAAGGGGAAGAACACAAACACGTTGAGGTACGTGTACACGAGCTGCACGCCGTGAAGGACGACCGTCGCCACCTGCTTCGGTGCACCTGGCTCGTATAGGGCACCGAGCCCAGCGGTGGCCCACGCGCGAATCTTGGTCGAGAGCGCTTGGGCGCGGAGGACCGAGTATCCGATCGTGCCTAGCACGTAGATGCCGATGCTAAAGGCGTAAATATCGTTGGTGCGGACGTGGCCTGGGAGTAGGCATTGGAACAGACGCCGCCCGACGATGAGGGGTAGTATAGTAAGGCTCACGCCCGTCACGGCCGCGAACATCCAGATAAGGAAGATGAAGAGGAAGATGCGGAACCGGAAGTTGGGGGTAGATACACTAGCTGGTACTGGTCGGTAAAGTACTGCTCCAGGTGCGGCGCGGTTGGGAGTGGTATCTGGCTGATTTCGTGCACTTCTAAAAAGACCCGGCGGCCCTTGGGGATCCGGACCTGATCCGACGCAGGGGTACGGACAAACCTTCCGTCCCGGCGGAGCTGACCTTCCCGCACGAGCTTCCGCTTGGTTTTGGTGAGCGACCCAACTGTTGAACTTGAAGAGGGATCGGGGTTTAACAGGTCGTTAATCAGGTCATTCCACGTCTTGGGCACAACGTTATTTTCGCCGTCGAGACGTAGGAACTGCTTCCGGTACCAGGGGAGCGATTTGTACGGCGAGTTCTTTGGCAATAAAAGCTTGCCTTCCTCATCGACCTGCCGCTGGCCAAAGAGGAACCAGGTCAGCCTGAGCATCCGAGCGCATTGCTTGAACCACCACGTGTACATGGCGTGAAGCGCGTCGCTGGGCCGTAATACCCTCACGGCTAGGGGCATGAGGAAGTTGTAGAAGAGAAGATCAACCGGGAACTCGAGCACCGGCTCGTTGGACGAGTAATGGATTGGCAAGACGGTCGAGGCGAAGCTTAGGCTCCATACGACGCCGCCAAGACAAACAACGACTAGTCCTCCGTACACTAGGGCGGAGAACATGATTTTACGGAGCTGAGTGAAGAAATTCCTTTCTAATACATCTCGGACCGGATGGAATTCCGGGTCATCTGGGTCTCGGATGAAATCTGTCGAGACAAGGGGTTAGGAGGCCGTCGTGAGTATGTGTTGGGGGAAAAAAAAAAAACTTACACAGGACTCCGTTCCGCATGATCTTGCGGCACATGGATACGAACAGCGCAAAGTGGAACATGTATCCGGTTCCCACGAACCAATGAACAAATATAGATGTCAGCGGGTAGTTGACACTAAAGTCGTAGCGCGATCTGATCGTTGCATGCTCAAAGAGCGGAAGGAGCGCCGCATCCATGAGTAGGCCGCAGTAGAGCGGGAACACCAGCATTTCGATACCTATGATGAGAATGACCTTGGTTACCCCGCTAGCCTGGTTGATGAGATCCACCAGCGACGCTTCCCAATCTTGACCCAGCTGCCCCGATGAGAGAGGCGCACCCCGGGTCACGTACAGGGTGGCGAGAGACGCGAAACTGAGGTACCCCGCGAGTATGGCCCAGAACCTGTCCGACCCAGACCAGGACGCAAGGGCCGGATCGATCTGTACCGGGGCCGCGGTGTTGAGGTCGATGATCCAGGAACCGGGCGTCAAGATCGAGGTCGCCGCCGTTACGGTCATGTTCTTGGCGAGGCCGGCTAGGTAGGTTCCGTTGCTGAGTACGGTGCTGGCCACCTCGGAGACGGGCGACTCCACGGTGAACGCGGCCGTGTTCCATAAAGTCATCGCCACGCCAACGACATGGGCCTTGAGCTCCAGGAGAGCCCCGTGGCTGACGGCGGAGAAGTTTTGAATCTCGGACGCGTGAAAGGGGAAGTCATCGAAGAAGCCGGACGAGAGGCGGCTGGACGCATTGGCGGTCAGCTCCCAAGTATACGTAATGCTGGAGCCGACCGAATCCATCCGAGCGTTCTGGCCCGTGACGCGCGACAAGACGGATAAGGCGGAGAGCGTGGCCCAGGACAGGGCCCCGGCTATCACGGCAGTAAGGTCCTGGATAAACTTCGCGGCGGAAAAAAGCATGCGTACGAGTCGCATCGGGTTCGCAGCGATGCAGATGGCCGTGCGCCCCAAATTGTAAGGGAGGAAGATGCAGACGAAAATGGCGACAAAGACGAGACACGCGCAAAAGACGGCGTTTTGGAAAAGACCCGCAATGGGGCCTCTCATGCCAATGAGCTCCATGATGCCTTCAAAATCCTCAATGTCATCGAGAGCGTCCTGGTCGAGAGCCTGCGCACCCGCTTCTCCAGCTTCGCCTGGTTCACCGTTATCGACGCCAATGTCCTCGGCCGCATCGTCGTCGTCTAGATCCTCGTCCTCGGCCTCTGCGGCGCGGAGTTCGTCCTCTGTGGGAGGCTCGATTCCACCCCAAAAGAAGTCGGCTACACGAGCAAGGGCCGGTTGTTGGCCGCGGGGTTTTGCGCGTGCGCTTCGGGACCACCGTTCGGAGCAGGTGGGGCAGGTCCTGCCGGAGCAGCCTCGACGTTGATCTCCTGGGCGACCCCTTGGTCACGCTCCTCTGCGTGGTCGTTGAATATATCTGATCGTGCCGCTTCGCCGTCCTCGTCGTCTTCAAAAGCATCTTCGCGATCAGAGCCACCAAAGGTCCCCGAAAATTCGTGGCGGTCTGGCGAGACAGGGATATCGTTCGCAGTAAATATAAAAGGGGATGAGTTCCCACCATTTGTCTCGCCGTCCTCCACGGGAGAGGAAGGCTCGGTTGGAATGGGGAGAAGCTCCAGCTATTGTTCGCGAGAGGGTTGATGTGCTCACGCGGCTGTGGCCCATCTGACACGGCGCGACGGCGCGAGTAGGAGGCAAGGTCTTCGTCGTCATGCTCCCCGGTGGCATCGTCAACCGGCAGGAATTCTTCCTGTTGTTCAGGCCACACGGGCTGCTTCGATCTGGCCCTCGAGGACATGGAATCCCTGCCCTCCATCTCCTCGGAAGACCTGGACATGGCAGGGCCAAAGACATCGTCCATCCCGGACCGGTCGCCATACGTCTCTTGAGTTGGCACGCGCTCCCCGCTTCCCTGACGGCTTGACGTGGCCGCGGCGATCGAAGAAGAGCCCGAGTTGTTGCTTGCTTCAGGATGCTGGTGCCCATTGACGATCTCGGGAGTGCGGGCCTGAGTGCGGTTCCTTACACTCTCTTCACGGAGGAGTCTCATAATGACCTCGGGGTCCCCATTGGCCTCCCTGTATACTCGAAGGTAGTGTTCTGCAGCCGAGGGACCCGCTTCGGGATTAGGCGGCCCCGCGGGATGCTGGGGTTGAAGACGCCGGACGTTGTTGCGCCAGCTTCGGAGGGCGAGCGGCGTCCATCGCGGAGGTGCGTCTCGTGCGATGACCCTCGGCGATGTGGCTGAGCATCTGGCTGAGCGTCTAGATGATGGGGCGTCCGTCGACGAAACGCGGCGATAGGGCGCTCGTTCTCCGGGCGAAAAAGTCGCGGAGCAGCTTCTTCGTCGTCATCGAGGGGCGCGTCAGGAGCGACAGGCTCATTGTCTTCGTGAGCGACTTCTGGCGCGGCCGGGAGCGGGGCGAGCTCGGGGGAGGGGAATAAGTTCGGGGACGGGCTCGTCGAGGCGCGCCACCTCCTGGCCGGCAAAGGCAGCCCGCATGTTTATCTCAGGTTGCTGCTGGACGACATAGTCCCGCACCAAGATGATGAGGATGAAACAAACAATGACGAGGACTGTGATGATTTGCCCCTCCAGGACCATGATGATGAAGCGATTGATGGCTGGCTGCCGCGTGAGGTTACGGAGAAAGGAGACGTTGCTGAGTAGGGAACCCTGAGTGAGGTCGATGGGCAGCCCGTTCTCGGATGCGGCGGGCATGCTATTGTCCCTCCGGGCAACGGAGGGAAAATTGCTTTGAGGAGGAAGAGAAATAGGCGTGTTGGTTCAGCCGCGATGTCGCTCGTGGGATCGGTGGCCGAGCCGTTGAGCGCACTGGTGACGATGGCGCTGGCGGCGTCCTGGATGCTCGTTGCATTATCGAACAAGGATGAAGTGGCGTTGGCCGACTCTATAGCATCGAGAGTGGCATTGGTGACGGAAGAGCTGCCCGCGGTTTTCGCCAACAATAGGCTGCCTAGCCCCTCATCGCTTAGCCAGAAGAGCAACGACCACATCCGTCGCATCAAATATGGGAGCCAGCAGAGCCAGACGCAGCCCACCAAGAGCGCCCTTAACCAGACCACGAGGTTACTCAAGATATACTTGGTCATGTGTGTGATGAAGACGTGTACTGGGAGGTTCGAGGGCATCTTTGGCGAGTATAGCTTGGTGAACCGAAAGGGGTCTTGCACAGCTCGCAGTGCTTCTTTTGCGAGTGGGACAGCCATTCTAACAGGCAGTTTTGGTGGACGTATTTGATACTCCCACTGCACTTGCAGGGGTAGAAGAGAGGCTCGTCGGGTGTGGACTCTCCACGACATATTCGGCAAGTATCAGGATCCACGATCTGAGGCACGGCGGCGAAGTCGCTGACCCGACGGGAGGGCCTCGACGGCGAATGACGCCGCCGGGCATAGGGGTCGACCTCCCCAAAATCGAAGTCGTGGTCGGCCATCTCGGAGAGGTGGGGTTGACCGCGGTGGTCGAGGCTGGGGAGGGGAGGTAGCTGGGGTTCGGTCAAGGCTGGCTGTCGAGCCGTAAAAATCAAATCGTATCGACCATGCCAAGACTTGGGAGAAGGAAAAAGTGGTGGAGATCTAGGATCGCAGGGTCGACGGAGCGATCTTGCAGGGGGTTTTCTGGCTTGGGCTCGGAAGTCGTGAGAGGGCTATCGTGGAGAGAAGGGACGTCAATACATGGATAACCGCAGATCGAAAAGGAAATACGAGCAACGGCCCCAGGCCACCTATAAGTTCGCGGATGCAACGGAATTGGGGGAACAAACCTGTCCTTCAGCGGCAATCCGCCATTTCCGGGAGAGTTTTCGTTGCTATCGGATACGCGCTTGAGCAAGGCAGCAGCACGTGCTGAAGTATGGCCGGCATAAAATTTTGGATTGAGAGAAGGTGCGGAAGTTTGGCCAGGCCTGTGGGAGGATGGTTGACCAAAAGGGCGATAGTTGACGGGTTTTCCGATGGAGCAACAGCGACTTTGCCAGACTGTGCTTCGATCCCTGGATGTTTGACAAATGCCGTCAAGTGAGCAAACGGTCGTTGAAGACTGGATCAGCGCTGGAAGTGGAGTGCCTGGGGCTCTTGGAGTCCCAACTCGGATTCCGTATGCTTAGTCATCAGCTTCGATAAGGTTGGTGCCAACAGTCTTCGTCATTGCCTGGCGTGGTGACATCAACTAGCTTATTCTTCTTGCTCCTCCCTCCAAGTCGCTCTTGCCTCTAATATCTCGGGCCAATTTCGTCTCACATCGGGAACGATATAGTGTCCTGGCGTGCCTGGAATACGCATCTCTTCTTGCCCAGCTTCGGGTTTGGGATCCCTCCAGGGGCTACGTGGAGATTGAAGAGTTTGACAGAGGGTACTTGTGGCGAACTCGTTGGTACCGATTGCTAAACAGACATACAGATGGCTACTCGCGTCTTGAGCCTCTCACAGGCAGCAACTATGCCGGGAATGGTTCGATGACGTCTGCTGATGATTTACTCTAACTTGCAAGGCTTGCAAGGTGTGCACTCCACTACGAGATTGACCCCTCTAAGATCTATGTGTGCTGCGCGGGGTTTGCGTTTGCTCTGCCTCCAGCACAAAAATGTCAGAAAGACAAAGCTGGGCTTGATTATTGAGTGTCATTCAAGGAAGTGAAAAATTTGAGCCTTGCGTCCACTGCTTCCTTTGGCTTGCGCTCGGCGGGGGTATCTTCCCTTGCAATCGAAAACCTGAGACGAAACAAATATTTCCCGGGGTTGGGGTTCACTTTGTTTGAAGTGAACCGTGTCAAGGAGGAACTCCTGCATCGGGGCCACAACGATGATTTGAGCCACTGGAGGCTCAGGGATGCCGGTTCCGTGTTTAGGGGTTGGACAGGCCAACGTCTGAGCACGAGCACTCCAGTCTACACAAGTGATTGACTCCTCCAGGCGCTGAGCCGGTGGCTGTGTGCCGTCAAGCTCCTCTTGCTCGCACATGCAAGGTACATCAAATTTGATCCATTCGCCAAAGCAAAGGTCATTCAATGTTCTCTCCACCTTTGGGTGTATTCTTGGACATTTCTCTGGGACCGAGACACACGCACGTGTCAAAATGCTCGACAATCTAGTGCGAGCCCATTCAACACAGTGACCTGTCAGGTGCAAACAGGGCACATCTCCCACCAGTCCACACCTTGAAGAGAACCTTCGTAATTGAGGCCGGGTGATTCTCAAGGAATTGTGTACTCTGTGGTCTTAGATTGTGTTGAGGGGCAAGAGGGGTCTTGATTGAATCGTTCGGATAACAATTCTTAGCGTAGTGTACACAATGGAGCGATGGAAAGGTATCTCGGTGGCTGGTGTTGACCGCAACTTCGGGGCACGTTCAAAGGAGGTTAAATCGTCTGGTCTAATCTTTTGCTTTTGGCTAGGGTCAAAGATGGACTGTGGAGAGTGCTGAGGGTCTCGAAAAATCAAACTGCTTGGTCCTTCAGGAAGCGAGCGAGGCTTGTGAAAATGGCCAAATGGTGTGTCCGAGATGCAGTGTACCAATGGTACCGCAGTTCCTAGGGAGGTACCCACTTATCTGCTGCAGTTACCTGGCCCCTTCCTCGACCCGGATTTGTACCCCAAGTCTCTAGTCCCTTGCCGGCCCCGTCACGTCTTTTTGCAAATCAGGGAAGGACAGTGAGAAGCCTGGACCTCTCCTTCCTCGTGTGAGACCTGCCTGGATTTTCTTCAAACCTCTTCATCCTCCCTTTGTCGTTGAGTTTTGAGTTTTTCCCACGACATCACGCATTTGCATCTCCCAGTACGATATTACGCCTGATTTCACGTCCGGTACGTCGACGACTCGAAACACGAGATTGGTCTTCGCGACGAGCGAGTACTTGGTTTTTTTCTTTGTCCCCTTATTATCCCCCCTCCCGGCCGGCCGCCCTTTCTCCCGACATTGTGTGATCTTACGCGATCCCCCTACTTTGAGATAGCGTCGACATCGCGTTTTTTTATTTTCTTTTGACCGACTCGCAAACCTACGTATTTGCTTGCAGCTTCTTCGACTGCCCTTTATCGGGCCATCCACATCTTATCAAGCCGACGCAAGATGGCGAAGAATAGCCTGGGGAAGGCGCCATCGCCTCCTTCGGAAGAGCTTAACGGGCTCGCGAAGAAGAATTCGCGCCTTAGCAACGGCAAGGCGACGGTTCCTACGCGAAGACACGCCTACACTCCTCGACCCTCGAGCTGGCGCTCCCGGTTCTTCAATACCATCGCGAGGTACGTGATGCGCGCTGTTTGCTTCGCCGTCCCCCAAAAATGCTAACCTATCCCCTGCGCTCGCTTCTAGGATTTTCACGTGGTATGCCATCGTCACCGTCCTCTTTAGGTGCCCTTCGACGATACAAGAGTGCGACGAAGCCTCGCCTGCCATTTGCACGGCCTACTTCAAGACCAAGGCGGCCGTGCTCCCCACGTGGAGCCATACTTTGAAGAGTATGCCGCTCCCTATGTTGAGGTCGTGAGCCCTTACGTCCAGGTCATCTCGAACAACGTTATCGCACCTACATACGCGGTGATCGAGCGCTACGGCGCGCCAAGGGCCCAACAAGCCAAGGAATTCCTCGCGGGACATTGGGCCACGACTGGCCAGCCTCACGTGGATAGGGCCCGTAAGCTGGCCAACGAACAATACGAGCGCAGCCTTGCTCCCCATGTGGAGCAAGCTTCGCAGGTTCTTTCTCCGTACTACGCCATTGCTCGTACGAGCGCTGAGCGGACCTACGAGGAACTGCTCCTTCAAGCTACGAGTTCGTGAGGCCTTATGCCCTTACCGCCTACGATGCTGCTCGAACGGTCACGGTCGAGCAAGTTATCCCTCGACCGTCTGGGCGTTCAACACGACTTATTCTTTTCTGGATCGCAATGTTTGGCCCCACGTCAAGGGCATCTACGCCGAGCAGGTTGAGCCCCAGCTCTTGAGAATCGGACAACGGCTTGGTCGCTATAGAGACGCGCCCACGACTGGAATTCCCAAGAAGAGCGTGCCGCCTAGGTAAGCATTAGCAGTTACTAGGAGTATCCGAGCCGCCAGTGCCGATTGCTAACAAAATTGAACAGCCCCGATACCAAGTCGTCTTCTTTCGTGGTGAAGCCTTCCGAGTCTTCTTCGCGCAAGGCCTCGTCGTCCGCCCCACCCGCCGAAACCACGTCGAGCTCAATCCCTCCCACCGCCGAGTCTAGCGCTAGCGTTGTCCCCGACGACTCCAACTCTGAATCGCAACCCGTGGCCAACAATGAGGTCGAGATCAAGGCCAAAAATGCCAAGCCCGACACAGAGGAGTTGCGCCGCATCGCGTCCGAAACCGTTGCGGAGGATCTGCACCAGTGGCAGACCAAGTTTGCTAACGCGGCCGACGAGGGCGCCGTAGAGATTGAGGACAAGGTCGAGCAGCTGTCCTTCAACATGATTGAAAGCCACGTTAAAGGCCAGGGCCGCAAGCTGGTGGCTGAGCTCAAGGAGGCGGCTGCCGAGGAAACGGCGAAACTTCACAAGAACATCATCTCTCTTGTCCAGTCGTCCTCGAGAGCTACTCGGGACGAGACCGAGGACTCGGCCATTGCGTCGGTGAGACAGGCAGGCTTGGTGATCAAGGAGAAGGCGCAAAATATCCGCAGCTGGAGGGAGGGATTCGAGGCCCAGCTACACGTTGCGGTGACGGCGGCTGCCCAGGAGCACTTTGACATTCTCGGCAACATGCGTGATTTGGCCCTTCAGAAGATCGGCATGAAGTGGGCATGGATGGAGGGTGTAACTTACAAGGACTGGGCCAAGTACCACGACATGAAGAAGCGATTCGACGAGTGGACCGAGGAACTCCAGCAGCTCATCGTTACCCACCCTGGTCTGGAATCCGCCATGAACGCCGCTGCCGATGTCGAAGACGACGGCATGGAGGAGGCTCAGGCCGCCGCGAGAGAGCTCGCCAGACTGAAGCAGGTTGCGCTGTGGAAGATTGAGGCCGGCGACACATCAGACAACTTTGATAGCGAGGCCATGAAGGCGGCTGCGGAGGCCGCACTCGCTGGTGCGGATGCCGAAACCGCCGAGGCTGCTAAGCTCTCGCCCGAACAGGAAGGGACCGCGCCTGAAGATGCCCCAGAGCCCGAGCCCGAGCCCGAAGTTGAAGAGGAACCGGAGGCGCCCGTCGAAATTGTCGCCGATGCCAACACTGCAAAGGTTTCTGGAGAAGCTGAAGAGCCGCAACCCGCCGAGGAAGACGTTGTGCCCGAAGAGCCCGTAGCGGTCGTTGAGCAGCCTACTGAAGACGACGCCAGCTCGACAGGGAACTCTGGTGCACCTGTCGTTGCCGAAGCTCAGGTGGTGGATGAGCCGGAAATTGTTGCGGACAACATTCAAGAGTCGGATGCGCCCGAGCCTGTGGCAGAGCCCGCCGAGGCTGCTCCTGTCGCCGAAGTCGAGGAGGATGTCAAGCAAGCTCCCGTTGACCAAGTCATTGAAGAAAAGGTTGTTGAGCAGAAAGAAGAGGAAGAGGCGGTTGCCAGCGATATTCCCTCGGTGGCTGAAGAGGACATCCCTTCCATCCAAGTGGCCGCCTCTGATGTGGCGGAGGCTAGTGAGGCCATTCTCGAAGAAATTGTGGATCCCTCGACCGATGGAGGGGAGGGCATTCTTTCCCAAGCCTCTGCAGCGATTGAGTCAGCTGGCTCCAAGCTGAGCGAGGCCGTCGTCAGCGCTTATAGCGGTGAAGACGTGGCAACCGAGGAAGCCCCCATTGCTCAGGAGAGCCCGGAGGCAGCCATTCCCGTCCAGGTAGAAGAGGAGCCGAGCACTCTGCTCTGGTCGGAGAAGAACGATGAGCTCTAATCCCTTGTACGATGCGGGGTGGGCAAGTAGAGACAGATGATTGCGGATATGCCATTGCCGCATTCGTTTCTTTCTCTCTCGCTCTCTCTCTCTCTCTCTCTCTCGCTCTCCCTCGTGCGACACGTTGTTATGTTTGCCCGAGAGCCTGCGCCACATGGCGCCTTAGCGTGGAGGGACAAGGGACACATCCACCTCGGTTCTCTCGGCTTGCGTGGAGGGGTTGACGAACCGCATTTTTCGTCGATACGGGCCCAAAACGGCAGTAGGCAACATACGATCTCGGTTTGCGACCAGAGCTTAGGAGGGGTTCCCTTTGTTGGTTGTGTTTTTTGCCTTCTACTCCCTCCCTTTCTCAGTGGTATCGGCGTATGGAGTCGGGATGATACAAGGGGTTTTTTGTCTTCTTTTATTCCTTTCCTGGTTCCGTGGGAGCATCGGCTCGCGCGGGACGATTGTAACATGGCAGCTTGGACATGGACCTAAGTCGGAGAGACCACACGGGACCAACAGTCCAGAGAAGAGGGATACCCAAGATTTTTTTTTTTCTTTTCTTTTTGAGCCAGCATATACAAAGGGAGGGATAGCCTCCAACGGGGGCGGCTGAGGTGGATAATTTTGGGGCGAAGCCATGTAGCACACGTATACCGAGACCATCGTGTTCGTAGGGACTTGCGAGCGTGGCCGGTTCATTTTTCCAGCAGGATTATTATTCACGCTTGACCAATTATAAAAATACAAAAATTCACCCACGTTGCGTGTTCGATAGTCTCGTATTTCGTAGCCCTCTCGTTGTATATGTCCATCCTCAGACTCGACTGTGTGTCTTGTCCCGTCGCTGGAGATTCGAACGGTGTCGCTATCGTACAAAAACTCCGTTTTTGCCGTGGGTTTCCGTTACAACGAAAAGAAAAGCTGGCGTGTACGGCCGTATAAGTAACCGTTTTGGGTAAAATGAAGCCAATAAAAATGGTGACTTTTTCTAGGCACCCGTGAAACTCCTAACGCTAATTGGCCAATAACGAAGACCCAAGACCACGCACCCAAAATGGACCAGGCTGCGAGATAACCGCCAATGGGGCGAACGGTGATGGACTTGGGGGTTCAACCGTCCAGGCAACAGCATTCCCGCTCCTTTCGATATTACGCCTCCAGCTCCCCTGGTCCATCCCCCATCGCAACACAATAGCAACGCCGGCAGAAGTGAACTCGAGAACAGGAATCAAGAAAGGAAAAGAACCAAAGACAGGAAAAGAAAGGAAATATCAGCTCGTTGTGCAAGAAACGCAATCGCAAAGACAGGTCCATTGACGACCTTGCATATCCTAGGAATTCGTTCATTTGAGGGAAGCCAGGGCTGGACGACGCTCGGGGCCCGGACTCAGAAATCCCAACTTGGCCGCATCACCCCGCCCTTGCGCATCTCTGGAACCGCATCGACGAAGCACGCATTATAAAGGTTTTTAGTAGAATCGACACACACGCAGACACAGAAAAAAAAGCAAAAGGCAAGGGTTTTCGACGCCGCCCGCGATGAGTTCCCTCATCCCTCGGGGCGGCTTCCAGCTGCCCTTTCAGAAGCGCCTCAGCAACCTGTACAACGACACCAAGAAGTCGTCCGACTTCGTCAAGGAGCCCGTTCAGAATGCCGAGGACCCGGAGATCAAGGCGCTGCACCGCAAGCTGCGCATCCAAAAAGACCGGCTCGTGACGTGGGGGTCGAGTGGTCGGACCACACGCAGTCCGCGGGCATCGACGAGTCGCTGTCCAAGGCAGGGCTGAGCGAAGTCGTCGGGAGCATCATGTCGACGATCAAGGACATCCTCGCCGAGGCTGAGCCGCTGTGGCAGAGCTACACGGATGGCAGGGGCAGCATCTCGGTCAGCGGCGGGGGAGGAGGAGGTGGTGGTGGAGGTGGTGGAGGGGGCGATGGGACGTCGAGTAAGGGGAACTCGGCGGATCGCAAGAAGCTCCTCATCATCTGGGACCGCGGTAGGTTTGAGGACTTGGTTAAGGACCTGACCATGTCGATCGACACGCTGTACGACTTGTCGCGGACGAGGTCATCGTCGTCGCAGTTGGCGAGTCTCCGCGCCGCGCCCGTAGGTAGCGGCGGCGGCGGCGGCATCATGCCGGCCGCGACCAAATTGGCGATCGAGGAGGCGGCGCGGTCGTTTGAGTCGACGCGCATGCGCACACCGCAGCACATCGCGCCCACGACGCTGGTGCCTCTGCGGTACATGCAGCAGACGGACGGCGCCTCGTACTCGGTGGACGAGCTGCACGAGAGGGACATTGTCCTGATGAACAAGCCGGCCTTTGCCGAGCTGGCGCGGTCCAGCGACGCGCAGCAGTGGGCGCCTCTGCTCCTCGAGTTCGCCAACTTCGACTCCATCTACTCCACCACGGGCATCATGCCCCCGATGGCGCGCTTCGAAAAGCTCTCCGCGGGGCTCCAGAGGGGCCCGCAGCGGTCGCCGGGCACGTGGACCGGTATCCCCGCCTCCTGGGCTACTACGAAGACTTGGAGCGCTCCAGGCTGGGCCTCGTGTACCAGTTCCCCACCGCCTTTAACCCCGTCTCGTTCGACCCGCACACGCGGCTGCCGTCCGGCCAGCTGCACACCCTGCGGGACCTGCTCTCGCGGCCCGACTACGAGCCGCGCCTCGAGGCCAAGTTCCGCCTCGCGCACAACCTCGCCAACACCGTGTTCGACATGCACTCACGGGGCATCACGCACGGCAACCTCGTCGACAGCAGCGTAGCCTTTTGCGCCACCAAGATCAACGAGGACATGGACGAGCCCGACGTGCGCCGACCCCTCCTCACCTCGTTCGAGCTTTTTCCCAACACCCCGGCCTCGGACGAGGCCTCGACCTCGCGCCAGCCGCTCTTCCACCACCCCCTGGACCCGTACATCACCAAGCACTCGCCCTTTGGCAACTGGACCGACCTCCGCGTGCTGGATCTCTATTCCCTCGCCATGATCCTCACCTGCATCGGCATGTGGTCCAACATCGAGATGCTGGTCCCCGACCCGAGCGTGCCCTCTGTGCCCGAGTCCATCATGGACAAGCTCGCGATCCAGTGCGGCACTCTTTACATGAAGGCCGTCCAGGTCTGCTGGCGCGCCGTCGAGCACGAATTCTCGGGCGAGGACCCCACTGGCGAAGAGCTGCTGGCTTCGGTGCAGATGGAAGTGAGCCGCTGTCTCGAGGCCTGCTGCATCATTGACGGCGTCAACGGCCTCGAGGATAGGTTTGTCGAGGACCGCGCGATGCGGGAGGACCCGCAGCCGTTTGTGCCGACCCCGCTTTCGGCCCCGGCTGCGCTGCCGGCTGCCCCTCCCTCGCCGCCGTCGATCAAGATGGCGAGGGCTAGGATGCAGCCTACGAGAGCGGCTACGGATCAGCCGTCTATGAAAATGTCGGCGCCCAAGCTCGCGCCTGAGATGGTGTTGGGGCTGTCCAAGCTCGATCTCAAATCGGAGATTGTGCGCGACGCGCCCGTGGTGACGCGGGCGAAGAATGTGGAGAAGCCCAGAGAGAAGCCCAGCGGTAAGTGCAGTCAAGTTTCAATTCTCTACCTCTTCCTATTTGCGATTGGCATATTCGAGTATCTATCGAGATCCGCCTGTATCTGTATTTTTGTATTTTTCTGGAGATCCGCGGACCGACTAACGATGGATGTGTACTAGAACCCAAGGAGAAGATGCGCCTGTATCCCCAGGTAGAAATTCCGGCCGAGGCCGTGGAAAGGTGGAACAAGGACATCATGCCCAAGATCAACATGGCGCTCCGCCAGTTCTACCGCAAGTACCCCGAATCGGTCGAGATCTCGCTCGAGGCTATTGGCCCTTCGGCGACAGCGACCAAGCCCACCGTCCTGGTCGTGTGCACCTCGGTGAGCAAGGTAAAGAGTATCCTGAACCGCAAGATGTCGGACCTGTTTGATGGCGCCACGCCCGAGTTCGGGCTCAAGGTGTGCAAGGGCAAGGTCATTCGCGCCAGCAAGGGTCGACACCCGCGGCGTCCGATGCGAAGCGGAGCATGGCGCGCTCGGGAGGGCCCAGAAATAACCCTCATGGTGAGGCGGATGAGGATGGCGAGGACGGCCCGGAGGCTGCAAACACATCGTACCAGGAGCGACCCCTGAACGGAGCGAGTATCGGCGCGTGGATCGGCGATAGGCACCTGCCCGCGGTTAGTTTTGGCGGGCTCGTGATTGTGGATGATAAGCCGTATGGCATGACGGTACACCACATGTTGGACGACCCGGGCTGCGACGAGGCGCCGGAAGAGCCTCGGCGCTCGGTGGCCTACGCCGGGTGGTCGGGCAGCTCGTCGGGCGATAGCGATGAAGACTACGCCTGCGAATTCTCGGATTCGGACTCGGACTCGGACACCGAGCTCACGAGCGACGACGAAGAAGACGAGGACTATGAGTCGGACGAGGAGTCAGAAGGGGAATTCAACGAGCCCGGCGACATCCCCGGCGTCGAACCCGGTTGCGGCGATGGGTACATTATCACGCAGCCGGCGTTTGACGACGTGGAAGATTGGCTCTTTCCTTCGCGGGACAACAAGAATGAAGACCACATTGACAGCTTCAGCCTCGGAGAAATGTTCGCCTCGAGCGGCCTGCGGCGCCGCCACGAGGGCGGGCTGATCCACGAGGTGGACTGGGCGCTCTTCGAGTTCCAGAGCGACCGCCTTCCGTACACCAACTCGTTCCCACGGCCGGCGAGCGCGGGGAGGGCCTCCCCATGCTGCAGCCGACCAACGTGGTGGCGACGGACCTGCTCCCCGGATTGGAGGTGCAGTGCAGCGCGAGGACGAGCGGGATGCAGACGGGCAAGATCCTACCCGCGCTGACGAGCATCAAGATCTACGGCCGCAAGTCGGTGAGCCACGCCTACCAAATCACGAGCACAACGGGTGGGCCGCGAAGCGGTGGCGGCGGCGGCGGCGGCAGCGGCTCCGGCGGCAGCGGCTCCGGCGGCGCGGCCGGAGAGTGCCACCCGCTCGGCGTGCCGGGAGACTCGGGGGCGTGGGTCGTCGAGAAGGACAAGGGCCGGGTGTGCGGCCACGTGCTGGCGTACAGCCAGCGGAAGCAGGTGGCGTATATTTGCCCGATGGAGATGTTGCTCAACGACATTGCCGACACGCTCGAGGCCGCCGAGGTGAAGCTGCCGGGCGGGGAGGCGGTGATCTCGGGGAAGGCGAGAAACCCCGAGGCGGACCTCGCCAAGGTGGCGGGCCTGAGGATTCGCAGCGGTAGGGGCAGCGACGATGACGAGGAGGAAGCGGACTCGGAGAGCGAGAGGCAGGCCAGGGTGGTGGCTATGACGGGGGATGCCGCGGCGCAGCAGGGCGGCGCCTAGGTCGACGAACGACGACAACACGACCACGACGACCACGACGGCTGCTGCTGCTGCTGCTGCTACTGCGACGGCGGCGGCTGCTGCGGCGGCGCTGTTGCCGGCGTCGTCTCACGACGTGGGCATACCCTACCTCTCGGAAAAGGTGGAGGAGGCGGGCGTGTCGGGCGAGGCGGCGGCCATCCAGGTGCCGTCGGCGGAGCTGTTGGTGTGCATGCAGCCGTCGCAGAGGGGTTTACGGGCCGTTTTTGTAGATTTCGGAGTGATTGGGTGTGCGGGTAATGGGTTGTCAACACGGGACTTTCTCTCCCCCTTTTTTTCATTTCTTTTTCTTTCATTTTCATTTTCCCCTTCTTTGACTTGCTCTGTTCAAAGGATGCGGAGTGTAGGAACACTAAAGAAAGAGGGTTCGGAGCTGGCGGAGTTGGCACGAAAACGGAAAAGGATTCCCCTCCAGAATGTCCTTGATCTTGAAATTTCAACATTGAGTTATAGGGAGACGGGGGTCTGGATAGATTTGTCCCCCATGGGTTGGGAAAGACGCGGAACATGTTATGCTGAGAGACGCTGTTCCCGTACCACTCACTCTACGATGGGTTGGTCCCGTTTTATATCCTGTTGTTTCTTTTGTTTTCATCTTCATCCTTGATATCCCGGTCTATGGCGAGCTATACGGCTTTTCTTTTACTTATTTTTCTTGATCATCCTACATAAATTGAAACCATTTTAAAAATCAAACTCTTTTAGGGGATAGTACTCATTTACATAAAGTCATCTTCCCAATCCTCGGTGCGGTTCTGGTTACTCGCTCCCGCGAGGGCATCCTCGTCAAAGAGATCGTCGTAGGCGTGGTCCTTTTGCCACTTCTTTTCCTTGTACTCTTGCGTCTGGCGGAGTTCTTCCTTTTTCTGTGAGGGTACATGTATGGTTAGTCGTTGCTAGGGGATCAAACTTGAGGGGCAGAGAAGCACGAAGCGTAGACGCAGAGAAGAGGACATGTAGTAGATTGGGGGATCTAGGAGAACACGTCTTGGCCTTACCCTTGCCTGAATAGCCGCCTGCTCCTTTTGCCTCAACTCCTTCAACCGGTTCTCCTTTTCCTGCTTGAAATCTGGCTTCGCCTCGACCTTTGTCTTGTTGAGGCGGTTGACGATGGGGTTCTCCCTCTGGGCGACGTGGACCTTGCGCACGCGCTTCTGGTCGTGGAAGCTGACCTGGCCGACGTCCATGCTGCCGTCCTTGCGCAGGTTGGACCAGGGGGTGTAGATGATGGTGACGTTGTCCTTTTGTTGCCCTCGATGGAGTTGGCCTTGGTGAGCTGGGCGAGGTCGGTGAGCAGGGCCTGGGGTAGGGTGTCCCAGGTCTGGCCGTCGGTCATGCGTAGGTAGATGTGGGCGCTGGAGAGCTTGTCGACGTGGAACCAGACGTCTTCGTCCCAGCCGTACTTGATGAGGTCTTCATCTGCGAGAGGATAGGATTTAGAAAAAAATAAAAGAATGTTTAATGATGATGCGATCGGGAAGGGTTTGAGCTGGGGTGAGAGTATGTGCCATAAGGTGATGTATTGTGAGTTGAGGGCGCTTAGGAGCGTGAATTATTGTGAAGTGAGGTGAGAGAGTGATAGAGGAGTGAGACGAGGTATGGGAAAGACTAGGGATTGTGGGTATGATACTTTCGAACTTGTCCTTTCCGACGTAGACCTTGGCGGGCGGATCAACCGCTGTAGAAGTAAAGTAGTACACCATCGTTCCGGCGTACGGATTCACAAGAATAGCGGGGAGGGGCACTCGGCTTCCGGGAGGCGGAGACGGCGGCGCCAAGCAGAGACCCTACTCGGAGCGGGCGAAACCGGAGAGTAACTTGTCGGTTTTTCTATCGCTTGTCCGGTACCTGGTGGAGCGGGGGCGCAGCAAAGGCAGGCAATTTCCTAGGTAGCGGAGGGGAGCGCAAGAGACTGGGCGGGGGCCGCGAAAGAAGAAAAGAGAAAGAGAAAAAAAGTTAGTACAAACTGGAGGAAGACGAATTGACGTCTTCGTCGTTGGTGGGGCAGGACCGCGGGGAGGGGGCCAAGAAGACTTTGGTGGGGGTGGACGTGGATGAGGGGCAGGGCTGCGGAAAAAGGGCGTGGACGGAAATAGTGTCTCAGCTGCAGATTGCGTTGACAGCTCGGCAGCACACGAGCTCCCCAATAAAGAGGCGCATCCTTTGCCTCGATTTATACAAAACTTCTTGTGGTGTTTCTAAGACCTTAAGATGTCCAAATAGTGAAATGTGACGGTGATGACCTTCTAATGAAGGCGTGATGTTTTGGGCTTCAGTCACTCCTTCCCCAAAACTGGGAAACTTCCCAAGAACTAGATCGAGGCTCGCACCTTCTTTCCCTTTTGAACGTTGCGTCACCAGTTTCTACACATGCGCCAGGGTTGGCCCGCGGTACGGAGAGTAGTGAGCTCGAGTGTAATGTCCTGCTATTATATGTTGTCCTTCTTGGCAACGAGGAAGCAACCTACAGGTCTGAGACGTCCACTCCTCGTTCTCGTCCTAAGCGGTCCACTATCAGTTGTAGCTTTATATACCCTCTGCCACCTTATATTTCCTTTGAAGCTATTTTCTCTAGGTGAGGCATCGTGCAACCTGCCGAGCGGTATACAAGCGGGAACCAGAAAAGGACTTCCAAAAGAAAAAAAGAATATCATTAAAAAAAAAGAAAAACTCCGTCCTAAAACCAGTCCTGTCAAGCATCGTGAAGATAGATACATTTATAGAAGTCTCTCTCTCTCTCTCCTCTCTCTTCCATTTCCCAAAAGAACCTAATCGTCCCATCCCAAGGAAAGAATCTAGGCCTCCCCCTGGTCACTTCTTCCCCTCCCTAAGCAGCCTCCGTCTGGGCCTCCGTCCCCGCCGCCGCCTCCGCCTCAGGAAGAGGATCCCACGCTTCAGAGCCCACATACTGCTTCGGCCATATATTCATCGCCGTCTTGCGCCCCTCCTTCACCGGCAACCCCGCATGCCTGGTCCTCTCGTCCCCGTGCCATTCGCGAACAAATTGACCCAAAACAGCGCATTCCCGCAATGGGCTTAAACGCCAACCCGCCCTTTTCGTGCTCGCGCCAGGAAATGCCCCTCCGCGGTACGCAGCTGCGGCGACACAGCCTGCAGGTGGGGAAATACGTCTCGCCCTCGGTGCACTCGTCCTCGAGGATCGCGAAGAAGCTCGCGGGCCGATTCCACTTGCGGTCGCGCTCCTCGGGCGGGTAAGGCTTTTGCGGGGTCGGGTACCAGTCGAAGTGCAGGTCGAATTTCTGCTTGGGCTTGTAGCGCACCAGCTGGGGCGAGCCCATCTCGTCCTTGCCCGTGGAGAGCATGGTGCCCATGAAGTCCTGGGCGCGGTCGAGCACGCACCGCACCACGTCCACGTCCACGGGTAAGCCGGCGCTCCACGAGGTGCGCGCCGTGTCCTTGGTCGTGCGCCCGTACTTGGTGGTCATGGAGGGTTTGAAGAGGCCGTCGGCGGCGTCCATGAGGCCCTTGATCTCGGGCTGGCTGATGAAGTCGTGGATGTAGATGACGAGCGGGTCCGTCGACACGATGTGTGTTCGGTACGGTTGCGTGAGGCACTCGAACGGCGTTGTCGCGGATGTGGCGTTACCTTCTGGGGTGGGCGGGGATGACGAGGAGGAGGAAGTGTCGCTTCGCGCGACGGTGGGGAGGTAGGATTGGATGCCGCGGTGGAGGGAGTCGAGGTTGAGGTTGGCGACGTCGCGGAGCTGGGGGACGTTACGGCGAGGATGGCGATGCCCACGCCCGCCGAGAAGCTGGTGAGCTTGCTTACCCACCCCGCCATGGTGTGAGTGAGCAAAGCTATGCAAAGCTAGGTCCCTGTCCTTTTATCTTTTCTTTCTGTTCTTTTTCCTACAATTCCTTGATGGAAAGAGGTAGGCGAATCGCTGCTGCGATCAAGATGAGTCTCACGCACGCTTGATGATGCCACTTGGGAAGTGAGAGTGGCAGAGGGGGCGGACGAGGAAGAAAGAGAAAATCAATAGAATATCCAAGGGGAGGAGGTAAGCTATGTGTACATGTAAAGGTAAAAGTGTATATATAGGGAAGAGAGCTGTCAAGACCCCAAAAATAAAATGCGATACTGAAATCAAAACCCCAATCTTCGGGTCCTACATCGGCAGCAAGGGCCACGCAGGAATAAGCGAACACCCTGTTCACACATGGGCGGAGAGAGAGCTAGGAGAGAGAGACGGAAAGACGGCGAGACCAGGGGTGAGAGGAAGTGAGGGGTGAGGGGACGGGCGAGGGACATGGCCGGGTCTAGCCATGTCCGCCGATTCTCGTTCGTTGTGTTAATTTATCCCAGAAATCATGTTGGAGTCCTGCTTTATCAATCGGCGCCGTCCGTGGTAGCAGGTCGAGTCGCGCAAAGTACGGGGTAGCAATGGCTGCGACATGTACTCCAGTACCGAGGGAGACTCAATTACAGCTCTTACAACTTATCGACGCCCATCAAATGGATCCTTTCCCCAGGTTTCCTCGGGGTGGGCCACGCTTGTATGCTTGTGCCAATGGATCGGCCCATTTGATTTGTTTGATTTGGGAGGAGCAGCGTTCCAATTCCGTCAGTTCCGACTGTCACTCCTGTAAAGTGTCATCGGTCGATTCATTAATCGCACCTCTTATATGTCGTCTCGTCTTTGGAAACCCACCATAAGCCCTTGCCCCCTTTTCTTCTCCGCATCTCCTTTACGATGGAAGGAAATGATTGCCAACATGACTATTTTATTCTTTGCTCTTTTGGGTGTTCTCCTCGAGTTGGCGAGCGAGGCACTCACTGTGCGTCTGGATGGCCGGGGCGCTCATCCGGGTCACGTCGCCAGTTCCCCATTTCCCCGCTCGTTGTTCGTAAGTGGATACTTGTTCGGTCTTATATGAACCGTCCCGTGTTCCGCTTCCAAGTACCGCGCACATTGTACCGAGTTTGAGAATGACGACGCCTATCTTCTTGGTTCTTTGCTCTCCTCACTTCGCGTCACTGTCGAGATGAATAAAAAGATTCTTCGTCGTTGGAACCATGAACGAATATCAAGCGTCGTCTTTTTGGGAAGCCAAGGCACCAAGAGGAGGCCCTGGCGATCCTTTGAAGGGTCAGTATTAGTGGAACACTATTCTTCCACCGTGGCTTGGCTTGGCTTGGCTTGGCCGTGGATGAAGACACACCACATGCGCCAAGAAGCTTGGCGACTCCTGGCCAAAGTAATGCAATTCGCCAGATGGCCAGTTTTCCATCGGATCGCCAGTCCGAAAGATTTAGTGTGCGTGTGCTGTTACACCCTTCAATGTTCTCTCCAGCCAACACCACCCTGGCCTGGCTGGCCATCCCAATTGTTCCTTGAAGCGGATCTCGACAAATCCCTGGGCATACAGGACAAGCTTTTGTCCCATGCAATCGAATGGGTGGAAGAAGCAGACGAACAGAAAAAAATTGGCTTCAAGAGAATGAAAGCTTGGCCGGCCTCGGAGTGGCAGCAGTGGTCGTCTTCGACCCCTTTGCCAAGCTGCTTCCCGTGATGAAAGAATAAAATCTCAATTACCCGCTTGACTTGCCAAGACGACCTGACCCAAAGAGTGCTCCCGCCCAACATGGATGGAACTGCTTCCAACCGACCAGGTTGTTAGCTCTCTTTTCTTCCCTTTTTTTTTTTTTTTTTTGGTAGTGGTTCTCTTTGTTCAATTGAAAGCTACTCGGATTGATCCATGGATATACAGCGGACACTAATAAGAAACCCAAAACCCCCACCTCCAAAAAAGCCCAGCAAGATAAGAATACAGCGGACGCAGGCGCATCGACCAAGAGACATGCGTAGCCCGTAACAAAAGAAAATGTGATGAAAAAGAAAAGTTACTCCATGGCCCCAACCTGAATGCCCACGACTGCCGCGTTGAGGGCCGTTTCGACCTCGACCTCGACACCCATTCTCTCGCGAGCGCCCCCGTTTTCTTAAGGCTGGAGGCTCTGCCTCTGCCGCTTGCGTGCGCTGCCGGATTGGGGATGAAGCTTCTCCGACCTCTCACGCTTGAGTTTCTCGTCCAGCACGCGAGCTGCGAAGAAAGAAAGAATAAATCGTTAGCCCAGATCCCCACACAACGAAAACCAGCAACCGCGTCTGCTGTGTACAGAGTAGGAAAAAAGGGAAAAAAAGGAGCTTACTGAGAACATCATATCCAAACTGCGGAAACTCCATGCACAGCGCCTTGAACTCCTGCTCCGCCTCCGACCGCAGCGTATGCGACCTCGTCGCCCAAAAGTTGGCAATCGGCGCCCGGATCGTCGCGTCCTCGGGCGTCGTGTGTCCGTACACGTAGCGCGCGTACGCAATCTCCCCTTGGCCGTCGAGTCCACGCAGTGGATCTTGGACGTCGCCAGCTGCCTCAGCTGCGGCACGTCGAACTTGTGCGCCAGCGTGTACACCCGCGCGTGCCGCAGCAGCTGCGCCCCTCGTCGTCCACCAGCGGCAGCGACGCGTCCTCCTCCAGCGTGCGCTGGCCCACCAGCTTCTTGGGGAAGTAGTCGCCCGTGTAGAGGTATTCGAGAAACGAGCCGATCGTGTCGGCGTCTTCTTCGGCGAGGTCGATCTGGCGAGGCTGTAGGTTCGAGTTAGCTTGGGTGACGTCTTGTGAAATGGGGTGGTTTTTTTCTCCCATTGGTGAATGACGGTAGCTTGGGGGTCGTGGGGTGGGAATGCGCGCGCTACGCAAGGCTGTGCGGGCGCATGCTGCAGAGAATGGCAGCTCGCCGGACAGCGCTGCGGGCGAGCTAGTGATCGTGAGGGAGAAAATGGCAAGAAGGGAGGGAAGCAAAACGAGGAGAAAAGAGCGCTAAGAAAAGGGAGGGATAATAGGGGAATAGGAAAAAAGAAAGGGAAAAAAACGTACGCTCCCATCTTCCGTAAAGGCTGCGCACGCTTCCTTGAGATAGGGACTCTTGATCAGTAGGCCTTGGTGCGCCGTCAAGATCGCCTCATTGCCGTCGTTCCCCACCAGGAGCGTCACGATGGGACTCATCAGATAGCTCATAAACGACGTCCTCTGCTCCGTGACGGAATCGTCGGCGAACGGCAGCTCGTTGGCCACATCGCCCGCTCCGTTCTCGCCCGCGTCCCCCGCGGCGTCCTGCACCTCGGTCATCTCGGTGTCGCCGGCCGTCGACTCCACAGGCGCAGGCGTGCTTTCGAGTTTCTCGGACATGATTGAATTGTATCTTTAATCGGCTCTCGTGGAGCTATATGGTTGGGCTAGTGAGTGGAAAGGGCGATGCGCGCAAAGGCCGAAAAGGCAGTGCGGCAGAATTGAAGCTATCGGGAAGCTCGAAGCTTGCAGAGTTTGGTCAGAAGGGGGTGGCGAGGGGCGGGAGAGGAGGGGGCGCCTCGCTCTTGAGAAAAGAAAAAGAATGAATTTCCCATGAGTTGGAAGAAATGAATGAGCCTTTGCGACAGCAATGCGAAGCCAATCGATTAAAATCTTCCAAAAAGTTGGAAATGGACCGACCGAAATATTAGGTGGGGAAAAAGCGAGGTGAAGCAATCAAAGAAGCTCATCCTGCGCAAGAGAATGAAGGTTGCACCTGCCCCCAACCGGCGTGAGCTCTTGGAATGAATCCCCACAGCAACCGCCAAACGGGCGGACCTGCAGCTTCGGGGTACGAACTTGACGAAGTACCTGCAGAAGTGCGCAACTTCAGCAGGGTCTGGTGTTCCTCTCCTCGTGGGAGCTAACCTGACTAATGCAGCAGGGTACCGAGGTACATTGACCTCACACACTAGCTTAGAAAGTGATGTTCATCGGCCAGAGCTAGAACACCGTTGAAACTGCTCCTGTATCAAGCAGTCCTGCTTGAGGTCTCGCCTTGAACAGGCTCATTCATCCGTTGGTAGAAAATCATATTGCGCATTTTGAGTCTTTATTCACTAGTGTAGCTTCCACTCCACCATCAGTACATATCTAGGATGTAATCTGCAAGAACCCAAATGCTCAAGTCAATTGTAGGCCAAGAGGCGAATGGCATAAGATGATGGCGTGACGATGCCGTAGATACTCCCTCTACCTCCCAGAACCCCATCGCTTCAGAAGCTCCTCTCTCTTCTGACTCCGTATCCTCACATTCCTCGGATCCACCGCATCCACCCGCGCCTTCAACCTCTCAATCTCCTGCTCCAGCACCACAATTGACGCATCAATCTCCTCATCCACCAGCCTCACCTCCTTAAACGGGCTATCCGCCAACACGCACGCCCTCAGCAGCGCCGTAGCCCTCTTCGCATCCGCCACGTACGTCGCCGTAACCTCCTCAAACGCCCTCTGCGCCCCCTCCGCCACCCCTTCCGCCTTGACCGTCCTCTCCGCCAATATCGTCTCCAGCGCCGCGACCTGCAGCTCCGCCTTGGCCCCCGCCGACAGGCCCTCGCCCTCGGGCAGCGAGACCCCAGCATGCGCGTCAGGGTCTCGATCGGATCTTCGTCGTCCCCGACCGTGTGCGTGGAGCTGCGCCGCCGCCGGAGCACGAAAGCGGCGCCGGCCCCGTCGTCGCGGTCGTGGTGGCGGAGCGAGTGCGTACGGGTGACCCGCGGCTCGTGGAGGACTTGCGCCGCCGCCGGACGGGGAGCTGGTTTCCTCGGTGCGCTTGCGGGGTTTGACGATGGGCGTGTTGAGCTCGGCGCGGGCGGTGCTGACGATCATGGCTGTGGCGGCTTGGTGGGATTGGTAGGTTTCTACGCGCTGGAGGAGGGCGTCGGCGTGTTCGAGTAGATAGTTTAGGCAGTTTTGGATCTGGGAAAAAAGGTTGTGGCGCATTTTTAGCACAGGGAACAGGACAAAGATAAAGGGATGGGGATGGCAAGACATACGTAGTCGACCGCGATGGAAGCGTGGTCAAGCGCCTGTGCGTTTTTGGCCGTGATCTTCCGCATCGCAGGGCGCATGTACTGGTTCTCGATGGACATCTGCACCACGGGCAAAATCTCCGAGTAGAGCGAGTCGAGCTCTTCCTGCAACGCCTGAACGTCTTCCTTGGATACCGAGGTCGAATCCTGGGAACTGCGCGTGGCGTTGGAGAGGGTCTCAAGGTACGTGCGGTCTAACTTGCAGCGCATCATCTCTACTGTGCACTTGATGAGCCTAGACAAGATTTGGGGGAAACCCCTTTTCGTTAGTGACTGTTGGTGTTTTCTACTAGCAGCCTCAGGTCTACTGTTAGGGAACCTACTTCATGCAAGTCTCCTGCAGCTTCTCAACGGGGCCGCTGTCATCCTTGGACCCCGATATGTCAAACTCGTTGCTGAGCTTCTCTAAGCTCCGGAGAAGCTTGTCATCTGATTCGAACATGGAGTCAACACTCCGTAGCAGCTCCTCGTTTGTGCTGCGTGATTGCTCTTCGAGACTAGATATCTTGGACTCGAGGGATCGGGTCAAATCCTCAACCTTGCGCGCACGCAAAGATGTTAGCAGGGACCGTTCTTCTCATCATTCCAAGGGAAAAAGGGCACTTACCTCTGACTTGCTCGTCCTAATCTCCACGGCAATTTTGTGCATACGCACAGCATCGAAATCAGATCGCGCCACCTCGCCCTTGATGCGTGATTTCGTGAACCTCGCCAAAGCCTCCTGTTGCTGCCGTAGCGCCTCGGTCTGCCTGGAGATCGCTGCAGTCGACCGGTTCAGTTCGTCAACCGCAGTCCGCACCTCGGCCTCGCTGCGATATGGCAGGCCCACCACGTCCGAATCTTTCAAGGCGGCATTGTAGCGGTCCACGAAGCCTGACCGTTCCAGGGTCGAGTATCTAGGGAGGTCAGCGAGGGGGCCAATTTCTCAAGGACTGGGAAGAAGAAGAAGAAGAAGAAGAAGAAAAAGGATGCTACCTACAGCGCAAGTTCGTCTGGTGTGAGAAGGGTTTCGCGTCCTAGATGGCAGTCGGCCCACTGAGAGAGCGAAACATCACCGGTTTGGCAGTCAAAGGCAGCCTTGAGCTCGGATGGATCGAGTTCGACACCGTAGCTCTGCAGGATCCGCTGTAAAGAATTGATATCCATTTTCCAATGGTATCTAGCCGTAGAAACCTAGGAATGGTACTCCAACTAGCCAATCCGTTGCTGCTATTGGTAGCAATGACACGGGGAGAATTACGAGGGAATACAAGGCGAAAACACCCCGTGCTCCCTTGGTGTCGCAGTCTTGAGCAATGGGCGCACTAGGTCGGTAGAACCAGACCAGATACAAAGGAGAAAAAAAGAATAAGAAAAAGGGAAAACTCGGCCACAAAAGCCCACCCCAGACTAGGTAAGAGCAAGTGTAGCCGTCGTGAGAAGTGTCAGGTTACCGTGCCACCCGCTGTTGGTGGAAGAGAGGACACGGCCCGACAAGAACCTGCGAGACGGAGCACGATCCGGGAGGGGCAAGCAGTTGGGAGAAAGGCGGACCAATGCGGATTGGCAAGCCAAGGCGTATCTCCTCCAAACTCGTCTCACAAAGTATTCTCAGGAGAGACACCAAGATTAGAGACGAGTGAGCAGGATCGAGGCAAGAGATGGGGAAGAGGGGAAACAAAGGGAAAGAAAGAAGAAGAAAAACCGAGGTTTAAAGAACCGGACACCAAGTACGATGGTGGTATTTTTGCCGGTGCGATAGCAACACAAGCTAGTGCTAAGCCCAAAGAATTGTCGAGGACCCGACGGAGCAGCGTACTTTGTGTGTCGACGCTGCGGAACCGGCTCCCAGGAGAGAGAGAGTAGAGGGCAAATTATTGGGGGAGAGTCCGAGAAGTGAGGTCCTCCGTGTTGGGGTCAGGCAACAAGCTAGGACAGGATAGAGGCGCAAAGATGAGAAGAAAAGCTTGGATCACGACCTGTGTCCCCAGATCCCAAAATGGGACAAATTCAGCGGTTTGTGTGGCAACGAAGTTGATTGACATGAGACGGCGCGTCAATTTCTTGGTGGGGTTGGAAGTGGCAGGCGCGAGTTTGAAGTGGCCCGACGAGGCACGGGGCGGGGCTAGGCGTTCAGACGAATCAACAACCACACCTTTGAAGCAAAGAGTATCTCTTCAGCTTGTCTTTTCTAATTTTGGTATTCCGCTTCTTGGTCGTGTGAAGCCGGAAGATGAGACGCAGGCCGAATATCCAAGTATCCTCGAGATGCGGTGAATGAGATGGACATCGAATTATGTGCATATGGCCAGCACCAGCACTTCTCTGTCCTGCCACGACCAACTGCCGCCATCTGGGCATCATTTCGAGCCGCTCCAAGGCCAACGGCACGAGCTTGAGCACGCACCAACAGGTCACATTTATTCGCACGTCTTGACGAGCGAGTAGCTCACGCTCGATCGGATCCCGGGCCGTCATGATCGGATTCCCGATGTTAGGGCGGACTCTCCAGGATTTCGGAGCACGAGTATACAACACTGAGTAGATGCTAGACAAACGCACGTCTTCTCCCGAACTTGGGCATTCGCTTACTTTTCCGTACAGAAATCTAATTATAGGACACCCACTCTCAAAGATAGCTTGTTAGTCATTGTGAACTGGCTTTGTACACTAGTTTTGCAAAGGCGTGTTTCCAGTCGAGGACGCATGTGCTGCCGCGCCGCGCCAACGCAACGCCCGGCTCCGTTTGCAAGGACCAGGTGTTCCAACCCTACGGCGCCCGAACCATAAACCAGAGCGCAAAGCCCCGGGCAGATCTCCCGAGTGACCTCGCACGATCACTAGTGGGTCGTATATACATCGATTCTAAATCTTGGCAGTGATTGAAGACAGGAAACCATCGTTCACGTTCGTCCAAGCCTCCCCGTGGAACCTCGATTCAACGTAGTCTCGTGTCTCCGTCTTTTCAAGCTCATCGCTAAACTTATTCGATCCATACCTTTATCTATAGACATTGGAAAAAGATGTCAGTCATGGAGATGTACCCCCAAAAGAAAAAAAGAAGAAAAAAGCCCCATGGCTTTCTGCAGACTTGTACGGCATCTACACGTAGCAACGGGCATCTGCCGACGCAATCGTCCTCCCGCTTGACCCTATCGTCGGGTCCCCAAGCCTTCTTCCACCTCTCCACTCTTTTTTTCTTCTTCTTTTCCCCGTCCCCCCTCCCACAAGGAAAGCAAGGAACGAGTGCATCAAGGGCTCACCTCCCCTCGGTCCCCTACCACCGCCTCTTCCTCCCCTTACCGCTTGTTGTACGTGTGCATGTGGTGCAATCTCTCGTTCGCAACACCGTCGCACCAAGGATACCTCGTTCTCTGGGAACCCCAAACCTCGGGTTAAGGATGCCCGGCCGCCGATTCCCCTTTGCCGTAGGCCGAGTTACCGATCCATGACCCCAACCATCTTATGTAGCCCTTGTCGTAGTGATTGAAATAGATGTCTATACAAATCGGCCAGAGTTGCCCAATCTTTTTCCTTTTCCCCAGACTCTTTCTCCACGGCCGCGTGCATCTCCCTCTTCGATTGGTGTGTCCACCCCCGTCTAGACTGTTGATGTTGACATGTATATGTCTCGGGATGCTGTATGCGAGAAGACCTGCCACTGACCGCCACAACCTGTCAACATGGATATCGAGACATTGCATTGCCTTGGCCCAGCGCTGCGTCGTCCACTTTACCGACACTCTAGCCGAGTGGAGTTGGACGCCACGCCGTGAAGACGTCTCCAAGGCTGGCTCGGCTCGGGTTCCGAAGACGCAAGAGACCGGCTTCTTTTCAGTTTCTCTTCTTCCTTTCTTGATCCCCCTTCCCTTTCCTCCTCACCTTCTTTTCTTTCTTTCCATCTTCTCTAATAAGATCAGTGATTCCCTTTCCACCATTCTCCTCTAATGCAAACAGCTTCTTCTTTAACTAACTCTCCCATCTAAGAGTAAAGGACTATCCAAGAAAGCCCCTCCCTTCTCTCCTCCCTCAAAGCAGCTTTGTGATGCCTCCCACCCACCAAGCCCTCATCTCAGCGTTTCGAGACATGTGTAACTGGAAACCTCATGATCGCAATCCTGACCCATCCCAGGCTCACACGTCTAGAGTCCCCCAACTTCTGGGCAATGCCTGCTTGGGGGTGGGCACCCACCACTCTCTCTCCCAACTTCACCAAAAACACATCCACATCTTTTTTTCCTCTTCCCCTTTGCTCCTCCACAACCCAGGTCTTGCCTATCCTTCTTTGGAGTTTCTCCTCATCCGGCCCGACCCGAACGCCCTTCCCGCAAAGGGCGAAACCGACATTCTTTTTCACTTCTTGTTTTATATTCTTTGATCGAAACGAATGGCCGAGATGGCTCCCCCTCTCCCGCCCTACAGACGCCTCTTTGGCTTTCTTCGCAGTCTCCCCAGCCGTCTGAGACATCTCTCCCGAGGCCCTGGTCCTGTCCCGGCTGCCGCAACGCAAACGCTTCCCGCTCGCCTCCTCCAGTACTTTATGCTCGAGCGTCAGCCAAAGCTGGGGAAGAAGACCAAGGTTATTCTCACTTACTTCCTCCGCAAAGCCGCCTTCCTAGTCTCCGTCGTCGCTCTATACCTCGTCTGCCATCTTGCCATCTGGGGCTTAAGCGTTGGCCTAGAAAAGGTCAGTCTCAACTACTGCGCGCCTCTTATCGCCATGATCTTCGTCCTCTTCTGCTCTTCCATGATCCAGCTGGCATGGGCCCCCTTCGATCACTACTACCAAGGCTTCATCCAATCTCGAGTAAGTCGTCCGCTCCTTCCTCCAGTTCTTACTGCTGCCATGTACTTGCAGTGTACTTGGCCAACAAAAAAAAGCATTTGCTGACTGTTCCTCGTGTATTCAAGGTCAACTTTTGAATAAGCACTTGGGTATCGCTTTTCCAGTTCCCATCGCCGTCATGAATCAGAAAGGAAGTCCCACTGGAGCAGAGGTGGGCTTAATCACTGCCAACTTTTGTGAGTATATAAACCCCCAAAGGCGCCCGCCCTGCTTCCTCGTTTTCTTCTTCTCTCCCACATCTTTTCCAACATCTTTTACCCCATATACCAGGGTTCTTCCTCAGCCCTTGCACATTTCCCTTTGCACATTTTCCCTTTTATTTATTTTTTCATTTATCTTCATTTTCCTTTCATTTCCTCTTTCTTTCCCTTTCATTTCTTCTCTTCGTCTTTTCTTTTTCCTTACACTATATATATCGGGTTCTGACAACTCGAACAACCAGTCGCCACCGGTGGAGTGTTCTGGGCACTGAGCCCAGTCCTAATCTCCCTCGCCCTCGTTGTGTTCCTTCGGTTACCGTGGAGGAACGCCCAATGGTGCCCCGAAGGGCAACCTGAGAGCGCCGTACCTCTCGACACCGCGGCTAGCGACGCTGGCGCCAGCGCCCCGGGTAAGAAAAACCCTCGGCCTGGTTCGGACCAGGATCAAGCCATGATCCGACAAGTACCTCCGACGCCAGCGCTCGAATCCGCGGACGAGATGCAGCTTCCGCCTCCCTAGTCGTTTCGGAGACAAACGATCAACGACTACAGGTCTTCCTGCAACAATGGGGAGGTGCGATTCTGTCTGCTCTCGTGCTCTTGCTCATTGGGATCCCCATGGCCACGCTGGCGCAGGACGAGCGGGTATTGGACGCCTGCTCCCTGTGTCTAGCGTGGACTCTGGCTATCGCGGCCCAGCAACGCTTGAAGTCACTGCGCCTGGCAACCATACCTCCGGCATATGTCTCCGTGATTGCGACAATTGTAAACCCCGTCCTCGTGACGGCAGGCATCACGGCAGGCTATGTCCGGCTCAAGGCGCAGGCTTCAGGCACCGATCTCAGCAAAGTCCTCACGACATTCTGCGGCGGCACAACACTCGCGAAGCTCCTCATCCGCTGGACAACCCGCGCTTCCTACGAAGACGACGCAATTTCCCCGTTTGGAGCGGGCGACCTTGCGCTGTCCTTGCTGGAGTGCGGCATCGTGGTCTGGGGCTTCAAGCTCTACGAGTGCCGCCAGCAGCTGTTTAGTCGTGTGGGCGCCGTCGTAGCGCTTCTCTCCGGCGTCCTCGCAGGACTTTGCGCAATCATTTCCGTCGTGCTGGCGCGCGCCGTGGGCTTAGCTCCTCACGTAGCGCTCGCCTTCACCGCCCGGTCCTCGACGCTGGCGCTCGCCAAGCCTTCAACCGCGTCCCTGGGCGGTGATCTCGCAGTCAACGCCGGCGTCGTCGTCGGCAACGGGATCCTCGGTCAACTAATCGCCCCGTTGCTCATCGCCAAGTTCCGCATCCCAGATCACCCCGTGGAAGACCAATCCAGGGTGATGGACGGCAGCGGCAGCGGCAGCAACGAGCCCGAGATCGACGACGACGACGACGACGGAAATGAAAGCGCCCGTGCCTCCGCGGATAAGATGAGCGGTACGCACGAGGTTCAACGAGATTCCGCGCTCGACGTGGCTGTAGGCGCAGCGATCGGTGTCAACGGCGCTGCCATGGGCGTGGCCTACCTGTACGACCGCCGCAGCCGCGTGGCCCCTACGCTGCGCTCTCCATGACGGCCTTTGGTGTCGCAGTGACCGTCTTGTGCGTTTGTGCGCCAACGAAGGACTTCTTGCGCACCTTGGCCGGTGGGGCGTGAGCTTCAGCTGGAGAGGGGTCGGGCAAGGGAGGGATTTTGGGCTTTTGCTTCGGGGGACTCAAGGGAATTAGGTGCCGGGCGTGGCTGGTTCTTTGGGTTGGAGGGTATACCCTTCTTTAAATTCTTGTTTTCTGGAGACGGCGTTTGGGCACACTGGTGCATACAACAGGCGTTTCCTAGACTTTCATAGATAACATGGCACGAGACACAAAGACAGACAAATCTTGGTCTCTTTTTTTTGTTTTGAAACTGTGGTACTCTCTTTCACTTCTTTCTTCTACTGTCCTGACCGTGCTCCTCCTTGCTTGAATTCCGAACCGCGACGTTGCGCGCTCCACAGCAAAGGCTGTTTGTCCGTCCTCCATAAGTGTCAACAAAAAAACTTGCAAATAATCCACCGGGCTTTTGGCCATTTCAACGAAATTCTGTATTTAAATAATCATATAATATATATATCATCCCAACCTGGTGCAACCATCGTCAGCATACCAATCGGCCATAGGGGGAAAAGAAGGGATAGAAACGACGCCCAATGCTTACCTCTCGATCAAGTGAAGACCGCTCGCGGTTTCCACGACGTCGCTCAGCTGGTCAACGTCGAGCGCGAAAGCAGCATCCTCAAACTCCTTTTGCATGACACCCCTGCCAAAGATGCCAAGGTCGCCAAACTTATGGGCGCTGTTGCAGTCAGACTCCCGCTTGGCGAGGTCGCCGAGGGAATCGCTTCCGGACCTGATCCTGTCGCGGTGGCCCTCGATGATCTTGCGGGCGTCGGCCTTGGAACGGGTGATGCGGGGCTACGGGGCGATGGTCAAAACGGTTAGTTTTGTTATTTTCACTTTTTGCTTGAGCAACCAGTGGGGGAGGGAGATCCTTGGCTAACCTCTTTCCAGCTCGAGGGGTTTCGGCTCTCGTTATGCTTGACGAGCAGGTGGGCGGCCCAGATCTGGCCTTCGGGCACGGAGACGTTTTGGGGCTTGACGTAGCGGGGGTGGCGCTGTTGCCGTGGAGGTTGGCCATGTAGACCTTGAGCTTCTCGGTGTCGGTGCCCTCGGGGGTTCCCAGCGGGAAATGGTTTCTTCGGTGTTGAAGTAGTAGGGGAGGTTTTTGCTGTTGCTGTGGCGCACTTCCCAGTTGGGAGGGAGACCGGTCTCGGCCTTTTTTCAGGGAGAAAAAACACACAAGGTTAGCAACACGGTCAAGATTTTATGCCTGCCTGCTTGAGGAAGCTTGGGCACGCGCGCGCAGGAGAATGGGAACCGGGAGGAAGCTTGCGCTGGACGAGCCTCTCGGAGTTCATAACGCCTGCGCGCAGCTAGAAGCTTGGGAGAAGGGGCGGGGGTCGCGGTTGATCTAGGTTACTTACTGTCGACATTTTTGCGGAGAGGTGATTGAAGGACTGTTGTCAGGATCGGAAATCAAGATCGAATAAGGATAAAAACTGGGGATGGGTAAAAGGTCAGAGCTGTGTCAAAAAGACCCCGAGGCGCCGTGAAATGGGTGTGTTCAATGTTATATGGGGAGGGCAGCGTGGAAAGTAGCGTGGAAAGCAAGCGTGGAAAGCAGCGTGGTGGGGTGTGCGGAGGAGGGGTTGCTCGAGGTTACGGAATATGTACCTTGGGGGCTTGGGTAATCCCACGAGTGCCGGCCGCGATTTCAAAGGCGAGCCTTGCAATTGGAGAGATGCGGGCTGGGGCAAGTATGGGGAATTGACTAAAAAGGAAACACAAAAAGATAAAAAGGAACAAAGGAATTGAGAAAAGGGCAAGAGAAAAAAAGAAGGAGTAGGGACGAGGCTACATGCGCTTGTAGTGCCTGGTGCCTTGATTTTTCGAGACCCCGTCTTCGCGGCGGGTGGTGTCTGACAGGATCGAGGTTGGGAGCGGGGTAGCAGTGACGACAAGCAGCGAGTATATCACCTGCAGCAAAAATTCCCAAGGGTGACTGGGGAAAGGGAAGGGAAGGGAACGCTGTGGTGGGGGTGGTCCAGCTCCATCCTGCCGAACCCCAACTTCGCTTGAAATACTCTTTTCCCCTATACTGCATAAAGCCTGCCGCTCCTGGCTCGGAAATGCCTGCAAGAGCATGTCATCGGACCTATTATCTCTACATTTGTTCTTTTTGCGTCTCCCCTTTTAAGAAGGGTACCAAGGACGGTCTATGGCACGCACTGCATCTTCGTGGAGTTGATATCGGCGGATCCGGGGCGACAAAAGCTGCAAGTGGTGTGGTGTGGGGGAAGCCTAGGCTCTGAGGGGGGCCCCAATGCATGGAACATTGAGCACTCACTGTTGATACTGGGAGGAGGGGAAATGGACGAGCCTGAACCCTGCAGATCGCCAATCAAGTCCGTAGCCATCAGCGCTTAATGCCAGCTATGACGGCGCCGAGAGTGTGGACTGCCGTGAGCTCGATTTAGCGTGAACCCTCGAGATGACAAAGACAAGACGCCTTTGCTGGGAATGGATGCAACGATGGATCGGCGCCATTATTCCGTCCGGCCTTGGAACGTCGCACTTATCCTCGAGATGGATGTACGAGGACCTGTGATCATTTTTCTGTCTTGTTGCAGTGGACATGCCGTGTACAAGGAGGGATCTGTCTGACCCTGCTTTTGTCAGTCCAGTCAGATAGAAACGGGCTTTAGACCGGTGATTAGACTTCTACTCAAATTCTTATCTCTTATGCTTTGTATGGGAAATATGGAATCAAGATCCATCCATCCTGCCTTGAACGAAGCAGATATGCAAAAAAGACTGCGGACTGCTGGTAGAATATCTTGCTTGTTGCCTTGTGTCCTACTCTCTTCTCTCGATGCGCAGCGTGAGCGATGTATTGCTGACTAAGCACGACGCACTTGCGCCAGCCCCTCCAGAATGATCTCGAACATCGTTTTTCGGCGGACCAGGCTCGAGGCTTTCCTCCCGCCACACCGTTCAAACCCACGCCCCACCATACCTACCGCATAAAAAAATGGCGACACCGGCCTCCACTACCTCCGACGGGGAGAAGAAGAACCTCGAGCAGATCAGCTTCCGCTTCTGCTCCGAATGCTCCAACATGTTGTACCCCAAGGAGGATCCCGAGAGCCGCCGGCTGCTCTTCACCTGCCGCACCTGCCAGTATACCGAAGAGGCCCAGTCGTCGTGCGTCTTCCGCAACATCATGAACAACGCCGCGAGCGAGACGGCCGGTGTGACGCAGGATGTCGGATCCGACCCTACCGTAAGTCCCCTGGAGAACACCCTGTGCCTCATGTGCGGTCGTCCTTTGCTCTGTGGTCGGCACAGGGCCGAGGCGGAGGAGGAGGCGGAATTGGAGGGCTACGACGACGACATGGCCATGTCGAATAGCGTGTTTTTGCTCGAGCAGCTCGCGCTTGAAGACGAGGAGGAGCCGGATGACTGGGAGCCGGACACGACGGGCTCCGCGGCCGACGAGACCGAAGCCGGTAGCACGCGTGGTGCCAAGGGCGATGCTGGTCGGGACTAGTTCCCCCACCTCTCTCTCTCTCTCTCTCTCTCTCTCTCTCTCTCTCTCTCTCTCTCTCTCTCTCTCTCTCTTCGCCAGGAAACCACCAACTCGCCTTGGTCTTGTAGGGCCACCGAGGGAATGGCCGCGGACCGCACTTGTGATCGTGTAGCTTCGCAAAACACACAGCATGGTCAGGATATGGGTGCTGACAAAGGGTCATGTCTCGTTTAGCTTCCTCGCGCGACCAAGACGTGTCCTTCGTGCAGGCACGACGAAGCCGTATTCTTCCAATCTCAGCAGCGAAGCGCTGAAACCGGAATGGTAAGCAAGCAATGCATGCATGGCTTCTCTATGCCCAAGTGGGTTTGGTGCGGAGTGCGCTGAACTGACGGTTTCCCTTGATGTAGAAACTCTTCTACGTTTGCTGCGAATGCGGTCACATTTTCCAGTAATTCTGGGCGGGTTTTGGTCCTCTCTGTCGGTCTCCCGACCACGGCGAACAGAGGTACAAGGGGGGTAAGCTGGCGATGGAGAAAAGCACGCGGTGGGTGGAATGAATGATGGAAGGGGAGTAAAAGTCGAGACACGGACACAACGCATATTTCACGGTCACATATCGTTTATGGAGGGATGAGGACTATACTACGTTCTTGGCGTTGGGGGTCATTGTATGCTTTAAACTCTTAAATATACCAAACACATCTCTTTTTCTTTTCATAAGACAAAAAGTTCAGGGATGCTCTCTATATTGTACAAGCGCGAGGTTTCCCGCTATTGACCGAATGGCGTAGCTGACGTGTCTGCTCTTCGCCTGGTCAGGTGGAGAATCGTCGCTCTTCCTTTCTCTCGCCGTTGAGCGAGAATAGGACGCCGGCGCGTCTCGGGGAGGGGTTCGTTCGTATAGTACACGGTTCGTTTCGTTCGAGGGGAGGGGACGGGAGAGTCAATCGGCCGGGCGAGTGTTTTTTAGACCTGCATGGGGGCCATGGAGAGGATCTTGTTCCACTTCTTCCTCCTAAGCTCGGACGCGACGACGCCGTTGATGCGGGTGCCGACGGGGTCTCCCGCCTTGTTGATGAGCACGCACGCGTTGTCATCGAACTTGACAACGCTTCCGTTTTGCCTCTGGGTCATGTATTTCGTTCGTACGACGACGGCGTGCCTAATGTCTCCGCGCTTGACCTTGTTCGCCGAGGACATGCCGCCCGCGTCGGCCGAGCTTCGCTGCTCCTGCACGACAACCACGAGCCTGTCGCCTGTAATCGGTCCACCCCCAGTTAGCGAACTTGCGTAGAGGTCAAGGAAAGGGGGAAGGGGGCTTGGGGTTTCTCGTACCGATTCTCGCGTGTCGCTTCAAGCCGACAACCATGGCGCACTCGACGAGGGCGGCGCCCGAGTTGTCGATGCAGTTGAGCATCGTCTACATTTGCATCGTTAGCACGCGGCGTGACGAGTGAATTCGAGAAAGAAACTAGCTACCTTTAATTGAATCATTTTTGCGGTGAGCTGTGCAATGCCGCTGTGCAAAGCAACGTACTGGCGGATGATGGATGGGCAATCGAAAGATTTCCCGACAGCCTCAAAAAGAAATTTGTCGCCAAAGGAAATCCCGAGAGCTTGTCACGGGCGGCGGGCCGTAGCAAGAAATCCAGTCGTCGACAGCTGGCAATATTTCAGTCCGTCAGCCACCACCAGGTCGTACAACGCTAAGCCGTTCCTGGACCCCCCTGCCTCCCGTCGCACGGCTTCCCCCTAAATTGCGGGACGACACTCAGTGCCCAGGGCAACGGCGCCTGCGACTCCTGCCACCGGTTTTCCGTTGGTGTGGACGAAACGGGCAAGTTGGGAACTGAGCGACGGCGCAACGAAGCAACGCACGCAAGGCAAATTGGGGCTGGCTTCCTCCCTTTCCCTCCGAACCTTTTTTCTTCTTCTCCTTCGATCCCCTTCCTCTCAGCTCTCGTCATGCGCAGGTCCCTTTTCTCACTCTTGCCTCGTCGTCGAAATCTCAAGCTAAACCCCCTTTTTCTTTTCTTTTCGTTTAATCCACCACCTTGTTGTTGGCCTTGTCGGTTCTGATTGTTCGTCGCACACGCACACACATACGTACAGAATCAACCTACACACTTGCAACCAACAGTCCGGTCTCGTCAAGCAGCACAGTGGACATCCCTCCGATTGGGTCTTGAATCGCATTGAATGACGTCCCCACGAACAGTCTGAAACCCAGCTCCGGATCCCATTGCCCGTCGTCGACGAACCCATCCTCGCTCCTTCCGCCTCGCTCAATAGCTTTTTCTCGCAACTTCCAGACTGGCTCTGTGAGATTGCCGTCTCGCACCTTCCTGTCGAGGCTCTTTTGAAGGAGACCTTTGTCGAATAATTCCCCTTCGTCCACTCATTCTCTGCGCCCCCTTTTCCCCGCGCAACCGACTGAACGTCTAATATTCCTTTTGTCTCCCTTGGCGCTTATTTCTTCCTTGGCCTTGCAACCACTCACTCACCCACCTTTTTTTCACCTTCACTCACGGACACGCTGGAGTAGTTGGAGGCCAACGGTGTTCGCACCGCCCTTAATACTTGAGGCGAGGAGTTGTGTCAACCTAGCGACTGCAGCTGTTTGCATAAGACGGTCGACCACGTCGTCTTGACCTCACAATGCCACCCAAGCCCGCAAACCCGCCCAAAAGCAGGCGCTCACCTTGGCGCAGCTGTCGGCTTACGATGACATCCTGACCGATGCGCTGGTAGATCACGTACGAACTTCCTCAGTTCCATGTACCTCAATTCTAGCTTGAGGCTTTTGCCATGACTAACCAGAGCCGTCACCCGCTAGGTCTTTTACTGGACGACGATTCCTAAGAACAGGCCGTCGTACCACCCTCTCGCGGAGTGCGAGAGGAGGAGATTACCAAGGTTATCCAGGATGAAGTGGTCCTCGGGGGAGCCTGGAAAGGGCGGAGGAACGGCTTATTCAAACCGACGGGCTTCGCAAGTTCCTCGCATCCCTCAAGACCGACAAGGAGAAGGACGATTTCCGGAAACACCTCCGTCGCTATTTGAGCATCTACTCCCCAGACTGCGCCTTTGAAGTCTGCTCGACGAACCGGTACACCATTACGACGCACGAAGCCTGCATCGCGGCACGACGAGCGATCCGGAAAGACGAGACCATCAAGTACCTTACCGGTATCCAGGTCGCCATTACCCCCAAGGAGGAGGAAGAGATTTCTCGTCGAAAGAAGGATTTCAGCATTGTCGTGAGCTCCCGTAGCAAGAGCACGAGCTTGTTTATGGGACCAGCCCGTTTTGCAAATCACGACTGCAATGCGAATGCCAAACTCAAGACCGCGGGCCAGGCTGGTATGGAGGTGGTCGCCACGAGGACATTGCCGTCGGCGAAGAGATTACCGTGACGTATGGCGACAGCTATTTTGGCGAGGACAACTGCGAATGTCTCTGCAAGACCTGCGAAGACTTGTTCGTAAACGGATGGGCCCCCGCAGATGGCCAAGCCCCTTTGGCGCTGAGCATCGAGCGCGATTCTACGCAGGGCTACTCGCTCCGGCGAAGGAGGAGAGACGAAAGCAGCTGCTCGAGGTCCCGAACGCCTTCATTGACGCCAGACATACGACCCCGCATCTCCAAGGCCCGATCTCGAAGCTCTCGTTTCGACTTAGCCGCAGGCTCACCCCTGGAGGAGCCCGTCTCCGTTGGCACCAAGCGGCCGCGCGGACTACTAGCGACCCCACCTTTTACGCCGTCCAAACGACAAAGGCTCGAAGATATATCGTCCCTGCTTCCTATTCCCATCAACCTGCCCCCCTGCAACGCTTAGTTCCGACGATTCCACGGATCAGTCCGTAAGGAGCAGTTCGCTTCCCAGCGCCACCGATGGGTCGACGCCGTTGACGGATATCTCGTCGCCTCCGAAGCTTTGCTCCTCTACGTTGGAGGCTAACCCGCTAGACAAGGCTACGGATCCGGATGCGCAGTTGAAGCAGGAAGATGCGGACGAGGCTCAAAGGTCAGGTTCGACTCAAGTTTTGCCATGCACGCCACACAACGAGAGAACCACCAAGCTCTTGCTGCCAGGGACTGCTTGCGCCACAGGCCTACAAACGCCGTCCAGCAGTCGTAAACGGTCGCTTGCGGATACCGAGCTGGCTGCGACCCCCACGTTGGGAGGTGTCAGCCAGAGCATCGAATCTCCCGCGCCAAGCGAAATGCCCGACCTGCGATTGCCAAAGGCGCGCAGGAACCAGAAGCGGACCTTTGAGAAAGAGTCGACACCCCCTACGAAAGCGCGTCCCGGGAGATTACACGCTCACACCGCTTCTTCTATCAGAACCCGAGACGGCCTGGATCCACTGCACGATATGCAATGCGGCTTTTGTCCAGTACAACGCGTATTACACGCGGAGCGCCTGTCCGCGATGCGAGCGCCATTCCAAGCTGTATGGCTACGTTTGGCCCAAGACGGAAAAGCTTGATAACCGTGACACAGAGGAGCGCATCTTGGATCACCGGACAATCCACCGTTTCCTGGACCCCGAATCCGAGGCGAAGGTGAGGGGAAGGAAGAGAGTAGTATCGGAATGTGAATTGGGCGCTGTAGAATCGCCCGCGGTGCAGGAGCTGGACACGAGCGGGCTTCGACGTAGTGGCCGAACGCGAAGGTCCAACTGTCTCCAGGCGTAATATGGATGGATGGACGCAATGATGACTCTGCGTGGGAATATGGGGTGGTTGTGAGACACGAGGTCGCGAGGGGGCCCACACATGCATGGAACATTGAGGTGTCTCGGTGGATCTGGCAGGGAGCGTTCTGGGCAACTCGGCGAGACATTCGGTGCCCTGAGTGTGGAAGACATGTAACTGTATTATTATCATCCCTGTTTCTTTTTTTTGTTCTCTTTTGCTATTTTCCTTGTTATTATTCGCTGCAAGCCTTGGTTGGCGCAAATGCGAAACCGAGGGTTATCGATATCTGCGAAGTTTGATGCTTGCTAAGATGAGCAGGAACGGCGAGTACGGTGGAATGGGCGGCCGGTTTAGCTTCTAGGGGAAGGGAGGAAGGGAGGAGAACATTGATGCAACATTGAAAGCAAAGGGACTAATTAGGCCTGTAGATAGAATTCAATTATATCTCCAATAATATAAGAAGAACAGACCAGTCTTCCGAAACTCCAGTCCCCCGTGTGATGATGGGATATTAATCGAGGAACGCCCTCCTCGCCATCCGTGTCATTTTTGACCATTGTGCCTGCTCCGAGTCGTGATGCGCTTCACGCGCCGAACAAATTGATTTCCGTTTAGAACAAAAAAGAAGAGACATTTGTGGAACGAAAAAAGAAGGAAAAGCCTGGGAAAGGGAGAAAAAAGGAAATCATGAGTCGAGATCTCGTGCTAGCGGCAAGGAACGCCCGTGTTCCCTTTGCATTTCCTTCCATCCTGAGCCGCCTCCTGCATGCATGCGATGCCAAGTATATGTATTGAGAAACGAGATGACAAGAAAGAAGGAAAAAGGAAGTTGAAAAAGAATGTACGCCGGCGTGCACGCGTGGTTGGGTATTATGAACAAGGAAAGGCAAAAGATTCGAAAAAGAAAGAAAATAGAGCGAATGGAGGGTATCAGTAGAGTTGCCCGTAGGTGTGAAATCTAGCCGTGGACTTAGGAGAAGGTGGGAAATTACTCCCCGTTGCTGTGTGTCGAGAGAGGGAAAGGTGACGATAAAGCAGTGTTTTCCGCACAAAAAAATGTTTCTATAGAAAGAAAGAGAGAGAGACGAAATCGTAACGGAGAGAAGAGAGGCTATTATCCCCTGTTTAGGAAATAACCGGCCGGCGGCGTTTTCGTCCGCGGTATATGGCTAAACATGGTCGTCGTCGTCGACCGCACAGCAACCTCTCTCGGGTTCGGCGCGCCGCGGAGAATCTTGGCCTGCTGGTAGTGCGCCCACGGCGTCCGCTCGACGTAGACCCTCGTGCCAAAGTCGTGGGAGGCACCAGACGAACGGCGCGGTTCCCTATAAACGTGCGGCGAAGTCGGGTGCGGGCCGCGCGGCGGCGGTCGACAGTCCCTGCACCCGGAGCAGCCGTGGTGATGGTCGTCGTCGTCGTCGTCGTCGTCGACTTGCTGCTGCTGGCGCCGGCGGAGCTTGGGAATCACGCAGGCCCAGACGATGAGGCCGGCGATGACGAAGGCGAAGATGGAGCCGAGGATGGCGCCGATTTCGCCGCTGCTGAGGACGGGCTCGGGTTCGGGCTGGGCGTCGGTGATGATGGTGGGAAAAGGGGAAGGGACGGGGGCGGGCGTTTGGTAGGCGGCGGAGGAGAAGGCGTCCGGGGATGGGCCGCCGAGGGTGACGTAGGTTGTGAATGTTGTGGAGGAGCGGGTGATGGTTTGCGTGAGGATTTGTTCGACGGTGGCTTGGCGGGCGGCGAGGGTGGCCTCTGGGGGAGGAGGTTGTATGACGCCCATGGTGAGGGCTTCGTTTTGGTTTCGGGGTTTCTTGTAATATTCCTTCTTGTTTAATGGTGATGAAATGTATTGGTGGTGGTGATGGTTAAGAAGGATGGTGTTGGGCGGTGGTGGTGTTAGTCGAGGCCGGACTTGAACCGTGTATGTGTCCGCAAGGGTGCCCTGTATCTAATGGCAGACGAATATCGGAAAAGAGAGGGGCCGGAGGTGTGATGAACAGGGCGGAAAGGAGAAGAAAAAGAAGGTGAAGAACAAAAGGGAAGAAGAATAAGAGGGTGAAGAAGGCGAAGCGAAACCTTTTTGTCACGATCTCCAAAGAAGGGATTCTTTTTGGTCCGGGTCGATGGTGGCGTGCGTTGATGTCTGGGCCCAGCGCACCACACCATGAAATGCAAGGGGGTGCGTTTGCGCAAGGGCGACGAGGCGTGGGGCGAAAGAGAAAACGAAAAGAGAAAAGAAAGAAAAAAAGAAAACGGTCGACGCTAGACTAGTGGAGTGTGTGTGTCGTCCACGACAAAAGATCGACTGTGCCCCGAGTCAAAACCCCTGCAAGGTGTGCACAGGGGTGGAAAGCAGGGGGAGAGGAGAGGAAGCAGGAGGAGGACGACCGGGCTGCTTTTGGAGCCGAAGCCACTCCGATGAATGGAGTGAGGGAGAGATGCTGAAGTCAAGTCTCGAGGGAAGGCGGGGCGGGGACTGGTGATTCGAAGCGGACCTCAAGCTTAGATGTGTGATTCTGATGTATTAGTATTAGTTTTGGGTTTGATGATGCCTTTTCCTTTGATCCCGTCTGGGTTATATTGGAGTTGAAGTCAAGACAGTCGGAGGTCAGTCTGTCTTTTGGTAGTGCTCCGTTTGTCGCAAACCGCGTGTGTGACGAGGCTCCCGGCAGCACTCTCGGCTCAGCTCAATCTTCTTTCTGGTCCCTTCTGCTTTTTGCAAAAGTCTTTAATTTTCCCCCTTGTTTCTTCACAACCTAGGCCTGCTTTTGTTTTCTCCTTCACCAGCTCTTTTCCTTCTCGTTGGGAATGGGGGTAGCGTTGCCGGTTTCTCCTGCACGGTTGGCGTTTTCTTTGGCGTGCGGCTTGCAGGTTCTCGCCTCCGAATGGTGATGTCGGGCTTTTCTTCTTTCTTTCTTTCTTTTTCTTTCCCTTTTTGTTCTCGATACGATGGCCCGTACCAACGCGCTAATCTCGCTCGTGGTGTCCTATTTTATTCGCCGGCGTTTGCTTTTGCAGAGACCTTTGGCGCAGAAAGCGGGCGCTGGGTGTGTAAGTCGAGGTTTCGAGGCTCGGAAGTGGTCGCCCCTCAAAAATGTAAGTGGATTGTGGATGTAGGTGGGGTTTCCCTTTTTTTCCTTTCTTTTTGCTTTTCTTTCGTCCCTTTTTCTCTATTTCAACGAGATATCAAAGAAAGAAGCCATGTTTTGTTTCCTTCTTTTCGGCAGTGGAGTGGCTAGCCCTGCATTATTATTTGCTTAAGGGACGAGAAAAAAAGGAAACCCCCAATCCAGAACCTGCAGCTTTTCTCCCTCCTTCCTTTTCCAAGTGCACATGTTTCCTCAAAGACGTCTTCCCTCGGAGAAAACAACGCTTTTCGATGGCTCACCCCCTCTATGGTCTAGGTCCAGAAGCCGCGTGTGCGTGAGTGGACAGAGAACCAAGCAGAGCGGGCTTGGCTCTCCTTGGCCTTGGGAAGCAAGACATTATCTCACCTGGGACGGCGGCGTGTCCAACGCCACGTCGCCTGACAAGGGCGCAAGACACAAGAACGATGGTCAATTGGGGGATGAGTGGGAGAGCAGCAGGGAGAGCAGGGGTTGGAAATCCGGTCCGCAAGAAGCCTTTGGCCTTTGGCCGGGAGTGTGGGTGGGCGAGGTGGGCGAGGTGGGCAAGGTGGGTAAGCTTGCGGGGAGCTGGACAGAGCTCGACTGCCGGAATAGGAAAACATTGGCTTATGGGGGCATTGTTGGGAATCGTTTTCGATTGGCGATGATGCGTCTTGGTGAACCGATGGCCCAGTGGGAGGCCAGTTGGAGACCAGTAAAAGACCAGTGGGCCGCGGGAAACGGTGGCAAACCCCCTCAAACATGTTCGGCCCCTCCCAAACTATCAAATGGAGGGGCAAGACTCTCTCGATTTGGCAAAAGGTAGGTACGCAAGTACGGACAAGCATCGACGGAACACAAAACGAGAAAAGGAATAAAAAAACGAAAAGAATATCGGAGCCTGGTGAAAGCCAGAGCAAGGAGAAAAGCGGGGGTTGAGAGACAATTCGACACAAGGTGCACATCAGGCAGAGACCAAGGGAGTAGCGCAAAAACATAGTTTTCGCCGTTCGACCCATGCGACTGGGACGCCTGACTGCTCTTTCCCTCTTTTGTTCTCTCTCTAAAAAAGACGACCCAACACCGATGTCGATCGCAGCTTCTTCTCCTTAGTCCTCACCGGATCTGCATTCTTGCGGGTTTAATTCGCGGGTTCACCCACACAGGCTCACTTGCGCAGGCTCTCAAATCGGTGATACGTCCGGGCCAAGCAAGGGAAAGAGAGAGACTGACAGCTCAATTGTGGACGGGTCCTTCCTTCTTCCTTTAGGAATCGCGGGGGAAGGCGCAGAGCTGATGGGAGAACAGCCAACATTTAAACAGGCAAGAGTGTGGCAGAGCCTTCCCGAAGCTCTGATTCCATGGCGTTGGGGAAGGAAGGGAGCGGCCGGCCAACACCACGACACTGCCCCAGCTGAGCCCGGAAACCCCATTCCCATCATCTCATCGTCGCTTCCCTACTACCCATCAATGCGCAACCCTCCTGTTTCTTTTTCTTTTCTCCTTCACTTTATAGCTACCACATCGATAGATCTATCGATACCGAGCTACGACTTGCTATCCACGTTTCCAGATACCAGCCATCCATTAAAACCTGCCTAAGCCCCACTATCCAACACCCATCTGTGCGGCACTCGCTCTACCCGTTGCCCGTTCCATGCACTTGGTCAATAGATGCCTTCGCCAGCCCGACGCCGTTGTGTTCGTGGAGGGCGTCGACGACCAATCGACTGGGAAGAAACTGGATGGCGGGACGGGTGTGGTGGGTTTAGTGCGACACCCAGAAACTTGGGCCACCCAGAATCCGTGACCGCCGGATGCCCCGCCATCCCCTCCCTTTTGCCTTTTGTCCCCGCCCCCTCCTCTAGGGCTCCACCCCCATAAGGCTGGAAACGGACATATCACTCGCTCATGTGCTCATTGGAGGATGGACGGGATGCTGCCACATGCAGAGCCAGTCATGGTCCCGTGAACCTCTCCTCACCAAAAACTGGAGTGGAGGGAGGGAAGCTGCTTCCCTTCGCAGAGGAAAAATCCTGGCTGGTTGCACCGCAGCGTAGGCAGAAGGGGAAGGTCAATCATACGAGAGACGGGACAGGTAAGCAGGGGAGGAGGAAGGCAGAAGGGGAGTTGAAAGGGGACAAAAAAAAAGAAAAGAAGGAAAGAGGGTGGAAATGAGAGCGGCATCAAGGCCGAGCTCCAAGAAGAATTGAACACTGGGAAAGGTAAGGGAGGTTACAGAACCACTGATAATACCTCGGTATGGAGGAGGCGACTGGGATAGGGAAATGCCGCACGCTATCACCATTCTTCGCATACCCTCCAGGCTCGCTGCTGGATAGCCAAGACAGGCTTGACAGGTAATCCATTCTGCTTACTCAGACCGCGGATCCCCGGAGGTACAGAGGTGAGGCGTTGGTTTGAGATGGGAGGCCATTTCAATTTGTTCGACTCTCATAGGTGCCCGTCCCGAGAAAAAATATCAAACACAAACGCGGGGCCCTGGCGAGATCCGGGAGCAAGCCACGTCGGTTGATTAGGGAAAGAAGGCGAGATTGCGCCGGGGGTGAATTTGCTTGGGTCGCTGGCATTCCGGGCCAAACGGGTCCTTGGGAACCTGCCGGCAGCGAAGGGGGCGATTGGCTCCGCTTGGAGGGTTGACATTGACGTGCAAAAGGCTGAAAGCTGAACGCCCCAAATCGGGGCTTTATTTTCTCGTCTGGCCAGCCAGCGAGACCTCACACGGGGAACATTGAACAGCGAGGAGGCAACACAGCGGGGACCCACAGCTGGGCTACTGCGATCTCTGTGCTTTTATCGATTTCATGCGTGATGCCTGAAGAGCATGGGGATACAAAAAAAAAAAATATCAGTAAACAGGGGCAAGAGGGACGGCACCACACATTAAGGAATGGATGAAAAGAGAAAAACTAGACAGGACTGATTGAGGAAACCATGCCAGGGATTGCGTGGCAGACACACGCGCATATTTACACGCGCATACGCAGAGAGTTGGCATCTTGCATCTTAGGCCAGATTCGCCAAGTTCTTCACGCTTGGCAAGTTATCAACGTTCCGATCTGGTAAGCTTTTGATCAATGACGACGTGAATTGCACTATTTTTTGGATTGGTGTTTATTTGCACTTCGTGCTTGCAGCGCTGTGCACAGGTGTATGCGTGCGCGCAAGTCATCTAGTCATTGCTAATATCAAGAGTGCAAATCACCCTCTCGCATTGCTTCCGACCAGGTCAAATGCCATCTGTCAAAAGGTGAACACGGGGAGTATCGGCTAGAGACTATAACTACGCAGATGACAAGACCAGGCTCGTCGCTCGAACAAGCCTCCGAGTCTCCCGAGTACGCCTTCACAGAAACCAAATCGAATCCTGCGCGCCATCCAGACCAAAGACATGGCTACCCCTTCTACACACGCCTCGAGGATGGTCCCAGAAGATTCTTCACGCTCGGCTACCGAGGACCCGGAGGGATCCCTGGTGGTCCCCCGGTATGTCAGGGACAGCTCCCTAGCAGCCTTGCCGAGTCAACGTCAGAAGCGGGCAAATGATCATGCGCGTTGCTTCATCATAACCAGGTTCAAGCACAGAAGGCTACGGATATTCAAAAAGTCAGCCGCCTCCAAATTTCCCCCATGAGCCAGGGGAAAAGTGGGAAAGAGGGGCGTCCAGCGTTGTAACGCAGGGCGTTGGCATGTCGTTCACCAGTTCTGGGGCATTCCTTTTCTCCCCGGGATTCTTCTCCCTGCGCCGTCATTCCCCGTTCATTCCTGGCGAATATTACGTTACGCACACTCTACATTGTTGAAAAACAAAAAGAAAAAAGCCGGAGACGGTCTGGAATTTGGGAAGCAACTGGTCGGGGTAATCCGGCACGGTGGTCGAGTGCCACCTTCATTCCTGAGGTCGGAGGACCTGCAGCCCTCGCGCGGTGTTCTACGAAGCCACGCCCCTGACATGATCACCAGCACCGTGCCCTTGGAGCCAAAGAAATGCAGCCAGGGCAGGACGTGGACAGAGCATTTCTTTCCTTTTGCTTTAATTTCCACGGGCCCCTCGAGGCATGTACGACGGCCCTGGCTGGCTTTGATTGTGCCTGCATGGGCGAACCTGCACCGCTGACCTCCGGCTCTGCAATTACTCGTCCGCTGCCATGTATGTCGAAAAACGTGTACGAGTACGGCTCGCTGGCGTTTTGTTTCCCCTCTTCACTAACCAAAATACATGCTTACGCCGCTGCCCCCTTTTTCTCCTACATACCCTCTTTATTACCTCCGGAATCCACAGGGTTTCGGGTGAATCGATTGAGCTCACAGGCGCGCGTTTATTGCGCGCTGATGACCTTTTCAATTCGTCGGCGTCCTTGATAGCCGTCGTCATGTTCTCCGCGCCCGAGGACGTGATGATGAGGTTATCCTCGATCCTATATCGACAAGCGCGAAAGGTCAGTTTGGCGGACACGAGGGAACGGGATCCGGAGGGAGGATTCGGTGTCGTGTTGACGCGAGAGAGATAGGAAAGAATGAAGAAGGTGTAGAATCACTGGATCAACATACCTCACACCGCCAACGTCCCAGTATCGCTCCAGCACGGCGGCATCGATATACTGCGAGTGAACGGAGTCTTTGAGATACGGCTCGATGATGAAGTTGCAAAAGTAAATCTGTTCAACCAACCCCGCAGCAGCCAAACAGTTAGTTTCTTATTTCTTCCCTCTGCAAACCAGCGATAGAAGAAATTGACGAGAAAGAAGAGAAAAGAAAAACATACGCCAGGCTCCACGGTGATGACCGATCCGGCGGGAAGTCTGCCTCGCACACGCAGGTACCTAAACATGGTGTCCTTGTCCTCGTAGTTGGGGTTGCCGCCCGTGTCGTGCGTGTCCATGCCCAGGTAGTGACCCAAACCGTGCGGGAAGAAGGCCACGCTCGTCCTCGCGTCGAGGATGGCCTTCTTATCGCCCTTGAGGATCCCGAGGGCCAAGAGACCCTCGACGGCGACTTCGTGCGCGCGGTAGTGTACGTCGTCCCAGAGCACGCCGTCCTTGAGCATGGCGATGCACTCTTCCTGCATCCGCAGGACGATGTCGTAGATTTCGCGCGATTCCTTGGAGAACTTGCCGGAGATGGGGAATGTGCGGGTCTGGAGAGATGAGACAAAGGAGACCCGTTAGTCTGTCTGCTCCATTCAAAAGAAAAGAAAACCAATGAACTTCTTGTCTAGCCAACCCTACTACCTCGAACAGGCTCAAAAGGCTCGGGGGCCACGGGATGGATGGGCGCACTTACAATGTCGGAAGCGTAGCAGCTCCACTCAGCACCGGCATCGAGCAGCAGGTTCAGCTTTCCCTCCAGGGGCAAGTCGTTGCGGACGTAGTGGAGAGTGGCCGCGGCCCGCCCAGAGGCGACGATGGAGCTGTACGACTGGTTCTTGGCACCCTGGCTCACGCTAGCAGCGAGAAAAGCAGCCTGGAGCTCCTGCTCGTTCTTGGCGGCCCTCACCCTCTCGAGCACGAGCTTGTGGCCGACGGCGGAGATATTGTTAGCCTTTTGCATGAGGGCGAGCTCGTAGTCGTCCTTGACCACGCGACACACCTCGACGGCCTCCTTGAGGGCGCCAAAGTTCTTGTTGTCGAAGCCGAGAAAGGTGATGTGGTCCGAGACCTGGTCCGCGATGGCGTACACCGTGGTGCCGGAACTCTCGCTGCTGCCGAGGTGGGCGAGCAGGGGTTCACGTCGGTGGTGAACTTGACATCGTCGACGTCGTACTTGGCGAGGGCCTCGGCCGGGCTGACGGGAGGCCGCTCCAGATGACGCTGTCCGGGTTGATGGGGGATGAAGAGCGTGGACTTGTCGGACGCGATGTCGTAGAGGAAGTAGCAGTCGGCGAGCTCGCAGCCGGTTAGGTAGTAGAAGAAGCGCCGTTGGCTGTGATTCGCGAGACAGGACGGCAATTGTTAGCCATCTCCGCGGGGTCACACGGGGGATGACGTGCAGCAAGGCCAGGAAAAAAAGGGGGGTAAAAGATGTACGAAAATGGGGGAAAGCAGGGGAAGGGATGGAAAGGTAAGCGCCCTTTCGTCTTCTTTGGCGTCGAGAGCGCGTCCAATAGAGAAGAGTGACGAAAGGGAGAAGCACCGAATAATAGATGAAAATAATAAAAAAGTGGAAAAAATGTAAGGGGGGGGGGGGGGGGGGGAGGGGAGCTTACCGAAAGTGTTCGGGCTCGTCGTTATCCTCGAGGAGCTTCGTCATGCGGCCTTCGACGTAGAGAACTCCTGTGGCGTCGGGGAGTTTTCCACGGATGTGGTCGACGACACGTCTCGCGTGGGCCTTGGCGGGGTACTTGCCCTCGAGGACGGATTCGGGCGAGGAAATCACCATGGTGGATAATGAGCGATGATGATGCTGCTGCTGCTGCTGGGGAAAGGAGTGGTTGAGTCGGTGTCGACGACGTGCGTGAGCTAGCGGCAGCGGCGGCGGAGTGGTGGTCTGGCGGGGAAGGGGAGGATGACGATGGCGGAGTCCGGAGGTAGGCGATGACGAGGACGGTCGGCTGAGTGTGGCGGTGGTGGTGGTAGCACGGTGGCGGCACGCTGTGGTTAGGGCGCGGGAGGGATGCAAGAGGAGACGGAGAGCCAGGCGGTAATTTGTTGATGGGAGGTTGATGGGGTCATGGGGGAGAGAGGGAGCCAGCAACGCACGGGGAAAGGGGAGGGAGGGAGGGAGGAAGAAAGAAGGTTGGAAAGGTTGGTGGTGCTGCGGGTGGTACAGAATTCGCACTTGCACGTCACTTGCGCCTGGCGGGCTTCAGCGTTTGGCGTGCGTGCGTGTGCGGGCACTTTGCACTTTGGCACTTTGGGGAGCTTGCTGGAGCTTTGAGGAGGGTGAAGGGGGCGTTGATGGGATGGGATGGGGAGGAGGTGGGGGAAACGACTAGAATGAGCCTAGGGCAGGATGGGGAAAGGGCGCGACCGAGGATTTTCTGATCTAAGAATGGCTTGCGTCGGGAATGGCGGCGCGAATGCATTGATAGCCGTCGATTGTGACGTTGTTTCTCTTCGGGTCTGGAGGGGAGAGAGGGGCGCGCTTCGGCCGAAGGCGGCAGATCGCGGGCAAAATATCTATGGATCCCTGGACTTCATTTTCTGACAGTGACCAACTTTACCTTGCCTCCTTCCCTCGCTGATAGCGCTGGCAATCTGAGCCAGCCCAGTCCAGTTGAAGTCACTTGGAGGAGGGCTTGCCCACCAAGCCCGGTTCGGCTTTGTCAGCGCAATCACAGGCAAGTGGCCAGGCTTGACAGGCAAGACAGGCAAGACAGACACTTGATCTTTGCTCTTGCTCGTTATCGACAGAGCCAGAGTCTAGGCGTTTTCCTGGCACCATTCTGCTGGTGCTCTACACTATAATACCCCGTCCCATAAAAATAGAATCCGCCTTTGAGAGAGCCTCTCGCGGCCTCTTTTTATTACATCTTCCTTTTTGGGCATCGAAGCGAAGTTGCACCCCATCTCGGCGGTTGGCCTTGAGAACCGGCCGCCGGTTGTCAGTTGGTAGTCGCTATTTAGTCTCGAGGGACCGGACCAACACGCCGGTTACGCCATGCAGGGGGAGCAATGGCTGGGCCTCGATCAAGAAACTGCATCTCTTCCCCGTTTTCCCCTGAAGGCCGCACAAATGGGCCGCCTGCCCCAACCACTTAGTCACAGACGCGGACGGAAATTCAATATTGAAATCCAGCACTTGTTTTTTCTTCTTCGCGCCCTTCATGAATCCCCTTGACATCATTTGATCAGTGTTCCCCCTTCGCCAAAAACCCCGGCGTGGCCCACCTCCCCGGGCGGCAGCAACGCGAGCCTGCTCATCACCCGCCCTCTTGAAGCATCGTCGAGGAGGGGGCCACGACCCGAACCAACATCGACGCCTCCCCCGCCAATCACAAAAAACCAGGAGGGCATGCTTGGCTGTCGTGCAATCTAGATTGGACCCAGTGGATTGGATACCCCGGTCTACTCTGCCCGTGGGGTCGCACAGGTTGACTTTCGTTTGTGTGGCCCCCTTCAAACTTGACGAGCTTGGGCGAGAATATGCCTGCCCTTTTTTTTTTTCCTTCTTGCGCATCATGCTGCCTCATGGCGAACAACACTTCTTTGTTTTTGTCTTGTCTCTCTCTCTCTCTTGGCTTCTTCCCCTCTCTGCCCCGTTTCCCTCTTTTTTAATTACCCTGCTCCGCACTGCGCCTGCTGCCTAGCAGACGAATCTTACCCTTTTCGAGTTTGCCTGATTGATGCCTTGAAACGTCAGAATGGCTATGCACGAAAGCGACGCTTCTGTTTGGTCGCGTGCAAGCCGGTTGCCTCCCGCCACGCACAAAATCGGTTTTTTTCCTCTTCTTTCTTTCTTCCCCTTGAAGCGTCCCAGTCTTACATGTGTACAATTGATCTCACCCCCACTTCACTAACATGGTTCAGTGCTGCGCAGAGCTAGCTTCGGGTGCGACGCTCTACGTTGCACGCCCAGCATTTTCAAGAAATTGATCCAAACCCAGCCCGGCCGTCCTTTTCCTTGTGCGTGTGGCTGCACCTTGAAGGGGGTGGGAGAGAGAGAGAGAGAGCGGAGATTTTGACGGCGGACCCCCAAGGGTCCTGTCCTAGCCAGCCAGTCACTCGAAGCGCCTAATTCTCCCACCAGGATCTCGGACTACGCGATGGTTGGATTCCATGTTCCCCGTCAGCAGTAGTGGAGGTGAAGGCTCCGCTCACCACTTTTTTGCCGCCATGTAGGTCATCTCGCCGGTCATGTTGGTTGCCTAGCGACTTTTCTTTTTTCTTGATTGTCATACCAATTTTCCTACTTTCTTTTCTTTCTTTCATTCTTTTTGCGCTTCTCTTCCCTCCCTCTCCTGCCGAGCTGTCTCTCTGCATTGTTTCAGCAACCGTCGCCACCGCTCAGTTGGTGATTCATTGGAGCTCAAGTTGTCTCCGGCTTTGTTGGATGTTTTGCGTGCATCTAGTTTGTGCGTGCGCGTGTATCGCTGTGTGTGTGTGTAAATATATCCCTGTGGGTGTGTGTGTATGTGTGTGCGTGTGAATGAGTGTGTGTGTGTGTGAGTGAGTGTGTGTGTGCCTGTCTGTGTTGGGCGTGGCTGATCTGGGCTAAGATTCCCTGCCATAAAGTCACCGCCATTTCCACGTCTTGGCTTCCTTTCCAGACACGACTCTCTACACATATCCAAAGCTCTCGTGTTTCATGGTTTCATGCTCTTGAGCTTCCAATCCCCTCCGCATGCCATGCAGCTATCATAAATGCTCGTCACATCCATAGCTCGCTAGCCGTCCTACCATATCATTTGCCCCTTATCACCAGTCCCCCACCACCACCACCACCACCACCACCCCATCAACAACCCTCTTACCACAACTTAACCCCCGGAACCACCAGTCCTCCTCCCCTTCCGTGCCATCATCACCCCCACCCAAAACGTATACCAAATAAACCACAAGGTCATGAACAATTCCTCACTGCTGGGAGACTTCCCAGACGGGCACGTCTCCCCGGCGTGTCCACCCTCCTCAACAACCTCCTCGCCTCCAGCGCCGCGCCCCTCGCCCACTTCCTCGAGAGCTCCCTCCCCATGCGCCTACTGCAGACCTTTTTCGCCAAGTGGCAAAACATCGACATCCCCACCTGGACCGTCGCCATCGCCATCCTCGGCACCGTCCCCACCACCCTCGTCCGCCTGCGCGCCGTCGTCTACAACATCTACTGGTGGATCGCCAAGTACTTCGTCTCCTCCATCTCCGTCGCCGGCAACGACCAGCTCAACAAGGACGTCATCAACTGGGTCGCCCACAACGTCCTCCCGCGCCGCTCCATCCGCATGCTCAACGCCCGCACCGAGGTCATCCAGACCGACTACTGGAAGCCCAGCGTCACCGAGCGCAACGACATCCGCCACGACAACCGCGTGCCCGTCCAGTACCTCCCCGCCTTCGGCACCATCTGGTTCGTCCACGCGGGGAGCGTTTTCTCCTCAGCTGCCAGCCCGAGATCAAGTTTGGCGCCCCGGAGAGCGCTATCCCCATCGAGCTGTCCGCCGCGCCCGAGGGCCACGAGCCCCTCGTCCTCATGTGCCTCGGCCGCTCCGTCAAGCCCCTCAAGAAGTTTTGGAGACGTGCCGCGACTTCGCCGAGGAGCAGCGCCGCGAGTACGTCACCGTGCGCGCGTCGCAAAAGCACCTACACCGGCGAGATGTGCTGGGGCTCCGTGGCCCTACGCCCGGTTCGGCAGATGGAGACGGTCCACTTTGACGAAAAGATCAAGAGCTGGCTCGTCCGAGACATCGCCCACTACCTGGAGCCCTCCACCCGGGAATACTACGTCAAGCGGGGCATCCCCTACCGCCGCGGCTACCTCCTCCACGGTCCCCCGGCACGGGCAAGACCTCGCTCTCCCTCGCGCTGGCCAGCTACTTCAAAATCGACCTCTATCTCTGCCACATTCCCAGCGTCAAGGACGACGGGTCTCTGGAAGATCAGTTCATCAACTTACCCCCAAGTGCATCATCCTCCTCGAGGACATCGACACCGTCGGCGTCCAGCGCCGCGGCCTCGGCGACGACAGCGACGCCAGCGACTCGGACGATTCCCGCGGCGGCGGCGGGCGAAACAAGTTCAACTACTCCTACCACGGGCCCGGCTGCTCCCTCGCTGGCCTGCTCAACGTCCTCGACGGCGTCGCGTCCCAGGAAGGCCGCATCGTGCTCATGACGTCCAATTTCGCCCAGAAGCTCGATAGGGCCCTCGTCCGCCCGGGCCGCATCGACCAGATGATTTACCTCGGGTACATTTCGCGCGCGAGCGCCGTCAAGATGTTTCTCCGCATGTACTCCGTCTCCTGCCCTAAAGTCAGCGGTAGTGGTGCAGATGCCGCCGCGGCGACGACGAACGACAAGGTGGACGCCGAGACCCTCGAGAAGCTCGCGGTGGAGTTTAGTAGTCACCTGCCCGAGGAAAGTTCACGCCTGCGCAGATTCAGGGGTTCCTACTCGGGTACAAGGAAGAGCCGCGCGCGGCCGTGGCCGGCATCGTGGACTGGGTCGCGGCCGAGCTGAAGCTCATGGAGGAGGCGGAGCGGTATGAGCAGGAGCGCGAGAACCGGAGGAAGAAGCGGGAGGCTGCGAGGAGGCGCAGGAGGCTACGTCGCTATGATGACTCCTCGGACGATGAAGCGTCGTCCTCGGCTCGGAGCGTCAGAGCCCGGAGCGCTACACATTCTAGGTCTGGTCGTAAGCCTGAGCGGGTAGACAAGGGAGCGGAGCCGGAGTCGGGCAGGGATCTTGAAAAGGAGGCCGAGAAACCAAACGGCGAGGTCAATGGGAGCAATGGACTGGAAAACGGCAAAAGTGCGGAGGGGCAATGAGTGAGTTTGTCGTCATAGTCGCTTTCGGGCAAGGAAATTGATGCTTCATGATAACCTCTGCATATGACCTCCTTGTGTCTGTCTTGCTCGTTTTCAAACCGCATGTAAATGAGAACAAAAACAAAGACGTCTGTTTGCATCACGAACCTGCCAACATACTCGGGAGCATAGATTCTCTTTCTCACTTTTCAGTCTTTTCGTGTTGGTTTGTAAACGTTGATAGAAGAGCCTTGAGGTTGAAAGGACGTTCCATGAGCAGCAAACAATCTTAGTCATCCGATACACCACACATTCTTCACTGCCAACCAACGACAACTCGCGATTCACCACCGATCAAGTTTTTTCCTTCTTCTTTTTTTTCCTTTAGCGTCAGGGCAGCGCCTCGCCGGGAAACCCTTCATTCCCCCTTTTCTCTCAGGGGATGGCGCTCTCTCTCCTAGCCCTCGCCATTTCCGGGCTCACGCTCGCCCTGCGCATCCTCGTCCTCGTCCCACTATCCCTCCTCTCGCTCTTGCTCGCGTGCGGCCTCTACAGGCTCTACTTGCACCCGCTCGCGCGCGTCCCGGGCCCGCGGCTAGCGGTTCTGTCTAATTTCTGGCAGGCGTACTATGCCCGCAACGGGCGCATGCGCGAGCTGGGAAAATCCCTGCACCGCCGGTATGGGCCTGTAGTCCGGGTCGGGCCGAACGAGGTGTGGTTCGATTCGGCGGAGGGGTTTAAAAGATTTACAGTAGGGGTCCCTCGTCTCTCTTTCCTGCCACCTGGGAATGGTGAGACCTGTTTCGGGTCGCTAGTGAGCTGAGTGGAGAGACATCGCTGACGAGTGATGATGTAGGTCCCGGGAGCGACTTTGAGAAATCAGATTTTTACTGTAAGACTTTCCGCTCATCTTCATAGTAAAGAACATCGTAGGACAGATAGCGCAAGGTGGAGATTTGTATGGTGTCCATCTAGCTGGTCTTTGATCCTCACACTCCGTCTCATGTAGTGGCAACTGCCTTGACCAGGCCCCAGGTGAACTGGAAGCTGGAACCAAGCTTCCCAGATAGCCTCGACTTCTTATCCGAGCGCGACCTAAAGCGCTATCGCACGCAAAGACGCCTCGTAGGCCCCATCTACCACATTTCCAACCTGAAGCGCTTCGAAGCAGCCGTCGACGAAGTCCTCGGCAAGAGCATCGCGCAGCTCAATACCCTCAAGGGATCCCCGGTCGATCTCAAGGAGTGGATGCACATCATCACCGTCGAGTGTCTCGGCGCCGTGGTCCTATCGTGGTCCCCCGGCCTGCTGAAGCAAAAGTCTGACGGGGGCTCCGGTCCGCATAGCTACCTCGGATGGAGGAAGAAGAGCGTCTTCGGCCTCTTCCCGCTGATCGTGTGTCTCGAGTGCGTATGGAAGTCGGCGGGGCGATTCTTTGCTGTGAGCTGGGATATCACGTATCAAGCACCCAGGAATTTCAAACCTTTCTTCACGGTATGTAAACTAACCGGATGAAGCAAGCGTTTTCCCGCTATTCAACAGAAAGTCCTAATTCAAGACTTTTTCTAATACTAAACGAATAGGGTGTTCATCGGCAAACGAAAAACGGCTGGCCCGGATTGCCAACGGTGAATCGGCCAAAACCCACCAAGATCTTCTGGCAGACCTCATCGGCCTTCACGAGTCCAGGCCCGAGTTCAACCAGGAATACCTTAAGAGAATGACGGTGACCAACTTTGGCGCGGGCCACGAGACAATGACGTCTACCCTCACCTCCGTCATGTCCATGGTCTGCTCCCGCCCCGATGTTCTCGGCCACGTCGTTGATGAGATTGAACAGACTTCCGACGCAGCTCGATACGAAGGATTCAAAGCCAGCTTGAGCTATACGCAAGCATGCATCAAGGAGGCCCAGCGGCTGTTCCCCGTCATCGGCATGTCCCTGCCACGCCAGACACCTGCCGCGGGGTTCCGTGCTCACGGATACTATTTCCCCCAGGCACCACGGTGGGCTGTAACCCCATCTCCCTGCACCGGAACGAATCCATCTTTGGCCCCGACGCGGATGATTTCCGCCCGGACCGCTGGCTCGAGAGGGACAACATCCGCGAGATGGACAAGTTTAACCTGACCTGGGGCGGTGGTTCCCGAACGTGTCCCGGACGGCAGCTCGCAGAGCTGGTGGTGCCCAAGATTATCGTTTCGCTGCTCAAGGAGTTTAACGTCGAGGTCGATGTTCCTCCTGAGGAAACGATGCCGGTATACTTTATGGCGATGATGAGTGGGGTCAAAGCTCGATTCCTCACCAAAGATGCTGGTTGATGCCCTTTGATGGGGTAGGGCTTTTACTATTTCTTCCCCTCCTATCAAGTCCAAATCTTCAAGCCGCACACTGGGGTAGAATTCGACACCTTGTGTCTCTCCCAATAAACCTAGAGCTCTTGGTGATGAGAGGATACGGCCATCGCTACGGGAGACGGCATCCCTGTAGGCCGTAACGCGCAGGAAGCCATTGACTCGCTGATATGAGCGCCAGTATAGTCTAATGGTTGATACAGGCGAGCCGTCAAGGAATGTGCTTCAGAAAAAGTGCTGGCTTTTCCTATTACCCTGTCCTGGCCGATAGACCACCGCGTGGGGCCTTCCTGGGGAGTGAGTTTCGTCGACGAATCATACATGTTTGGTGAACTAGTCCTTAGTAGCTGTAAGAAAGAAGTCATGTGTCAAATGAAACTGGAGAAACGAGAAGACGTAAATGAGATTTCTTGGCCTTTTCACATGCCTGGTAATGGGCAAGAATAGAGAACTTAGGGAGTAAGGCGTCATGTTGAAAAGTAGAAGAAAAATACACCGTTTAACAGAGACGAGTCTGTAAACAGAATCGCGAACCATGCCAAGCAAGCAAGCCAATTTGGTCTTTCGAAGCAAGAGGTCAAGTGGGAGGTCAACCTGGAGGATGGTTGGAGGTTGGCCTTCCACATGGATTACTGGATGCAATCGGTTGGGGGCGAGGCGCGTCGAATTGCTTCATCCAATAACAAGGCTCCGTCTGCCTGTTGGTTTGGGATGCTATCACATATTGTGGCGCCGTGGACTAAATTGGGCCGCTCTGCATCGGGTCGGGACTGCTGTGCAACGTAGTAACGAGACGAGATATCCCAACTGAGTCGATACCGGGGGTTAATACGGTATACCACTTAAACGAGATTCGTTACGCTAGTCATGCTTGTTTCCGGTTCGGGTCCGCGCGGAGAGGGGTATAAGAAGAGCCGTCATGCTGTTTCTTACGGGGCACATCAAGTAGGCGATCTAGCTATACCATACATGTAGTCTTAGTATGCAGCCATGTGGTCTTATTCTACTCCAGCTCCGGACAAGTGCGACGACGACCAGAAAGAGCTACTCGAGATCCCTCAGCAGGAGCTACTGCAGTCTTTAGCAAGGTATCTCCCGCTTCAGATCCCCCAATCATTGCAACTTGGTTCAATTTTGGCCTAATGAACCGCGCATTTTAGACTGCACGAGTCTTCCGAGTATTCAGATCTCACCATAGAGGCTGGTGATCGATCGTACCAAGTCCATCGGAGCATTATCCGCCCACGATGCTCCTTCCCGTTGTTTGAGTCGAAGGACGACGATGGACGAGTTAGAGACACCCCCTTTTCCACTCCGCTTCTCTTCGGCTGGTTAGGTACCTGTGTCTAACTAACGATCTCTTTTAGGAATGGGTAGACCTAACCGAGGAAGATCCTATCGCGGTTCGACTCATGATCCATTATATGTACCGCCTCGACTATCCTCGTCTGACGCACGCCGAAGTGGAACAAACAAAGGTGGCATTGGCTGAAAAAAGGCAAAGGCAAAGCCAGAGCCGCAAGACAATGATCTGGAAGCACCGAGTGGCTCTGAACAGGCTCCCCAAGAGCCGACAGCCGCTATTGATTCGGAGGTACGTGCGGAGGAGGATGTCATTGTCATTTCTCAGAGGGATACCGATCCGTTGCCGTGCGAAGTGGCATCGGGGGACCGAGAAAATGTGCAAGTCCTCGATGGCACGAGCATGAAGTTGAAGAAGAAGAAGAAGAAAGTAAGCCGGGTTTATTCTGAGGAAAACCAGAAGGCCCGGGAACCCGACGAAGATCGGGTGGCGAATCTGCTCATCCACGTTCGCATGTACATGATTAGTGGCAAGTATGGGATCAAGGGGCTCCAGCACCTCGCCAAGGTGCGCTTCGCTAAAGAGGCCTCTACCTGTGTCGAGCTCCCGGGTTCCTAGAAGCCGCGGAAATAATCTACAGCAGTATCTATATCCCGGTGCTGCAGAGTGGCTGGGCATTGCAAGACGAGGTGGTACGAGCGATTCGGAAGGCCCCGTCGGTCCTGGATACAAAGGACATGCAGGGACTGCTGATCAAAACGCCGGAGCTTTCTCTACGACTACTTTTGCAGCAGAACGATTACACCCGAAAGGACTGAGGCTTAAGTGACCCAGTTCGAGGGGGATTCGTATATTGATGCGTACATGGAGTGCGGATAGCCATGAACACTTGGGGAGATTTCCTGGGGACTGTACTTTAGGTCTACAATATTTGGGACACGGAGATGGGTTTGTTGACAGGGCGAAAGTTGCTTCGTTCGGTAAGAAATTGACGAGTGTTGACAATCTTGTGGGCAAAATGCGTTCAATGTTGCAAGGGTGACATCGACGATGTGACCGTCCTGTGCGCAAACGCGCGTGTTGGGAATATAAGTGAGGCTTGCACCTGTACAACGCATGCATGAATCCGTCTTGGATCTATTGGATCAAGGGATGAATGGTATCTGACCAATTTAATGTGCATGTACTGACGCCTGCAACTTGAATCCAGCTCGTTCCGCGGACCACGACTTGATTCTCGCTTCGGACCGGAGTTAAGCGCAGTCGCGTCGCCGGGCGGCTGGTGCTGACTTGACAAACTATTCAGCTTCTCGCGTGAATGCCATCGCCCAAATTGTATCAAGACCATCACTGAGAGAGTCGCCGTAAATTTTCCGCACAGATCATCAATTCAATCCTCCATCCCTCTCTCCCCTTATCCCGGCGCCGATCAAAAATCCTGGCTGTCCTTAAATTCTTTTCTTCTGCTGCCCTCTGCCATTTCCTCACCCTGGCCACATCGCGAAACTTCTCGGCAGCCGCAATGTCCAGACAAACGCGATCATCAGCGAGGATCAAATCCCAATCCCAGCTCGCAAGCTCCACAGCCGGCGCGTCCACGCCCGCGTCAGAACCGGACCCGACGGAATCCACATCCACACTCCCCACCACCGCCGCCGTCACGGCTCCCGTCGCCGCCAAATCCAAGTCCAAACCCAAACCCAAGCCCATCACCACCCCTTCTCTCCCCTCCGACGCCAACCAGTCCCCCACCCCAGACCCCACATCCACCACCCTCCCCATCCTCCCCTTCCCCTCCGCCGCCGCCCTCGAAACCTGGCTCCAAGCCCACCACGCCACCCAATCCGCCGGCCTCTGGGTCAAGATCGCCAAAAGGCCACCGGCGTCCCCACCGTCACCTACCCCGAGCTCGTCGACCTCGGCCTCTGCTACGGCTGGATCGACGGCCAGCGCCGCACCCACGACGACGCCTACTTCGTCCAGCGCTTCACCCCGCGCCGCAAGCGCAGCATGTGGTCCCAGCGCAACGTCGACCGCGTCGCCGCCCTCACCGCCGCCGGCCGCATGCGCGCTCCCGGCCAGGCCGAGATCGACGCCGCCAAGGCCGACGGCCGCTGGGACAAGGCGTACCTCGCCTCCAGCGTCATCGAGGTGCCTGCCGACTTCCAGGTCGCCCTGAACGCCGATAAGGAGGCGGCCAAGTTCTTCGCTACCCTCAACAAGACGAAGCGGTACCCGTTCCTCCACAGGATCACGACGGCGATGAAGCCCGAGACGAGGAAGAAGAGGATCGAGCAGTTTGTGGAGTTGCTGGCGGACCATAAAACTCTGTAATGGTCCCTGTGTAGACCACCCCGGCGGAGTTCGGCGTAGAATTGGGAGTTGCGGACATGATTTTTATCGCCTGCCTTTCGTCCATGTAGATCTATACATAGGCTTTTAACGAGATATTTATCTCGCCATTGTGACACACTTGCCCCCACGTGAATTCATTGCGCCTCTATAGATGCGGGGTCGAGCCAAGACGGGGCCATCATATACCTGGTCAGCCTGGTGCTCCTTTGATTTCAAGTACCGAGGTATACAAGTCCCTTGCCGGATTGGGGCTTAAAGTACCATACACAACTTCCTTGGCAGCCTGGTGCTTATAATACATTGAGACATGCATGTCCTTGCATCCCCGGCCACGCCACACTCTGAAATAGTTACCCGAACCAGTGGTTGATAGGGCTGCTGAGATGAAAAGTGTGTGCTGGCCGCCCCGTCGTTCCTTGACGCATGGTTTGAACTGGCCTACACCGAATAGGCTGCTGTACTCCTTGTAGCCTTGCACAGGCCTTATTGGCCGTGATCGGAGAACCCCGATGGCTTAGACAGCGGGGTCGTGTTATTTGACCCAGCAACGGCCCGAAGATAGGCCCTCTACCTTTCAGCTTTCATTCTTCTACTTCCTCCCTATTCTCATGGCTTGCGCGATCTCTATCGGTGCGCTTAAGAGTACACAGATTTAACGAGGATGTTCAGGAGACCGACAAGATGAGAGGCGCGAGACGCCGGCAGCCTCCAGAACCTGCGAGCAAGGCGAACCAAGAGTCGGTGTGACTAAGCTCGAAGCTGTCTGAACGGCCACTTGAGACCCAATCTCTAGTACAGTCTAATAAGCTAAGGCGGGAGCACAAGAATGATACTCGGGTGACTGCATACAAATATCATGCAGGCCTCATTCCAGACCGTCTCGGCCGCGCAAATCGAGAGACTGATAGGCCCGGGCCTCTTTAGGACTTTTACAATTCAACATCTCTTGGGCCACGTCGAGATAGACCGTTAGGACGCCGTGTAACCAAACTCTAACTAATATTATGCAGGAGGCCGGAATCATTATCGCGGGACATAGCAAATGTAGTTTGGAATACCGGGCCGTCTTATCTTAGATATAGTGGTTGTGATGTCTGAATTGCCTGGGATAAGTGTTCATTAAAGGAAGGAATTCACCCATATCTCCTCCAGGACTGTTTCTCATGGCCTCTTCACGGCCTCTTTAACTAGCTTTCTCATCGTTGGCAAGATCGTCAACTATCGTAGGACCTAGTGGATTGTTATAGATACTAGTTATGATGGGTATGTTAGCCTCGTGGATCCAGCGGGAGTCCGGATGGTTATTCGCTTGGAGGACCTAAGAAGGGGTTGAATAAACGGCCGGGGCCTCGTATACGGTGTGTACCTTGTTAGCTTAGGTATTGCCAACTCGTTCCAGTTGCGTTGGATATAACCGGGCATCCATTCTCACTATAATCCTATCCTCGTGACATCCATGGATCCATGGATCTCTGAGACCTTGAGCCGTGGCAAGGAACCCTCAATAAGTTCGGGTAATCAAAGCTTCTTTGACTTGAGGGTATTCCTTAACCCTACTAAGCTTAGGTGAAGAGATACGGCATCCGGTATATGAGGCAATGTAGACCGTTGCACATCTAGACAAGTTTATTTAGGTAGATTGGCGGATATAGATTTATTGAAGTTACAATGGCCTTCTATAGAGTCTAGACTCTGGCGTTCACAGTGATGCCTGTGAGATGGTGTATGACATCTGCGGCGGCATCGGGGAGAGCGTATAGGTAGGTGCTAGACATGATACAATTCCTATGATAAAATATATCTCTAACCTCATCTGCCTCTTAAGGTCGCTTGTGAAAGTCGCTCGTATGTGCTTAACGCTACTATAGAAGAAGTATCTCGGCAATCTTACTAACTAGTGAATCTAGGGATAATAGATGGTGATTGATCTACTAAGGGTGGTGAGCAGTATCTATCAGTCTTAAGGATTCGGCGCGTTCCCATTTCTATGTTCTTTCTCCACCTCTTCGTTTTCTCTAATCTCTTCATTCTTTCCAGACTCCTTGATATATCCATCCTAAGGGGAATTGTTGAAGTCATAGGCATCGGTGAGGAGCGTTATTTAGACTAGATATCTATCTATAAATGTTGCCACCACACTTTTTGATACTGTTTAGCTTCTTTGAGCGCGGTTACATAGCTTCTATAATATTATTAGATGTCCAGGCATTGAAGAATAATACAAAGAGGAGAGAGGGAATATAAGTATAGACTATTATCTACTGATAACAAAGTTCACAAAATTTTGTCTACTAGCTACATTAAGAGCTGGTGGAAGCCTATAGGCCGCAAGACCTCACAATGACTAACGAAAGCATAGTTAATATGTCGTTTTATTGTCATCGAGTGCACAATATAACTAGTTTATATAGATATATAATGCATCTATGTAACTCAGTCAAGCCCTTTCATAGTGGAGAAGACCCTATTAGGCGGAGGATATATAGAACGCCGTTAGTATAAACGGATATACTATTCGCATGAGTGGCTTACTATGAATAATAGCTGGCTAAGGAGTATCAAGTAACTTTTTAGCCATCTATATCAAGAAGCAAAGACCTCTTATACATCTGATGTATAGGTGATTTTATCTTATGTATGTTCGCCAGCTGGAGTGGCTGCCTGATTCCTTTCACACCTCGTTCCGAGTCTGCCCCTCTTTAGACAAAAAGTGCTATAACTCCATAGGCTACTTTGTAGTGAAAATATCTACCGCGTCTATAAGAGTACATATCGGGGTCTTTGCCGCTTCTCAAGGAGCGAGTGGCTTATGGCGTGGCTCCGAGCTCAGCACGGCGGTCGAATCGGAAGCGTGGGAGCAGCCCTGGATAAAAAAGAGAATTAGGAGATGGATTTATACACTATTGTTATTTTCTCGTGGAGTGTAACAATGGTGAACTATCCTTCGAATCGCCCCAAATAAAGCCTTGCTTGCGCACCACTGTTCACGGGACACGGGGAAGGTACCTGAGACCGAAGACAAAAAAAAGGAGAAACATATTCTTTGGAGAGGGGAGCTGGTACATAAGATGCCGGGCTGTGCTCAGATGGTGACGAGTGAGAATAGAGCTGGCGATGCCCGCCTTGTTTTCAAATTGTACTGATGGGTGTTCATTCCGTGGTGCATGAGCTTGTACCCTCCCGCTGACACTTCATCAATGTGGCTGGTGTGATTTGGTGCTTTCAGTGCCAACATTAAGCTGCGAGGAATTTGCGAGCCCAGGAAAGAAGACTTTACATGTGCCTTTGCCATCGAATCAAATAGATTTCCATGCACCTGGCCGCCTCGCTTGAAACCTGGTGTGCCTTAACTAGGCTCGCTGCCAGTCGATTGAGGAAATTGGCGCCCGATGCTTCCCCTCTCATCGCCCCGCTCCATTTCTTGACTAGACGATCTTCTAAAAGCCCCTAAATTTAAATAACAGTTCCATTATTGAACAGGAAAAAGACTAAGAAATTATATGAACACCAAACGCATCATGAAGCCGAGAAGCCAAGCTGAACAATGCCTATTCTTCGTGGATGACTCTAACATCTGGATCTCGGCGCAGAGAGAAGCGGCCCGAGGCGCTTTTACCGGGATGCCGGCCCTTTTAGATACCGACGTGGACCGCAGACTGAGAATAGACCTAGGCGAAATGCTTCGTGTCATCCGTAAAGGCCGCTCCCTCGGCCAGTTATTCCTCTACGGCTCGAGCCCGCCGTCGAACGACTCCGTGTGGGGCGCCGCCCGGGCCCTCAACTTCGACGTCAAGATCTACGACCGCAGCGGCCACACGCCGCGCGGCAAGGAAAAGGAAGTCGACAACTCCATGGCCGCGGACATGAGCGAGGCCGCCGCCGAGCTCCGCACGGGCGCCCTCTACGACCCAAAGATGAAAAGCTCCTGCAGCGGACCACCTTCATCACCGTGACGGGGGACCGCGACATGCGTCCGGCCATCCAGAAAGTGCTCAACGCGGGCATGCGCGTGGAGCTCTGGGCGTGGGAGTCGACCATTTCCAACACGTACTACCAGCTCGCCGCGTCCGAGGAGCTGCTCAAGATCAGTGACTTGGGCTCCATCGGCAACAGAATCTCCTTTACCAATTTCCGGTCCACGCGCAGCAGCCACCACGTGGATGCCAGGAAGACGGCGGTCCTTTGCTTTCCCGACGCGTTTGACCCATCCATGGATGCCGAGGAGAGGAGACTTTTATCTGCGAACGGCTCGTGGAGCTCCGGCGCATCTTCTTCGTGGGGTGGTCGAACAGCACGCGGGAGATGTACGTCGAGTTCCCGTACGCCATCGACGCCGAGGCGTTTAGCACCATCTTTCTCCGCGTGCGAGAGATGTTTCGGGGGTATCTGGAAGTGATATCGTGGCCCGAGTATAAGACGCGGAGACAGAATCTGTATAACCCTTCGGAAGCCGCGCTGCAGAATACCGGCCGCCTCTACGGACCTGCGGAGCTCCTCAGTCCGACTTTCAGTGACGAGTCATTGGCGGACGAGCCGGAGCAGTCATCCGGAAGCAGCGCCGACGTGCAGCTCAATGTGCCGCTTCCGTTGGGGGAACGTAACATGTGGACAACGGTTGGAGCCGATCAAACCAAGAAGCATAGACGTGCCACGACGCGCACGCGGCCCTGCAAGAACGGCATTCGCTGCATCAAGCGGGGGAGTGCGGGTCGAAGCATACAGATAAAGAAAAGAAACTGTTTCAGCAGCACCCCAAAGTCAAGTTCGAGTATTGGAAGTGCAAGAAGTGCATCAACCCTGAAACTCACGAAGCGACTGGTTGTAGCTTTGCTCATAATGCTGCCGAAGCCTGGTGTCTACGATGCCGGGTGGCTGGCCATTACACCGAACGCTGCAAATCCGGTGTTTAAATAGTCTTAATGGTGCCCTTGTAAAAGAAAAAAGAACACGAAGGGCAACATGAAAGCAAGATGGGTGTGAAGGCTTTTTATTTTATATTTTATTTATAATCTTTTACTTTTTTCTTCTTTTTTCTTTTTGTTCATTTATTTTTATTTCCTTTCTTTTGTTGGTTCAAACGTTTGAAATTTTTACGACATGGATCGACTGAGCAAGCGAGCGCCACCTCCGAGCTGTCACCATGTCGTATTCCGTTGCGGCTTCAGGTCTAAGTCAGATGGACTTCATAAGGCCTCAAGTGCTCTTTGTGCCGCGTCAATCCTTATGGTATGAATAGGGTAAAGGACAATACGTATAAGTGGAACCCGTCAAAGGGAGAATGCAAGCCGGATGAGATGGGTTATTTTGGTTTACGTTTGGACAATATACGGCCTACTGATAGTGAATTTTACGCATCTTCTTTTATAAAACAGCATCTCTTTCTAGCGTCAGAGATCCACCCACAGTCCCTTGCACAATAGTCTTCTCACCACCATCGGCTAACCGGCCTACAGCCGGCATCTCCCCAGCCCAGCCGTCGCCTGAGTTCTAGAGTGGGCCATGAGCGCGTCTGGAACTTCAGATAGACATTTCAAAGCTTCACTAGCACGTTCGCGATCTAAAATCTCGGTCTTGAGGCAGATGCCGACCAGGCTAAGACTCCGAGACTAAGTATCTTTGAACCAAGCATCGTGAAGAACAATGAACTGAAGAAAAGGAAAGGAAAAAGACACAGGTCGGATTCTGAGATTGTATTAAAAGATTGGAGAAGGTAGAGTGCAAGTGGTCGGGATGCTTCGTCGAGATAACACGGGCCAACGTACCTCAGTATAGTATCTATGTGTCCGAAACGCCGCGAGCCGGGGTGGCCCACACACGACGTTGGTTTTATTCAAGGTCCGCTTACCGACGCGGTGGCATTCGATGAATTTTATTCCGAGACCTGCGGGCTAGAATACACAATATGAGTCCCAAAAATCTGATTTCAACTAAATCTCTGGGTACAGAATTCCACGCGGCAAAACCGCTGGGCGAGAATAGCGGAGATGTCATTTCGCGAGGCTCGCCAGTTATACGCATCGGGTAGTTGGGGTGACACGAGATGCAGATGAGCTCAAATGATACTCTCCTGATGGATCTCGCCTTACTTTTGCTGCATCACGAAGCTGGGCGGGTTTCTATTTCTTGTTGCACCATTCCCATGTTGTGCCACCCACCCAGTCATTGTGATGTCACGTAACGGTGCAACCAAGGGGGATGATATGATAACGCTTGGGTTGATCTACATCTCTCGATTTCGAAGTGGCGCTCTCTCCATTATTTTCCGGGACACTCTCATGAGGTAATAAACAATAGCGACCAAAACCAAAGTAAAAGGAGCACATAATCACCCTGCACACTTTAGAACTCACCATGTCTACAGCTATCGTAACTGGAGCGACGGGTATAACGAACCTCCTTCCCCTAATCCGCGTCCCACCAAAGCCGCTAAACTAACAAATGTGTCTTATATCTCGCCAGGTATCCTCGGACGCCAAATCGTCCACCGCCTCAGCGACAACCCCAAACGGTGGAGACTCGTCCACGCCGTCTCGCGCAGCAAAAGGAAGACTTCCGCGGCAGCGTGCAGCACGCCTCCATCGACCTCCTCGGGTCGTCCGACGACATCGCCGATGGCCTCCGAGGCGTCGAGGCCGAGTATCTCTTCTTCGCGGCCTATATGGAGCGTGAGTCCGAACAGGAGAGCTGGGACGTCAATGGGGACATGCTGCAAAACTTCCTCGACGCGCTCGAGAAAGTGGGCGTCGCGCGCTCGCTCAAGCGCGTGGTCCTCGTCACGGGCGCGAAGCAGTACGGCGTACATTTAGGGGCGCCGAAGAACCCCATGGACGAGTCGGATCCTTGGTTGACGGACGACAGGTTCCCTCCCAACTTTTACTACCGGCAGCAGGACATCTTGAAGAAATTCGGCGAGAAGAACGGCGTTCCCTGGACGGTGACGTACCCAAACGACGTGATTGGATTCGCCAAAGGAAACTTTATGAACTTGGCGACGGCCCTCGGCATCTACGCCGCCGTGTCCAGGAGCTAGGCCAAGACCTCGTCTTCCCCGGCTCCGAAGAGTTCTACACCAAGTTCGACTGCTTCACCTCCGCCGATCTCCACGCCGAGTTCGTCGACTGGGCGATTGACCAAGACCAGACGGGCAACCAAGCCTTCAACGTCGTCAACGGCGACATCCAAAGCTGGCAGAGCCTCTGGCCCTTGCTGGCTCGTCGATTCGGCGTCAAGGTCAAGGAGGACCAGTTTGACGGACCCGCTGAGCTCAGGAGCGAGTCTACTCTCTGGGACACGCCGCCGCTCAGCGTTTTTGAAAAGGAGGCGGGCTTGAAGGGGAGGGTTCGACCGGGAAAGTTGCAGCAAAATATCGACATTGTCAAGTGGAGTGAGCGAGAGGATGTGCGACAGGCGTGGGCCCGCCTCGCTGAACGGCACGGTCTGCAGCAGGATGCGTTGGAAAAGGCGACCTGGTCGTTTTTGGCGCTGGTTCTAGGAAGGAACTTTGACCTCGTGATCAACACGACCAAGGCCCGCAAGGCGGGCTGGACTGGGTGAGTCGGTTCTGTGCTAGACTAGCTGTTCCTGCCGTCGCGACTAATTCGTGGAAACAGATACGTCGATTCTTGGCAGAGCCTATGTGGTGTTTTTGAGGAGCTGGAGAGGGATCATATCTTGCCTGTCTACACCTAGCCGGACAGCACTGGTATGCAAGCGTGATCGAGAGCGCTTGGCAGGCTCAGACCGACCTTTTTCATCTTGATATAAACCCGATGGACACCTCAGCATACGCATAGGGCTCCTCCCTCGATAAAACCCCGTTCAATACCATGCAGTTCGTTCGACGTGGGATTTATCATCCTCCCACGATTACTCGATTCCTTTTTCTTTGATTGATAACATCATTGAGGGCGAGGGACGAGACTCCTCTTCGCCATCAGCAGTTGTGGAGAAATGGTTGACGTGAAGATAGGAGCCAAGACTGGGAAAATGGTGATTTGGGTAGAAAGAGTCAACATTCAAGCCTGCAGCCAGTTGGGAGTGAAGGCCACACCATTAGATTGAACAGAGTGGCCAAAAGATTAGGCACTAAAATAAATAATAATAAATTGTTGATATGATGGATGTGCCCAATCTCAGGACTCGGAGTATGGTGACACTTTTGTTGCCTACGGTAGGCTGCCGTCGTTTCAGCTCCCTCCACCGTGCGAGATACTAGGACCTACATGGGGTTTCACGGGGATGGTTCGCGACCATGTCACTTGGCTGAACTGAGAGGACGAGCGGACGTTGGAAAAGGGGGCTGTGAAGAAGGGCTATTGTTCCTAAAAACTCGAAAAGCCACGCTGCCGGAATCTGAATTCACACGAGGTCGGACTGGGGATGCTAGGGATGGTTGGACCAGCAGCACAGCCAAGCCCAACCTGGCCCAGGCAACAAGATCAAGCAGGAACGAGAGGTTAAAAAGATCCCGGATTCCTAACTCCTAAATTCCGACATGGATGTAAGCGTTAAAGGATCGATCCTACCGAATACTAAAATCCAGTCTCCCTATAATAAATAGTGATCGTCTGTCAAACGCGCCGCATATATTAAGACATGGACCTTCTTCAACAACTCAAAAATTATTTCGTCCGCGAACCTGCCCAACCGCCCAAGCAATCCCCTACAATGTTCCGACCAGCCGTCTATCTCTCCAACGACGTCCCCATCCCGGACACCTTTCTCACAGGTCCCCCGCAACCCCCATCACGGTAAAACACATCGACTTTGCCAACTCCCCGCTCACAGAATACGAGGGCTGCACCGCCGTCATCCTCGAGAATGTGTTGTCGCAGGAGGAATGCGACCAGCTCCTCCAGCTCGCCGAGGCCTCCGTTCCCATCAAAGGAAACGAGTCGCCGTGGAAACCAGCCTTAGTCAATGTCGGCGTCGGGATAGAGACTGCCGCGCCCGGCTACAGGGAGAGCGACAGGATCGTCTGGGACCAGCAGGAGGTGACGGATCGCATCTGGGCGCGGTGTTGCCTGGCTGAAGGAATCCAGGAGCTCACCGCAACTGTCCCGGCTGGTTCTAGGGACGGCGTAGGTTCGTGGAGGGTGGAGCGTTGCAACAAGAGGATGAGGTTTCTGAAATACTCGCCCGGTCAATTCTTTAAGCGTAAGCTTTCTATTTCTTTCCCTGGGCCTACGGGCTCTACGTTTACCCTGAAAGAAGGGAGTAAAAAGGGGTGCGTATGAATTTTGGCTAGATATATACTGACTGCTCGAATTAGCCCATGTCGACGGCCCTTACTGGTATGAGGATAAGACGGGCGACTACCAAACCCAGTACACCGTTCACCTGTACCTGAACGACTCGGCGGAAGTCAACCCCGAGTCGGACCTGGTCGGAGGGGCCACTTCATTTCTAGTCCGAGACCCCCGCCGGGGCCGAGTCGACGTGAACCCGAGGGCGGGCAGCGTGCTGATCTTCCAGCACAGCGACCTACTTCACGAAGGAGCCAAGGTGACGAGCGGTGTTAAGTACACCGTAAGGACAGATGTAATCTATAAGTGGGTTCCAAGGTACTAGCTGGACGCGCCGGAGGTCGTGCAGCGTTATATAGCAAGCCACACGTAGATAAATCTCAATAAAAAAGCCGATGCCGCTAATACTAGAAACGTGTCAAATTTTGATTTATTGTATTCACAACCGCGTGGCGCCCTTCGATTTGCGCCGGCCAGCCAAACACGTCTTGGCGCCTGTGTAACGACTCGCATGCGAAGTGGAATAATTGAAGCAGGGGCTGAGTCGCCCAGGCTGCATGGGCCGGGGCGCAGCCCCGAGGACGAAACTATCAATGTGAACTTGCTTAATTAGACTTCCAGGGCCAGACACAGAAACATGGGCTAAGGTATATCCAGGGGGCTTTCATCTTGCGTTGAGAAAGAACTTCAGGACATCCAAAGCAGATGTGACAACTTCAACCCTACCTACCATTTCAACTCATCCGGAAGAGCTGGCGTCGAGCGTGCCGAGTTGGTGGACCTAACAATATTTGAACTCATCATGGACCCCGAAGCAACGAGGAAGCTTCAAATCTTTCTGCGCCGCGCTTGCGCTAGTCTGAAGCACGTTGAACGACCCAGCCCACCGCCTCTAAGAATGACAGTGCCCCTCATCCGACCCCCGAGGGCTGCGAGGGCCGGAAACCCCATCCCTTCGCCTACGCACCCCTCCCGACGGTCACGTCCGTTCGGCTGCTCAAACTACAGATGGACCCAATCAACTCCGCCTTGGACATATACCGTCCCGTCCGCTGCTCTCTCGAGGTCAAGGACCTAAATGACGGCCCCGTTTATGACGCTCTATCCTACACCTGGGAGTGTCCCGTCACCATTTACTCCGACCCCAGCGACGTCTCCCCGACGCCGCGTGGGTCTCCCGGGCCTGGGACATCATCTGCGACGGGAAGCCCTATTCCGTAACTACAAATCTCTACACGGCGCTGCTTTTCCTCCGCTTCCAAAACACTGCACACGTCGTGGTGCATCCAGAGCACCCGGCAGCCGCACAAAGCCCACCGGGCACCGCGCAGCCAGAAGAGACCTTGGCCGAGGAGGTCTCCCCGACGCGCTACGTATGGATTGACCAGATTTGCATCAATCAGTCAGATATGAAGGAGAGAGCCCAGCAAGTAAGCCTCATGGGCCGCATTTATAAGAACGCCCAGGAGGTGGTGGCTTGGCTAGGGGTGAGGACAACTTCTCCCGGGCGGGCCTGGACACCCTCTTCAAAATCAGCAGCCTTGATAGCCAGCGCGCCGAACAACTTCTGACCTACAACACCTTCCGCGACTCCGGCATATTGCGGGGCTCCGAGCTAGAAGGAGTCCGCATGCGGGAATGGGCCGCCGCCTACGCGGTTCTATGCCGGTCGTGGTTTTACCGCGCGTGGGTAGTGCAAGAGGCCGCGCTCTGCGACCGGCTGACTGTTTCCTGCGGCTCCCTCATCTTTCCCGTAGAGGCGATCTATAAAGCCGTCCAGAATATGGTTGAAACGGATAAAATGACCACCCTTTGTGGTATTATGGAAGGGTATATGAGCAAAGAGGATTCGGCTGCCCGACAGAATGTGTTGAATGCAGAGCCTCAACCGTGTTTCCGAATCTATCGGCCGAATGACGTGGGGTGGTTTAGGCCTCAAATTTTCCGCTCGCTTAGCTATCTGAGAGTTTTCGAATTTGGGTATACATCCCGCGTGTACCGGCGGTCTGCCATCCCCGATAGTCAGCCTCTAGTGTTCGGCAGCGTTTTAGGTGCGTTCCGGGGGCAGAAGGCGTCTGACCCGAGAGACAAGGTGTACGCCTTCCTCGGAATTATCCAGGCCTTGCCGCATGGCGATCAATCTTCTCAACTTCTCGTTCCTGATTATACCCAGCCTGTAGAGGCCGTATTCCGGGATACGATGCGGCTCCTTCTCTGCTCTAAGAGTGGACTGTCTAACCTGTACCTCAAGGAAAGCCCAATTTCCACAACCCTCGCTGGACTACCGTCCTGGGTTCCTGATTTCTCATCTCAAGTGAGCGTGTCTCATCCCATAGACGGGGAGCCCGTGGTCCGCAGGCAACTCCCTTGGAAAGGGTGAAGCTATTTTCCCTTCCGAGAATGTACTGCAGCTACGAGGCGTGTGTGTAGGACGAGTCACTAGGACATATGGCTTTGCGAACTTTTTAGCCCTTGGCGTGGATAACGAGGAAAATTCGCTTCTGGCATTGCTTCTAGAACTGCCGGAAATTTCCGAGATCCAAGTTCCTGTCATGACACCTAGGCTCAAGGAATATCTCCGAGGTTGCGGTCTTGTGCTAGAAGATGGCGTCCGCCAGCGTATTGCCATCCAGGATGAAGGGAAGGTATTGCGGCAGCCGCGACTTGAAGTGCTTTGGAGAACCATGATTTCAGATTGCATTGGGGATAGGTATCCCGCTGCGGGGATATCGGCAACACTTTCCACAACCTTTGGAAACTAAGCCTATTTGGGAATATCATCCAGGCTTTGAATGTGCTAAAGACGAAGTTCGGTCTCGCGCAGGATGCCGTTGAGTGTCTCCACCTGCCGTTAGCTAACGGGAATCTAGGTGTGAAGGACTGGGAGTCCTTAAGGTCCACCATATCCCTAATGTACCCCATGCTTCTCATGCTAGGAGGGTGCGACGAAGTTCGGCTGGGAGACGAGATGTTACCCTCCGAACTGGCCGACATCCTGGCCGAGCACGAGGTAGTCCGGCTCGAAGGAAAAGCACAGCCAGGGCAGAAACCCAGGCAATTTTTGACGGAGATTGGAGCTTTGCTCATGATGGAAGGCTGCACGAGTTGAACACGCGTATCTTTAACAACTGCTGTGAGCAGAAGCTCTTTGCTACCGCGCAAGGGCACCTTGGGCTGGGGCCCGACTGTGTCGAAGCTAATGACGAGGTGTGGATTCTGGCCGGGGTACCCACGCCGTTCCTTTTGCGGTCTCGGGGCGATGGGAACCATCAGCTGTTGGGGGAGGCATACGTCCATGGGATAATGCATGGCGAAGCAGGAGTAGGAGCAGGACCAGGGACAATACTCTACATAACGTGACAGACGACGGGTACCATTTTCTTTTTCTCAGCGAAACGAGGATGCGTAGTGCGAGTAAAGAGATGCTGTTCTAGACTACATAGCCTTGGTGTTTATGAAGCGTGTACATGAGGAAGAGTAATGGGGTTACGACGACGGGTTCTTAATGAAGCTTCGTGACTTATTCCATTGCCGCCCTGATCCATCTATCGAATACCCTTGCGTATTGTTAGGCCTTTTCCGGACTGTTTACAAGGTTGAGGGATCTTGAAGGTGAGAGAAAGTGGCGTCGCGAGGAAGAGGTGGCTCTCTGATAGGGAGATGTGCCCGACGTCTGATTTAAACTGAGTAAATTCAAAGCTTGATGGGTCTCACTAAGTCAAGCCCGCGCCGATATGTTGTCTGGTCGGGGACATGTATTACCTAATAGGTGCCGCGCCATTACTTATTCGAACATAATATTCTACCCGGACCTGTGATGGCGACCGGTGCGGTGATCTTCCCCGGGCGTATCTCGATCACTAGTCACGGCTGTTCCACACGCTACGCAGCAATGTGACTATAAGAAGAGAAACATAGACCGATGGCCATCGAGGGAAAGATAGAAGTTAGCACATAACTTGCGGTCGGGGTCTATGGAAGTGTGAAAGGACGATGGAGCTGCGCTCCAGGCCCAGTCTTGCTCTTTCGTATCCCTTCCATATCAACTAAGTATTCATCCGTGCCTTTGCTCTTTTCCGAGGTACAAATCAAACTCTGAATTAGTAAGAAAACAGACATCACCCGACTCCAGGCTCATGGGTGCATAGAACAGGCGACAGTTGGGCCTTGAGAGTCGAGACTCGTCACCGCGCAAGGGTGGATGTTCTTCTTGGCCATCCTGAGGATGGAGAGGGTGGCGAGATTATTTAGGCCTAGCTAAGGCCAATTCTCATAAACAGAGCGCCTTGACTACACTTGCGCTTGGCTTGGCGCCCAGCTCGCATCATATTCGCGTGACGGCGGCGGGAACTCTGGGACCCCCATCAGTCGCGTGCCATGGCTCGTATATTGAGTCATCCGTGCTTTGGAACCACTTCGTCATCCCACCGGCGAATTTTCTTTTACTGTGGCGGGTACGAATCCGCTTATCAAGCTACCTAACTCCGTATGGCCTAACCATTGAGCAAGTTTAGTGTTCATCCTCATGTCGCTGATGCGCACAATCAGCCAGGTGATTCAACTAGGACCTAGGTGAAGACGGAAAAGGGCACCCTCAAATCCCGTGTGACTACTTCATGATATAGCATAGAATTCCCTTAAAGACGTGTATTGATGAAGATTCGGGAAATTTCTTAGGCTCCCAATGAGGGAGTGGGGCATATATCACCCACGAAGAACAACGAGAGACGCCTCGGCTTTATTAGGGTGGGACGCCGGATTGGGTACCTCAAGCTGCGAGAGACTACGGCGGAATCACGCGAAGATGGACAACCACGTGTCCCAGGCATGGCAGGCGAGAATATTAAGTGGCCACGCTGGGCGGGCTTTTCAGACAAGCAGAGATATTTATGGACAGGATTGGGTTCGGGTAGTTGCTCCTCTGAGCACTTAGGAGATAAAAGAACCGCCCGCTGGTGAACGCTCTGGTTGAACGCCATACCGAATGGGCGTGCAAATGCCGAAGGTTGGGTTCTAGAGATAGTCATCGGCACTCGCGCGCCCGCAGCTCTCCACACGCGGAACGCCAAGGTGAGGACATGACGCGATGTTCCATCTTTATGGGCAGTAAACCAGGTCCGTCACGGCAAAGCAAGAATCACCAAATTTTGCAGAGGATAAAACAGCCTAGAGGAGGGGGCGAGGCATCGGGAGTCGACAGAACATCACGGCGCGTAAAAGATCATGTGCTGCCGTGATCTGTTAGATGAATATACCTTCCCTTTGGCGTCGTATGTCACGGATGCGATGGGGGCCGAAGAGGGAGAGCCAGAGAGAGAGAAAATCACGCTACAAGAGAAGGCAAAGGAGCGACGCTAAAATATCCAGAACAAAGAATAAACCCGAGCTCACTCGCGTTGGTGTGACATAGACCAAAAAATATTACGGATAGCAGGATGTCGATCATCCGGGATGCGGCCATGACAAGCAGGGCAACCAAGGAGCAAATGTGACTGGCGGGCTGTTTATATGGCTGAATTTACCACGAGGGACGAGTGTTAGTGTCGCTGGCGGTAGTTGTACAGGAGTACCTGTCCGCTTCGGCTGTTCTTGACGTGCCCCATAAAAACGCATAGATGGGTATTATTGATCTAGATGGAAATGGGCCAGACACGGGTCGGGCTCACTTTGGGGCCCTGCCAAGGGGCGGGGGAGGAACATGACGGACGCGGGTGAAGAAAATAAAAGGTGTGCAGCGTTACGTCTTGTGGCTTGCAAACACGGAACTGGTCGACTCTGGGGCCGCCATGCAGATGCGGATTCCCTCCGAACCTGAAAGCGTCTTTGGCCGTGTCTTGCCCCCCCGCCCCCCCAGACCCGTCTCCACTCCTCCCTCCCTGTCATCGATCTCCCTTCCCTCCCCCAGTCAGCAACCGTCTTACATGGGGCAGTTTTTCATGTTGTGTTTCCTTCCTCCGCCTTTTCCTTTCCCCAGAGTTGTGTGGAGAATGGCTCGGAATCTGCCAAGCGCCCCTCCCTCTTTCCCTTGTGCCTTGTGTTTTTCCTTTTCCAAGCCCACCCAACTGCCGATTCCGCTGTCACATTCACGGCCGGATGCCCAGAGACTCCACTGGACCCAGCATCGCTGCCGTGGACAGATGCCGACAAACATATAACGACAGGAGACCCGGGGAAAGGCCCAAGAAAAAAACAATTCACATATCAGAGAAGCCCAAAAATGGCAGCAATTCCAATGAGGTCAGCGAATGCGGCGTTACTACCCCCATACCATGTGATATGCACCGATCTATACCAAAACTACGGGTTGAGGCTCACGGGCTAAAGGAGGAAAATCCGCATCGAGAGCAAGCCAGTCACACTGTCCCCCTCGTGGCCGTTGGCCGGTAGACCGGGAGATAACCCCGACGCGATGGAGGTCAGGTCATTAAAGGTGAGGCAAAAGCGATGAGCGGGGGTGGAAGGAAGAGGAGGAAGAGGAGAGTGAAGTGGGCAAGGGGGATAAAGTCTCGCTCTGCACTACCATTAAAAAGAAATATACATTGGGCACCCCCTTCTTTTTCCCAACCGGAGAGCGTGGATATCCGCGGCGGTACTATACGGCCGGAGGGGCTTGGGGCCAGCCAAGCAAGTCAGGGGGCGAAAGGGGAGGGGACAGGGCATGGCCTATATGGAATAAAACTGAGCTATAATGAGGAGATGGGACAGACAGGCACGCCGCGCCGCAGTGATTACTTCCCATCTGTCGGCGGAGGCAAAATCGCGCTCCCGTGCCGCCATGGAGCAATCAACGACGGCCTTCATTCGCAAATCACCCATATCCTCCATCCATATACTCCTCCGCTGCCTGGGCTGGGGGCGAAAGCGGCACCACAGTGGAGCTTCGCTTTACTTGTGCTTGTGCTTAGCAACCTCTTGGCCGCAAGGAAAGAAAAAGATTGAAAAAGGGAAAGGAAAGAAATCTTGATTACCGGCCGGTGGACGCTTAAAATGCCTAGTTCTGCACAAACGGCTCAGGCAGACAAGCCTGGTCAAGAGACCTTGGAAGGCTTGTTTTCACGTCTTCGTGCTTGGCCGCGCGCTCTGCCAAGGGGGTGAAAGGAGGGAGATGCGTCGAATTTACGGCATATCGTTTTCAAGGCTTTGGAAGGCCCTGTTTACATTCACGTTCCCTCACGACGTCGATATCATGCCCTCCTTTTCCTTTCCTTCCCTTCTCCTCCCCCCTTCCTTGCCTCGTTCGAGACTATCCATGTGCATGCAGAGCCCCATTCTCTATAAATACCAAACAAAGAATAAAACGAGAGACGAGACCGAGAAAAAGTGTTCAGGAACGAACGCATGGCGAAATGAAGCGGCTTATTCCACGAGCCTCATTGTATCCCCATTCCACGACCTTCTACTCTTGTTCGGGCGTAAAACAGCGCCTGCTATCGATGGTATTATAGCCACCATCACCCATTTCTTCCAAAGTTTTCCTGCCAGGGGCACTTGTTGAGCCCCATTAGAATACAGGAGAACGAGAAAGAAGGAAGAAAGAGACAAAGAATGGAAGAATGGGAGAAAAAAGGGGGAGGGGTGGGTTCCGTTCCTCGTCGCGATGCCCTCGTCTCGCCAAACGCGGAGGGGAGCGCCGTGCAAGGTTTTTTTCCTTTCTTGGGTATCGGGTACTTTGGGCTCTCGCTCGCGTGGGGCGTGCTGTATCGATGCACGGAGAATAGAGTGGCAAGGCCCATCGATAAATGTGCCCTAGATGACAATTCGGCGCTGCACACGACGCCCCCAACCATGTTTTTCTAGGCTTGCGCAAGCCCTCTAGTATCGCGACTATTACAATAATCCCAGACGAGAGGGCCGTGGCCGTGGGGTGGGCCGGCTAAAGTGCCCTCAATGTTCCCCCCGTCATGCAAAGCCAATCAACAATCCTCCGCGTCCGACTTTGGGGAATTTTGACAGGTCCGCGACGGTTTGCAGAGACTGCGAATCCCTTTTAATCAAATAGATTGGCTTCCCCATACCACTCCCAGACTAAACACAATCTCTTCGCCCTCTGCCCCGTGTGTACCTTGGTACCTCGACAACAACCCGACTTAGACGAGTTTAGCCCCACCCAATCCAATCAAGTCAACACCACTCGGGCACTTTGTTAGCCTTCTCAGATTGGCTATGGAATCTATCTCGATATCAACTCGGCGTTTCGGCTCATCACCTATGACGGCAGTTCAGCCGTAAAAGGCTTCCCTCCTAGAACCGCTCTCTCTCTCTCTCTCGTCTGCGCCGACCGGGAGCCATGCACCAACGACGAACAACGAGCCCCATCGCCGAGCCCTTCCCTCGCGTTCTTTTATAGACCCTGTGCGAACGCCTCAACGTCGCACCAGTCCCTTATTTCTTGCCCCCTCCCTCTTCTTCTTGACCCTCCTTCCTTGTCCATCGTCTTGTTCTCCAGGTTGGCCTTGCCCTTTTGTTCACTCAAAACTGTGCGGACACTCTTTGAGCAATCCAGAAAATCCATTCATTTTTCTCCATTGCCTCGCCTTCCTTCATCCTTTCCCCCAAAATGCATTGGACTTCTCTCCTCGCCCTCACGGCGTTGGCCGAGGCTGCCCCCAGTTCGGCGGCGGCGGCATGACCATGTTGCGATTTGGTTGCACCCAGGTCGTCATTGACCGTCTCGACCCCTCGTCAACCCCGGTCAGCTTCCTCCACCCACGTCCACCAGATCGTCGGCGGCAACGGCTTCAACGCCTCCATGACCACTGGCGACGTCTCCGAGACCGCTAGCTGCACCACCTGCCAGTTCTCCGACGATTTCTCCAACTACTGGACCGCCAACCTGTACTTCAGGGCCAGGAACGGAACTTTCAAGCGCGTGCCGCAGTTCGGCAGCCCGTACGTACAACCCCAAGCGAAGAGAGAGAGAGAGAGAGAGAAACAGCGAGGAGGCGAACCAGGGGCGAGCGAGAGCAGAGGAAGTTGTGGTGGTAGTGGTGGTGGTGGTGTTCTCGGAGGCCGTCGCTCGCCCGCGTTCGCCATTCGCGCATCTCTCCAAGTCGTCGAGAGTAAGGGACATGAACCCCTGCTAACCTTGTTTTTCATAGTCTCCAATTCGGTGACCAGTTCTCCACCCAGACCGGCGGTGGTATCCTCGTCTACTACGTCTCCGCCCAGCCCGGCAAGGTCACCGCCTTCGCCCCCGGCTTCCGCATGCTCGTCGGCGACCCGGCCGACCGCGAGAGGCCCACCAACATGAAGCGCCAGAACTGCTTCCGCTGCTACACCGGCCCCAACCACGGCGGTGACACCGGCGCCCCCTGCCAGGACGGCAACACCGACCACGACGCCCTTCCCGCCAAGGTCTGCGCCGGTGGTATCCGCTCCAACGTTCTCTTCCCCACGTAAGTCATTCCGTCCGTCCTACAAAAAAGAAAGGCCAGGGTCCACTCTGTTTTCTCCTGCCTCCTGCCGTGTAACACCGCTAACCGAATATCTTTTTGGTTTTCCAGCTGCTGGGACGGCAAGAACCTCGACACCCCCAACCACAAGGACCACGTCGCCTACCCCGTCAGCGGCCCCGCCACCTTCCTCTCCCTCGGCGGCGAGTGCCCCTCCACCCACCCCGTCCGCATTCCCCAGCTCATGTACGAGGTCAACTGGGACACCTCCGGCTTCAACAACCAGGCCGAGTGGCCCGAGGATGGCTCGCAGCCCTTCGTCCTCTCCATGGGCGACCCCACCGGATTCGGACAGCACGCCGATTACGTCTTTGGCTGGAAGGCCGACTCCTCCAGTCCGCCATGGACACCTCGGGCTGCTTCGGCGCCCAGTGCGCCAGCCTCAAGAGGCAGGATATCGGTGCCGCCAAGGCCTGCAGCGTCCCCACTCTCGTCAACGAGGACGTCGATGGCTGTAAGTTGAAATCCGCCGTTCTTCTTCTGAGAAACAAGAAGAAAAGAAAAAACCCCAAAGTGTGAACACCCGGCTAACGTTTTCGTGACTCACTCTCTAGGGCTCACCACTCTCCCCGGTGTTGACGTCGTTGCTTAAGCGTATCCATAGAGGAATAATGTCCCCGGTGTGCGCGGATTCTGTAATCTCGCAGCATGTACTAAAGTAGGGTGTTTGGAAATCTTGCATCTGCCCCCTTTCCCCCAATGTTCCCAAAGGCCGTTGGCGCTTTTGACTGTTCAACCTCAGATCGAACACCATCATACACACACACAGACACACACAGTGAAGACGCACCTTAGTTACACCCCCATCTGACTGACGGGCTAGCGAGGTAGCAATTTCGTTTCTCGTACCACCAATTTATCCCATCTCTTAAACACCCCGTTAATACACCTCAAGAAATTTTGATAGACCTAGGATCCATCTCCGTTTCTCCACCTATTCGTAGCAGTGTTGATGTAGCAAGTGTGATTTCCTTTTGTTCTGACGGAGGGGTGCCGGCCGCGTAAGCCCTGTAGCCTACATGTACACTTCCCGAGCGGGCATGCAGGCCGCCGTTCTAGTGTAGACCGATCCGAACGGGGCCGCCCTCTAGAAACACGCGGGCGCTAAAAGAGATTCTATGGGGGAAATGGGAGAGGGGGAATCCGCGGAGAAGGAAAGGGGAGGAGGCGCCCTGATCCAACCGATCACCCGTTCAGCCGTGGCGATCTATTTCGCCGTTCGCCAAGCCCTTGTGACCTGCAATATGTTTTCTGCCGCTTCGCCCGCTTCATCCTGTTTTCCGCCCCTGTACTCCTGTACTTTCGCCGTGGCCTGATAGGGTCAGCTTCCCCTTCGCGTAGGTATCTGTCCCATCATTGAATCATTTTCATGAGCATTACGTCTTCTGAGTTCAACCTTGGACGTGACCTCTCAAGTATATATGGGAATGCGTGCAGTATTATCTCTTGTTGTAGAAGATCATCGCTGGAAACCGGGAAATCACCTTTACTCAGATACCTGATATCCGATCTTAGATATATCCTAGGTCCTAGAAGTGAGCTTTGACTAAGCCCAGTTTGTGTATGAGGACTTTTGATACCACTAATGAAGCGTGTGGGCCGGGCGACCCGCTAGTAGGTGGCCCCGAACAGTAGGACTTTGCCTTTAAAAGTTCTAGAATGGTAGTGGAGCGAGGAATCCAGGACTACATATACACCTGAAGTATTACAGTTTGAGAATAAGCTACCCTGTAGTAGCCCTTCTTTGAGATGGCGGTGTGAAGGAAACCGACGCGTTCCATTGCCAGCCCTATCATAGCGTCTGAGCAGTGTTTACAGCTATAAAGAAGTGTGGCGGAGAATGATGAAGCAGCAAAGATTCATTGGCAACCTGGTTTCGGAAACGGAGGCCCGTCAGTCGGCAGGCCCCTACTCTCCTCGGAGAGAGACGGCCCCATGTGCCGTACAGATCTCCACCACGTCTAGAACATGCATGTGGATGTAGATGGCAGGAGTAGTTTACACGGAAACTGGTGCACAATGCGATTGCTAACAATTAAACATGAGATTACGGATTTCACCGCGTTTATTACACCTTTTTAACTTCCTATCCATGAAATACACCTCACAGTTGACTAGGTCCACGGCCAGAGCCCTTTGATACCACAATAAGATCCCTCAACTTGGCAAGAACCCCAACATCCCCTGCGCCTGCCCACTCCCAGCCTCCTTCCCACGCAGCACCTCCAGCAACTCCGCCTTGTCCATCCGCAACGTCAGATTCGCATCACTCGCCGGCGCCGTCTTGAACGCATTCAAATCCCGCTTATGCAGGGTCCCATTACTCAGAACCAGCCTCCACCTCTCCTTGACATCCACAACGTCGAAATCAATGGCAAACGACTCCCCGACAGCCCTCTCCCCATCGAGCTGGATCGACATGACATCGAACCACTGGCCCACGGTCAATGTCGGCCCCAGCGGTGTGCTCCCGCCACCAATCATGCCCGCGCCCTTGCCCGTACGCAGCTCCTGGGCAGCGACGAGGTAGAAATTGCGCCACGTCGCGTTCTCGGCGCCGTAGCCGAGCTTCTCGTACGCCGTCGCCAGCAGGTCCTTGACGCGCGCGTCGGCGGGCTCGGCGGCGTAGGCGTGGTCGAGCAGGGTGGCGGCGAAGCGGGCGTCGCCGGCGTCGATGAAGTTCTGGCCGAGGGTGCACACTTTTTCGACGCCGCCCATGCACTGGACGTAGCGCTTGCCCTCTTCTACGCGGGGTAGAGCCAGAGGTGGGACGGGTTGCCGTCGAACCACGTCATGTACATTTGGTAAATGCCCTAACATTCAAGAAATTTTCCGTGTTAGCTAGATACTGCTTCTCAACAAGTTGAAGCGGCGTTAATTATTCTCTTACCTTGACGTTGTGGCTCAACGAGCCGTAGAATCCCCGGCAGTGCCACGCCTTTTGGATGGCGGGAGGGAGCTGGATGCGCTCGGCAATCTCGACGCCAGTCATGCCTAGGTTCATCATGCGGAGCGTCTGGTCGTGCATGTAGCCATACATGTCCCTCTGCTCCTCCAGCCGGCGGGTCAGTTCGGCCTTGCCCCACGTAGGCCAGTTATGGCTTCCGAATAGCACGTCGGACTCCTCCCCAAACATGACGATGGCCTCATCGAGATACCCAGACCACGCCTTGGCGTCGCGGACCTGGGCACCGCGGAGAGTGACCTGCCGATTGGCGTTAGCAAAATACGTATTAATGGGAGCTGGGGGCGGCGCTTCATTGGCAAACACTTACGATATTGTGCATGCAATTCGTGGCGGTTTCGGGAATGCACAGGGCCTTGAACTCGGGAAAGTGGAAGTTGATCTCCGCCGGCGCTTCCGAGCCGGGAACCATCTGGAACACAATCCGGACGCCGTCGACGACGAGCTCGTCACCGGTCTTCTGGATTAGTGTGTTTGGTAGGATAAGCGAAGTCAGACCTGTGGAAGACCCCATTCCAAGACCAACGCCAATGTGGCCTTCAGCTGAGCGAGGCAACTCCCTTCCGTACATGTAAGCTCCACGACGTCTCATTGAGGGACCAGCCATGATGCTCTCGCTCATCACCGCCTCGATGAAACCCTCCGGCGCGATGATGGGAATCGAGTCGCCCGCGTCGGCCGGAATGACACCCAGAGCGCCCATGTAGTGGTCGCCGTGGGAGTGGGAGTAAATCATACCCGTCACCTTCCTCTTCCCGCGATGCTTCTCATAAATGGCCAGCGCCGCGGCTGCACATTCGCACGAGACGAGAGGATCGATAATAATAATACCCTCTTTGCCTTCCACGATGGAAATGTTGGACAGGTCAAATGCCCTGATCTGGTAGATGCCCGGGCAGATCTCGAAGAGACCCTGCTTCGAGTTGAGCTGGCCCTGCCGCCAGAGGTTGGGGTTCGCGGTGGCGGGACATTCTTGCTCGAGGAACTTGAACTGGTCAATGTTCCACACAACCTCTCCGGCTGCGTTCTTGATGATACCGGGCTCGAGCTTATCGATGAAGCCTCGCTCGGCATCGGCGAAATCTTGCCTGTCTTCGAAAGATGGTTCGAAAGCCATTGTATCCTCTTCTATACTCCCTTTTTCCCGCAGCTGCTATGTCTGTCTCTTCCTTGAAAGAAAAAGGATATGGTTCGGGGCGACTAAAATATCGTATCTTCGTGTCAAATTAGTGCAAAGGGAGGAAGGATGCCAAGACGAAAAGAGATCGTGACTCGAAATAAAAAGGAATATGACCTCATCTTTATTTGCACATTTTAATCCTCACCTTGTGTCCATTTTCACATTCTAATTCGCTGATTTCAAGATCCTATGTCACTCATCGAAGGATGGAAGAAAGTTTGCCGCTAGCGAGCTTGCGCTAAATCGCTCGGCTTCATCGCAAGAACGGCGCTTTTGGCGTGTCCTTCTTTCTTGGCGGGCCCGATCAATGGAGCAAAAAGTCCGGCTTTGTCATCCGTAACCGCCCGTAGCGCATCCCGATTCGGCTTGAATCGTGAACCTCACCGCAAAGATTGACCATCTCCCTCCACCATTACTATCCTGAATAGGCTTCGAACATGCTGAAAAGACTCTTCAAAAGTTATTCTCAAGACACCCAGATTTACAAATGATAACAAACTAGTCTAGTCCGCTTCCCCGCATCCAGTTTTTTTTTTTTCAGGGGATTCCCTTGGCAGGCGGCGGTTACCTGGATAAGGCAATGCCGGATCCGGGGGCCGGCCCACTTCCCCACCACTTCCCCACACACGCCGGCAAACCCACCACCCATCTGTACCAAGAATCTCGCAGACGACCTCTTCCTGTCCCCTGGCCGTTATCTCGATCTGAGTAGCCGAATAAGGGGAGCGGCGGCGGACGGGAAGACGGGACGGGAGAGCGCAGGACGTCGGCGCCCTCTCCGAGACCCGCGCTAAACAGGGCCAAGATGATTACTATTCTTTTTTTCCCATCAGCCCTGCGGAGATTTACCGTCCAATAGACACGTCTTGGCCCTGAAACGGCGGAAGGGCTCGAGGGCAGAAGAGCCAAGTCGACAACGGCGGCTGGACTGACTCAGCTCTTGGCCTGGGGGAGTTGTGCGGTTTTTGCGTGCGTCGTACAGACTGACTTCTTGCCCCGAACGCTTACGGCCGATCTGGTCCATATTAGTCAGGTGCGTAACGCCGATCACATACCACAAGGAAGGAGTCGCCGAAAGGAAGACGCCGAGGGCCGGTATCCAGCAAGGTCTTCCAGAAGCGTTCAGGAACACATATCTGGTAAAAAGATAACAGTGATCGCATGCTTCTCCGAGGAGCGGAATGACGGGCCCGCGAGTCCGCAAGACATGGACATGTTGATAAATTTAACTAATCTTAATCAGTTGTCTGGGTATCCAGGAAAGTGGATGGTAACCATGTCGGGGTGCATGCATTGCCGAAATGTTGGGGTATCTGAATCCTACATGGACCAACGCGAACGAAAAAAATCTCTTTGAAAGGTCCACATAGTGCCCACTTTGTATATATTTCCCCAGATTCCCAATGTCGCTGATCCTCTCTCTCCAACTCCACAGGACAAGCCTCCCGTCCCTATTCCCCATCCCCCTTCCTGTTTTCCCCACTCCTCTCCTCAAAATCTACCACCGCCATGGCAGCCGCCGGACCCAGGGACAGCAAGACGTCTCTGCCCGCCGTAGACGACGCGCTTCACGATGAGAAGCCCAGCGCCGCCGTGCAGCAAGACGTTGACGAGGATGAGGAGTTTACCTCGCGGAGCAGCGAAAAATCATCCACAAGGTTGATCGCCGCTTGCTCATCATCTTGGGAGCCATGCAGGCCGTGTCGTTCTTGGATCGCGCCAACATGTCCAACGCGGCGATTGCGGGCATGACCAAGGACCTGGCGCTCGGCGTGTCCAACCGATACGTAAGTTTGGGCCGCAACCAAAACAACGCCGGTGAAGAATCAAAAATCAAAGAAAGAAATACTAACCTGCCTCTCAACTAGTCTATTACCCTCCTCGTTTTCTTCGGCCCTTACGTTGCCCTTCAATTCCCCGCGGGTGCTTTTGTCCGAAAGCTAGGCCCTCGCATGTTCCTATCATCTATCGTCTTCGCTTGGGGCATCATCATGATGGTAGGTTCTCCCCACCTAGAGATATGAATCGACTTTATCTAACAAAATAAACAGTGCTTCGGCTTCGTTCAGCACTGGCACTCGCTCATCGCTTTGCGGATGCTGCTCGGCGCCCTTGAGGCTGGTTGCTTCGCCGGCCAATACTACCTCATCTCTTCCTGGTACTCCCGATGTAAGCCTCTGATATCCTGCTTTTGAAATAAATTTCGAAACTAACAAATGTAGACCACTTGCACAAGAGAATTTCCGTCTTTTACTTGCTCGGTGTCGCCGGCTCCGCCCTCGGAGGTCTCCTCGCCCTGCTCTTCTCCCAAATGAAGGGCCTCGCGGGCTACAACGGATGGAGATGGATTTTCATCATGGAGGGTCTGATCACCATCATCGTCGGCGTCCTGGGCTTCATCTTCATGGTGGATTTCCCCGAAGACGCCCATAAGGCGTGGGGATTCCTCAACGAACGCGAAGCTGCCTTCATCGTGCGACGAATCAACCGCGACCGAGACGACGGCGAGCCTGAAGCGTTTGCCTGGAGGAAGTATCTCAAGCCCGCCAAGGACCTCAAGGTGTGGGGCTTTGCCCTGTGTTTCTTGTAAGCTGAGCCCGGGCGACCTTTCTATTCTTTTCTTTTTCTTTCGTGTTTGCTAATATTTCCCAGCTGCTCTACCGTCCAGGCCTACTCCGTCGGTTTCTACCTCCCACTCATCATCCAGGGCAACATGGGCTTCTCCGTCACCATCTCCCAGGTCCTCAGCACCCCGCCCTACGTCTGCTCCATGATCTTGATGTTCATCCAGGGCTGGCTCTCCGACAAATACCGCGTCCGCGCCCCCGTCCTCGTCTTCAACGCCCTCATCAGCATCCTCGGGCTCGTCCTCATGAAGTGGGCCCCCTCCGCCGGGCCCCAGTACCTCGGCTCCCTTCGTCACGGCCGGCGCCAGCGCCAACATCGCCTCCGTCATGGTCTACCAGGCCAACAATATCCGCGGCCCCTGGAAGAGAGCGTTCTGCAGCGGTAGCATGATCAGCTTCGGAGGCACTGGCGGTATCGCGGGTTCGCTCATTTTCAGGGCCCAAGACAAGCCCGACTACTTGCCGGGCATGATTGGCTGCATCACGTAAGTTGATATGATGAAAGTCGGAAGGCTGTACCTGTCAAAGAGGCATTCCTGCTAATGAATCTTTTCCTAGTGCCAATGTCATCATCTTGATTGTCGTCTCTCTTCTCACCATTCACTTCTACCGCAGCAACCGCAAGGCGGATCGCGGCGAAAAGGTCATTGAAGATCTTCCTAGCTTCCGCTATACCATTTAAAGGGCGGGAATGGTCTTTTGCTATACTGTCGATTAGACAACTGATATGAGCGACCCCTGTTGCAAAACATCCTGCCTAAATTTCGGCGCTTAACAGTAGGTGGGATCCTACTGATGAGACTTGTCCCGTGGCTGGAATTTCAAGATGTTTGAGTAAATCTATTTACCTTCAATAAACGCGTTTCCGGTTCATAGAATCACGCATAGCCAAGAAAAAAGTGCTTTAATACAGAATACATGTCATGCCTGTATTCAAGAAACAGGCAAGTATTGTCCGGATCTCTTATCGAATCCCACTTCCGAACACTACCGGAGCTCTCTTGAGTACTTCCGGGGAGTTCATCATTATGACTAGAAAGCCTTATCAAGGCCGACTGCTCCGTTTGCATGAAGAGAGTCCACCGCCCCCTTTTGTTTTTCTTTTATCTAAATATCAAGTCTCAGGCGCATGGATATTCGTTGGCCTACGTTGAAGGCGTCACTGAGGTCGCTGTCTGTACCGCGGTTACGTTGGCGAGCTCAGTGGCCTGATTGCGCACCTCCCCCAGCTTTGTGTGGGTGACTTCTAGCCTTTCCATCGCTTGGGTGGCAAGTTGTGTGGCGTATTGCTCAGGCTTCAGCGTGGCGGTATCAACGCCGAGCGCTCGGAAATGATCCTTGAGGTTATCCCAATCCCATTCCGTCAGCGACTTGATCCCCAGCACCTGCCGGCATACCATGGCGGCAATGGCATTGTGAAGGCCTTGCAACGCGTTGCCGAACTCGATGGCTACGCTGGCGTCTATATAAATTTTGTGGGGCAAAAGTTAGCAAGCTATCCTGGGAAGCATCATAATTATACAATTCAGTCTAGCCAGACGGTTGGGCGTACAGTTTTCAGCGGTCCTGTTTGCTGACCGGTCGAATTCCTCATAGCACGCCACTCCTACGTGATACGCGCCGGTAGTGGCCAACACATAAGAGACACCGGCGGGAATGAGAGGAAGACTCCCAAGAGGAGCAACGCAGCAAGGGCAAGGTCGGTCGAGCCACCTGCAATCCAGAGTGCTCTTTCACTGCCCCCTTCTCTATGCTTTTGGGCGATCAGCATTCGGAACTCGTTTGCCTTGAGCTGGTGTTGAAAAACCACTTTCCTGGTTGCTACTATAGCGATGAGAAGCTTGTAAAGTTGCCCATTGCCGATGCCTGCATTAAAAAGACTTTTAGTTATCGATTCCCACTCCAATGTCGACTTTAATGTCCCAACGCCTTACCGCGATTATTCTTCAGGCGGTGGGTGTATCTCCTTATATCGTTGACCATGTCGTCAATGCACCCCATCGATGAAAAGACCTCGTCCCACGTCGCCTGGATTTTCGCCTCAGTCTTGCTGACCACGGCCTCCTGTGAAAATTTTGATGCTTATGAGTGCCGGATTCCAGAAAAGGGAAAAAAAAAAGAATTCGATCAATGCGAGACATTACCTGTGCAGCAGGAAGTGGTGGTATATCTTCCGAAAATTGTCCAAGTATATCCGGCATCGCGTCTGGTAAACTTCTCCTCCCTTCTTGAACCAACTCCACAATGCTGCGGACACCTCTGGAGATGGCACAGGCCCTGGAAACGCCTCGTGCGGCACATTGTATGATTTTGAGACTGAGGGGAATGCAGTCAGAAAGCTCCCATGTACTTGCCAGTGGAGAATGACACGGTTCGGGACTTACAATAGCCGACGAATATTGGGTTTTGGAGGAACGGGTGAAGAGACCATGTCAAATTGCAGGGCTAGGGAGTTCAAGACTTGGACACGACTGTATGCTTGATTCTCGTCGGGCCAGATATCCCGACCCTGTGCGTGGATGGTGACATGTTGCGGCTGCTTTTGTCTCTCCTGGAAGAAGTTCTCGATGACTTGCAGACTCTCGTTGAAGAACAGACGCATTAGCACATCCGGTGCTGTCGGGCAGGGTGAAGCTTCCGACCACTCAAAGTGTAGATCAACCTAGAGAGAGTAAGTGGAATGGTGATGTTAGGATACACAACTAATGGGACCCGATAGCCTCGGTAGTGTTTCCCACCTCGACTGGGACGAATAAATCCCCGCAACCTTGGCTTGTGTGCCGGACACTCGCCGGCGTTACACGCCAGCCTTTAGGTGCAACCGACTCGCAGGCACCAGCGAGAGCTTCGTTCACGGAGAACTCTTTTCCCGCGTCACTAAAGTACCAGACTCGCAGGCGAAGGTGCCCCGACCGCCTGTCGGTAACATGATCTCTGTTCATGGCCATGGGTTGAAATTTCAAATTTGGAGGGGTTTGGACTAAATTTTACAAGAAGCTATCGCTTGAGGAGGGGGTGGGGAGGGTGTTTCACAAGGCCTAGAAACTCGGATTTGGAAATACTCTGATCTATGGTAGACTTTATATGAGAGTTGATACATATGTATAGTTGGAGGGGCGGATTGATGCCAGCCCAAGCACGACATGGAGGGGGAGAGGATGTCAACGAACAACCGAAAATTCCATGTAGAAGACGAAGAAGAAAGTGAGGCGCGAGCCTGGTCCCACCTGCGACGATGGAGGCTCCGTTCGGTGCCCGAAGAAAAAGTGGGCATTGACCGAATGGGAGCCGGCTCTATCGTCGCCATCCCACCGGAGTTTATTCCTCGCTCTATCTCGAAAGCTGCCCGAAATGCAGCCGGCCTTGGGCGGCTTGTTCCACAGCATATGCAGATCACGAGAAGCAGCCAGACACGTTTTACATCAAAGGACATGTATCGTGGCAATTAATGCCTGAGGCATAATGTGCAGGGCTTGCCGCCAATCAGCTTCACGCTTAATTGTTCATCATCGGTGCGTGCGTGAGCCAAAGTGTACAGATTAGCGATCTCGGATTCAATGAACGTGTCATGTGAAACGCAGCTTGGAAGCTGTCCATGCTCTTTGTAACTCGACGCGAGGCTCAGTACACCGACGAAATTGCATCCCCTCTTTCGGGCCCATTCTCGCATTTCTGGGCCCAAATTTTTAAATCCTTCTTTCGACCCCCTTTCTTTCAGTTACATGTACAGCCTGTCTCCTCCCATCGTCGAATAGGTGAACCCGCCCCCTTCTATTCGCATCTCCTCCCAATCACCCCACTCAGTCAATAATGGAAGAAATCAGTCGGACGACAAGCCATGGCGGTGGGAGGAGACCCCTGCCCAATCCCCAACTTGCCTCTTCCTCGATGCCGGAAGACGAGTATGAAGATATCGTCGCGGATCCCTCTCCCCACGGGCCTGGTTCCCGAGAACAGTGCGATGGCTCATTTCTCGACCCTTCGAATATATGGATAGAATTTGAGGCGGTGAGGAGCTCTGCTGAGTACCACGTTGCTGAATATTTGCGCTACTTGGCCCAGTCTCGATCACCCGCTAACGGCGGCGAGATATCGCAAGGTAACTTGGGCCATCATTCTAAACATCACCTCTATAGATCACAAGAAGCTTTGGGCCGGGATCGCTAGTCTCTTGTGGCAAAAATTTGGCTTGGGATATGCAGCTGATGAGAAAAAAACGAAATCTAGAAGCTCAAAATATAATCATCATTCGTCTGAAAATCGCACGAGACAGTGTGATCCGTGACCTGCTGATCATGGAAAACATTCTCTCTTACTCAGCAGCTCTCAGGAACCCCCAAAGTTTCATCCACGGCCGCTCTCTGGTATGTTCCCTCGCGTTGACTCCTTGTGTGGTCCTCTGATGACTTCCAAACTAACCGGTAGCATCATTTGCCCCATATAGCACTCTTACGACTGGTATGGCGGCGGTCGTCAACCACGCCAAAGCTGTTGTGCTCTTCTCGCAGTTCGCGTTTGTCGCGAGCGCCGTTACTCTCGCGGTGCCTCCCGCTTGAATTGGTACCAAACGCGCAACCACACCGCTGCGCACGCCAGTGTTGAACAGCTCCGGCGGGCCTTTGAGAGTGATATCAACTCGATCGACGATACAAGTCGAAGGACCCTAAAACAGTCTAACTTCACCTTTCTCAGGCGGGCTCATGCCTACTGATGAGCCGCGGCATGACTTGCAAACTTCTCCCCAAAAAGAAGACAGATCAAAACTGAAGCCACAAGCGGCAATGAATATCAGCTCATATAAAAAGTCTCTAGGAGTCAAAACGAACTCGACAATATTTGGTCATAAAAGTAACATTCAAGATTTTAAACAATGCCTTCGTATACTTCTCCAACAGTCAATTCAGATAAAGATAACATGATGCACCCGAAGATGGCCCTTCGTATCTGGCCCTATTACTGATTTACCGGGAGCTCTGAACTTTAAGCATGCTGACCCTTTCAGGTGATTAGTAGACTCCAGCGTAAGAATGCCCCATTATTCCCGATATCAATTTCGTAGGTTGCCCGACCGACCAGAGTTCCCGAGTGATCGAGATATGCGAAGCCATTTCCTAGTCTTGCACCCGCGCCTTTATCGTCGTAGAGTTGATGGCCCGATTCCATCATGCTCGTTGTCCTTTCTTCGTAGCCAGCGATACCAACAGTGCCATGCCCGACTTCAAGTTAAAAGAGAATTGCCCATCATCGATGCCGCTTTGTCCCTGAATAAACTGACATGTCGAGGACATAGAACCATGATACATTTCTGAACTTTGCGTGTATTGCAGCATGTGAGTAGTATCCTGAACATTGTCTAATAATTTGTATGCGCTTTACGTAGCTAGAGAGTGAATTGTCTTCTATCAAATCCTCGGTTGATGTGTAACTAGACATAGCTTCAGGACGAGGTGGGTTCCAAAAATTATACATAAATATAGATGTCGTGATCAAAGATCCGGGACGATGCTGAGTTGCGATCAACTTGCGTCAAATCAAGTTCCATTCGCGGGCTGCTTATAGACCACATCATCAATTGTCGTAGTCAATGTCCCACTAGCGTTGAAAATGTTGGTCATGACATCGATCTGGAGGTGGAAGCCCCCAGGGCCCGTCTTCTTGGTGGCCTCAACGGACCCAGTCTGCGTGAGGTCCGAGAACCAGTGGACGACCTGGTTCCAGGGGTTCGACAAATCGAGCTCACGGCTAAACTCTTCCGCGCCGTTGATAACGTATCCCTCCTCGTCGCAAAAGTCTGAGTAAGCCACCGATACGGAGCCGATGGCGCCGGGGATGGATGCATCTTCGGTGAAGTTGACCGATGCTGAGCCCGACACCCTGCCCGCAAGTGTGAACTCGCCTGGTTGGAAGACGAACTGCTGAGGAGCGCTGGCGCCGGGAGGAAACGGCGTGGCCCAGGGGATCGCGTCCGGAACCGGATATACCGGGGCCGGGGCCTTGGGCTGCCGGCTTGTAAGGTTGGCAACCATGAGCCGGTACTCGCGGCCGCCCTGGGCCGTCGATTCCGGGCATGGAAGGGGGTTATCCCCACCGCAGGAAGGCGCAACCACTAGACCCTGGTAATACACGATGCGTGTGCTATCCGGCGAGAACGCGGGATCCGCCAGCCCGTTCCAGTTAGGATCGTTGACGCTTCCATCGCTCCCGTCCCCGGCAGCATTGACCTGCTGGCCAAAATAATCTCCTCTATCGCCGTACTTATCGATAAGGATGGGCTGGAAGAATCGCCGCGGGCCATTGTTCCGCGTCGACGCGGCAGCAGATACCGCGAGAATGTCAATCATGGGCGGAATCCAGCGCATGCCCGACATCCACATTTGGCGATCCGACCCACGCGTATCCATGGCGATGACCCACTCGTCGTCGTGGGAGACGGCGGCCGGGTCGACGTACTCCGGGTGACTCGTCAGGCGGCGAATAGCGCCCGTGGTAACGTGGACAGCCATGAGGTCGATGTTAGTGGACTCCCAGGGCATGCCGATGTAGATGATTTCGTCGCCGGACCCGCTGAAGCCCCGGAGCTCGCCGACGGTGATGGCGTCGCGGTGGACTTGCAGCTCGTCGCCGACGACTTCGATCGGAGGTTTGCCGTTGAGCTGGAGGAGGAGGTTGACGTCGACCAAGTCGTACCGGGGCACCTGGGGCTCGCCGGTCGCGGGGTCCGGGTTGAATTCGAGGCGTGCCAAGAAGGTGTTTTGGCCACCCACATCAGTGAATGCGTTGAAGCCCATGTGCACGTCGTCGGGGTGCAGCCGTAGCTCTCGAGCAAGCCCGCCTGGTCCTGAACCGTCTGCGGTCGTAGGCCAGTGGATAGGGTAGATGTGCGTGTTCTCGGGGTCGCATTTATCGAGCGGCACGCTGCCGCAGTCGATGATGTTGTGGCCCCAGAGCGCCTTAGTCCCGCTGCGGAAAGCGTGGGGGTAGTCCGTCCGCGGGTCCAGCCCGAGCGCGTTCTCGGGCGGCACGGCGCAGGTCAGACACTTCCAAGAGTCGCCGTTGGCGAACGTGGTTCCGTCGACTTTGACCAGGATGAGCTGCTCGCCTGCATAGATGCTCGCCGGATCTGGGGATGCGGGTGCGCCGACGAAGTCGACGTTGACAACTACGTGGTTCCCATCGGGCGTGAAATCGCCGGCCTGGAACTTGTCTCTATCTTTTCGGATGCATCCCGTCCCTCGAGGATTGAGCAATGGTGTACATGCTCCCTGTTCGGTTGACGGGGCCACCGGAGGAAGAGGGATCTCGATGACGTCAATTGGTTCTGGAAGAGGTGGTGGAGGGATGTCGGATGCCGCGACGCGAGCTGCGCCCAGGGCGAGACCTGCTGTGAGGACGGGAGAGGTGAAATGCATGCTGAGAGGTGATTCCTGGGGGTCGGAGGGAGATGAAGGAGAGCGGCTTGGACAACAAGAGATGCAGACCTCATTGTAGTGACCATCACCACCTTTTTATAAGTAAATATATTAACAAAACACTCAAGTTTGTGGACGCGTGTGCCGTCGTCAGTGTCTCATCGAGGTGATATGCGAGGGTTCCTCTGAGATTGAAGAATTCGCCCGTGCAGGGCCTTTATGATGATCTCGTCCTTGACTTGAGCACATATTCAACCCACCAGTGACCAATCATGGACCAAAAGATACGCGGGACCCACGGACGGGCCGGCGTTCAATTCACCGTATTCCATCTTGGCCGGCGCCGAATACGCGTATACTACCCTGGCTGTGGGGCACTTGCCGCATCTGGTAAAGCTTGGCGCTTGATTAACCTTTTCGTATCCGAAGCCGCCGTCACCTTGGCTTGCGACGTCTTCCGGGTCGCCTATGGACTCCAATCCCGTCTCTGGAATGATGGCCTTGCCCGAAAATAATATCCGGATACCTTGGCTTCCCCGTTTCGGCGCTCATTTAGCATGCTCATAGGCATTCCATGCCCTGTTTCGCGAGCCACGGTCGAACTCGAAGCGTGCAAATGATAGAGAGCATTGATCCCCAGGCACCATCTTTCGCGCCGTCTGCTTCCTTTCCTAATATCTACGAGTATAATCTCACAAGGAGTCCTCTCCAAGAAGACTTGTGTTTCTGTACTGGGCTCTGCTCCTGCTCCAAAAATTATGAAGACCCTGGTCATGTATTCACTGGCTCGGCGTGAGCTATCACGTGATAGCGCTACCTCGACGCCTTGAAGATCACAGCACGCGAGGCCCCTGGCGCTATCCCATTCACGTCGTCCACAGCGCGGGGGCTCCCAACGCGATATCACCACCGAACCGAACGGATCGACCCATTCCGGCTCGTGCCGCTCTCACCACCCTCAGCATGCCAAAATACACGGAAGAAGCGCTACAAAACGCAATAAGAGACGTCGAATCCGGCACATCAGCGAAACGAGCGGCCAAGACGTGGGGCGTCCCTCGGTCCACGCTGCAAAACCGAGTCAGGGGCAGCAAACCCCGAAGGGAAGCCTATGAGTCCCTACAACGGCTCCCAAGGACCAGGAGCGACTCCTGGTCAAGTGGGCCGTGACCCAGGACGCGCTCGGTTGCCCGCCGACGTATGACGAGATTCGCAAATTTGCCATGCGGATCCTGGCCAAGGCGGGAGATCTTGCGCCGCTGGGAAATCACTGGATAGAGAGGTTCATGGCTCGACACCCGGAAATAAAGGGCTCTCGAGGTAAGGGCTTGTAACACTGGTGCATCATGAAGATCGTTCGCGATGACGGCTGAAATAGAACAAACCGAGGCCAAAGGATGGAGACTGACTCACATTTGAAGCAGGAAGGAGTGGCCCTAATCAAGTCAGGAGCACCGAAATAATATAGATAGAATAGGTACCATGGCAGGTCCAAGGTATCAGTCAGCAGCTTTGAGGAGAAGACTATTAATGAGAGCGCCCATCCGCGATTGGAGATTCAGGGTCATTACGCGAGTATAATACGGAGTGTCTCGCCTGGTGCCAGAGATCAACCCCGTAGAGTCTATTATATTTCGGGGTAAGCTGTCTAGTAGTAAGGAATTTGCCCTTCGCTAGCCACCGAAAAGCGCTATACCTCAACTATTTGCCGGTGGTTGTTGAGGAAGTAATGTACCGGATGGAGATGATAAGCAAAGTAGATCAAAGACATAATATCATCTTATTTTTCTTCACCCTCAGAATAGCAGACCCTATAAGGAATGAGCCTGTCGATTATGGCGTGCGACGAATTAGGATCTATAGCTTGTATTCCAAACAGCATCAGATTGAGGTTCGTGTAGCGTCCGACAAAATACTACATGTACTGCATGGGTGCGTTTCTTGACTCAAAAGAAAAGGACAAGTCGGGATCTAGGCTTCCAGGAATTCTTTGCTATTGTCTTGGTGGACCTCTACCGAAACACCTTCTCCCATCTCGCTCATTTGGCTCATCACACGACGTCGAGGAACATGAGACAGAGCAACTCTATAGTAGAGTTTTACACAAATCCATGGATCTCGATAGATAGGATCCAGAGCCATTGCTACGGTTTCACAATAACAGGGAGCTCAGCGCTTGATGGCCAAGACCGGGTTGCTGGGAGTGCTGGGTGCTCAGCAGGTCGTGTGACGGTCTCTTCTCATCTCTTGACTCAGAAACGTTTTCGCAGGCGAGCTCTAGGCCCTGCATTGAGGCTTCATCCCAGATTGACCTTCCATTTTGCCTGCTGACCATGATAAGGCAAATCCTGCAGCTAGGTCACTTGCTGATGCCTTCTCTCCAGCCCCGACCCCCGCCCGACCGAGCACACATCTACGGGTATACCCGTGTCGTCGGGGATAGAGACCCCCAAAAACCACCCCCATCCTGTTGCATCTGAATTGAGGATCTCGTCGGGGGAAACTCACATGATGCTATTCTTATCTGTTCTAGAAATCCTTGCTGTCAACATCGCCCAAACTTCCAAGAGACGCAGGCGGTCGTCATCTAGCACATGCGCTCCTGCAGCGACCGTGTGTCGCACAAATCCCGCGCTCTTCATCGAGATTAGACCATTGTACAAGAGAACGAATCATACGACAGCTGACGGTCCTTGGGCGAGGAGATCAGCCATATCCGCCGTGTGGGGTAAAACTTATTGGCCGGTACTATTAACACCAGACCTTTGAATATAATGGATATAATTGCCCCCCTTAGTGACCGCCATCCGTGCGTGTGGTCAGGAGATTTGCCAATTTAACAGGCTTAATTCCTGGCATTGAACAGGCTTGTGTATCGTTCTAGAATAATTTGTCCGTCGAGCGAGTCGAGCACCGAACCTGATCATCGCCCAAAGGCGCCGACGGCAATAAAGGTAGATAGATGCCTGCCATGCCGCGCACGCACCGACGAATCCGTGGGAAAAGGTCGATTAGCTTATATCCGCCCGCCCTGTCGTTTTATGTCATCTTCCTCGTTCCCTTTTGCTCGCTCCTTTCTTTCGTCGACGGGTGCCGCCCTCCCCTCTGGAATTTGTTTTTTTGGTAGGGCCCACAGAAAGTCGGGTGTTTCGCGCGCCAAGAACGTAGTAGATTTTAATGTGCCGGCCGACTTTGACGGTGAATATTCCCCGACAAATCACTGGCGCGCAATTACAGATAAAATCGACGGCCAATTTATTCCGTGACAGCTGCGTCCCGTGGATTGCCGGACGTGTCCTTCCCCCCCGCATTTTCTTGGCTTCCCCATTTCTCTTTGGTCGGGCGCCGCCCCGTCCCACCTGCCCACTCCGTCTTCCGCCAAAAACTTCGCGGGCCAAGCCCTCCGCAGGGCGTCCGCCAACGCATGGGACAAAACTCGGGTTTGGGGGTTTTTTTCTTGTGTGCGTGTGCCCTTTCATGTAGATTACATGGAACATGATCCTGTCCTGTCCTAGGAAGATTCCTCCCCTTCCGAGAAAAGTCCTTTGTCGATTCGCAGGGGATGATGTTCCCTTTGGGGTGGGTGGCAATCTACGTCGGGTATTATGGGCAGGATATAGCGGAATGGGTTAATCAATCAATAGTGCCGGAGGCGCGCGAGCGGCCACCGTCACCGATGGGGATTCTGGGGAGAGGGAGGGGGATTTGAGGAGAACGAAAGACTGCCGACAAAGGACATTGCGCCAGCGCCCTGCTCCAAACGGAGAACAAGGAATCAAACATATAGTGTCTTTTCCATCAGCCCAGTGAGTGGGCGTCGTTCTTATAATACCAGTCTTATGCCTCCGTAAAAGCCAAGTTTACTTACCCGCTCAAGCCCAAATTGTACGTGTCGTTTCCTGTTTGCGCTTTCGGCGAGGGCCATTGTTGGGGTTCGCTTTTTTTTCTCTTCTTCGAGCGTACTCTTTTATTTTTCCCCTCTCACAAGAGTAGTAGTAGTACACGCCTCTCTTCCGCTGTTGCATGGGCATCTTGGAACCACGCACCTACATCGACATCATGAAGGCCACTTTCCTCCTCTGCGCCCTAGCCGGCCTCGTTTCCGCCTTTCCTGCGTCTGATGTGGCGCCCCTCGAGAAGCGCCAAAAGATTGTGACTGGTCGGTGGTGCAGCCCGATCACGAGCCTCTGCTACGTCGACTACACGACAGATCTCAAGACGTCTTTCCGGTTAGCCATCCCGGACAACGCCGTGGCCGGGTCCAACTTCGACATCGCCATCCAGATCGTTGCCCCGACGAACCAGGGATGGACGGGACTATCGTGGGGTGGTAGCATGACGGATGCCCCGCTCACGGTTGCGTGGCAGAACGGGCAAGCTCCCGTCCTTTCTTCCCGTTGGGCTGGGTGAGTTAGAAGGCCTCCTTCCACCCCCATGTATAAACACAGCGATTCAGAAAAGGAGGAAGAAAGAAAAAAGGGTATTTTCGGCCATAAAAAGCTAACGCGGCCGTCCATTTAGTGGCCGCCAAGTGCCTACTGCCTATGCGCAGGCGACCTACACGATCCTCCAAGACACGGGCGTCAACGGCACACACTACACCCTCAGCACCATCTGCAAGGGCTGCGCGAGCTGGACACGTGCCAGCGGCAGCGTCAAAACCCTCTCCCCCACCGGCAGCCTCCGCCTCGCCTGGGCTTCCAACCCGCAGGCCAACTCGGTGGCCCAGCGCGCGAACCCGACCTCTTCCTTCGAGTACCACCCGTACCACGGCTACATCGACGGGAGCTTCCCCGACGCCAAGGTCCCGGCTGCCCAGTTCCAAGCCGCGGCGGCCATGGTGAGGCCGTAATACACTGTCTTTTTGTCGCCGGCGGTGTTTTTCTCTTCCGTGCGCGCACCAACTTCTTTTCCATATATGGAACCAAACTCTTGTTTTTGTTTTCTATTTTTTTATTGCGTCGTCCACTTTCTCAAGCATGATGTCGGAACATTTGTGGATAGAGACAAGGCATTCTAACCAATTCTCTGAGGCGGGTTTTGGGGGTTGGTCGAGAGCACTGCACTCTCGCCCTTGCTCCTCTTTGCAGTCTGGCCGCGTTCGACTCTCAAGGGTTCCTCAGACTCGCTGGAAGGCTAACGATGATGAATTCATGCGGGGTCGAACACGGTGAGACCAGCGATTGTACATACAAAAACCCGCTGTCGTATATATCACGATTCCTTTTCAAGTCATCCGCGTTGTACTTAACATGTCGCTTGTAACCTGGTGAAAGAATTCTAGGATCTCCCTCAGAATACCTGGTCGGGCAACAGTGATCTCGAAGATGAAGCGAAGAAGTGAAGCACAAAAATTCTTTCCAAGACTTTTATCAACTAACAAAGGTAGTCAAAATCAATGGCCCAACACGTTTGCTCCCAACGCTCTTTCGCTGCTACTATAGTGTACCGCTAGTCTGCGAGCCCGACGAAACTCCGGTGAAGTGTCTTGATCGCGTCATTTGACATTGGAAATGTCTACGCAGGCCGGATACATCTCCCCATGCGCCTTCCAAAAGCCAAACCCGCCACGTTTAATCCCATCTGCTCTCCATTCGCGCTAGGGTCTACGAGAAATAATTGCCGCAGCACCGTGACCCGGAATCTGTTTGTTCTTCTTAGTTCCTCTGGCATGGAAATGGGGGTAGGAGCGTTGGTCGATGTGCATAAACCAATCCAAAGCTCGTGTTTACTAAGAAATCGGAGGAAAACGGTGATGTGGGGGTAAGTAAGATCTGCAAAAGAACGTTGCTCCGGCACGCCGATCCACCCCCACAACTCAACTGCACGAAATAGCTTCTTCCTCCTTTGTGGCCAATGAGACGGGATAGGATATCCACGTTGAGCTAAACGTCCCTTATCGCGCCTGCTACGGTCCGCGAAGAACCCCATCCCCGTGATTGAGATGTAGGCAGGAGATTGGATCGTGCGCTCAAAAGTCTCATCTAGGCCACCGAGGGGAAGCAAGGGAAATCTTGAAATAGTAGAGAAAAACTGCATGTACGGAACGAACGGCTCGTTGACCCCTGCAAAGCGTGCTTGTGTGTGGGGAAGAGCGTAATCATCGGGATGGAAGACGATCAGGACGGGAGAATAAAGTCCGTTGTGATGTTGGGGTCGGAGTGTCATATAAGAGCTGCCCGACTGCGAGGCAAGACAGTTGTGAATTTAGCATCAAGTTACGAAACATTGGAACAGTCGAATTTCTACCTCCTGTTGCAATGCGTTCCGTAGACTACATTTCGGCTGTAGCCACTGTCGTGGCGGTGGTATCCGCCTCTTTCGATAGCAACCTCAACTATCGTAGCCCATCGCCCAGACATTCCGGTCTCGGAATAGACATCCCCCTCGTCTACCGCCGGTCATGGAAGCGCTCAAGCACTCCGTACAGCCCCTCGGAGCTCAAATTCACGCATGGGGTGGCCTCGGGGACCCTTGGGATAGAAGCGTCATCTTGTGGACCCGCATCGCGCCCACCGCTGAGTCGGACGCGGGAGAGGCCAGCGTCCAGGGCACGGTGCCCCTCTATAGCCATGACACGGAGACCTACATCAAGGCGGACCCGAATCCGATCTGCGTGGAGTGGAAAGTGTACGCGGACAAGGGAGGAAAGCAATCTGATCGGGTTGTGTCGAGAGGCAAGGCCTATACCACTTCGGATATTGACTACACGGTAAAGGTTTGTACCAAAAGCATCTGAGCATGGTGACGCTTGGACGCATGAAAGCTTACTTCAAAAACTATCAATAGGTGGAGGCCGAGGGTTTGAAGCCGTTTACCAGCTACTTTTACCAGTTTTCGGTATGCGACTCTGAGAACAAGAGCCCCGTTGGCCGAATGAAGACAGCACCGAGGGACAATGATAAGGTCGACAAGATCGATTTCGCCGTATTTTCTTGCGGAAATTATCGTAAGTTGATACCGCGTTTGTCGTATGGAGTCCCGATTGACCTAATGTTCAAATTGTAGCCTCCGGGTACTTCAATGCCTACGGGAACGCGGCTCGCAAAGACAATCACGACTTTGTCATCCACCTCGGCGATTACATCTACGAGAACAAAGCCGGAGGAGAGCGCGCCCACGAGCCCGCGAACTTGCTCTTTAGTCTACATGATTACCGCACTCGTCATGGCCAGGTAGGTTTTGCCATCAAGGTGGTTTGACACGCGGCAAGTTGACTGATAGGACTTCGTGTATCCGTAGTACCGTGCGGACCCTGACCTGCAACTCTTGGCTCAAAACTATGCATGGATCCCTACTTGGGACGATCACGGTACGTCGCAAGCGGTCACCTGCCCCTTTTTCAATACTGTGTTGGTGTAGGATGACTGAAGTACTAGCTAACGCTTGCCATAGAGATTGCCAATAACGGGTATAGGGATGGGTTCAGTGCTTTGAATAATACGGAAGAATCATTCCTCAACGACGGGCCGCGCATCACCGTGGACACTCGAAAGTTCACGCGGTGCGCGCGTACTTTGAATGGATGCCAATTCGGTATGGCGAACAGGTTCCCGCACGCGTTACGAACTGTACCCGTTACTAATGGGCGGCAACCTTAGGCAAACGGACTTGGATGATAACCTCCGCATCTGGCGCTCGTTCAAGATGGGCAAGCTTCTCGATCTCGTCATTCTTGACACACGCAACTACGATAGAAGCATTACATCTTTGGGTAAGTAATAGTCATAAGACGAAGAGGCAAGAAGAAGGTGGAGTTCTAACACGTTGCAGGTTGGAATGATAACTACATCGACATTATTCACGATGATCCGAGCCGTACTCTTATGGGCGGCCGCCAAGAGAACTGGTTTTACCGGTCCCTAAGCGAATCGCAGGAGCGAGGTGCAGCGTGGAGGATCGTCGGTAATCAAATTATCTTTTCTCGTCTCTTTGAGAATGACAGCGGAGGCATGAGTGGCGATAACTGGAATGTAAGTGGGAAGCATCAACATGCCTAAGCCTTTACATCCGTGCTATTTCATGTTCATCTAACCATCCCTCGTAGGGCTACATTGCCAACCGAAACCGGACTCTGAAGCATCTGTACGATCACAACATTGGCAACAATATTTTCCTCGCTGGCGACAGTCACCAAAACTGGGTAAGTCTTTTGTCGGTGCATGGGTTTGACAGGGAGTCGAGATTGGTATGCGAGCTGACACATGGGACGACGGTTAGGTTTCTGATTTGGCTTGGCTTGGTACCAAGGACTACGATATGCAGACCGGAGAGGGCGCCATCGGCGTAGAATTCGCCGGGACCGCCGTCTCTTCCAGTGGCCAAAAAGGCCCCATCGAGCCCAACGCCGGGAATTACTCCCGGGGCATGATTGGCCGCAACGAGGAAATGATGTGGCAGGAAGGGTACTATCGTGGCTACTTTCGCCTCAGCATCACTCCGAAGGAGGTCCAGGCCCAGTTCTACGGCAAGTATTTACTGTCCTGCGCTTCGCCCGCTTTACCTAAAAGGCATCGGATTTGGAAAGGACAAGCTCGCTAATACTTTTGATGGGGAGTAGGATCGCCGTCGGTCGCCACGCGAAACTCTTGGGATATCCCCCTGGCCAATTTCACGGTGGCCAATGGGGCAAACCACCTTGCGCGGCCGATTGCCGGGGGCCAGGTTGAGAGCGGCGCCGTGAAATTTGGCGAGGTCAAGCACACCAACCTCACATTGGATACCGAGACGAAGCAGTGGAAGGTGGTAGGGTATGAGAAGATGTACCTTTAGGGGCGAAACGGACCGAGACAGTACAACCGGGCATATCAACAGAGGAAGTATTTTAAGATCACGAACAATGATTCACCGACTAGTAAGTGCTTGCAGGGCATGCCAGTCCGTGAGCGAGTTCGAGGGTCGCGATGCAAACGCCGAGTCCGGTTCGGCAGTTGGCATCCGAGGCATCGCAAAAGGTGTGGCGGGACCTGCGCTAGGATGCCAAAGTTGGCCGACTCGTAAAATAGGTATGCATAATATTAGCGTGTGAAATAGACAGGCTATGCGTTATTCAAGGACCAAGCTGCATGAAGCTATAACAGAGTTTGAGTCGTGCTGCATCCTAGTGTGTGCCTCGTAGACATTATTCAACGTTGTTTACGTAGGACAAGTCGATGTGGCAGCATGGACACCAGATTTCGACGATGGATTTGGCCAAGTTCTAAAGTTGGTGAGCCAATCATGGAGCTTGTCTGGCAGGGAAAACCAACGGCTCCGGGCGGGAACTCCACACCATCATATTCATGCCGAATTGGTGACGTAACTCGCCGTCATTCAGTGGCCGCCGTAAGCTGTCGCCCGAATTCTTATTGGCTGAGCAATGGAAGCATCATATTGTCCAGCGTCATCAGCGAGTCGATCCCAAGCTACCAACAGGCAATACGTTTCTTTTGTGCAGTTCTTTTTTCTGGTCGGGCAGAACTAACCAAGCCTAATAGAATAAGTGTTATGTCAATGACGAATGTTCATCCTGAGCTTTTGGGACCCTTTTATGACCCCCGGACCTACTTCTTAACAGCCTTCTTTCTCCACCCACAGTCCAGTCCGCAAACGTGACCCTGAACGTTTGATGCTTGTAAACGACCCAGGTCGAATGAAAGAATAACAAAACTCTTCGACATGTTGCAGCAAGAAGAGATGGAAGACCGGGCGGCCCGGAGGGCCTACGGTGGACCATACACAGCAAAACACCCCGTGCCCACCGTCCAGGGCTACAGGGAGCACCGCGCCGAGCTCCAGGAGCGCGACCGGCAGCAGAGCTACGAGCAATACGCGCAAGGCGAGAATCCGGAGGATGATCAGCATGACGATGAGCAGCCGTCGAGGCCTCGCCGAGCCTACGAGTCGGTCAAGGCCATCGCCAAGAACGAGGACCGATCCAGCGAGGGCCACGATAAGGAGCCGTACCCCACCACGAACCGGAACTGGGCAGACCGACCGAAACAATCCGCCGAGGCGCGGGAGAATGGAGCCGCCTCCAACGGGCCTGTTACGTCCGCCAACGGGACCGCGAACGGTGCTGCCAACGGGTCAGCCAACGGATCGGCCAACGGACACGCTTCTCACGATCCAAACGAACAAACTCGCCCAGGCACAGGCACGAGTACAGAAGACCACTCCAGCAAGAAGAACAAAACCCAATCCGCCACCGAGCAAGCCGCCAGCGCCATCAACCCCATGGACAAGCGCAAAGCCATGAAGAAAACAAAACGCCACGGCGGCGGGCGCGACGTCACCGACCCCGTCACCCACCTGCCCGTCACCATCCACGACATGACGGACCAGGACCTCGCGTCCACGCGCGAAAACATGCCCGCCGCCGGGTCGACGGAGCGCAACACCATGGACGGCGAGGCCAAGTCCCCGAGCAACTGCGTCGCGATTTCGACGAGCTGCGCCGCACGCACCGCGGCATGCGCAAGATGTTCCCCGCCGGATAAGAATGCGCTGAAAAACGAGTTGCGGGGCGTGTACGAAAAAGCTATTCTCCTCGGGCTCGGCGTGGTGGCCGGGTTATCCCTCATCGCGGTTTGGACTGGCTACATGATGCGGTCGACTGTTCCGGCACCCTCGATCGTGCCCCCGCCCGGGCCAGTGGGGAGCAGTTTTCGCCTCCCCTCCCTCCCATTCTCGGGGAATGGTGGGCAGCGTTTTCGGCTGGCTGTTCATCACGACCGTGCTCGCCGGCATCGCGGCCACCGTGTACCTCTGCGTCACACAGGTCTCGGGGTGGCTCGGCCAGCGAGTCGAGTCCATCTTCGAAGACCAGGTATGGGCGGCGTCCCGCGACGAAGAGGAACGCATCAACGAGTCCGAAGTGGAGCTCCCCGAGTCCGTGGGCTGGCTCAACAGCCTACTCGCCGCCGTCTGGCCCCTCATCAACCCGGACCTCTTCACCTCGTTAGCCGACACCCTCGAAGACGTGATGCAGGCGTCCTTGCCCAAAGTCATCCGCATGGTCAGCGTCGACGACCTCGGCCAGGGCAGCGAGTCCATCCGCATCCTCGGGCTAAAATGGCTCCCCACCGGCGCGGCCGGCCAATCCGTCGACGCCGACGGCCAGCTCACCAAGGGCAACGACGACCACGCGAACCCCGGCGAGAGCCAGATCGAAAAGGCCCGCAGCCACGACGGCGGCGAGGTCGCCGATGTCGCCGACCAGGATTCCTCGCGCAGGGCATGGAGGCGGAGGAGGGCGATTTCGTCAACCTCGAGCTCGCATTCGCCTACCGCGCCCGGTCCTCGGGCAAGTCCATCAAGAGCAAGGCCGGCAACGCCCACTTGTACCTCAAGTTCTACCTTCCCGGCGGCATCGCCCTGCCCGTGTGGGTGGAGCTCCGCGGCATCATCGGCATCATGCGCCTACGCCTCCAACTCACCCCGGACCCGCCCTTCTTCAGCCTGTGCACCCTGACCTTCCTCGGCCAGCCCCGCGCCGACCTCTCCTGCATCCCCATCTCGAAGCACAGCCTCAACATCATGGACGTGCCCCTCATCTCCAATTTCGTGCAGTCCTCCATCGACGCCGCCCTCGCCGAATACGTCGCGCCCAAGTCGCTAGCCCTCGACCTCAAGCAGATGCTCATGGGCGACGACTTCAAAAAGGACACCCTCGCCCTCGGCGTCGTCCTCATCTATATCAAGCGCGCCCGCGGCTTCAAGGAAGGTGACGGCGGCATCGGCCCCATCGACGGGTCCAGCGACACCTACGTGACCGTGAGCTGGGGCAAGTTCGGCAAGCCCGCCGCGTCGACGCGCATCATCGTCAACGGCCAGAAGCCCAACTGGAACGAGTGGGCCTCCATCATCGTCACCCCCGAGGAGCTCAACGCCGAGGAGACGCTGCGCCTGCAAATCTGGGACTCGGACAAGTTCACCGCCGACGACGACCTCGGCCGCGTCGAGCTCAGCCTCAAGGACATCATGCGCGCCAAGAACACCAAGAACAAAATGTGCGACAGAGAGGATAGACTCCGCGGCGACGACCCGGACGAGGAGATGCCCGGGACGCTCTCCTGGTCCGTGGGCTACTTTGGCAAGACGAGGATCCAGCGCGACCAGCTCGACCGGCAGACGGCGCACCCGGCCATCCGCAGCACCCAGCAGCTGGACGAATGGGCTGAGGAGAGCGCCACCAAGAAACTCCGCGAGAGCTCCTCCGCTCACGAGGCCCACTCCGACGAGCGCCGGCAGCAGACGATCCAGGACTACAAGGAGCGCGAGGACGAGATGATCATCTCAGCCCCGCCCCGCAGGGCTACCCCAGCGGCCTGCTGAGCATCCAGATCCACAACATTGCCGGTCTCAACATCCAAAAGCTCAACAAGCGCGAAAAGGACGACAAGGACGGCGAGGACGACACCGAGGACGACGACAGGCTGCCCGACAGCTACTGCACCGTCATCATGAACCACGCCCAAATCTACCGCACCCGCACCAAGCCCAAGAGCGCGCAACCCTTTTTCAACGCGGGCACCGAGCGCTTCGTGCGCGACTGGCGCACCACCGAAATCATCGTCAGCGTCCGCGACCGCCGCGAGCACGAAAACGACCCCCTGCTCGGCGTCGTCTACCTGCCGCTGAAGCGCGTCTTCGAGAAGCGCAGCCAGTTCATGGACAGCTTCCCCATCGCCGGCGGCATCGGCTACGGCAGGGCCAGGATCAGCATGGTGTGGCGCAGCGTGGACTGCCAGCTTCCGCCGGCGCTGCTCGGCTGGGATTACGGCACCCTCGAGGTCAAGGCGCCGATCCGCCTACAGGGGTCGTCCGGCGGCGACGACAAGATCCTGGGCACCAAGATCCACCTCCACACCAACATCGCGCGGGCCAAGATGAAGTCCCCTTCCTCCGACGGCACCTGGGTCCCCAAGCGAAAGGACCGCGAGAGCGTCTTCCTCGCCGTGTCGAAGCGCTACCGCGCGCCCCTCGTCGTCGAGTTCCGCAAGTCCTCCGCCCTCGCCGGGGACAGCACCCACGCCCTTGCGGTGATTTGGCTCCACGACATCCCCGACGAGGAGGAGAAGACGCTGTCGCTCGACGTGTGGAAGGGAGGCAAGGACCAGCTCAAGCGCGCGCAGAGCTGCGCCGACTACGACGGGCTCGAGGACGGCGAGCAGCCCCTCGGGAAAGTGGAGCTCTCCGTCAAGTTTTGGCGCGGCCTCAGCGGCTACCACAAGGGCTACGCCGGCAAGTCGCGCAACGCGCACATCCGCGACGCCATGGAGGTCCTCGACACCGTCAACGGCGAAGGGCTGGCCATGGAGGACGAAGGCGACGAGTACGACGACTCGGACTCGGATTCCTCCGCGTCCGAGCTGGAGACGCCGCAGGCCCTCATCGGCAGCCAGCACGCCGACCGGGATCAGGACGACGTCAATACGCGCGATATGCTGCGCAAGGCCAACGCCGACTCCAACAAGCAGGAGGAGGATGATCCGCAAAACTTTACCGGCAAGTTAAAGAAGCGCGCGACCTCTTTGGTGATTGGGGACGACCACGGCGAGGACGACGGGAGCCGTGGGCCCCGTGCTCAGCTGCGGGACTACAAGGCCCACCACAAGCAGCTGCACCGCAAGCATCGAGGTGTGATGCAGTGGAAGGCGACGCGGACGTTGGATTGGATGGCGGGCAAGGTGAGCAGGGGTAAGAGCAAGGTGGGCGAGGTACTGTTTGAGCACGGCGACAAGGATGTCGGTATCGAGACCGAGGTGTAAGGAGCTCGGGGTGGAAAATGGCGACACGCGATGATGATGTGTGTCTTAGTATTCGGGAATGGAACAAATTGTCAAACAGTGTACTTGTATCATAGGACCTACTTAGCGAAGCTCGCTTTTTAATCACAACCTTTTCTTTGTCTTCACTATTTTTACTTGTATAGAGTTTTAGACTCGAATATCTCGAACCATCGCTGTTCGAATCGTCCATGACTCATGTCCCCATACAATCTTTGAGGCGAGATTTGGAGATACAAGGGCCATAGCCTATTTCATATATCGACAAGATGACCCTAGCTGTACTTTGAATTCAATGGGAAATCGCTAAGAAGATAAAACGCACAAGCCTGCATAACATCGTGCATCAGAATTGAGCCCAAACACCTGCCTCCATCCCACTCAAAACAAGGTATAACCCCCACCCAAGTCCCTCCCCCTTCATTATCGCAGACACGAACGTGGACGCACAGCATATCAGCTAGGATCCCCCACATCCTCGTACCAATCGCCAAGCTCGCCTTAGTCGTCCTCCCATCCGAGCGCAGGATCCAGACCCGCAAGGCCGTGGCGACGACCGCGAGAGACCAGCGCTGCCCAAACTCTCCGGTGAGCCCACTGCCCACAAACCGGAGCGTAAACTCGTGTTTTCCCACCACGGGCACCTTTCCCCACGTGAGCACGGCTACCGTCTCCTCGCCCGGTGCCAGGGTGCGGCAAGAGGCGAAGCTCGCGCTTGAGAAGCGTTCTCTGCTATCACTTGTGCTCGGATCGCTTTCGGCGCTTACATTCTCGGTCGGAGGTGGCGTGGTCGTGGAGGAGAAAGAGGGGGCCAGTCGGACAAGCTTAAACCCGTTGGAAGGGATCTCGGGATCCCGGGCGCTTTTCCGCCACTCAAACGTGTCGCGCCGCAGGCCATCCGAGCCAACCTCGAACGAGAATTGAAAAGTGGCCGTCTTTTGGCCCTTCACCACGCGCATAACCTCTCGCGCAAACGGCGTCGTGGTCGGGTGCAGGCAAGGCACGAACACGCAGCTGTTGGAATTGAAGCTGAGCAGCTTGGACGCGTGGACCGAAATGTCTCCGGCGCCGGCAAGGATGGAATCCTTCGCGCTAGTGCCGTTTAAAGGTAGATGCCGCGTCTCCCGCCCAGGGGACCCCGGCTAGTGTTCGATCCACCGTGTATTTTGACCAGATATATTACGTTGTCGCCGCTCTCGTCCTCGCAGAGCTTCAACGTGCCCATGTCCGCTACGTTGATGGATGGCTTTCTGTGCAGGCTGACGACCGCCGGAAACGCCCGGTAAGCGGCGGGAGGGAGTATTATCGGTCGCGGCGGGAGAGGACCGCGGTCCTTGTAGGCATAGGCGGGCGGGGCTTCCAAATGGAGTTCATGATGGCTGTCGGGCTGGTGGAGCTCCGCGTATACGGGAGGGCGCGTCGGCGGGGTCGGCGGATCATCCGGACGATTGCCGTCAACTTGGAGGTCGACACCCGAGTCCATCTAAGAGCGAAATAGCTTGTCGATAATCCAGATCAGAGAAATCGGATTGACGGCGGAAAGGGCTCGGGGGTCCTGCGCATCAGCGAACCTATTAATCTGTATGTATGGGCACAACGATATGGCGTTCATCCGCGACTGACGAGAAGATGCGGTCGCAGGTATCCTTAAGAAGAGAGGGGTCCTGCTCTCCCGATCGATTGAAGAATACATCAATACAGCGGGCCGAGACTAACGGTGGCGGTGCTCTAGGCATGCTAGGCGTGCTGGGCGCTCTCAACCAACGCCGACATCTTGGCATCCCCTACCCCATCCATCCGCATTTTATGCTAAACCGCATAGCTCGAGGAGGGCTCGGCACCGACCTGCCAAGCAGCCCAGCGAGGTATGCTGCATCGATATTGGAGATGACGAGGGACACGTGAGTTTTGTCCCACGTCAAGCTCAGCCCCGCTCGCTATCGCAATATCGCCTGTATACACACACACACACACTCACTCGCCGGCAGACATGTCCCACTTCATCTCGCTCTGTCGTCACGTCACTCCGAGCTGCATCCCACCTCGCAATCTTTAAGTTGGAGGTTCGCCCCGGCTATGTAACGCCAGATAAATCTACGTTTTTTTTCTTTTCGTTTGGTACTGAGCGCTTCGCCGATGATTGTTATTTTACTTTCCATTTCTCATTTAAAAACAATTATCATTGGGGGAATCTTGCGGGTTGAGTGTTCCCGCCTCTACCGAGGTACGTCAAGCTCAATTGAGCCCACGATCTCTTCATGTACGCATTGGTTCCGGACTCTCCAGGCATTTTGGCATGATCGACTACGGTTTCCCAACACTCAATGAGGTTATTTCCCTATTCTGCTTCAGACAAATGGTATGATAACTTAAGGAGTTTCTATGTAATCTGGATCTTAGCTGGCTCTCTTATTCGCCTTGCACGAAGAAACCCAAAACAACATCTACTGGACCTTTTGACGCGATGGGCGCTGGATCTAGTCGAGTCATCCGAGACATCGCCGTTCGAAGTCTAGTTCATATTTGAAAAAAGTATGGACATGTAGTGTAGACATAGCCTTCGTCGAATGGCGATCCGACGTCGCGTACTTATGCCTCAAGTGCTGTCCATGTCAGATATCATGGCGGCTTTGGTTCGAGGTAAAATAGGAAAGCTACTCGCCCACTCTACACATCGTAAGCCTAGACTTCTGAGGCTGAGCAATACTTGTGTAACACTAGAAAATAAATTGAGGGTTCAACGAGCTAAACTTGTCCAGGAAATATAAAAAAGCTAGAGCACATGAGGGTTACCGCGCCGCATGCGGCGTGGTCGCCCGGCCCCACAAGTTTGCAGGGACCACTGCAATTCCCCCACATCCCGCATACCTCAAGCTCCGCACCCTCTGTTCCCCCAAGTTCCGGAAAGTCTGAGTGCACACTCTCGCGGGCATACCACGGAATCATCCCAATGATAGTCTGCCGCTCGTAGAGCACGCATCCTGGCCCCAAGCGCTGGAATAGGAGACACTTTTGAGTGAGGCAGACCACGCGCGCAAGCGGCCCCTTAGAACGAGGAGAGTGAATCATGACCGCGGCATCGGGCGACGCTTGTGCCATGCCTACCCCCGAGCGAACGGAAGCCGGGTCTTCAATGGTACTTTCCTATTCGCCAACAGAGTCCGGCGAAGATGCCGACGTGCGATTATTTGAGTGCTCGCGATGTCACCGCAAGTTCGCCCGGCCAGATCATCTCACGCGCCACATAAGATCTCGTATGCCACTCTCCTTCTTGTATGGCCGCGGTATCGTTCGGCGCATAGACACGGCTCGGCTACCGCGCCGCACACACTCGCGCAGAGCACGCGTGGCAGGCTTACAGGCAACAGCACTAACCTTCTTTTTCTTCTATCTCATAGATACATTAGACAAGCCCCATCGTTGCCCGGTCTGTGCTAAAGCCTTCGGGCGACCGTATGTATTCCCGCCCCTATTCCTACTACCTGTAGTTTAACTCCCTAACAAAAGTGGTGGTGATCAACAGTGATTTGCTCAAACGTCACATGTGTATACATTCCGTCGATTCATCTCAGCAACATCCCGGGAACTCTCCGCGGGGACTTCCCGCGTGTCACGCGCTTGCAAAGCCTGTTCCGCTTCTAAACTCAAGTGCAGTGAAGGTAAGCCGTGTTTGCGGTGCCGACGCCGAGGCACTCAGTGCGAATGGCCCGATGGGGCACCATCAAGGATGGCAGTCGACACCCCCGAGGCAGCCGAGTCACCATCCGCCCGTACGCAACAAGCCAGAAGGAGACGAATATCTCTCTCTACGGCCTCTCTCGCATCCCATAGCTATGAGTCGCGAACGGCCTCTGGTCCCAACTCGGCAGTCGGGCGGAATATGGATGCTTCTCATGGAGATTCCAACTCCATTCACACTAATGTTGACCCACAGTTGCCGTGTGATATACCGGTAGCTTTGCAGACGCCAAACCCTAGTCATGAACCGGGATTACAGTTACAAAGCCTGTTAAACGAACCACCGACCGCCAACTTTGGGTCCTTTCTCAAAGATCTAGTGTTGCACACAGACGCTGATACCCACCTGAGCGGCGGGGCACAAAGGAACGGAGGGTTTCAAAGCCCGCACCTTCTTTGGGACCAATACATGGCCGCGGATGACCTTTCTCTCCGGCCCGCCGACCAACTGTTCGACATTTTCCAAGGCGACATTGCATGGGACGAGCACCTGCTAGGAGACGCCCATACCCCCAACGATGCCAGCAACGACGACCAGGATGCCGCCACCCCCGAGCAGGCCGTCGTGGTCGCCGGCGCCAAAGCCTTCCGCGACTCCATCTGGCACTGGATCCCGGGACCAAATGACTTCAGCGCCGCTCACGAGCCACACCTTTCCCTCCCCCAGAGCACGAGCCAGATGCTCGGCGAACCCCCGAACAACCACCCGCTGGCGCAAGGAAGCGTTCTCCCCGTCGCGGATCGGGACAGGACTCTGTCGCTCCTCCTGTCGCATTGCAAAACCGCCAACATCGCCACAATCACCACATCCCTCATCTCCAACGATTTCATGGACAAGATGCTGCGCGTCTTTTTCCGGACGCAGCTCACCGATGCGTGGTCTTGGTTCCACGTTCCAACCTTTCGCGCCGAAGAGTGCCGTGAAGAGCTGTTGCTCGCCTTTGTCTCTCTCGGCGCATCTCTGATGCCACTAGCTGCTTCAAGGAAATTAGCAATTGCTATATCGAACGTTCTCTTCAGCGTCCTAGGGAAAAAGGTAATCTTTAATTAAATGTCCCCAACGGCAAGTTCACTTTTTCTAATTTTCGTTTGGTTATCTAGTGGACGAGCAATAGCATGCTCACGCGAGACCTACAACTGATGCAGGCGTTTGGTATGGCCCCTGACTCTAAGGCCGATCCACAGGCCATTCCTCTCTTAACACTAACGCGGCCCCGTACAGCTGTGAAACTGAAAGTGCTCCTTTGGAGCGGCAATAAGCGGACAATGGAGATGGCAGAAAGCGTCTGCCAGCCGGTAATCACTGTAAGCCAACCCTTTCCTAGCCTTTCTAGCCCGAACGAAGAGTTAATGCCGAATTCAGGTTCTCCGGCGGTCAGGCATGGTCATGGCCAATTACTACGAAACCGTTGTCCTGCTTGATACCGACACTGAGGCCGAGTTGGAAAGGAAATGGCACGTTTGGGCAGAGCACGAATCTAGGATAAGGTATGAATACCGGATGATCCGATCCAGTCTACCGCATTTCAGGAGCCCGCATCATCATATCCTTCCTGCAGACGAGCCTAGTACTGACTCCTTATTTTCTTCACAATAGATTAACGCATCTACTTTTCACGCACGACGCGCAAGTTTCAATGACACTATTCATTAACCCCGTTTTATCCTGGACCGAGCTAGAGCTTCCCCTTCCATGCAACGATTCGGCATGGAACGCACTGAGCGCTGCAGAATGGAAGGAGCACATGCCCAGGGTTTCCTCGCACCGATTTTCAGTTTCTGATTGCGTAGAAGCAATCTTAAATGATGGGAAAATACCTCCAGTCGACGATCCCTTAGGAGCTGTGACATATGCGACGTATGCTCTGTGGGCCATGGTCTGGGAATACCGCCAGACTCACCACGCTCTGCGCAAAAGATCTACCCTTTCCGAATTCGGGGGCTTCTCCTTAACCTCTCGAGCCGAGTCCATCGCCAAAGCTCTGGCTGCACTGCGACAAATCTTGCCCGATGACCCCGCCAACGTAGCAGACCCGCGCGACAGAAAGCGTAGCCTAAACTCACTCTTGACGCTGAATTTCGTCTCCATGGCACTCTACGCACCCTCCGCGCCCTGCCCATATTTGCAGGAAAGGACGGGGAAGCCTCCTCGCAGCGCATCTACCCAATGCTCCAGGAGTGGACGCAGACCCGAGACGCCCGCCAAGCGCTTTGGCACGCGGGCCAGGTGTACCGCACCATGAGACTGATGGCCGGACAAGTGGCGCGCGAGTTCCAGGCTGTCGCGATCTACCAAGCAAGTCTGGTGTTTTGGGTCTACGGCATCATTGTCGGGGCGCGAAACAAGCGGGTGGGCTTCCCAAGCGATGGAAGCCTTGGATCCGGGCCTTTTGCGAGATTAGACGAGGAGAGGTGCTTACGTGTACAGCGGTTTATTGCTTCCGGAGAGGGGATTCCCGTCGTGGGTGAGCAATTTCCAGGAGAAGACTCCTCGCAAGTCATCTTTGTACACAACCCAGAGGCGATGATGGGCATTGCCGTTCGGCTCTTGAGAGCGAGCCCGGCCTGCCGCCTGGCAATCGCGTCCGGGGAAAGCCCAGTGCCGCGATTCAATGAGGGTCTGGCGCAACTTATGACAGACTTGGGCAAGGCCGCGCAGGCGGTGGGGCTCGGCTAAGGGAACTTGAATGGTGAGGATCCATCTTTGAGCTGAGGATTAGAGGATACGGAGTTAACGAAACTATGGAATAAGTCCACCATCCTGCGAGATCCTTCTTCTTCCCCACACTATTCGTCACCAATCGGAAGCGTCACAACAACCAAGTTAAAGGGTGGCATGGTGTCAAAAGGAGTTTAGCTCTCGGTATCGGATGTGGAGTGCCGAACCCCCACCTCACCCGAGCCAACTAAACGGGGAACTCGGTACCGATGGTGGAGGTCTCGGTCTCGTCTACTAGATTCTTCAGGATAACACATGCTCGTATTATATTGATAAGAGAAGACCGCTACAAGATGCAAATATTCCCTGGACACTTTATTCTCGTATAGGCCCGACCGTTCTTGCAGGCGGTTTCTATATCCATTACTCTTCTTTACTCACTCCTCGACCTCCGACTTGTCATGGATAATTCGATTCAGCAGGCTTTCGTTCACGTCTTGGACACTCTTGGCCCGGTAAACACTGCACTAGTAGCAATTTGTACCTTCTTCGGCATTAAATGGATTGTGGTGGTAAAGTCAGCCTCCACCCTCAAATTATTCAAACTCCGCGTTAGCTAACCATCAAATCGGCGCAACAGGCTGCGTATGACTTGACTTTCCACCCTCTAGTCTATATCCCTGGGCCAAAACTGGCAAAGATATGGAAGTCGTACATGTCATCTTCGGTCCTCAAAGGGCGCCGTGCACAGGTCAGCGTTGTATCCTTAGCCGACCGTGTCACAAATTGTTGAGGTTTAGAGCTCATGGCCCTCTGAGATAGACCTTAGCCGAGCTTCACGACCGATATGGCCCCGTTGTACGCATCGCGCCGAACGAGGTTTCCATCTCCGATTGGCGAGCCTACAGGGAGATTTACACAAACAAAGCCAACGTCAAGGATGAGGAATTCTATGGAGCAGCCAAGTTTTTAAGGCTGGAGAACATTTTCAGCATGAGGTAGGCACATCGCCCATCCAAACCCTTCCTTGGAATTCTAAGCTTACTCGAATAGAAACCATGCAATGCATGCCGCGCGACGCAAGATGCAGTCCCAGCCATACTCCCAGGCAGCAGTCTTGGAAAACGAGCACTTGGTAGCCTCCAAAGCCCGCATCATGGTCGATAGGATGATCCACGGTGCGCTCAACTCGGTCTCCGGCGAGACAGTCGACGTATACAAGCTGTGCGGCATGTTCAGCCTCGAGGTGATCCTTCAGTGCGCATTCAACCACGACTCCGGGGAGCAAGCCGATGGGGATTCGCTGCAGTTCTTGCTCGCCATGGATGGCTCGGCTCCGTGCATGCCAATCTCCGCAGTCATGCCTTTCATCCCCAAGCTGGGCATTGGGAAATACTTTCCCGGATTCATCGGGGAGAGCTACACAAACCTGGAGAAGTGGGCAGACATCACGCGGGGCTTGCTCACGGAGTTTGAGAACAAGGAGGCGTCTCTAGACAAGACCAAACGCTTCATGGCAACGCCGCTCCTCACCAACAGGGATGACTACCTCGGACGACATCTTACCCCGGACGAGATCCTGGAAGAAGCAATGGGTATCGCCTTTGCGGGCAGTGGGACAACGTCCACAACCATGTTTTATATCATCTACTGCCTGTCCCTTCCGGAGTCCGCCGGATATCAAGAGTCCCTACGTAAGGAGCTGGTCCAAGCAGCAGCAGGCAGCAAGCTCACGATCAAGGTGGCCCAAGACCTTCCATGGCTCAACGCGGTGATCAAGGAGGCAATGCGCCTACATCCGACCATCATTTCGACACTCCCCAGGATCCTAAAAGAAGATACAACGTTGGTTCTCGCTGGTGGAAACACTTTTGTCCTTCCTCAAGGCACCAAAGTGGGCATGCAAAACTATATCCACCACCGAGACCCCGCGCTATTCCAAGACCCAAAGAGATTTGCCCCCGAGAGGTGGCTTACTGCTGACCCGGCAAAGATGAAGGACATGATGTCGGCATTGACGCCCTTCTCCCTCGGTCAGCATAATTGTATCGGGCAGAACTTGGCGAGAGCTGAGCTTCTTTTGTGCACCTCTGAGGTATTTCAGAGGCTGCGAGTTCGATTGAATTCCCAGATGACCCGGAGCGACGTTGATATGGAAGACCGATTCAACATTGCACCCAAGGGAAGGAAGCTATTACTTGATATTGAGAGAGTATGATTAAACGGCAAGCAGTGAGGAAATCTATACGCGCATGCAACTCTATTCCATGTCCCATTGTGTTGCAAGAGGCGGGTACAAGGCTTCTAGGCTACGTGACCGCTGTCCATGGTAGTTCCGGCAAATGGGCGGGAATGTAGATGTCTGTAGCAACGTGGTTGAGGACGGCTAGCCCAAAAGTATAGGGTCCCCGGTTTCTACTACGATTTCGCCTGTCCTGTTCTGGTCATTCCATGCTATTGACGTCGTTGCCGACTCAAGGCCTAAACGCAGTCAGATTCTAGTATAGAATTCCAAACCCACTGCCTCCAAAAGTACGAGAGTTTGCCCACTTCAGCCCAAGAGTGCAATAGGGCAAAGGACCGAGATGAGCGATACTTGGGATCCCCAGATGCAGTCATCGGTTGCGCAAATCGGTGGGTTGGCCGAAATATGGGGCAGACCCCTAGATGGACTTGCTGCGCGCATGCCAAGTCAAATCAGAGTGATCCCCCAACTTTCTCGCCCGTAAGGAAGGCCCGATATTACGATGATCCAGGGTCGGTCCGTTGCCGTGTGGACATAGCATTTCGGTGTGTGCTGGTTCTCTCCGAACCTCCCGCAGGCCAGACTGACGACTACGCCTGAGAAGTACCATAACTTGGACGCTTAAGATAGAGGCATATGGTGGTATTCTGAGCTCAAAGTGTGTATGTTACAGTACAGTTTCGGTGTTCCCGAGACACAGCATCAGCTCCGGTGGCGCTTTACTAGAAAGGTGTAAGCCACGAATGTTGTCGCTCTTCTCCATATTGACAATGACTGACCGACACTCTATATCCACCGCTTTCCGCTATTGTATAGATATAGGTGCTTAAAGTCCGCCTCTGGGTGAGATTGGGCTTCGTAGCCAATCGCCACCGCTAGAGATGGTCATCCCCCAGGCGGGTCCGGTCCCTCAAAAGACAACTCGTGGACATGTCGGTTTCACGCGAGACATGAACGATTCCTGTCTCTGGGGTAAACCTTAAAACTGAGACATCCACCCACGTGGGCGCAGTATCGGGCTAGAGCCGGGCTAATACTTTTGCTAGAGACCGGGATCGACAAACTCATGCCGCTCAAGATCTGGGAAGCCCCAAATGCAGCATAGGCTGCTGGGGTACAGGGCGTCCTAGGTTCGTTCTAGCAAGTGGGCTCTCGGAGGATGATTCCCGCCCGGTCTTGTGGATAACGCCACTGCCACTAGATGCGGATGGAACGCCTCTGGAACAGATCAAGACCATACAATCGGTTGTTTACGTCCTAATGTAGTGTTGGCAGGCAAGTTCTTCACCTCATCGGCGGTATATCGCATTCCATTACCAACGGGTATGGCCAGGTTGGTCAGTTGCAGAGGGACAACGGTAGTGGAGCCGGCATACGAACGTGCTATACCGCGCTATCTTCCTCTTTACGTATAGAACTGGCTTGCGCACTATTATCACTAGTAGGTCGTTCTTTTTCCGTAAGCTTATCCATCGTGCGCCATGATGGAGGGGTCTAGAAACGCGGCACAGGCCGCCCTCAATGTCTTGATCGATTCCGAGGCCTCGTTTTATTAGTGCTAGTCTAGAAATCAACTACGCGAGCCGCACAGTTATCATATCTGGGTAACAGGCGCAATGATAGTGATAACAAGGGCCTTAATGGGCTTTCCGTGACTATGCGGACAGGGGTAGCTGTTATTCTGATGTGAAATCCCTGCTCCGGTGTCTTTATCTCGTCAACTCAGCCAATGGCGATCTGTAGATATGTGGCATAAGCACCAGAAGAGGAAGCCGCAAAGGGTGTTCGCAATGGCTATAACGCCTGAGGCTGAATGCTCACTCACATACCGAGGTACACCCGATTATTCTCAATATACTCTGACGAGTGCCAAATCCAATGGGTTGCGCTTGCGAACTAATGATACACCAAAGCCCCGCCGATCATGGTAGAATGGTGAGTCCATGTGAGCATCGGCGCAGTGCCAAAAGTTCTCGAGCGGCGAAAAAGAAACTCTTGTTGCTCCCAATTACAGGCTATTCGATGTTAAAAATTACTCTTTAAGCATGTAGGATGGCAGGACATGTACGCCAAGCAACGCCCAAGGCATATAGTCGAGCTGGCCCGTCTGCCCTGCCGCGCGTCACCCGTGGCTGGCAAGCTGGCACCGAGGATCGCGATGAGATGCAAGGACGCCGAGAAAAATACGATACCCAGGAATCCTGGAAAATCCAATGAATCGATCCTTCCTTCACCGGAAGAGGTGCCTGATCTGCAGCGATGAATTGAGGCCGTGGATCGCCCTGCGCTCAACTTGTCCAGTCCTGGTGTTTTGTCGCGCTCAATGACCTCACGGCCGGTTCGGTGACGTCACATTAACATAGCTGCAGCCAGCCTCGACCCAGTTTAACAAAAAAAACCCCCAGGGAACGATGTTGCTGAACTCTATTGATTGGCACGCTGGGCGCAGCGGAAATGCAAAAGAACAAAAGTATTCTTCCTACGGCGGGAGCACCTGCGTGTGACTTCCGCCCCGCGACAGCCGGGCCACCGGGGATAGATTTGTGTTCCCGCTCGTGTTTTTCGTTATTTCCATGTTTCTTTTGTTTCTTTTGCAGGTCTGCCTACAGCTCGCAGCTCGGCCGTTCCTGATTTTGCGAATCCTTCCACCTCTTCATCGGCGCAGTGGCACCGCCAACTTATGTATGCCGAGACCGAAACTTCGTCATCAGCGCAAACCTACGTCCACATGTCCCGGAAGCAGCGTGCCAGCCGATCGCCTTGGCTGTCAGCAACGGCACCACGGAATGTCGGAGCTCCGTCGAAGGGGAAAAACAAAAAATAAAAAACGTCAGCTGGCCGAGGGTTGAGCCCGAGTCTTCCCAACACCAGATAAAAGCAAGGCCCTCCCCTAAGGGTTTTTTCCTTTTTCCTCTCTCGCAGTCGACTCGATCGTTGCTTATGCCTTGCAGCTGCTGTCTCGTGCACACACCACGAGCTCCCGGGTAAACCTGCCACGCGCCGTTTGCTTAAATCTCCCATCACACGCTAGAGCATCTTGCAGCTGTTCGCCATGCACCAAAGACTTGTCTGGGCGAGGGCCCTCCTGCCCCTCCTCTCCCTCTCGCAACTTTCAGTGGCCGCCCCCATTGAAGAGATCAAGGAGAAGGATATTGAAGATGAATACGACTTCATCATCTGTGGCGGTATGAATAGAATTCGCTCTCCCAAAACTTGAAATGGACCGTCCTCTGACTTGACATGGTGATATTTTAGGTGGCACGGCCGGTCTTGTGTTGGGCAACCGTTTGTCGGAATCCGGCGCTAATCGAGTGCTTGTACTGGAATCGGGCCCTAATCCCGAGGTCGTTGCCGCCTACGAGGCTCCCGGTGGCAATCAATTACTCGGAGGTGAGACCCCACGAGCAATCCGAGACTCTTGCATCGCGCACACGTCTAACCAACTCCCCATTTAGGCACTGCAATCGACTGGGACTTTTTCACCGCGCCACAGGAGCACCTTGACGGGCGCATCCTCAACTACCACCGTAAGTCGACATCCTCGAAAACCTTCCAAGTCATTGTCAGCAAAAGCTTGAACTAACGCCGTCGTTCTCAGGAGGACGTGCCCTCGGCGGCAGCAGCGTGACGAACGGCCTCTACTACGGAAGAGGAAGCTCAGGCATCTACGACCGCTGGGTCGAACTCGGCAATCCCGGCTGGGGCTGGAACGACACCTACCCCTTGTTCGTCAAGAGCACGCACTTCAACCCGCCCGACCCGGCGCAAGGCTTCGACCTCTCCTACAAGACGTGGGACGAGGACGTCTACAGCGACGGGCCCTCCAGCTCGCCTTCCAGGGCTACGTCCCCGAGTCGGCCAACGGCTTCATCGAGGCGTGCGAAGCCGCCAACATCCCCATCGTCAAGGATCTCAACTCCGGAGATGGCGTGGGCGTCAAGCACGGCACGGGTACGCTCGACAGCCGGTTTCGCCGAAGCTCGAGCTACGACGCCTTTACAAGCCGATCCAGGACCGCGAGAACCTGGACGTGTTGCATTTCGCCTCGGTGCAGCATCTCATCTTGGATACTGACGGTGACACACCTGCCGCGACGGGCGTCGGCTTCATTTACCACCCCACCGGTCTCGTGCACGAGATCAAGGCGCGGAAGGAAGTCATTGTCAGCATGGGCGCCTTCCACTCTCCGCAGCTCCTCATGGTTTCCGTATGGCTTTCCACCTAGGTCGATCAAAACCGACTAAAATTGTTACTAACGTGTCTACTTTGCAGGAATCGGACCCCAAGCTGAGCTTGACAAATACGGCATTGACCCTGTTCTGATCAACGAAAACATTGGCCAACAGTAAGTAGTCGCGATGTGAATCACATGAAAGGGAAAAAGAAATGAACACGGGCTAACCAAACACGCAGCCTCAACGACCACTCCGTATTCAGCATCATGGCCAAGGCGCAGCCCGAGTTTTCCACGAGCGACATGTCCGCCTCTTTCATGAACCTCAGGGCCGCGCAAAACGAGTTCTACGCCAACCTCTCCGGAACATACACTGCTCCTCCGGAATCACCAACGGCTTCCAAGAGCTCTCAGACGACGAGCTTCGCAAGATTGGTGCCGGTGACGTGGTTGACGCCGGTCTAGTCAACCAGGCTCACGTCGAGTACCTGTACGAGTCCATCTGGTACCCCGGTGGCCCTACTCCTTATTACACGCCCAAGGCCAATGAATCGTACATTTCTCTCACCGCCTCCAGCATGGTCGCTTTGTCGAGGGGCAACGTTACCTTGCGATCGGCTTCCATGGCATCCGCGCCGGTGATCAATCCAAACGTATGTTATCAACCTAACAAAAGCCAATATTACCCTTCTTTCATCAGCATCCGCTAACTCTATTCCGCAGTACTACGCCGAGGAAGCTGATCGAGCTCTCGCTATCGAGTCTTTCAGATACCTGCGCAAGATCTTGGCCCACCCTGCCCTTTCCAAATTCACAGATGGCCCGGACAATGGCGAGTTGAGCCCTGGGTCTGCAATTTCAGATGACGACGACGAGGCTATCCTCGAATACGTCAAGGCGAGCACGATCCCCAACTGGCATGCCTCGGGCACCAACCGTATGCTGCCTTTGGAGGATGGAGGAGTTGTAGACTCTGAACTCAGGGTCTATGGAGTGGATAACCTTCGCGTGATTGACTGCAGCATCATTCCGCTGCTGCCAGATGTGAACATTCTTGGTCCGGTCTACATGATTGCTGAGAAGGGTGCAGAGGTCATCCGGGAACACTGGAACGACAACTAACGACCGCACTAATAGTGCCTCATAGGGGTCGACGAAGGCCAGAAAAAGAAAAAAAAAAATAACGCTGGCGGGTGTGTCAGTTGTGCTTATAAGCCGAGGGCAATCCAGCCACGGGGGTGTTAGCCCCTCTGTGTTTACCTTCTTGACCGAGAACTGTTAGTATTAGTTCTTGAGAGCTTCTAATCTCTCCGAATTTTAATGAATAATAAAGAAATGCATGAGAGCTGCGAGGTAAACTGACATAGATTACGTGAATGAATCATCTATATACAATTGTCTCCAATTTTTCACCAACACATTCCTGTGCCCCACCCGAACTATATACATTTGAAGCCGCAAGTTTCGTTCAAGCTTCTGAGGCAGGTAATATCGAAGCACACCGCTTAGCAAGTGGTGCAGTTTTTAGCGCAGCAGTTCTGGCAGCTCTTGAGGCGGGCCGAGTAGCAAGCGGTGACGCAGCTGGGGTTGCCGTTGCAGGACTTGCAGGCGGCCGTGGCAACGGAGCGGCAAGCGTTCTGGCAAGCAATGGTGGCGTTGGTGTTGCAGGCGCGCTCTATTACAACGAATCAGTCACGCTCATCCCGGGACCCCATGGGTAGAAAGAGAGGAGTTTTCACTTACTGTCGTGGGCGCTCTCGAGAGGGCTGGCGAGAGTCACGACGGCGAGGCCGAGGAAGGTGAGGGCGGAAGAGAACTTCATGGTGGCGGATTTGGGCGGGTGGCCTTTGTGTATGTGGTAGCTGGATGTTGGATGTAGGATTTGAAGACTTGAGACGATATGAGCTTGATTCAAGCAGTGATGTTCAAGAGTCGGATGCGTCCTCATCCTCCCTTATATAGTAGCTTGACCCGTCCGTCCTCACAGCAACACGAATTTTTAGCAGCGCCTTCGCGGCAAACCATTTCCAGGCCATTGGATGCTCGCTTGGAAAATCGAGAGTTGGGGTTCCAAAACGTAAGAGTTCCATCCACCGACCGCCCGGTTGGCTCATGAGCGGCGTAACTGAAGTCCGGTCGTAGAAGAGGGAGGGCAACTAATCGCCTTGGCGCAAAACGGTTCGAAGCCATAGCGGCCGCGATGGTAGACACGCCATTGGACAAACTAGGGCTGCAGCGTGCCTGGAATAGTAATCAACCCCTCTCTTCCCGCAACAAGCTTGCGGCCCGCCTCGCCTAGCTCACGATCTACAGGTAACCCTCCCTAGGGAACGAGTCTGTCTGTCATGAAGATGCCAGCCCCCCGCCCCGGATGAAGTTTAAAGGTGTGAGCCTCGGCCGAGTAAGCCATTTGGCTGGTGCTTGGCCAGATACGGCCCAGTTATTTGTGGGAACGGGCTTCGCGGGGTTGGTTTTCTGTCAGCTGTACAGCTCTTAGCGGCTATTTCCCGCCCTACTTTGCGGGTGTGTTGCATTGCCCCTGGGGCGGGTGAATTTGCTGAGAGGGTGTAGGAGGCACGTCTCAACGCTGCGAAGTTCGCTTCAGGTAGTCACTCGATTGGTGGGTTTGCTGAGCTGCCATGGAATGGTTTGGCTCTAGTCCCAACACTCGAAGACGTATTGATCGTGCAGGCTCCGCGTTTCCCAACGCAGCGTGCGCTGCGCCCTCTCGAATTTTAGGTGTGAGCGCGCTTGCCATCAAGCGCTGGGAGGTAATGGTGAGGTGGACCAGCAATTTTGTTCCGTGGATTTAGTATCTGGCTAGCGCATGCAGACTATCGCATTCGTCTCACTGCACCGGCACAGTCTCGCCAGATTCTTGATAGCGACGAGGCACGAGATGATTCCCACTAGATTTAGAGGGACGCGGAGCATGGCCATGCACATTGGTAGCTTGATGGTTGGAATAACCCTCGAGCTGTCGAACCATAGATTCAATCACAGTTCTTGCCTCAAAGAATGATCAGCCCACCCCGATCGGTACAATGGCGGCGGACCATCCGCCGAGCTTGCGCACGGTGTGTCTGCCAAGTTCCTGCAGGCCTTAATTCCCACGAACCATCACCGCACCTGCGACCAGGGATGCCCTCATTCTCATCGAGAATTGTGTGGCACAGGCCTGGCGAGTTCTTCATCGATTGATGAAATGAGTCGAAAGAGGGGCACCGACGTGGTAGGCGCCATGTGTTGTAACCCGGGGTGCAGATCCTTTTAAGCACGATCATCCACGTGAAATGAATAAACATAAATGCAATGCATGGCATAAGAAGGAGGGGCGACATGTGGTGAAGGAATCGGGACCTGAGCCGAAGCCGGGCTCAAGTGGGGTCCCGCGTGTTGACTGCTGATCTCCACCTTTGGCCGACAGGAGCAAGTACACGTTCGAAGTGGTGAGCGAATGTGTGTGGTCAAGGCGATCGATCGATCGCGAGCTCCGGTTTGGCGATGCGATGCCTTTTTTCTTCTTTTTCTTTTTTTCGTCCTACATTATCGTCCCACGACGAAATGCACAAATCTGCTACGCAGGAATGTTAACCCAGAACTTGGTTTTCGGTACTGGTTTGCATCAAACTACAGAGCCCCCTCATTTGCACTCAGCTTACCAAACTTTGACTTCATCTATTGTATCAGCTAGAGGAGGGCAATATAGCCGCCACGTCGATCCGTCTGGTTGACACCATGTCCAGTTCTATGGCACCGAGGCAGCTTTGGCAAAAGATTTGGAGTAGTTTCCGTGAAATGGAGGGGAAAAATAGCATGGCCTTCGCTTATCCTTCTTTTTTTTTTCTCGTCGTTGCAGCATTAAAAAAGATAACCTCAATCCACCACTTCGACGACAAGTCGCTCGTCGTCGCGCCACAGGCTTTCCCCGACTACTAAAATCCCCACTCGCTGTCGAGATGCGACTGCTGAAGAATCTTTACTCCACGAGTGCCACTGCGACAATCGAACGATCTGCGTGAGGTTGACGAGGGCGAGAATACGGCGCCGCCACCGCTCGTCAGAGATATTTCAATCATCGTTGCTTGATCCCCATGACTACCCGTAGAACCCGCACGCTATGCATTCCCATCCTTGCCTTGGTTTGTCTTAGCTTCGTCTGGGTACTCTTCAGGTTAGAGACCACGGAGGGAGAGCTTCGCGAAGGAGCGCGGTTCCGGCAAAGCAAAAAGTGCCACCGCTTGCGCCCAGCTCACAGCTGTCAAACAAGAGGAAGGTGATCGGACTTGTATTCTTTGGGCGACGTGATTTTGTCAAAGTCCTCGACTGCTATCTACAGGTATGCCACACGAGCCGAGAAATCCAAGCAAGCTGCCCATCCGCCTCATCTACTGGATTATTAACGTGAGACGCCGGCCCTCGTAGAGAAACCTTCGCGACAATGGCGGGATACTCGACCAAGTCATTTTCGCCGTGCGCACCGAGACCACGCGCGACCTCGAATATCTCGACGAACTGATCGCGTCGAACCCCCAATACTCGAAATACGTTCCCACCCGGCGGTACAAGGCGTTTGTAGGTAGTTGGGAGCCCGTGAAGAATCCTGACGATATATACGTCAAGATCGACGACGACGTGGTAGGTGCTGGTGTACGAGCGGAACGAAGAATGCTAATGAGCTATTGAATCTAACTATGATCCATGGTCCGCAGGTCTTTATAGCAGATGATGCAATAGCCAGGGTGGTGGACCGGCTTGAGGGCAATCCCCAATATTTTGCCGTCTCCGCAAATGTCGTAAACAACCCAGCTTTATCGTGGGTTCACTACGGCCTCGGGGTTTACGAGCCGTTTTGGCCGGTGCGTTGGAACCCCTCCCCCAGATCTCTCCGCGCAGACTTGATCACGGCATGTCTACAGACAGCAGCTAATCACATGTAACCGCTTCCAGGAGATGAAACCCCCAAAGTTCCCCCAGCCCGCGACCTGGCGCACATCCGCCCTCCCCTCCTTCGACGGCGCACCCGAAGGCCCTCCCAACTTCCCCAAGGACGGGTCCGCGCCGGCCCCGCACCGAAAGCACCGCTGGCTCCCCGTGAGACCCAGCCACGCGGGAGACGTCCTCGACATCACAACATCCCCCGCCTCGACCCTCACGTACGACCCCTTTGGGCCCGGTCTCAGGAACTGGGCCGCCGCCGCCCAGACCCACTCGTCCTTTCTGTCGCGGCTGGAGAAGAACGAGACGGACATGTACACGTTCAACCTCTGGGACTACGCGTACGAGCGCCTGTCCATCAATTTCTTCGCCGTGCGCGGCCGCGACATCATGGACGTCTTTCCTTTCCCGCAGCCCGACGACGAGGAGTACTTGACGTGCATCCGCCCGAAAGAGCTTGGCCGCCACGTGGTCGTTGAGGGCAAGGCGCTGGCTGTGCACTTTGCGTTTCAGTCGCAAAGGACCGCCCACGAGGGCCGCTCCTTGGGATGGACGAACCTGCTCGACAGGTATAAGAGTTATGCGGAGGAGAACACGTGTCCGTTCCCTCGACGCGAAAATGGGCCGATACCATGAGGTGAAGCGCAAACCTTAGGCTGGAGGTCCGCTCGAGGGAGGAAGCTCTGTTTCGCCAGTTGCGGCCTAGCTCGCTGTGTGCTATCTTTGTCTCCCTTGTCTTTTTACGCATTCAGACGGTCTGTCTTCGTGCTCATGTAGAATCAATATGAAAAAACTACCCCTTAAAGAGAGCCTGCTATTTCATCCACTCGGGCCACGGAATCGTGATTTCCCTTTGGTGATCGCCATTATTAAAGAACCAAAGGCCATTAATCCATCTCTTTGGCGTCATGTAAAGCTTATTGGGCGAAACGACAACTTCCAAAGACACCAGCCTCGTATTTTTCCTCGCCAGTTTCGCCCCGCGATCCTTGAACTCGTTATCGGTCGTGATGCACGTAAACGCAAACGTCGAGTTGTTGAAGCTATCCGGGTCTTCGGGCGCAAACACCCCCAGGAAGGGCGTCCACGCGGCATTCGGCTTAAAGAGTCGCGTGAGCAGCAGAGGCCTGTCCTCGGCAAGGGCCCGGCAAACCGATTTTGCCATCATGAGCTTCAGGTGCTGCATGCTCCAGTACTGCGGCGTAAAACTACCCGATTTCTCCTTGATAAACGTCTTCAGAAGCACCGGCAAGGCACCACCTCCTTCGCGCCGGAGATTAGTATTCGTTTCCAGATACTGAGCCAGCGTCCTCAGCAAATCGAGCTCGGCCTGCGTCAACCTGAGAAAGTCGACGGTGCTGTCCACCTTGAAGTATTCTTTGCGCTGCTCCGCCGGAACAGGCACTCTAATCCGCGCGCTGAGCCTAGACAGCACGCCCGTCGTACGAATCCCGTCCGGGCCGAACCGCACGTCCGACAGGCGGCAGTGTTTAATAAAGATGAGCTCGGCGGTCTTGACGGGCGGGATCACGCGCAGCTTGACAGCCCCCAGGCACTCGAATATGCTCTGGCGAAGCACCTGGTCGCTGGGGAGGTCGCTTCGGATCACCTCGCCATTCAAAAGGAAGAGAGACAAAATGGCGAGGCTCAGACTCTCGCCGCTCCGGTCGATGACGTCGCCCCGTAACCTAGTCACGTACCGGCAGCAATTCGCCGCGATGGCCAGGATGTCCGAGGGCATGGTGATGCCGCGGGACCCGATATCGTTGAAGATGGCGGGCGCCATCGCGTGCAGCGACGATCCCGAAGTTTTCCGACGGCACGCTCTGTAGATGGAGGAGTAGCGGCCGGCGAACTGCAAGATCTTGGCGGCCCGGTGCTTGCCCGCCACGTCGAGCAGGGGCGTCAGCGCGAGGCACAGCGTCGTGACCTCGGTGCGGAAATTGAGAGGGTAGACCTGGATCTCTCCCGTCGTCTTGCCGTACAGGTCCTCGCCCGCCTCGTCGGTTTCGAAGAGGCCCCGCGGTCGAATTTGCACGGGAGGAGCAGTCTCATGTTTTTGGAGGCGAGAAACTCTTCCTGGAATATCCACGCCCGGTGCCACCACGTGTCGCTCAAGATCATCTCCACGAGGTCAAACACGGGTCCCACTTCCTCGGGGCCGATGAGTAGCCTGTACTCGTCGCCGCTGCTCTCCGCCAACTTCCCGTCCAGCAGCTTCCGTAGCAGCGTCAACTCCTCCACCGTGGTAATCTCGGAAAACATCAGGCCCAGCCCGCACCCGCTGTACTGGTACACGAGATCCATGGAATGCACCGCAATCTCCTTCTCCTCGCTCTCGTCCTGGTTGATGCACAGCTTGTCGATCCAAAACGGCGTGTTGCGGTACTCGGGGTTACAGCGTTTGAAGTTGAGGATTCGGTCCAGCACGACGTCCGGCGGCATGCGGATCCCTGGAGCATCTGCGGGCGAGAATTGGTACCGGCCCGAGACGGTGTCATTCCCGGAACTTGCCACACGCAAGATATGGCAATGTACGTGTCGGAATGGCTATGTTCAAGGCGAGTCGTGGCGATTTCGCCCTCCAGTAGCTCTTCGCCCGGCTGGACTTGGACGCACAGGCGCATCGCAGTCTTTTGCTGCACCATTTTCGCGCCGCGCTCAATCCCCATCATCCGAGAGCTTAGGGACTCTGGCGATAGTTTCTTGATGGTGCTGAGCCGTTGAGTCGTATCGCTCGCCATGGTGTCACATTTAAACCTGGAAAGGTGGTATTTGGAAGGTAGGACGAGAGTAAAGTCATGTTAGGAGACGATGGGAAGCAGTCGGGTCTTCAATTTTCGATGTTCTCATCGATCGCGACAACGATGCATGCATGTGCGGGGTTGCCGCGCTACCCAGTCGCGATAAATCCCCAAGCCAACGCGATGGATTTTCTGTCCATACATCCAGGGTTTTAGGGTCCTGTTGTGGCGGTCTCCCCTGTCATGTTTGGTCTTGGGTATTTTTGTTTTTCAGGGTACAGCACAGCCATCGTCAAGAGCTCAGCCGCAACGCGCTCTCCAACAAATTGAAGCCATTGACGAAGAAGCCGACAAATACAAGTGGGGCGCGAGCATGGAATACACGATCTTCTTGGCGAAATGCACAAAGGAAAATAAACACGAAAAAAGGAAAAAGGGGAAGAATATGATTCATGAAATCATCAATGCGTTCTTACATTTTCCCCATCTTACAGATTCGACCGTACCAGGGCCCATCTGGCTACCGCATGTTATTATTGACCATAGCTCAATATTCAACTACTCGTTAAAACCATACCGGGGCCCACCTATGTAAAGTCGCGACTAGTGATTCTGGTTGCTCATATCCCAATAGAGACTCTGGTTCAAGAACTGGTCGATATCGATATCCTGCAAACTGGGGATCTCCGCTGCCAACCCGCTCAGCCAACCAATGTCCTCGAGCTGCGGTGCCCCGAGCCCACGACGACATTGCCACCGCTCGGTACCGGGTATCGACTCAGAATCTCCCCAGCCGTGAAGCGCATCGTTCCTTGCGCTTTTGATGAAGCAAGATGAGCAAAGAAGCGGTCCCGAGCGCTTCTTGCGTAGCCTCCGTGGAATAGACCGAGGCGACCATCCCCAGGCAATCCATCGCCTCCCTGAGCTGCGAGATGGAGGCGTACGTGTCAATGGCAAGAAGGATACACACTATCTGAAACGGAATATTGGCCATGTGGTGCCAAGGCGCTCGTTGGTCGAGCAAAGTGCGCGCGGCCTGGATACCCTCCAGCGTCACGGATAGTATTCTCTCCAGGACAGGAGCAGTAAATGAAATATTGAGAGACTTCAACCGCCGACAAATGCATAGCACGAGGTTGCACCGGGCAAGTTTGGTCGGCGGAATTGAATACGTGAGCCCCAGGACCGTGTCGAGCGTGGCCTCCAATTCCGACGTTTCCGGTGCTTGTCCCGGATCCAGAATCTCAGCGTAGGGCAAAAGCTCAAGAAGCTCGACGGTCTGGTCTCCAGGCCGCGTCGAGGGACCATGGTGGACGCATTGTGCAGGATGATCCTGGAGCGACCAATATCAAAAGACATCCACGTGTTGAGGTGCTTGGCAACCCCAAACAGCCTCCTGCGTATCTCGGGATCGATGTCGTCCCCAGCCAGCGGCAGCACGCTCTCCTTGAAGGCTCGCAATGCAACCCCCGCCTCCACCATGTGCATCAGCAAGCAGCTGGCCATCCACGCCGCGTGCGGGCGCCCCGTGATCCGCAGGTACGTGACCCGCAACGCCCACGCCGTGATGCTCGCCACGGTCGGGTTGCTCGACAGCGCCCGCTCGAGCATCGTCCTGGCCGTTTGCGCGCAAATCCTCTCCAGCGAGCTGACGTCGACCTGCGAGAATAGACAGCCGAGCGCGGCAACGCCGTGGAGGATGCAGTCGTACTCGTTCTGCAAGTCGAGATTCCGCCATCGATGGTGCACTTGAAGCGCCAGCTCCTCGCGGTTCACGAAGCCGTAGACCGGGTCGACTTTGTCAAAGTACACGGAGACTAGATTTTCCATCTCCGCGCGGGACACTAATTCCGCAATGTTGCGGCACTCGAGGGTCTCGCCCCGTCCCGAGAGCCGAGAAACGGGTTCCAGGCGAAGAGGTGCATGCGGGGCGCATTTTTAGGGTCGATTTTGAGCGCGAGCTTTCGCGCAAACGCCGCACCGGAGTTGGCCTCGAGCGAGCAGAGGTGCCTATGAACGCCGGATGTCGGCGTCTCGACGGCGCTGCCGTTGGGGAAGGGCCACACGGTATCACCGGATACTTAAAATCCGGCGCGTGTACCGAGCGGGCTTTGCGGCCCCGAGGTGATCCCTGCTGATAGGTACACTCATACTGAACCTAATGCATGGAGAGCAAGGCTGGGCGCTATCACACTTCCTCTTGAAGGATCGGCAGGTGTCGCATGCGACCTTGGACCGCCGCCTCTTTTGGATCGCGGACATTGGCGAAAGAGGAAAGTGGGTGGGCTACCGACCACCGTCTGCTAGCTTTCAATAAGTCGTGCCGAGGAAGCTCGGTACGTGGACTGGGACGGAGAAAGGAAGAAGGAAGAAAAGTCCGTCCCTCACTCGGTCTAGCTGCCGCACGAAGCCCCAACGGAGCCCTCGTTCCGATCACGTGTTGCGCTCGGGATGGGCGAATGTGAACCGAGGGCGGAAGACTGGATACGGCGGTTGGCCTTGTCGTTTGCTTGTCCTCGCAGAAAATAATCACTGTAAATTAGCGGTGACTCAGGAGTCCCGGATGCAAGTTCAAAGTTGAGCCAAAGCGCCGGTGCGGTCAAGTCGAGTCAAGATCGGATAAAGCGGGATGAGCGGAAATATCGGGTGGGGCGGGTCGGGGGAACGGTAACGACGGCTGCCGTGGGTTGGAGACGGCATCAAAATTACCAATTCACGGACAACACGGGTAGTATAAATATGCGTGAGAGGTAAGGGAAGAATAGACAATCCATTGCCCGCATCGTGTAGCTCCTGCCTAGTAAACAACGTAAAGTTGTGCGTGTGTCATCATAAAATGACATCTCAGACGAGCCATCAGTGGAAGCCGAGAAACGACTTGACGGCAAGCGACTTGACGACGAACGACGACCCCGAAAAAGCTTCCCTCGACATCTCGCCTCCTCCATCACAAGAAGGTTATCAATCATGCGATTCTCAAAGTCCTCCTCCCCCTGATGGAGGCCTGACAGCATGGGTTCAGGTGGCACTCATGCACGCCGTCTTCTTCAACACATGGGGCGTCGCAAACGGATTCGGCGTGTTCCAGGAATATTATTCAAAGACGCTCAATCAATCGCAATCCGCAATCTCGTGGGTGGGGAGTGTACAAATGTGTCTTTTATTCTTAGTCGGCGTGGTGTCTGGGCGTGCCACCGACGCAGGCTACTTCAAGCGCGTGTTTGCCGCCGGAGTACTTATCCAACTGGTTGGCATCTTCACAACCTCCCTCTGCACGCGCTACTGGCAGATCTTCCTCGCGCAAGGCGTATGCCTCGGCCTCGGAAACGGGTGTACTTTTTGTCCCGCGCTGGCTATCTTATCCTCGTATTTCAAACGCAACAGGGCCTTAGCGATCGGGTTAGCATCGGCCGGCGGTGCGACTGGTGGTCTAATATACCCCGCTGTAATCAATCGATTGATCAATCACCATGAGATTGGGTTCCCGTGGACCATGCGCGTGATGGGCTTCATGATGCTTGCGACGTATATCCCCTGCCTCGTCTGGTTCGCGCCTCGCCTACAGCCACGCAAGGCGGGGCCGTGGGTGGACTACTCGGCGCTGAAGGAACTTCCATTCGTCGCCTTCACCATTTGCATGACCCTCAGCTTTTGGGGCTCTATTTTGCCTTTGTCTACATGGGCACATTTGCACGCGATAAGGTCGGAGTGTCCGACCCTGCTAACCTCGTCATGGTTCTCAATGCCGTGGGCATCATTGGCCGGATCGTGCCGAACATTATTGCGGAGAGATGGACGGGCCTTCTCAATCTTCTCATCCCCTCGCCGTGTTGGGAGGGGGCTTGATATATTCCTGGGCAGGAGTTACGACAGAACCCGGTCTCTACGCCTTTGCCATCATCAACGGCTTTGTTTCGGCGGCGCTGCAAGCTCTCTTTCCTGCTATTTCGACGACCATGTCTCCCGACATGGATAAAATCGGTACGCGCGTTGGCATGATCCTTAGCGTGGTGAGTCTAGGCGTTTTGACCGGCCCCTACATTGCTGGTGTCCTGATTCAACGAGGGGGAGGCGACTATCTCTACGCGCAAATGTTTGGCGGGTCGATGTTAATTTTGAGCGCGATGGCAGGTATGGTCGTCCGGTTCGCAAGGGTGGGTTGGGTGTTGAAAGTTCGTGTCTAAGGAGGTTACGCTCCGACGGTCGAGCAATAATGAAATACATGTAGAGTTGGATTTGAAGAACACAGCATATTTTTTCCTGGGTATATATAGATATTGTACATTCAGTCACTGACTATAAAGAGGCACACATGCAATCAATCAGAGAGACAAGACATGACAAGGGATGTGGTCCTGGTTAATTGCATCCGTAGCATTACAAAATCTCAAGGCGTGAAAAATTAGCTGCATTTCCTCTCCGTTTTTCACACTTCCACGCCAGAAAGAGAGCTTGATATTAGCTTCCCAACTTTATTCGCAAAGGACCAAGCCAAACAAGAAACATGTCGCAGACAAAAGACGCCCTGCCCGGAGGTCAAGTTCATGATCTCCTGACGATATTGCCGAAGCAATTTCTGGCGACGAGACGACCAAAGACGCCTGGTCCGACCTTACGGTTCTGGCGCGCAACGAATACATCTGCTGGGTCAGCGACGCCAAGAAAGCAGACACCCGGGATCGGCGCATTCGCCGTCTGGTGGAGGACCTGAGCAAAGGGAAGCGTCGACCTTGCTGCTGGCCTGGCTGTCCCCATCGCGACAAGGGCCAATAACCTTCACAAATATTAAAAGCACCCTTTCGACCTGCAGAGTGCAGCTGAGGCGGCCCAGTGAGAGCTGGGCGTCGGTCACCGTTGAGCCAGCAATTGGCCCTAGAGGTCTGAAGAGATGAGAAGAGAAGAGCTAAGGGATGAGGAGGGTGGGGAAAGTAAGTGGGGGCTGAAGAGGACCGACGACGCTTGTCAATCGGCGCTACTATGTCTGTTCTGTTGAACCTGATGAGAATCGAGCTGGCTTGGCTGAGGCAGCGACTGTGGATGTCTTGACACGAGTGGTGCAAACCCCGCAACGCCACGGCGACCATCTGCCCCGCAAGATCGTCAATGAGGTCATCAGAGCTTTGGCGGAGACCTTTCTCTAGCTTCGCCAGCTCTTCGTATCCCCTCTCCCCTTTTCCCCTTTGCCCTTTTAATCGAAGGTTACTCCCCGGATCAACCTCCCTCGCATGACTGAGCACCTCTCCACATTTTTTTCGTGTCAACCTTCCAATTGGGTTCATCATAACGCAAGCAGGCAGTCAGACAACCCTCCCCGTTTTTTTCCTTCTTCTTTTTTCCGCATCCCTCTCCTCCCCGGCCCCCGCTGACCTCACCATGAAGTCACCGATCCCCGATTACCTCAACCAGGTGTTGAACGCCGTTCGTCCAATCGAAGATGGCGCGCCCGCCGGCTACATTGATGTTTTGGCGAAAGCTGACACGTCCAAGATGGCAGTGGCCCTCGCCACGGTGGACGGCACCATCTACTCGGCCGGCGACGACCAGGTAGAATTCTCCATCCAGTCCATCTCCAAGGCCTTTGTCTACGCCATCGCGATTTACGATGCCGGCATCGACGGAGTCCTCGCCAAGATTGGAGTGGAGCCTTCCGGAGATCGCTTCAACGAGCTTTCTCTCGAGCGCGAGACCAACCGGCCCATGAACCCCATGATCAACGCCGGCGCCATAACCGCGCACTCCCTGGTGGGCGGCGTCAATTCTACCGCCGAGGACCGCACCACCCGCATTTTATTGATGTTGTCCAAGCTCGCCGGCCGGCAGCTTCACGTCGACGAAGAAGTCTACGAAGCCGAACTCAAAGACGCCTTTCGCAACATTGGCCTCGCCTACATGCTCAAGGCCGCAGGGATCCTGAATGCAGCCCGGAAGATGCCGTCCGGGGTTACATCCGGCAGTGCTCCATCAACGTCAACGTGCGGGACCTCGCCATGATGGCCGCCACCCTCGCGAACGCCGGGGTCCACCCCATCACGGGCGAAAAAGTCATTTCCCAGGGGAGCGTGCGTCAAGTCCTTTCCGTCATGACCACCTGCGGCATGTACGACGCCGCCGGCGACTGGGTCTCCAACATTGGCATCCCCGCGAAAAGCGGCGTGGCGGGCGGCATCATCGGCGCATTGCCGGGCCAGCTCGGGCTCGCGACTTTTTCCCCAAGCTCGACCACCACGGCAATAGCGTCCGAGGCGTGGCCATGTGCCAGCGCCTTTCGTCGGACATGGGTCTCCACATGATGGACATTAGCCAGATTGGTCGGTCGACCGTCCGCAAGTCCGTCATCACCTTGGATACCGCGCCCGGTGCCGACGCCCACGGCCGGCTGGAAATTCCCGTCTTTGCCCTTCGAGGTGCGGTCCGGTTCTCGGGCGCTGAGCTTCTCACGCACTGTTGCGCGGGATCTCAACCAACCCGTCGAAGGTGATCCGAGCTCGGGGTGCAACGCCGTATGTCCTGCCGTCGTCTTCTCGCTCCGCGCCACCATTTCCCTGAGCGCCGTTGCCCAGAGGATTCTGCGAGAAAACATCCGCCGGCTGCACGCCGATTCGAAAAAGGTCTTCGTGGTCGATCCGGCAAGGGTGCTGGAGGTGGACGAAATGGCCGAGAACGAAAAGCCCGTCATGGTTCGTACCGTCGACGACGTGATGGCGCTCGTGGGGGCAAGGGCTGCCGCGTTATCGCTGACGAGGGCGATTGAAGTTCATCTTCCATGAATATTTCCATGCAAGTGCGTTGGTGACATGGTTGTGTCGGCATAGTGCAAGGCTGGCGGCCATGGGTCACGGATTAAGCCAGCTTTAGCTAGACGTGAACGACTAAACGCAGATAGTGGGCGCTTAATGGAGACATCTGCCAGCGACTAACCAAAAGTATTAAGCCTCGACTTTTTGAATTGAGCGATACCCGCTACCAGATTTGTGAGATTGGCCGGTCATTGGGCACTCGTACGCAAGTAGCTCGTAGCTTTTTACGTATCTTTAATACTTGGTCCGCAATTGCCATGTCGAGACGGAAATCGGCTTGCCGTGTAGCCGTCCACAGTCCGGATTGACGTTAAAAGCCCAACCCGATTGACGTCATTCAATTGTCCTTGTTACAAGCTTAGAATTAAAGTGCAAATATTAATCAATTCATCTCTTAACATTGGGAAAAAAATCAATAAAACGTATAGTTGGTCCTCCCGCCCAGATGTTTGCACAATTGGATCCAGCCTTTTCAAGTCGCAGTTTCCGAAGCCGTTCAACTAGAAACCGCTAGCTGCTTGCACCGGAGATCTCATCCATCACGCGCAATGGCTCTACGAATCGTTTTTAGTCTGTTGCCCTTTGTGGCGCCGTCAACAGCGGAAGCTCTTTACTCTACGTATAGCTTCACGCCGCTGCAGCACCTGGCAGGAATCGCTCCGTACTTCCAGCCTCAGGATCCTCCGTCGGATCCCGCCGCCCCCAGGGCTGCGTCGCCGACCGAGCAGCGTACCTAGTGCGCCATGCAGCCATTTACGCAAACGACTACGACTTCGAAGAGTACATTGAGCCGTTTTTGAGAAGCTTGGGAATTCCAGCGTTGACTGGACCAAAATCCCTGCCCTCAACTTTCTCGACGGGTGGACGCCGCCCATCGAGGAATCAGACGTTTCGATCCTCACGAGGGTCGGGAAGCTCGAAGCGTCGCAGCTTGGGGTGGATCTCGGCTTCCGCTACCCCAACTTTCGCCTTCCGCAACAGATTTGGACTTCTTCTGCCGAAAGGACGGAAAAGTCCGCGAAGTCATTCGTGCACGGGCTCGAGGAGGACGACGGCACAATAAGCGTCGTCAGTATCTACGAATCGGAAGAGTCGGGCGCGGATAGCCTAACGCCATACAAAGGATGTCCGGCCTACTCATCCTCGGCAGGGTCTGACCAATCGTCCGTGTTCAAGAAAAATATACCGCACCGATACTCGCTCGGTTCAATGACATCGCGCCAGGATTCGACTTCACCGAGGACGACGTGTTTGGGATGCAACAGCTCTGTGGCTACGAGACGGTGATTCGAGGGGACTCGCCGTTTTGTGACCTGGATCTCTTTACCCCGGACGACTGGTTGGGGTGGGAGTATTCCGAGGACATTAGGTATCATTACAACGTGGGATACGGCAACGAAGTCTCTGGATACGTCGGGCTACCTTGGCTCAATGCTACGGCCAACATTCTGCTAGGTGAGGACGATGCCGAGGAAGACCTATACGTCAGCTTCACCCACCGAGAGCTCCCACCCATGGTCCTAGTCGCAATGGGCCTATTCAACAACTCCGACTTTGGCGGTAGCGAATCCACAATCAACGAAACCATGCCCTTGGACAGGATCAACTACCGTCGCGCGTGGAAAAGCTCGAATACCCTGGCTTTCCTAAGCAACATTGCAATCGAGAGATTCCAATGCCAAGGTGCATACGGATACGACGATGGGGCGTACTACAGAGTTCTAGTCAATAGCTCCCCTCAGCCGATTCCTGATTGTAGCGATGGCCCGGGAACATCGTGCTCAAAATCCGGCTTCCAGACATACCTTCAAGAGAGGGTAGCCAAGTTTAGTGGCTTTTCTGACGCATGCGGAGTCGACTATTCAAACTCCACAGATGCACTCACTATTTACACATCGAGTAATAATAACACCACCGGTCTGGAAGACGCAGAAGAATAGAGCTAGGCATCATGCGCTTTCTGGCTTTATGCCCTTGTGCAACAGAGCATCGCGCTTCTTTACGTCGGTATAAAATGACGATAGTTTGGGAAGCATATTACACATGGCTTGCGAGTGACTGGAATTGCAATGGTATATGTATTGTGGATTAGGTAGAGCTTTGCGTGCGCGAATGAAAAAGGAACTTGCGGTCATCTTTTACGATTAATTGGAAACACACAGTGACACCCGTAATGAATGGGAGCTTGTGAGGGCAGAGTGCATACCCTCAACGTATAGCTTCCCAGCCAAATCGCGGGTGTATGTCCTAACGATTAAGATGGCCTAGCAAGATGTCTGATAGCCCCTCAAACGCATCCCTCCGCTTATTCACCAACTCAAGATACGACTTATCTTCCGGGAAACCACCCACAATGACGAGGTCTCGCCCTTCGGCAAGCTGAGCCCATGCCTTCTCGATGAACTCATCGAGTGGCATGCCGACCTTGCGGCCGACCTCGGGGGTCATGTAATCGTGGAGTTCGGCTATGGTTGTGTCATTGGTTATCCACTTGTCCGCAGAATAAAGCAGGATGAAGCAAGTTTTGGCAACGGGGGTGGGGTGGGGGTCCATTCCTAGACTTACTCTGAACAGCCGGAGGAGATTTCAATAATCTTGGTAGACTTGTCCTGGTTCATCCGGCGAAGGCAGTACACGTACGCCGTGAGAGCAGCTTTGGACGCGGAGTATGCGGGCATCGGCACCGCAGGTACGAGAGCGAGGTTACTGCTTGTGAAGGCGAGCGAGGTCGGGTAGGGCTTCGCCTGCAGCTGGGGCAGGAATTTGACCGAGAGATCGACCAGGCGGGAGAAGTTGGTGGACACCTCGGCATGGAAGGCGTCGAGGTCGACCTCCTCGGGCTTGGAAAGAAGGATAGGCGACTGTACGCCGGCGTTCAGGATGACGCTATCCAAGTCGGGGAATTTGCTCAAAATCCTGTCCAAACAGAGCCCATCAGTATCATCATGCGCACAGGATGTTCGGTGCCACCTACGTACCCATTAACAAAGCTATCCAATCCCTCGCGGTCGTTGATGTCGTACCGCACCGCGCTGGCCTTGTCGCGGCCGTGCTTCTCCACGAAGGCGTCGAGCCTATCCTGGCGCCGGCCAACCGCGATCACCTTGGCGCCTTCACTGATGAACTTGTCGGCCAGGGCAGCGCCGATGCCTGCCGTCGCGCCAACGACGAGAATTTGCTTGTAGTTGAATGCCATCTTGCCTCGTTTTGGACGTGCGTCTTGGAATTTCGGAAGGATGGGCGTGTGTAACAAATGAGCTAGGGAGAGACTAGGAATAGATGCCAAGGCACGCCCGGGACCTGTATATTTTTATAGCTGCGGACCTCCGGGAGACCACAACGTTGCCCCGCTCTTGAAGGGTGGGTTGCCGGCGTTCCGCTTGCATGATCTGTCTCAGTAAACGCCGATGGTTAATTCCGGATATTGAATGTTATGTTCTGTTGTTCGTCGCGATGGCGATGAGGGCCCACTCACCCGCGCTAATCGAGTAGCCGTGGGGTGTGTGCGACGAAATGGTCAAATTTAAGGTCGGACAGGTATCAATTCAAGACAAAATTTCAGTTAATTTACCTGCTAGAACAGGAATCAGAATTGAGTCTGTATCCCGAAGCTGTTAAGGCCGGGTTGACACTTGCGATCCCGGAAGTACTGGACGCTTATCTACCTGCCTAGCTTCGTGTCAAGCCTGCCCCTGCATTGCCCCTCCCCTCTCCCGCCCGACCTCGGTAGTGCCCCTCTCTTAACCCCTCCAAGACCGCCGCCACTTCTTGTTTGTCGTGACCGGGGATTTAAAACCGACCTCTAATTCCGAAAACACGTGTCGGAGTTGTGCTCATGGCCGCCCTCGGCCGTCCCCGTGGAGTTACGCGATGCTTCTACTATCTGATCCCGAGAGAGCCGATGACTTGTGGAATCCCAACCGAAAACGCAAAACTCCTAATCGCGAAGCGAGGCCATTTTACGTAGTACCGCGCGGGAAGATTTCCTGCTCGCATCAAATTGTGGTCTATCCTACTTTACACTTCTCCAGGCGTCCAGCAAGCCGCTAACATTGTCGAGGTGTTCTGGCTCTTTTTCTGGATCGAAGAAAGCCTGGGATGAAGCTAATGGTCATCCATGGAATCGATGGTCTCTCCTACTCTTAGCTGTCGCCTTGGTCCGACCCTGAGTGTACGCTTCCTTCGATATACCTCCTCCGTCGGTTCAGCTGCGTCTAAAAGTATCTATGGTCTCCATTCACGGTTAGTGTCCCGTACAAATTGTGCGCGCAACATTGGGTGCCTCTCGAGGAGGCTGGCTAGTGTTAGCTCCGTTTATTTCTTATCTCTAGGCTCTTGCAGCTGGAGAAAGACGCTTTGGTTCTAATGATTCCGAGCCTCTGGACCACTGGCGAGATCAGTGAAGTGACGCTAGATCGGCGATAGGCTATAGAGCTGATCGGCTGCTACCGTTGGTACACCAAGTCACGGCGTCATGATCTAGGTGAAGGCGTGGGGGAAGGATAAGTAAGCGAGGGTAGTACGTTACGCGTGCCCGAGATATGTAATAGTTGTGACTTGGTGCCCTCATGTTCCAGGAGACAAACGCCTTGGCACCGGAGAGAAAGCTATGCCGGAATATCAGATAGGTCTCTGTTATTGAGGCCCGAATAAATATCTGTATCTCTGTTCCCGGAACCTGCTCTGATCCGAATAACAGACGCGAACGCTTACCGTCCCTGTGCGAATCCCTAATTGTAAGCCGCGCGTGTATAAGATGGGTTGTGAAAGAGTAGACGCCTATATCTCATATTCGATGATGAGCAACAAAACCATATAAAGTTGGCATGGAGCTCGAACCTGGGCATCACATATTATTAACATGGCGTTGCTATGATGGAATAGAAATAGTTATTTGGTTTCCAATGTGGCCTCCACCACTTGGATTCAGCTCAAAAACGGCCTTGAGCACTAACAAAGAGAGTAACCAAGAACAGCGATACCAAATGATTCCTTGCCAGTCCCTTCGAGGTAACCCTAATCCATTTATCTTTTAATGGTCCATCATAATCTTGCCATTGCAATCCTTCGACCGTTTTGTATAGAGAACTCAGTAATATACGTATTACTAATCTTTTTTTCTTGTTCGCGTCAGTGCTCGACGTGAAGTCTTGCTTTGATTCATCACTGAAATTTGTTTCAGATCAGATCAGCCAAACACTCTCCCCGTCCGCCTTATTCTACTTCAGTCTTCAGTTCCCTCATGCAACATCTGAAGGCTCCTTTCTATTCTTGCCGTAGCTATGGCCCTAAGTGCGAATACCGCGACCCACAGGCTCATTGCCTTATCACGAAGTGGGCGACGATGCTTTTGACCTGCGATTCTCGCAATCGGTATTTTTCGCAGGGTAGGTTGGGAACGCGCCAAGTCGTATTCCTCGTATTCAATCCTACAGAGGTTGAATAACGACAGCACCTTGAATATTTGGAAAATGACACGATTTTTGCTAGATGGCTCTCAACTTCACGCAGGTAAATCGAAGGCTCCGTTATGTTTAATGCCACTCGGTGGTTCAATCACTTACGGCTCCGGATCTTCCCACGGAAACGGCTATCGCGAGCTCCTCCGCGATATGCTCGTCTCCGACGGCCACGAGGTCCAGATGGTGGGATCGCGTAAATCCGGCAGCATGAAGAATGGGAGCCACGAAGGATGGAGAGGGTTCCGGATCGACCAAATCTGTCAGAAGGCCAAATGCTCCGTCACCAAGTCCCTGCCGAACCTCTTCACCGTTAACGCAGGGTCGAATGACTGCATACAAGACTTCGACCTCGGGAATGTCGGCAAGCGCATGGGTGAGATGATTGAGTACCTATGGAAGGCCTCACCCAATTCGACCGTTCTTCTTTCGACCTTGCTAGTCACGGCGGACACAGCAGTTGCCCCTAGGGTCCTCCATGTCAATGAACAGCTCCGCGTCCTTGCCGAGCAAAGCGCTGCGGAAGGGAAGAGAATTGTCTTCGTAGAGATGCATGGACCTGACGGGCCGGAGCTCGGTGATCTAGTAGATGGGACTCACCCCTGCGATGCAGGTTACCAAAAGATGGCCACAATATGGCACCGCGGTGTTCAGGAAGCTGAGTCAAAGGGCTGGTTAAGTGGGAAACCCCTTTAGGATTGCGATAACAACCTTGCATTCTCGAACGTTCCAGGATGCTTGAAGAAATGCGGCGGTTGACCCTTTTGATCAACCGTGTCAAGCTCTGCAGACACCTGCGCGCAAATCATGGCACCACCCAGTGCCAGGGCTTCCAGGAACTAATCATGTTAACCTCACTCGGGTATAACATCGGAACATTAGACTTATTCCCTTTCTACTGGACCTATACCCAGCCCCACACGTCAGGCAGAGCCTTTATAACAACGACCCTGTCCCTTACCCAAATCCTGACCTGTTATCAGATATAATACCTACGAGATCGTTGGCTACGCGCTGTACCGCAGCCTGAAAAGATTTATGACGCCAATAATGTGTTTCCTTCGTAGACGTTGGTCGGGGGCTAAACCGTATCCTGTGTGAAAGAACCTGTGATCAATTCCTACAAGCTCTCATCTTGGCATCCAACACCATCCTTGTTCCTACGATACATCATTTTTGAGAATCGATTTTTGCACAATAACTCATCCTACCAGGACCAACGCGAGGTTCCATTGCATCTATATGCGGCGCAGATTTCGATGTCCAATCCCAATTGGATGGATGTTGATCCCAATGCCTGCATTGCAAGAATTCACGCTGCACGCCGCAGATTCACCTTGGCAATTCAGATTTGACATGGGAGAAGAGGGGTTCCGTGCGAGTGCCATTCTGGACTTACAAAAGGCATGGTTAAGCCGGCATCCTATAACCGGTCAACTATCTCCCCTTGTTAGATTTTGCGTTGTTTTCCCGGCTTCGACTGCGGAATGCCTCCTGTTCGTTCTGCCACAACGTGAACAAGTTTTCCATCAGGCTCATTATCTAGGCGCCCACTAAGATGTCGGCACAGGAGACACAAACCGCGGCTCCTCTAGCCACCGCACTTCCAGAAATAGCTCCGATTTTGCCCCCGGAGCACTGGGCAGCTGCGCAAGTCAGTTTGGAAAGACCTTCTAGCGTTTCCATCTCGACTCCGCTAACCCAGCCGTAGGATGATGGCGGCGAAGATGATGCAGACTCTACGGTAGGGGAGGACTTTGCGAGTTCAACAGCATCGATCACATCGTCAATCTTGAAATATAGAACCCTGCATGGCCGGACCTACCACAGTGAGATTGGAAACGCGCAGTACTGGTACGCCTCCTGTCCGACTTCGCACAGAGGGTTTCGTGGCTAATCGTGCTGTCATTTTCGCCTTATGCTTGAGTAGGGCCGCAAATGACGAGCGACAAACCGACTCTCTCGATCTTCTGTAAGCCACACTTCAAACTGAGAATGCATAGAGGGCTAATATATCGTCATTCGGTCCAGACACCACCTCTTCTCGCTTGTTCTACAAGGCCAGCTCTTCCTGGCGCCGATAAGGGAGCCAAAGGTTTCATTTCCTATCTTGCCGTCCAGACACCGGTTTCGATATTGTGTGCTAACTCGAAAGGCTTATAGAAAGCCATAGATATCGGAACTGGGACGGGTGAGTACGGCGCAGTTATCATAACGAAATACCTGACAGTACTGAGCTAACCAGAGCTTTTTACCCACACATGTAGGCATTTGGGCGATGTAGGGCGCTTCCGAGTGCTTTCTTTTCCCCGTGACATGGATCTGTCTTGTCGCTAACCCTTCCGTAGCGACTTTGCCGACCGCTTTCCCGAGTGCGAGGTTATAGGTACCGATATCTCGCCCATCCAGCCAACATGGACACCCCAAAATCTCAAGTTGTAAGCACGATTTGTGCCCTTGGGAATCCGCCGGTAGGAGCGGGGACTGATATTGTCTGCTCATACTAGTGAAATCGAGGATTGCACTCGAGAATGGACGTTCCCAGCGGGCACCGTTGACTTTGTCCACATTCGATACTTGCTAGGAAGCGTCCTCGACTGGACGGAATTTTTCAAGCAGGCGTATAAGGTGTTAAAACCCGGAGGCTACCTTGAGAGCTACGAAGCATCTCCGAGTATATAGCGACGATGGTACGCTTGATCCGACCAACGCGATCTCGCAGTGGACCTCGCTGTTCGTCGACGGCGGCCGAAAGATTGGGAGGAGTTTCGATATCGTGGAGGAAAACACGCAAAATATTGCAATGGCTGCGGCTGGCTTTGTGGATATCGAGGAGAAGTGGATCAAGGTAAGACCTAGAGTTTCCGTAAGGCCCGAACGTGGGACTGTCACTGAAATTTCGCATAGGTCCCGGCTGGGGCGTGGCCTTTAGACGCAAAACAGAAGGAAATTGGCACCTTTGCCGCCTTCGCCGTTGACCGAGATATTGAGGGATTCATCGGTTTCGTCAGTAGCGTTCAGGGCTGGACGAAGGAGGAAGTTGCGGTGTATACAGCTCAACTCAGGCGCGAGCTTCGCTCCCGCAAACACCATGTCTGGTACTGGCAAAAGATCGTGTGGGGTCGTAAACCAGAGTCAAGCTCATAGTGGGAATGGTTCCGCATTCTCGCTGCTACGTGATTGAATCATGGAAATAGTATTTTTTAATCCTACCTACATGACTATGCCCATTTGTTACATTCGTAATCGTACCGAGGACGCCAGTCCACCTCGACTGCATTCCAATTGCTTGCCCCGTTAGTCCCATTCGTGCCCGTCTTGGAGACCCCGTTTGTATACCCGTCCTTCTTTTGCCATGGCAAACACTCCTTTGCAGGTTCGACAGGGCCAAGCTCTCTGCTTCGCTTCTCCCTCCACGTCTCGATCTCGCTTTGCTCCACAAAGTTACCGTGCAGTCCCAACCGAAGCTTGAATGGCAGGTGGATGACGGCAACGGGACCCTGAGCGATATTTCGTGCGTCGAAGATGCAAACATCGTTCCTTAGCACATCGAGATGGTTTAGAAGTGCGACAAGATACCCGTCTCCCTCCTCCTTGCTTCCGGCCCGTGGGATGAAGGCGGGCTCCTGGAAGGTCGCACATGGACCCGCCCAAAACGTCTCGGTCGTTGAGTTGTCCCAGGTAAAATGCCCCAGCGTGTTGAAGAGGCCGCCGGCTGGCGATCCGCATTTTTAAAGTCATATGGCTTTGAGCCGTCGATGATGGCTTGCCAGTAGTGGTTATACTTGTACGTTGTGAAGCGGTCGTCGATGCGAGAGAACTCTCCCGAGAATTCGGTTCGCTCTTCGACGGGGTCCACCCAGGAGTTGTTCGGAGCCTGTGGATCAAATATCCAGCGCGTCGTGCTGTTGTGCAACTTGTTTCGCTTTGCTACAGTACCGGCGGGGGTATCCACGGAAGGCCACCAGAAGAAGACATTCCCATCTGCAATAGTCAGGTCGAACACTACTTCTCCGTCAGGGGTTTCGTAGCAGCTGACTGTGTGTCCTTGGAAAGCTGCGAGGGGTTAGCGTGTTGGAGATGAAAAAGGAGATATTGGGGCTGTGCTGACCATTCTTAGAGCGGAACCACCGAATGTCTTCAGGTTTGCCTTTACGCCGTGGCACAAGCCCGTACCATTGATCCTCGTTTGGGTCCCACGCCCAGTGATTCTCGCCCTTTTTCAGCCTCTCGGGGTCACACTTGAGCGGTGTCATCGGAAGAACCACCCAGTTATCGCTGACCCCACAGTCGTGGATAATACCACAGAAGGGAGCCTTATACCAGCATTCTTCAGTCTTGAGGCCGCTTGCATCAATTGTATAGACAACTATATCCCGGGACCCATCATTGCCGTCACCGCCAGCCTGGTGTACTGTGAGTAAATGGCTCCAAACAAAGGGGTTAAGCAGCCAACTCACTTCATACCCATAACAGATCATTTCGCCCGTCTTCGGATCAAACTTGGGGTGAGCAGTCATGGTCGGGCTCAGGACTTGACCTTCGAAATCATAGCGGCCAATTGTATCTAATGTATCTGGGTCCATGGCGTAGGCCGGTCCATCCTCTTTGGTAGCTAGGAGCATCCCCTCCAGAAGAAGATGTTTGTGTTCGCCGCGGTTCTAATGACTCCCTTGACCGCCTCATTATCTGTGTAAGGGTTTCGGTACTTGCCGAATAATGCCTTTTGTGTTGGGTCTCGTAGTTGTAGCGATCCGTGTGCACGTAGCGCTGCTTGAAGTGTGCTCGACCACCACTAAGACGGATAGCTGTCACGTTTCCATCCCCATTGAAATGAATATCAGATTCATACACAGGAGGAAATCTATGATCCGGCTGGATACGAAAGAAAGTTCCGTCAATGTCCTCGGGTATCTTTCCCGTCACCTCGAGGTCGTGGACATCGCCTTCCAGGCGGGAAGGTTTATTGAACCCTTGGAAAACTTCAGTCGCAGGGAATTTAGATTCAGTATTAGCCTTTGTGCCATCAGCATAGTTAACCTTGGCCGATAAGGACTCTGCTAGCTCGAATATATGCGCCATTCTCAAAGTGATTTCCGTAAGATGTCCGGGGGCAAGCAGAAATATCGGGGCGAGGGTAGGATTGCAATCATGGGTAGTCCAAGGGTAGCCCACCGTTGTTCTTCCCATGCCCTCCTATAAAGGTCTACATGGTCGGCTCAACTTGGGTTTCTTAGCGTGCTGCGATGCAGTGCTGACCCGGACAGCGAACGGAGCGGAAAAGTCGGCTGTACCAAGCCGATGGGGAAGTGGGGTGGGTGCTAGCCACCGGGTGCACCAGCCCGAGAAGCGTCGTCCGTCTGCCGACAGCCAAACCATCGAGGGCGAGCCCGGTGTTTAGTATTCTTTGAGACTAGAGCAAATCGTCTACCCCGCTCCTCTGGAGGTCGCCTGATACATATCATGACGCCCTATTAGGAGGATCGCACAATGGGCATTGTTTGGTGAATTGAAAGTGATAGACAACTCCGACCGGGTGTTGCCGTTGGGGGCGATGGTAGCCACCAGCTGTAAGCGGCCGTGTATTGGAAATTCAGGTGCTTCGACTCATATGGAAATACGGATTAGAAAGGCGACCCCCAAAGCTTGCTTGTTCATCATAGTTTGGGTGGTGGCAGAGTTGGAGAGAATATGACCCCTCAACTCTTGATCAGTCCATCATGATGTAGCTTGGCAACCAAGACAGCCCCGATAGAAACATGTGGCACAGAAATTGTCGGCTTTCACGCTCTTGGCCGTCCGGTAGGGGATGCTGTATTGAGATATACAGACAATCTCATCGCGGAAGATCATAGGAATAGAAGATGAGATATACCGACTCATGGGTGCACAGGGTGCCATCGTTGTGAATGCCAGGCTTAGATACTGGACTTAGATTACAAGAGAGCTAGATAAAATATCGAATGTTGAGTTTATGTCTATTACTAGCTGCGATAGTAGACCTAATCCAGATTATCCCCTAATGTACCACCCTAGTTCCTCCTTCTTTATATCTTTCAATGAAAGACCCTTGCCCAGATACGCAAATCGGTTTTCGTTGCCGTACGTAAAATCGAAGTCCTGAAGACGAGGGTTCCTTACGGAATCGAGGAAATGGTTCACCGAGCCCGGCCAAGGACCGACAATCCTGCCATTCGAGGTACCGCCCTTATACCTATTGATGATATTAGCAAATGATCGGGAACTCCGGTACCCGGTAATGGGTTACGCACCAGCTGTTGCAATTTCCCGAAAACGTCAGCAGGTCCATGACGGCATCTTTGTGATCGTTGAATTCAGTATTCGCTTGCCGCGAGACAACGACTGACTTGACACCTTGTCTCTGTATTTTGTCCACGAAACAAAGCGCGAAATCAACCTGCGCCTCGATGGAGGGCATAAGAGAGCCGTTGGAAATGGGGGTGTTGGGGCCGACAACCACTGTAGATGCTAGCGTTAGTCCGCTGATTTCAATACTCGACAGAATGATACAACGTACTAAAGTAATTAGGCATGTCGGGGACTGCACATGTGAAATACGCCTCGGCGCCGGTCTTTGCCCACGTCTCGCCAAGGCCGACGCTGTTACGCCCTTTCAAGGGGAATGCTGGTACATAAGAGGTATCGTAGCCGGTCGCAGCAATTATGACATCGACTTCGTAGGCCGTGCCATCCTGAGTGATGACGCTGTTGCTCGTAACTTCTTGGATACCGGTCCTAACAATCTCGACATTGTCCTCCTGTAGCGCCTCAAGGTAGCCTTCGCCGGGGTGACACTATTCACGGAGCGTATCAGTACCGACTCGGAAATATGTAGAGTTCATCCCGCTCGTACTCACCGCCTACAGCCCACATCGAAATCGGGAATGAGCTTCTCCCGAAGAGCAGGGTCCATCTTGTCGAGCTTCCCGCGCATGCTTGCTTCAATGATTTCACGCGACGCTTTCTGGGCCTCCGAGCCCTTGTAAAAGTTGGGAAACCTGGAGTTGAGCTCGTGGTCGACCTCTCGGCGGTAGGTTTTGAGATACTCGGGGTCTTTGCGGAACTTTTCCTTTTGTTCCTCCGTGTAGATTGTTCCTCGGCCTTCGGGAGCTAGTCGACCGACGAATTGGGGCGCGATCCAGGTGGGCGAACGGGCAAACGTGACGAGCGACTTGACGACTATCATTTGTTAGGTACTTGTGTCTAGAGGCTTTATCATCGGTATACCTACTTGGTTGGATCGTTGGTACAACCTGGATGGCGGAAGACCCGGCGCCGATAACGGCAACGCGCTTTCCTGTCAGGTCCAGGTCCTGCGGGTAGTTACCAGTATGTACGAGCCTCCCTTCAAAAGAGTGAAGACCCTGAATTTCGGGCCACTTCCACCGGCTGTTGGTCGGGTATCTTAGTGTTTGAGCTAATAACTCTCGATATAGCGAAACAACTTACTTGAGCACACCGGCGCAGTTCAACACCACTTCAGCAGAGTCCTCGATGACTACTCCGGTAATCGTATCCTCGATTTTGACGTTCCACTTGCCGCAGTCTTCGTCCCACACAGCTCCGACAACCTTGTGGCTGAACTTGGCGTTTTGGTAAACTCCATATTCCTTGGCTCGCGCACGATAGAAATCCCAAATCTCTTCCGCGCCGACATATCTACATCATCGCCAACGTCAGCCACGGTTTCCATGAACGCCAATCGCACTTGATGCTTACACTTTGCTCCACTCAGGGTTACCTATCCATGGGTAACTATACGAGTGGGCGGGTATGTCGCACGAGCAACCGGGATACCGAGACTCGAACCATGTACCTCCCACGTCGGTGTTCTTCTCGTAGATCGTGTATTCCACATCTTCCAGGAACTGCGCCTTGTAAGCGAAAGCAATGCCTGATATTCCGGCACCAATAACGATCACTCGAATTGGCTTCGGCTTGTGAATGTGCTGGTCTAGCACCGTGTATGCCTCTGGGGGAGTGTATGTGATCATAGTGCAAGGAATGTTGATGATCTCTTGTCAACGACAAAATAATCGGGGATACTATGGTATTGGGCGTGGTTTCTTCAGCAAAATGGAAACGGGCGCGTCTAGGTCATTTAAGGCGCGTCTCATTCAAGTTCGTCATAGTCTCTCCCTACGCCTCATGGCGGCTCTTTGGGACCGATATCTACTCGTAGGATATGGACTGCTCATCGATGCACCCTTTAGCTACCCTTTGTCCCCACACCTTATTGCCGACACGCTACCGAGCCTATCGGCATGGGGCCCTCATACTCACCGGGAATGGGTGTAGATACTTCATGTCCATCTTGGATGGGGTCGCTTCCCCGCGTTGATGAGCTGCGCATGGGTGCGGGGTTGTTCGATTGGAGTCTCTGCTTGAAGATCCGTAAGGTGTTTGAAAGATGGAACAGGGTATCGTGGAGGTTACGGCATCGGACATACCCAGCCGTGGCTCGCTGCTCCTTAAAGTGGTGCTATATCCTTTGGGGTTTAGCGTCCGGTGCCTCATTCTCTCGGGTCCAGGCAACCGGAGAACGAGAGGAGGAGGGCACAATTCGTGGGGGTGACAGGGCACCCGCGTCTATTTGCAGTTCTCTGGTTATTGTGAACTCGATGGCATGTGCTGATCAGTCGGTGCTAGTAGCGCTTTACCTTGCCCATCTGACTAAGAGGCATTTCCTTGTTTGGCTACAAGCCGTACTTCCCGCAAGCTCCGCGATTATGTGGACCATCTCCACCAGTAGTTTCTCTAAGTTGCGTTAAATATAATCCGGAATGCAGCTACTACTATCCTATAAAAGGGGCCGAGGGTGGAGTTGAGCCACTCTAGCCAGGGAACCTTTTAAAGCGGACCTCACCCCAAGACTTTCACTCGGTGGAGCGGAGGGCCGACGCCGACTCTTTGACAAGTGTAGGAGACCGTATTTATAACTAAAAGACAAAAGATTAATAATGGGCGCAATGGGGTGACAATAGCATAGAAATAATGATGGCAAGCAGTTGGTGGAATGTTTTTCGTGATCCGAAACTCCCGTGCCACACTATCCGAGTATCCGGGTGGGCGATGGACGTAGCCCATGTTCGTGGTTATAATTGAGCGCAAATTGTCATTCTCGACTGCTTCAACCCGGTCTCATAGTAAATTTGAACCGATCGGTTGTCAGCTCACCTTACTGCCGCTTGCCCTGCTCTCCCCTGCTCTTACTGCCCATTTTAGCAACAATGCCGAGTCTTCCCTTCATCGGCTCCGGCCGCATTCAGCTACCGATCGTCAATGGTAGCCACAAGATCCAGCTGGCCCGTCTGAGCCATGTTTACTGCTCCCACCCCAACCTCGACGAATTTGACCGATTCGCCAAAGACTTTGGGTTCGTGGAAGAAGCCAGAGACAAGGACACTGTCTATTATAGGGGCTACGGAAAAGATTTATCCTGCTACGTTGCCACGAAGAGCAGTGATGGCGAAAAGCACTTTGACGGAGCGGCCTACGTCGCCAAGACGGAGCTGGATTTCCAAAGGCCGTCGAATTGAGCGGCAACTCGCCGGTTAGGGATAATGCAGGCCCTGCCGGTGGTCGTATCGTCACCCTTTCCTCTCCGTCAGGCACCAAGATCCACGTCGTCTGGGGAATGAAGGAGCGCCCCGCGCCCACAGTCGCAGTCTCTGAAACCGAGGTGGAAGGTGGAAGCGCCAACACCGCGCTGAACAAAACCAGGAAAGGTTTGTCTCTCCTCTATCCCCCTCTGGCATTCCCTCTTTCAGGTGCGCGTTCATGCTAAGCCCAGCTTCCAGGCCATTTTCTCCGATTCAAGCTCGGCCCAGCCATGGTGCACAAGCTCGGACACTACGGCTTCGTCACGTCCATGTTCGATGAAGATGTCGAGTTTTACACGCGCTTCTTCAACTTTGTGCCCTCAGACGTCTTGTGGGAAGATGTGGACGGCAACGAAGTGGATGCCTTGACATTTATGCATCTCGACCAAGGCGAGGACTACAGCGATCACCACACCTTGTTCCTTGCCCGTGCGCCCGCCGGCTTCCCCGTCCCACACCAGATCCACCACTGCTCGTTCGAGGTGGAGGACTTCGACACGCAGCTTCTGGGCCATGAGTATCTCTTAAGCAAGTCGTACACCCCCGTTTGGGGCGTAGGGCGACACATCTATGGATCCCAAATCTTTGACTACTGGAAGGATCCCAGCGGGTTCACCATTGAACATTATGCAGATGGCGACTTGGTGAACAAGGATAATCCTACCGGACGGGCGAAGAGCGATGGTCCGGCGTCGATGTATATCTGGGGTCCAGTGAGGCCCGAGGATGGTGTGATTTAATCTGCCATGGTTTAGTGTAAATAATAGTAGTGTGCTTCTAGACTAGGCCTGCCGAGGTGGTGGGCGGGCGTAGACCCGAAATTCAACACATTTGATTTTATTTCTGAACCTTGACACACCAAGCTCATTTCATCCACTACTCCACGTTCCGTGTGGCTGTCGCAAAAAGTCCCCCGCATTTCGATAAACATGACCAAGGAGAGAGTAACTGCAATTGGAATGGATCTGAGTCGCCCCTGGGGGCCGTTTGACAACCCCACGTTGTCTAGTCCCTTGCCATCGCACTAACTTCCCACATCCCCGCCGGCTGCCTCGGCAGGCTCTGAACCAACATCCGGGGTCACATCGGAAATAAGACACCGACATCCGCCATCTCCCCATCATGCGACCCGAGTTTCCGAGAACTCTTGCATAAAGTCCCCAGACCAGAGGAGGTCTCCTCAGTGTCCAACCTTTTACTGTTGTGTCTTGTCTGTATCAGTCTATCAGCTGTGTTTACCGTGACATCTGGTACTCCTTCTTTTCATACCCCTGACTTCCAACTTGTATCGTCCAATGGAGGAGACTAGTGTGCTTATCGTCGGTGCTGGCCCTAGTGGCCTTGCACTCGGGGCCTTGCTTGGCCGCATGAATGTCAAGGTAGGTAGGCCATTCCTTAAACAGAGGCAAGAGTGAATGCTCACATAGAGTAGGTCATAATCTTAGAGAAAGACACGGAGGTCTGCGAAGACCCTCGTGGAATCGTGGTGAATGGAGATGCCGTGCGAATTTCGTATCAGATAGGTATTGGCGAGGGCCTGACCAAAAGGATAGGAAAGGGTGAGTTTTGCTCCGTCACAACATGCACCTTTGAACCACCGCTCACGACATCACTTCTAGATATTGGTGTCCTCAACTTCCACCGAGGAACTTTCGGCAATCCCCCTTCATGTCCTTTGACATCACCAAGGACTGGGCCCAACAGTCAGTTTCAAATAACGTGACGCAGTTTCAACCCAACTATGGTAGGTTGGCACTCCTTTTCACATCTGAAGTCAACCGTTCTCTAACTCTGCCCTTCTCACAGAGCGGGAGATCCGGGCCCTCCTAAAGGAGTTCCCCACCGTTGAATTTCGTACTGGGTGCGAGGTCATCGGTAGGGAAGAGCTCGCCGATTACTCCATTGTTGACTATGTCGAGCAAGGCGGGACCAGGAAGCAGATACGGACGACGTGGCTGGTAGGAGCTGACGGCAAGAGAGGAGTGGTGAGGAAGAAGTTCCTCGAACCGGAAGGGATCAAGCAAGTTGAGGGTGCCTGGAAGTACGTGGGTACTTGGGTGGCCGCTAATCTCAAAATCACCATCCCCACCCCAAAGTCCCACCCCGAGTTTCCATTATGGCAACTTGGATACACGCCCGAGCAAGTTCACGAAATATTCTGGCCCAGCGGCTTCCAGTAAGTGAAACCTGACCTCGGTATCGTTGTTAGACTAAGCTAATTGTTGATTGAAGTTTCTGCAACGACTCTCGGAGACCGCAAGTCAGTGGTAGATTCGGTCCCCCGGGCTCTATGTTTTGGAGGTAAGCCATTCCCTTTTGATTGAAGGAGGTCTTCTGACTAATTGGTTGGCTTTCCCAGGCATGAGTATTCTGTTGAACCAGAAGATAACCTAGACGATGTGGAAGGACATTTTTGGAGTCTTTTGGCCCTTGGATGGTCATACCTGGCTCTAAGTTTTCCAGAAAGTTGAGAAACATCGAGGTGGAATATCCACGGGACTGCATCGAAGTAGTCCGATGCCGCCCTTTTACGTGAGTATCCACCAGACACCGCCTTTGAACATCTTATTAACGGGACCGTAGGTTTGCCACAAAAATCGTGAACCAATGGTTCATCCGTAGAGCCATGTTGATTGGCGATGCTGCCCACGTCTTTCCTCCCTTTGGGGGACAGGGTATCGCGACCGGCATTCGCGATGCCCAGGGTCTCGCCTGGAGACTCGGAATGATGTCACGGATGAAGTTGACAACTGAAGTGCAGCAGAAGATCATGACCGGGTGGAGCCAGGAGCGCCGACACGGTTGGCAGGCAGCCATGGAAGCCACCAAATTAAACGGTAGCATCGTGAACCTACGGTCGTTTTTCAAGGGATTCATCTTCAGGACAGTGATGCGCATCCTGTGGTGGTTTCCCAGTATCGCGCGGTACAGGACCAAAGAAAGCTTCAAGGACAAGCTCGCCTTCAATCACGAATCTTGCCCGGATGGGTTCTTCATCGGCAAGGCCGGCGGCGGACGCAAGGTGGCCCAGGTTTGGGTTCGGGAGCCAGGAGCCTCGCCCCAACTGTCCGACAGCGCATTCATCCGCGATCCTGGTCATTTCTCGTTGGTGGTCCTCGTTCGAAACCAATCTGACGCTGACGCTGCGGCCATCGCTGATTTGCTAGCGGAAGCCAACCTGCCCGAAGGCCTCTTGACCATGGACGACGTAACGTTCTACGATATCAGTGGCAGTTCTAGCCAGGGCATGACTAGTAATCTAAAAGCGGGCGGCAAAGTGTATTACCCCTGCACCGGCACGGAGCTACTCGAGGAGGACATTACTCCCATCCCAGCATACGATGTTACCGCCGTTCAGGATCGCCTACCGAAGTCAACAAAGTTTGTGCTTCTTCGACCTGACTTCTTTATTCATTCTCTAGCCGCCAATATTGATGACTTGTCGGCAAACTTGCAACAAATACGAGACTATTTCAGGTAGTGTGTACTCAAGCTACAATGTACGACTTGGTAGACAACGAGAAGGATAATCGTGGGTAGATTAGCGTTATTGTACAGCAATTAATACGGAAGCATTTCGAATTCTATCTATAATTGGTTGATCCCGTTGTACTGTCGAACATGAATTGAGATCCCACGAAAGACGCATCTGTAAAGATTTCCGTGAGGCCTGAACTCGTGCCGAGGTCTAGAGTTTCAAAAACATCAAACTGAGAGCCCTCGAACGATCTATGGAGAATTGCGTATTAGGAACCGTGAAATAACAGGAAAACACTAGGAAAGGGATAGGCGTAAGGGCGTGAGCTAGGGGCCTAAAGGGAGACTTACAAGTCTGGAAAGTCGTCCAAGAACGCAGCCATATCGTTATCTCCCGGTATCGCAGGTGCGAACCCAAAAGCACGAGGGTCAAATGGCTCCAGTGGGCGCATGTGCTGCACCGACTGTAAAGTTCCCGACTGCAAGAAGCCGCTCTCGGCGACCGATTCCTCCAGCTCCGGGGACAGCCTCTCGCACCACCCAGTTTTCTCCATGCTCCTGTGGGTCTCGAGGCACAGCTGAAGCATGCTCTGACGTTCCGCACCCCGGACAGTTGCAGGGCCATGATCAGAATCCCCATCAAGTCGCCAATGCAATGCGTGTCGAAGAGAACGCGGCTCGACAGCGTCCCATCGTCTCGCATCCGCGAGATGATATTTACTGCTGCCTCGGCCGCCTCTATGCAGGCGTTACTCATCTGCTCGTAAACGGATCTCTTGATGGGTGGCATGGAAGCCGTCGAACGCGCTACCATGAAGAGTAAAAACGGCCGGGTGAGCCAAATTGTGGTTGACCAAAAGCGTAGGTGCAGGATGCAGACGGCTCGGCGGTGCTGGGGGTGGAGGGATGAGTCCCAGCGGAAGTGGCTGGGTATTTTGGCGTACCATCGCCGGAGGCTGGTGAGAGACTTGGTTACTCGGCTGATGGGTAGCCTCCCGCCGATATGCGCTGGTTCAAGAAAGCAATCGTGGCTGATTGTTTTAGCCATACGCGTCAAGCTAACAGCTAGAGCCTGGTAGCCTAAGGGGGTATTGGGCCCCGGACTCAACATCTATCGCGCGTTAGTGGATTACTCATCATGTCCCAGATTCGGGAGAAGGGCCGAAACGCACCTGCTCCGTGGCCGCGGGGTGCTCATGAATACGGCATCATCAATGACCGAACACGGATACCCGAACCGACTCGCCATCTCATAATCAAGAACGTAGATCGTCCACCATACGCGACGGCTTCGCTCACGCTCAAGAGAGCCCTTACTCCTGAGGAAGATATCACGGTGCAGTCCAAGAGAGTAGCCGATTCTGACGGCTGTGCCAACGTGCAGATATGCGGCAATGCTGTAGCACATGGCATGGTTCGCGAGCCCCTTGTATCTAGATTAGATGGCGTGGTCTGATACTGTGACGTTTGAGGACGGTACTCACTAGTAGCCCGAAAGCCTTGACGCTATCCATGTCGGCTTCCTCAGCCGCGGCGGCTGACATGTCCCTCGCCATCGCGAGGTATTCAAGCGACGTCTTTGTTTCCGGGTTACCGGGCGCCTGGTCCCCCGGTTGCATACTACCAATGGTAAAAATGGAGTATAGGGCACATAGCCATGACGAACTCGCCGTAACCCCACTGTCGTTCAACGTTCGATCTAGCCGGGAGTAGAAATTCTCCGACGAGTAGAACCAGTAAGTGCAGTGGATCTGGTCAAAGAACTTTGTCACATAATCCATGCACAACGCACGAGGTGGGAGGTATACTTCCGTGCGACGGTTTCCCTGGTTCTCGGGGTCGTCGGCGGAAGCCGCCCGATGTTGAGCGGGGTGATGATCTTGGGGTCTGGCCGCGGAGACGACGCCCGTGCATCCCGTGCTGTGCGGATAGCGTTGAACCAGCGGATGGATGAATTAGCGCCAACATATCCTAAGCCGCACCCGGTCAGTCATGCAATGATACGTTATGTTGGCTCCATCATTCACGCACGGTATTTTCCCATGGAATCAAGCAACATGCACCCTAGCTCCTCCTGCAGTACCGGATGCTCATCGGCCTCCATCGTCTCGTGACTCCCATCTTGGGAAGCCTGCGCGATAGTGCTTTCGGATTCCTGGGGTAACTCCCTTACCGAGGCAGGGCCCTTTGATGCCGTGTCGGATGCATCGTTGTCGAGCTTTTGGAGGAGGTCTTGGATATTCTCTACCGTGAGCTCGGGGAGCTCTGCCTCTGGCACGAACCGGCGAAGTAGCTTGATGGAGTATTCATATACTTCGCCAGAGACCCTATAAAAGGTCTCTTTCTATTCTTGATACTTGACTCGCATGGAATATTAAGTGATCTACAATAGCGGCAAGCGCCGGTTTCTGCGATGGGCAATACTAGTTAGTGTGAAGTTGTTTAATCAACACGGGAACAAACAATGTTTACCAATTCCGATGCACTGAAAGGGAACGTCGTGTTAGCCAGTTCTTCCATCTATGTTCATGTGTCTCCAGCCGTCTCTTCGCCAACCTACCTTGGTCTTGCGGGCCTTGCAGGTGCTACAGCTCAAACGAGCTCTTTTTCTCGGAGGCTCTTGCTCCAACTCCTGGCCCTGTCGATCATGCTCCTGCACCCGTTCAATCTGGGACTGGGACTCATCCCTTCCGTCAATCACTTTGTCGATATTGTCCATGGCATCTACAAAATCCACAGATGGGAGTCGATTGGGGAAGTCGGATGGAGTAAACATGAGGGGAACACGCGACGGACAGTTGGAGCCGGGCCCAAAAAGCATTTAAGTGATCCATGGTTTCGGTTACCCCATATTTTCAATGCGGGGAATAAGCTCGGTTACTTGATACCGATGTCTCCCCCTCAATCTCTGAACAAACTATTGTAATTGCTTCTCTTCTCATTCGACCAAAGATGCCAGACGAAAATCTATGCTAGCGTCAAACTAGACTAATTTGGGTGCCGAAGCGAGGAGGTTCTCGATCACTCCCCCATTTGGCTAGAGCGCGGTGCTTCTTCCCCACATTCTACAATCTTACAGAGCCGCATTGCCGGGCTTCTTCCCGGCGAATACCAGATGCAAAGGCTTGACCCCCGCGGTGAAGTGGTCCATAGTTTCGTGGATTAGTCTCGAGCCGTCCTCCCCAGGGGCAAAACTAACTCCTTCGAAGTTCTGGATCCAATGAGTGATCAGATCCTTCATCTCTGTGATGGCCAACGCACGCCCGATGCAGCCGTTCATGCCTATCCCATCTAGGTTAGCCTCTAATATACTCCACCTCAGTCGGGGGTTTGCAAAACTCACCGACGTTCCAAGTCAAGAAGACTTCGCGGTTCTTGATCAGTTCGGGCTTCGAGTACCACCGCTCAGGAATAAACTGGTCAGGACGTTCGTAGTTTTGCTCGTCGCGCTGCATGGCATAAACGGGCAGCACGACGGTTGTGCCTCCAGGAATAAAGGTTTCTCCAATCATGATACCCTCAGAAGGAGTCAACCGGGGAATCCAGAAGGAATGGCAGGGTGCAGGCGAAGGGCCTCTTGGATGACGCCGTCCAGGTGCTGCGCTTTAGCGACGTCCTTGGGCGCCAAGACATTCTTTCCGTTCAAAAGCGGTAGAAGCTCGTCCTTTAGCTTCTGAACCTCGCTCGGGTTCTTTGCTAGGTGATAGAAAAGAAAGGTAAGCGTAGATGCTGTAGTGTCGGAGCCTCCCACAATCGTGAGTCGGGTATCGCCGCGTAGCCAGTTGTAGTCAATCTCGTTTCTCTCGCTGTGGTTGTATGCATCGACAAGATGCGTAAGGACCTAGAAAATCGCCTTGGTTAATTGAGGCTTCATCGCATAGCATCGATCTGGCTGCTTACATCGGCCTTCTCAACCTGTTTATCAACGCGTTCGCTGACCTGGGAGTTGACAAAATTGTGCCATGCTCCTGCGCCATTCTTGCCAGCCCTAGGAAGTCTCATAAGGATGGATCCGATCCAAGGCAAAGGAGTCGTCACGCCTACCGCTCCCATGCCCTCCTCGAGCAGCACGGGAATTCTGCGGTTCTCCTCAGCCGTCATCATATGGAATTGCTTCCCAAGACCGATATCGCCCATGACATCAAATGCTGGCGGGTCCGTCAGCATAGTGGTCACGAAATTGGGGAAGCGAGCGCCGACCTACCGAAATACTTGAACCAGTCGGAGGCATCAAACGGCTTGTCGGCCATGGTCTTCATCTGTCTCACAAACTCTTCACAGTGCACTACAACGCGTTTCTCATATTCCTGCATGGCAGAGGGCGAGAAGGCCTTGGAAAACACCTTCCTGCGCTGGTCATGCTGTTTCTTATCGCGAACTGTATGCAAGCTGATCATTGGCCTCGACCTCTCATACCACGGGCTCTTAATGCACTTGGATTGGTTGCCTAGTACAATGCGGATAGCCTCTGGGCTCTTCACAGAGATATTGCTTGGGCCTTGCCGTCGTGTCAGCGCCGAGCTTTCTCATTCGTGCTCAAGATTGGGAATCATACCTGTCCTGACAATGGGACCATACTGCTTGTGCAGCTTTTCCATGAGGAAATAGTTGTCTGAGTTTCTGATGAGATAGGCGTGGTAGAAATTGGACAGCCGTGCCCAGAAGGGCCCCGGAAACCTGCCCAACGGGTGCAGGAAGAGTCGGTAGAGAGAGATACTCGTAAAGAGCCCAGCAAAGTACGAGATACTGAATACAGTGGTTGATATGGCCGTCTCGAGTGCCTTGTACCCAGACAAATGTAGCACAGCGCCGCCTAGAATGGCGACACCTGTGAGACTCCGGTTGATCCATCGATATGCGTAAAGGTTATGGTCGCCGCGGATAAAGTAGCCAACATGGCTCACAATACCAGCAGCAGCCATCACGGCACAACCACACGCAACATGGCTGCTGTTGCTAAGGTCGATCTTCTCGATCAGTTCAAAGATGCGGTCCATGTTATCGTGTGTTCGCTGAAGATGGCGGGGGAAGAATGGCCTGGTGTGAAAAGAAAAGAGTGTAAGGGGCAGTATTCTTGGCTAAGAACAAGCATATCTATTACAGCAGTGATTGATTTAAAGGAAATAGTGAAAACGACGCCTTGTCGCGAGAGGGCTTCCCGCTTTACCCGCCAAGTATCATCGGTCGAGGAAGGCGGAAGCTCCGTCGGCTCCAACAACCCGGCCGAAGCGATGGATCGCCGATGATAGCTCGGTCCGATATAAGCGACAACCACCGGCGATGACGAACAATCGGCTGGAGAAAATCCAACGTTTGTGCTACCGACCGAGTTAGTCCGATTTTCATTAGTGCCTAGATCTTGGCTACCTATACCCGCTTGAATGCCCAGCCAAACAAACCATGTTTTAGCTCCAAATCTCACACAAGCCTTTCATAGCGAGTGCCAAGCCCGGCCGTTCGCATGCTGGGCCCTAATTTAGGACAACACTGTTTCGACCCCAACAAACCCCAACATCAATCCAGGATGGCTTACAGTGTAATGATTTACCAATACCCTCCGTCTCGCATGCTCTTCTACAAAGCAATTTTTGACAATGAATCGGATATCTAAATAGGATATTCAGCCATATCACGGATTAACATAGGCAAAGCCACACATCCCGCAGCCTTGAAAAAGATTCAGGCAATGTCTTGTCGCCAAACATCACGAGGGGTTTAGAATTGCGGCAACGGCCAAGGCTACAAGGATGGTTATTCCTAGCGCCACTGAGCATATTTCGGATTGACATGGGAAGAAGAGAAGAAATTCAGATGTGAGACAAGTTAACGAGTATATTATGCGGATAGTGGTGGCATAGACTCCACCATTTTAGCAATGACTTCTACTATCGATAAGTTCATACTCGCATCCCAAATACAACGCATCCGTCAAAAATCTCTCTACTTAGCGTTCTCGACATGAGTCTCTACGGGCTGATCTTCCTGGTGGTCCTTCTCCTTGCCCAGGGCAATGACAGCTCCTTGCGAGCGAGCCTGTTCCATCTCCGCGCAGACATAGGTCTTGAAACCCCTTCTAGAGACTTTGTTCCTGAACATCTCGTCAATCTCCTCCAAACTGCGACCCTTGACATCAGGAAGCAGGAAGTAGATGAAGACGGTCGAGATGAGACCGCTAACAAACCAGATCCAAGAATACTTGGCACCCCAGTTCATCTCTGCGGGGTTAATGAAGTAAGGGGCAGTGAAAGTGCAAGCCCAGGCAAGCACGAAACTGACGGCAACCGACAGGCCCAGGGTGTAGGCTCGGAGGTTCTGAGCGGGCAGCTCTCCGGACGTCAAGAAGGCGTAGGGTTCCAGGCCAAAGTTGAAACCGAAGAGGTACAAGCTCATTCCCACAATAAGCGCGGTGCCCGCTTGATGGGTAGAGAGGCTGGGAGAAGTGTAGGCCGCGGCAATGAGGAGCATAGAGAAAGAACAGATAAGGCAACTCGCGATAATGAGACGGCGGCGGCCAAGGCGCTCGATGGCGAACCAAGAGAGAATGAGGCCAAAGAGACCCATCGAGTTGGAAACAATGGTCCACATGAACGGGTCGCCGACTTTGGCCTATCGTAGCGGAAATGGTTAGCTTTGAGCGCATAATCTTTTAAGACAAGATAGGTATAAGATGTAGTACTCACCACCTTGAGGAAGTAGGTACCGAAGCTGAGAATGAACATGGCACCGACACCAGCGTTTGCAGAAGTCACACCAACGGAAACAATGGTCCTCCTGAGGTTGGTGCCCCTGAAAAGCTCGAGCATCAGGCGCCAGTCCTTATCGGTCTCGGCCTCCCTGGCAGCAACCAACTTCATTTCCTCAAACTCCTGGAGCACGGCAACCTCGTCGTACGCGCCCTTGCGGAAGAAACGCAGGCTCTTGAGCGCCTCCTCGGGGCGGTTACGGTGAAGGAGCCATCGAGGAGACTCCGGGAGGAATGGCATGGTGAGGACGAGCAAAGCAGGGATAGGGAAGCAGACATAAAGGGGAATCTGATACGCCATTCTGCTATGCATGTGCTCCGTGAAGTTGTTAACGACCATGCCTATGGTACTGCCGAGGGTGATCCAAAAGGTAGCAACACCAAAGCACAGGCCACGCAGGTAGGGAGGCGTGCATTCTTGTAGGTACACCAAGGCAAAGTTCATGAGAATGCCGTTGGCAAGGCCGCAGAGGAGTCTAGAGAAGTATAGCGCGCCGAACGATGTAGTCTCAGCCATGATGGCGATGGCGACGATGAGAAAGGTGCAAGCCATCATAATGGAGTAACGACGGCTGAGCCACGCTCCGATGGGCCCGGTGATGAGCGCACCCACGAAAGCGCCGAGAGTCACGAAGGAGGAGATGATACGTTGCGGGCCGGGCTAGTAGCGATGAATTAGTACACGTGTGGTAGGGCCTAGGGGTTTTGAGATGTCGTGGTTCGACTTACCGCAATAGCCCATGCTCCTTCATCAGTCTGGTATCCAAAGACCATCAAGAAGCCGTTCATTGCCTGGAAGCCAGCAATGGCACCTTTGTCGTAGCCATATTCGAACAGTGACATGCCCACATAGAGCGTGACAAGAATGATGCGCCAGTTGGCGAGGAGGCTGGTGTTGCGGACGCCTTCCTCGCGCCACTCCTGCACCTCGCCGGCCTCAGGCTCATGGACCTGAGATTTGGCCATTGTATGGGGCGGTGGAGATGTTGCTATAATGGTCAAGAAGGATATAAACTAATGGACTGAGAGGTGTTCAAAGTTGAAGCTGTTGGCCAGTGGAGAGGTTATCAAGCCTGCTGATCGCGGAAGTGATTCAAGGTGGATACTCTCATCCTTATATACTCTTTCGATCAGAGCCCCTGGTCCATTCTATATGTGTTATTTGAATGGTCTGTGTCAGAATCTGGGGACGAGGAGATGGAGAATTCTGGTAGTCTGGGGAGAGTTTGGAGAAAATCTGGGGTACAGTCTGGAGAAAATCCGGGGTGAAGGTGAAAAATGGCGCTGAGCACTTCGGTAACAACACTTTAGCGTCTGGATCCAAAAATGCGATCTCCCCTCTCCAAGTGGACAGAGCCAGTCCTTTGGGATTTCCTGACTTTTTCGCTGACGAGCCAGGCTAGCGACAAAATGGTGTTAGTCTCGCTTGGCGACCGTATCTCCCCGCGCATTTACACCAAATTCGATTGGGTCCCTCACCAATAATTCGGCAACACCACCCCGCATCAGGGGATGCCCTCCATTATATCCTTGGCGCAGTTGGGGTTGTCGGGTCCAACGAGACCGAGCCCGGCTCCAAAAATCCCCAACGCCGGCTGCAAAGACCCGGGTTAGCTGCATGATTCTCCGCCACGCACGAGCAAACGTCAAGTATAAGGATGGCAGCAAGATTCACTGATTGGAAACACAATTCGATGCTCAGACACACAGGTAACAGCTAATAGTTAATCACCGCCCCCTGTACTTGTCCTTGTACCATTCTCCTCCGATTATTCCCGGAATACCACCGCCGCATTCATTGACGGAGATCTATACGACCAATTGGAAGCTCGCCCACTACCGTTTGCTTTGGAACAATGGCCAACCAACAGCCGTTTACGTTGGCCCTCCGTGACGTGGAGAACCGCATGGCGGAGGAAGTCGTCGACACATGGATCAAAACGGCAGAGCGGGCGCCAACCCTGACCATCCTTCCTCCCAATGTTGACGCGGCAACTTGGGCTAAGCTTATTGTCCAGTTCCGCGCCATCGTTGGAGACGACGGTGTCTTAACCAGCCACGAACAGCGTGTCCGGTATACCGACCCTTACGCTGAGCATCAAGATGAAAGGGAACAAGAAAAGGGGTAGCGCTGCTACTCTATTCCCGGTCACCGTTGAACACATCCAGGGTATCCTGAAAATTTGCAACGAGCACAAAATTCCGACGTGGACCGTGTCCAGGGGCAAGAATCTCGGATACGGAGGTCCCGCTGCGAGGGTCAAGGCAAGTAGCGCCAATACATACATCAGCGCAACTTCAGTGTGACTAACACCACACTAGGGCTCCATAATTCTTGACCTGCAACGCATGACCAAGGTCATCGAGGTCAATGACAAGTACTCTTACTGCACCGTGGAGCCTGGAGTAACATTCTTTCACATCTATAACGCGATCCAGGAACAGAAGAAGAATATCTGGTGCTCCGTTCCTGCCCTTGGATGGGGATCTGTAGTGGGCAATGCCCTCGATCGGGGCTGGGGCTACACGCCTGCTGGTACGTACCCACCCCGCGTGGGCCTATCTACCCTAGTAACGAAGCTGACCATACTCGCCACGAAGGCGACCACTCAAACAATGTTTGTGGCATGGAGGTTGTCTTAGCAGACGGAACCCTCGTCCGGACCGGCATGGGAGCTCTGGATGGCTCCAAGTGCTGGCCGCTTTTCCGTGGCGGTTACGGTCCCACATACGATTCCATGTTCAGCCAGAGCAATTTTGGCATCGTCACAAAACTCAGCATTTGGGCTTCCCCCAGCCCTGAGGGTTATATGATTTGTCGCCTGGACGTCGAGAAAGAGGAGGACCTCACTCCCATGATTGACATCTTCCGCCCCCTCTTGATCAATGAAACCATCCAAAACCATCCCGTGATCGGCAATGTCCCCCGAGAACTAGCTAAAAAGGGCATGCGCAGCAAGTTTTACGAAGGAAAAGATGCCATACCAGATGAGAAGATGGAAGAACTTCGCAAGGAATTAGGTGTTGGGCACTGGTCGGCAAGGTTTGGTTTGTACGGACCCAAGGAAATGATCGAGTTCAACTACAACAGGTGCGAAGCTGCTTTCGCCAAACTTCCTGGAGCGAGGCTCTCGGGAAATGTCTTTTATCCTCCTGAAGGCAAGCAAGTTTTGAACCCAGAGGACCTTCCAGTCGAATTTCGCACTGTTGAGACTGGCACACCAAGTCTCACGGCCTTGAAGTCGGTCGAGTACCGGGGCAAGGACGGGTAAGTCAACGCTCCGCATTTTAACCACGACGCAAGGAGTCACGTCTTAACTCTATTTCTAGCGGCCACGTTTCGTTCTCTCCTATTCTCCCTCCAGAGGAAAGGATGCTACCGAATTCTACTACGCCGCAAAGTCCTGCTGCGCCAAATATGGCTTCGACTATTTCGGGGGTCTCCACCTCTACCCCCGGCACCTTGCCATGATCAACATGATCTACTTTGACCGCCAGTCCGCGACGGAGAGGCAGAACGCCAACAAGCTGTTCGTCGATCTCGTGCACCTAGCCCGAAAGCACGGATACAGCGAGTACCGCGCGCACGTAGACTGGATGGATTTGGTAGCGGAGCAGTACGATTTCAACGGACAGAGCTTGATGAGGTTAAACGAGAGGATAAAGGACGCCGTGGACCCTAATGGCATCCTGAGCCCCGGAAAGCAAGGTATCTGGCCAGCGGAGTACAGGCAACATCTCAACGATACGGCTGCGCACGAAGGCGAGGCTTGTATGAAGGGAGTTAACGGTGTAAGCAAGCGTTAGTAGAATGAGGACTTAAAACAAGAAATGTATATAAGTCGACGATTGTGTAGAGGCATTTTCTCAGTGTGCGTGCGATATTGTGTTCATGAGTATCCTCTTCGGCTTTTAGCGCCTCGGTCTGTTGTCAACTAGAGAAACATAGGTTAGGAGGATGGGGGCTTGCAAACCTACTGAAAATGATTCACTCCAAAGGCCTAAGTAGCCTTAGATATAAAAATAGATTAAAATAATTAACATGGATATAAATATCTAAAATATAGAATATTAGATGTGAGTATTATAAGGCAGGGAAAAAAGAGCTTTATTAGAATGATAAAGTAGAAACGGCTGTAGATTTGCTTTAAATGATTTAATCTTATGAAGATTAGGGGAAAAGATTCCCTCGGATATTCGAAGATCCTGATCGTATTTTAGGTACTTTTATTATTATCATTCATTATTATCCTTACTTACTAGAAAAGGGTGGGAATATCATAAGAGATTCTTATTTGGTTTGGAAACCATCCGTAGATTGGTGAACAACGCTAGGTCTATTCTCGTTCGTAGACTTTAACTTAGAGAGCATTGCTGTCTTCCTTCTTCCGCTTTCCGTCCTGTCTTATATCCCTAGGGCTTCGTCTTCTTGCCCCAACGCTAGTAGGGGTTTCCCATACTTATAGCGCCAATCCCCTCGTTCTCCGAGTGATGTCTGGGCCAGCTCCGTGGCCTTTTGCTTCATTGTCCTTCTCCGTTTATCACCCACTCGGTGGCTCCCAGTGGGGTCTTTGGTGGGCCGGGTCGCCGCGCCTGTGCGGTGCGGCGAGGACTCTTACATACGAAGTATCTCTAAGGTAAGTAGCCCTTCTACTATCTCTAATGTTATAATCTTAGTTAAAATCGAATATAAATGTTATTCTTTCAATATAGTAAGTACTATTAGAATTAATCGATGTTTACAATCGCTATCATTTTTATCGCATAAACATATCACTCCTCCTTAGGCTAGTTATAAAAGCCAAGATAGGCGGCGTACATTTATCAATATGGATCCATCAATCCTTAGAGTTGACATCGACCTGGCCTGTCTCGAGCAGCTGCCTGACAATACCTTCTCTGCCAAATCTCGCCGCCCAACTAAGCGGCGTACGCCCTTCATTATCCTTAGAGTCGATATCGACCTGGCCTGTATCGAGCAGCCGCCTAACGGCACCTTCGTCGGGATTTCTAGCCGCCTAACTAAGCGGCGTCCATCCTTTCTTGTCCTTATAGTCGATATCGACCTGGCCTGTATGTAGTAGCTGCCCGACGATGCCCCTTTTACCATTTCCAGCCGCCTAACTAAGCGGCGTACGTCCTTCATTATCCTTAGAGTCGATTTCGACCTGGCCTGTATCGAGCAGCTGCCTAATAATGCCTTTACTGCTAGATCTAGCCGCTAAACTAAGCGGTGTGCGTCCTTCATTATCCTTAAAGTCGACATCGACCTGGCCTGTATCGAGTAGCTGCCTAACGGCGCCTTCACCGCCAAATCTAGCCGCCCAACTAAGCGGCGTGCGTCCTTCACTATCCTTAGAGTCGATATCGACCTGGCCTGTATCGAGCAGCCGCCTAACGGCGCCTTCACCGCCAAATCTAGCCGCCCAACTAAGCGGCGTGCGTCCTTTATTATCCTTAGAGTCGATATCGACCTGGCCTGTATTGGGCAGCTGCCTGACGATGCCTTCATGGCCAGTTCCAGCCGCCCAACTAAGCGGCGTGCGTCCTTTATTATCCTTAGAGTCGATATCGACCTGGCCTGTATCGAGCAGCCACCTAACGGCGCTTTCTCTGCTAGATCCAGCAGCCCAACTAAACGGCGTGCGTCCTTCATTATCCTTATAGTTGATATCGACCTGGCCTGTATCGAGTAGCTGCCTGACGATGCCTTCATGGCCAGTTCCAGCCGCCCAACTAAGCGGCGTACGTCCTTTCTTGTCCTGACAATCAATGTCAATCTGGCCCATTGCGAGGAATGCTTGCACGATTTCCTTATTACCGCTTTCAGCAGCATAACTAAGTGGAGTCCGGCCAGCCTTGTCCCTGGTGTCGCTGTAAATCTGGTCTATAGCGAGTAGTAGCTGAACTGAGGCTTCATTACAGTATGCCGCCGCATAGCTAAGCGGCGTCCGGCCATCATTATCTTTGTTCATAGCGCTACCGCCGTAAAATTCGGCAGCCTCTGTGGGGGTGGTTAGGGCCGCCCTCAAAGCTGTATCCTCGCCGGCTTCTGCTAAGTATGAGATAACCCCTCTCTTATTTGAAAAGGAGAAATCACGACCGAATCGACTCTTCTTTCCACTCCGCGCTTTCGCTAAGCCATGAACCGATGTCAGATTCTGGCAGGCCGTCCCTTGTACTTCTGACATTGCTATAAACGCTTCCTGGCTGCCACATGCTAATGCTGCTAGAATGGGTGCACCGTATCGCTCTTTCTCGACATTGAAATTATCACCATTCTTGTTGTAGGCTCGAATAAGGGAGGGTAGATTATACTCCCCGAGGAGGTATAGTAGGGATGCCGTGGGCGTGTGGCGACGCCCGTCATATCTTTCGATAGCATTCCTTAGAAGTAGCCACTGGGTAAGGTCAAACTGCGTAAGGAACTCCTTCTGGCACATGCCACCCCGCTCCGCTTCTTCTGCATGCCATAGAGTATTCTCGACGGCATATTGGAAGAATGGGAATTGAACGCATAAATTTTCGCGCATTTCTCTACCCTTTCGAGATGACGCTTTAGGAAGCGTTTCTCCAACATTGAGGATACTAGAAATATCAACACTTAAGTGTATAATGCAGCATTCCTTTAAACGCTCATGGCTCCGCCCGAAAACCCCGCCCCAAGGTCTGGCCAGACTACAGCAAGGCCATCGTCCTTGAGTAAGAAGTCTCTAACGGATTCGTGGATAAATTGGACGGTTGGAATCTTTGATCTCGTGACTTCGGTTAAACCCTTAGATGAATTGAGAAGAAATCTTTCAATAGTACTCAGAGGAATCTCTATCTGATCCCACGCCGATAAGTCGTCGGTTTGAGTGCCGGAAAGAATGGCAAAGTAGAGTTGTTCCGGTGCCAGTGGTTGGCGAGCAAAGAGAACCCATTGGATACATAAAAGGAGCTCGTCTTTTTGTCACTGTCTCGTGTGAGGATGTCTCGAAAAAGATGGTGGAGGTCTGCGGGAATCTCCTGAAGCCTTCTCTGGAGATTGCGCATAGTTGTGCCCTTATCGTGGTCCTTGTTGAGAATATCAACGACTAAGACAATCCACATGAAGACTCCCGACGACTTTTCATGCAGATCGGCTCGGAGTTTCTTCGCTAGAGGAGATTGGCCTATTTTTAATGTGGCATCGATATATCGAGTGATGTCCTCGTTGTGGCCCTCTTGACCTTCGAGAACTAAACTGAGACCCCGTGAGATGGTGATATGTGGGTAATGCCGGCTGGAGAAGAATACTTGGAATTTTATTCCTCCTGATAGAGAATTGGCACCGAGACTCTGAAAAAGGCCACCATATCACGGATTTGATCTTCGTCACACTCGTCTAGTGCATCTATAAAGCATACCACAGCGTTCTGGCCGAGTGATTGGACCGTCTGTTGGAAGAGATCCTTCAGCGTCTCGGTAGTCCAGGTATAGGCGCTGCTACAATTCCAACTAGCAAGTCCCACCGATTCGAAAGCCGACTGAAGCTGCGGCAGTCGCCCCATGAGCTGAAGGAGCAGCGACCTATACATCCCGATGGTTGACTTCTCTAGGTCCGAGCCTCGTGCATTGAAGAAAAGGACACAACGGTGCGGCCCTTGTAGGACTTTCGAAAGCTGTTGAGGACGAATTTCATCAAGGTCGACTTCCCGGTTCCTGGCTTACCCTTCATCCACAGAAATCCGTGATGATTGGAAAGCTTCGCTACATCGAGCCACTCAAGGTATTCGGGCTGCTTTAGTAGCCATCTGCAGGTGTTCGCGTGTGCGGTCCTTATGGTCATTTGGCGAGCATCCATCTGCTTGAATCTAAGCGAGTCGAGCAGTGTTTCCCTCTGCGCACTGCTTAGTGCCTCTCTGGGGATTTGCTCATGATGGGAGTGTAACAGTGTATTCTGTGTTGTTCGGGCGGGTTCATAGTGATCGGTGCTGGGAATCTGATGTTTTAATGATATCCTCTGCCTTTTTGAGGGCGGTTCGAGAGAAGACTCGTCATTATAATCGTGGCGGCGCTTGATGTTCTCTTTCTCCTGTATTGGAAGCTCCCTAGAAAGGCCGTTACGCTGATGGACGAGTTCTGCACTTCTAGGTGATGGAGCAGATCGATGACTAGGGTATTCCTGGAGTGTCTGCCACGGAGGCGCCACGGCTTCCCAGAGCCGCATCATTGCACGCTCCTTCCCCTCCCCATAGATAGGAGGTAAGGAAACATCTAGAATTCCCAGCAGTGAGTAGGCTATGTCCTCTTCGCGCTGAGTCTCGCGATCTCCCATCCACGCTATCCGATCCCTGGGACGAAAGTCGGACAATCTCCGTCCGTGTAGAACTTCAACTGGGACCTTTGTAATACCAGAGATCCTCACTGCCAAGGACATCTTGCAGCCGATATACACGTAGTCCTGGGAAAAGAACCCGACCTCTTGTGGGGCGATAAGCTCCTGGAGGGTCCAGCCGCGCTTAAACCATCTCGAGCTGCCAAACGACTCTTCCCAACAACTCGAGTGAATGTCTTCAAGATACGCATAACACTTCGCTGCAGTTTGATACCAGCGAAACATGCTATTGATGGCCTCGGAAAGCTCCGCCGAGCTGGTCTTGTCGATGCAGCAAGTATCCACCCAGCAATACTCCAATCCATCGCGCCGTGCTTGATCGATACAAAACTGAATTTTGCGAAATCCTTGTTTATTCCGATACTCCTTATCTTCTATGTCTTTGAGGAGGACCTCTTCGTTGATCCATGTGTGGGAAAGTATCGCATATAATGGTGGATTCTTTTGGCCGACGAAGGTCTCGAAGGTTAATCCTCCGTCTTCGCATTGCTTAAGCAAGCGCATCGTTCGTCTTTGTCGTAGGTGATCTTCAGGCGTATTAGGTATCGAGAGTTACATAGCGGAGTAATGAGCAAGCTAACAAATCATGTATTAGAAGTTGATTCGAATCTTTGTTCTATAGATGCTCGAACTAGTACCATAGGAGAGAAGGCATCACACGCAGGTTTGCTGGCAATGAGATGATTCGGGCGGGGTAGATGCCTCACAGCTAAGAGGAGCTGGCCATTCACAACCCAGCATAGCCACCACAGATAGCTATTAGGCACCGATCATCCTGCAATCGCCTCGTTATGAAGGCATTGGTGAAAGATATTTCTATAAAGAGTGCATAACTATTCGTAAAAAACGGCGAGTCATATATCCGGGTATATGATGGAGTTGGATGATTCCTCGGTAAGGTAATGATGGCTTCATTCGTTTCTCAAAATCATAAGGCCTCAAAAAACGTTATGCTTCAACCGCAATCAAGTCCTCTTGGTATGAACGCAAGTTGTTCGTTAAAGTGAATTTAGCAAAGGATCAAGAGCCTCATACACCCCAACGGATCTCAATTACGGCGCACTTTATTGCTCTCGGCAAACATCAATTGATCATAACGTTTGACGAAGAGTCGAGGAGCACCGACAACCTCACTAAACGGGCGATTGACAGTCCCCACCCACTGTTTCTCGAGCATCCTCAGTAAGTGAAGTGGCAGGTGGATAGATAGAACCAGAACCCAATTCTAGGCATCAATAATATCCATAAATATTTATTCCGTTACTCATGCATGGCTTTGAGTGCGTCTTCCCCTTTAGCTCTCGGGCGGAATCCCTGATTAGTCACCGCAGACACTAACTTGGAGCGACGGTCCATCTTAGACCCATAGCATTGAACTTAAACTAACTATTCCACCTCACGATCCTGAGTGCTCATGGGTTGAAATGTACTCGAATGTTTCTCACATATCTAGACTTTCCGCAAGAACATACAAACTAATCTCCCGAGTTCATGCGTATACCTTCTCATGTAAACTCATATAAGAGAAGCTGTCCCCGCTGCCGAGCAGCGATACACCACCTTAGATGGATGCTTCAAGAGCAAAACGCCCACGAGCGGACGACGACGATGGCGACGACGAATCTACAACAACAGCACGTGCCCGCGTATCCCGCGCATGCGACGAATGCCGAAGACGCAAAGACCGCTGCGACGGAAAGCAGCCTTCCTGCGGACCATGCCGAGCCGTTCGTCGGACCTGCGTATATAATCCGACAAAGAAGCGAGGGCTCCGAACGGGCTACGTACGTTCTCTGGAAATGCTTCTAGGATTCATGTTTGCGACCGTAGATGGGAGTGAGGCGTGGGTTTCGGCGGTGCTAGATGGTGAGCCAACCCGGCCGCATCTCCAGCTGAAAATCCTCGAGGAGGAGGAGGACCGACACGTGGCGGATCTCTCGACCCAGACGTGGCGAGAGAGTGCGGTGCCGAAAACACTCGAGCGCCTTCTATCGATGGGTGGCGATGACGAAGAGGCACAAAGCGGCTTCGACAAGGCGCTGGTCGAATCCTTTGACAAGCTTCTACGCTTACCAAGCTCTACTGATTTAGCCAAGGACGATCATGCAAGCACGTACGACACAGACATTGATACTATCGTAGTATCTGGGGAGCCCTCGATTACGGTGGCGGATTGTGATCCCTCCGAATGGAGCTCGCGTTCATTCAATGGCGCTTCCTCATCCCGACAGAGCTCCGGGCTTGCGAACCCACAAGATGACGAGACTCATATGCCCCCGGATTGGCCCTTCTTACTCGACACCTACCTAGCTACAGTTCACTGTTGGCTGCCCATCTGTCAAAAGCACGATTTACTGCGAAAGGCGTACACGGTAGCGAGTAATGCCACCAGCCAGTCGCATGGCGTGTCAGACACACCGAAACAGGGGACGAAGCCTTTATTTACGCCGTACTTTCGCTCGCCCTCTACCAAAGAGCCGTGGCAAAGTCTGACCAGGCGGATAGACTGCGCCTCCTGGCCGATTGTGAAAAGTTCGGGCGCAAAGCGAGGCAATCCTTGCGCAGCGATGGACGGAAGAAATATGACCTAGGACATATCCAAGCGCTGACCCTTTTATCCCTATTAGAGGTAGCTCGCGGGGAGTGGTCAGAAGCGTGGGTAACCATCGGGCACGCCGTTTACATATCGTCGAGTCCGGACCTCGAGCTTGGGCTGCAGCATGGCGGGGCTCACGACGACGGAAAGAGAAGGGCTCTTTGGGGTTGCATTTCCCTCGAAACCCTCATTGCCGCGCGAATCCAGCGCAGACCCTACTCGAATCGTACCGAGATGCGGTCCATTGGGCCCATGCAGGCGGATGGCATCGAAGAATGGGAGCCCTCGCAGGAACATCCGGCCCAGGGCGCGGCGAGGGGATCCGCACATGCCCCCGCGCGCGTTCTGAGCATTTACTCGCATTTTACCCAGTTGATTGGCGGTCTCAACGACCTCGTGACGCAGGAGAAAGCTACAGAGGAGACGGGGTTGCTGCACAAAATTGCCGAGATCCTCTCCCAGTGTGAGCAGGCTGCATCCATTGACTACCAGCAGCCAACCACCCATGATTTATCGCTCCAGCAGCTCAATCTTTACATTGCGTTTGCGTGCATTCGAGAATTCGCGACTGCCAGGCAGCTAGCTCACATTGATAGTAGCGAGGCTTCGGCACTTTGCGAGCGCAACTGGAAACTTGTTCACCAGCTAAAGCACACGTTACAGCAACATATTTCGGCATTCCACTCGTCTTCCATCCCCCTTCTAACACCAATTTTCCTGCATCTCCTACAGAATGCCGTAAGCTACGAAGCTGCGACTCTTGAGGAACCAAATTTGAGGGAGCAAGCAGGCTTGCTGAGTACCTCTTTATATGAGCTTGGGCAGGCGCTGGCGGGCCACTTTGGCTATACACCTGCAGGAAACATATACCCGGCAGGGATGAACTCGCTGTCCCCAACGCATTATCGGATCCCGCAGTCTTCAGCGCCAGCATTCCCGATTTCTGCTCAACTCGGCCTTCAAACCAATATCAATATCGCTAGGACGTTGGACCAACTATCGGTAGATAAAGACTCCGCGTCTTCCCAATCCATGGACATTGACATACTTGGGAATTCGGGATTCCACCGCGTCACCCCTCTGGACTCGTTAGATGCCAACTCCATGCATGGCTCGGGACTTTTGAATACATATCAAGGTTTAGGCTCGGATTCTTTGCTCGATCCGCTTCCACAGAGCATGACGGACGATCAGCTATTTGACACCTTGGCAACTTTGGATTCTACTGACGACTGGTACGTATGCCCCGAAACTCACAAATCCCACCCCACCCGTGTCTACGTTTCACTAATATCATGGGTTTGCAGGGCTGGGAATTCGCCAGGGTTCCTGAGACACCTTGGAATTTTACAAGATACCACGGCCGATCTCCAGGAGCTTTTCGACTCATAGCACCTTGCGTGATGGCGTCCGTCACTCACCAATTATACCAATATTCCACAGGGCCTGCCTAGGCAACAACTCGACGGGGATGCTGTGCCGCCGCCCATCAAGTCGCGAGTCTTGGCTGCCCCAACCAACGAACTGATTGGGGTGGCTGCTGAACCCTGTCTCTTGGAGGCGGAGAAGAACTTTTCCGCTTTTTATTTCACACGGAGAAAGCTATCCGAGATAGGAAGGTGGAGTCCATTTGGCCAATGCGGTAAGCCAAGAAAGCCGACGCCGATTGGCATCCTCCGACGGGCCCGATAAAGACATTGAATGATCCATTACAACCTCGTTCATTTTTGTGGTTGTAGTCGAAGCTTCGCCGTGCGCATCTTACTTTCCAGCATTCGTTTGCCACCGAACCGTTATTTTTCTTTAATCGCCAGGCATGACACAATACCGCCCAGCGATCCTGTCCGCCTCTCTTGGCCGTGCCTGGCTGCACGACTTTGACGAAAAAGCCACGCAAGCCTCCAAAGCAGGCTTTGAGGGAATCGAAATCTTTTACGAAGATATCGACTACCTTGCTCGCAAAAATAACAATACCGAATGCCCCGACGATGGCCAGATCCTTGCCGCGGCCCAGAGCATGCGGGACCTCCTCGACCGACTGCAGCTCACTGTGCTCGGGCTCCAGCCATTCTTGTTCTACGAGGGTCTCCGGGACCGCGACGAACACGCGCGCCTGATTGAGAAAATCAAACTCTGGTTCAAGATTGCCAAGACCTTGCGGACCGACACGATTCAGATCCCCGCTAATTTCTTGCCCGAGGAGAAGCTGACGGGCGACATGGATGTCATCGTGGGGGATCTGAGGCAGCTCGCTGATCTGGGGTTAAAGGAAGACCCGCCGGTCAGATTCGCGTACGAGGCGCTGTGCTGGAGCACACTCGTCAGCACGTGGGAAAAGTCCTATGAAGTCGCCGTCAAGGTGGATAGGCCCAACTTTGGGCTCTGCCTCGACACGTTTAACATTGCCGGGCGCGTTTGGGCCGACCCCGCGTCCCCGACTGGCAAGACACCAAACGCAGACCAGGATTTGAAAGAGTCTTTGGAGCGTTTGCTCGAGATAGATCTGAGCAAGGTCTTCTATATACAAGTTGTCGACGCAGAGAAGATGGAGACGCCCCTTGTCAAGGGTCATCCATTCCACGTCGATGGCAACCCTCCGAGGATGAATTGGTCGCGCAATGCGAGGGCATACATGTACGAGACAGACAGGGGTGCATATCTTCCAGTTGAGGACGTCGCGCGAACTCTCATCCACGGGCTAGGGTACAAAGGATTTGTGTCCATGGAACTTTCTCAAGGACAATGTCCGAGGAAGGTGAAAGGGTGCCCGAAGAGCATGCGCAGAGAGGGATCCGAGCATGGACAAAGCTTTGTCAGAGGCTGGGGTTAAACAAGACTGATGACGTATAATTTGATGCCACATTTTGTAAGGATAAGTGAACCAAGGAAATGAATTATTACATATCTAAGCTACCATCGAAGCGTATTCCAAGGACTGGCTTAGGGATATTCAACGCGTTTCTAGTAGGAAGGACCATCTGGGTGACCGCATATGTCTTTTTATTTCTCATCTTGGCACAGTTTATCTACAATCTCTAATAATTGATTCCCGGGCTGCTCTCTGCCATTTGTAGCAATAGGTTCCAAGCTCCCTCCTGATCCATCTTCTTCGACCTCTCCTCGCCCGCCCAAAGCTTGTACTGCATTCTCACCTGGTGACCGATAACATGCGTGCCTTCGACCGTGTGCCACCCCAGCTTATTCGCGAGCTTGATCATGCGAGTGAGACGAGGCTTAAAGCACATGTCGAGGAGCACGCCCTTGCGCGAAACCGAGAGGAAGCCCTCCAGCAGAGCCTGAACCGCAATTTCTGCGGGAGTGTTGGCTTCGAAGTCCGGGACTGTGCCCACGACGTAGAGGGGCGGGTCGAGCTGCGAGACGTCATCGCCCTCCTTGACATGGACAATTTTCGGTGGGGGTTGTATGCGCTGGGCGTCGCGGATGAGGTCATGCACCTCGCCGTCATCGCGGTTCAGGATATAGATGACGGAAGATTTGAACGTTGTGCTCAGGGCGTAAACAGCAGCGCGACTGGCACCACCAGCCCCGACAATGAGTGCGGGTTGGTTCAGCACGGACTCCGGATACTCTTTTGTTTCAAGCAGGCAACCCCGGATGCCTAGCCAGTCTGTGTTGGTGCCGCGGAGGCGGGTGGGGTCGCTCGGATCGCGGTAGATGTTGTTGCACGCGCCGATTGTGACGGCGAGATCGTCAACGGCGTCGAGCATCGAGAGTACCGCGTTCTTGTAAGGCATAGTAACGACAAGGCCGACGGTCGCGTCATTGCGGGCAAGGGCTATGAGATCCTCGATCGTGGCGCATTCCGTCGCGTAAAAGGTCCAGGGAAGATTAAGAGATTTAGCAATGAAGTTGTGCATGGGGGTGCTATGGAGTGGCCGACGCCGATTCCCACGAGGTGTAGGCTCTTTTGTTCTGACATGTTGGGCTAAGTCGTTTCTTGGATGGAATGCGACGTGTATGGTAGAGCTGAAGGATCGGACGTACGTCAAAGGCACGACCGCTTTGATAATGTAAACGAGACAAGGTGAAATGGTAATATCTGTTGTGTCGTGTATGTTTTGCTACTCAATCGGTGCTATAAATCTCAGTAAGAATGGATTGCCCATGTGGCCGTCGCGGGGTCATCAAGGACAGCCAAAGTGACACTAGCCATGGCAGTGTGGGGTAGGTTGGTGCTGTCGCTTTTGGAAACTGCTACCACTAGGGATGAGGGCTGGTGGGGGACGGACGGAAGCCGGCGCAAAACTTGCCGGCGGACTTATCTTCAACCGCTTCCCCCAAACCATACCCACAGGATAAGAAGCGGTTAGCCTACACACACACACTAAACTGCCGGCCGAGCTCGTACCGTGCCACCGAGTCACGTCAAGTGTGTGACCTATTATCGGCCGGTCGATATACCCCTGGCATTGATACCAAACGCGTGTGGTGAGAATAGGATCTGTCGAGCAGATGGGCTCCAGACAAGCCGAAGCAAGATAGGATGAGACGAATGGATTGCTTCACGATCACGTCAATAGAACCAATCGAACAGGGAATGCAACGTCGTCTATCTTTATGTAATAGCTATGCTACGTAGGAAAGCTGGCCCTTCACAAGTCCGCCCTCGCCGGCTCACCCGCCCACGCCCGTCGAAGCAATTCTCTAATGGCATCTCGCTCAGTCGGGCGAGGATTCCAGTAAGCCTTAGTCATGGCGATATCGGCCGCCTTATCGATATCCTCCTCCCTCATTCCAAGCTCCCTCAGACCACGTTTGACCGGAAGCTTGTCAAGTAGGGCATTGAGGCCACTGATAGCATCGCCCCTGTCGTCGCCAAGTGCACTTGCAATCCTTTGCATGTCGTGGGGTACCTGACTTGCGTTGTAGGAAAGTGCATGCGGAAGCACAATGGTGTGCGTCTCGGCGTGGGGAAGGTTAAAGCTGCCGCCGAGTGTGTGGCAAAGCTTGTGGTGGATCGACATGCCGACGCTGCCAAGACACACTCCGCAGAGCCAGGCACCATAGAGGGCGGATGACCTCGCAGCCTGCGAAGCTGGGTCCTTGGATATTTCAGGGAGCGCGGCAGCGAGCGATCTCACGCCTTCTTGCGCAAACATTTTGATAATGGGGTTGGTGTTTTGGGCGTAGAGAGCTTCCACAGCATGCGCGATAGCGTTGATTCCGCTATACGCGCTCAAACCCACTGGAAGCGTCATGGTGAGGTCGACATCATATATAACAGCGTCTGGTAGAATGCTGGGATCCGATCGTGTCGTCTTCAGCCCATCCGACGTCTCTCCAAGAATTGGAGTCACTTCGCTCCCAGCGTAGGTGGTTGGAATTGTGATATGATATAGACCTGTCCGTATTCCGATGGCCTTGCCGAGCCCAATCGTGCTGCCGCCTCCGATAGACACAAGCGAGTCCGCCTTGGTCGACTTGGCAAACTCGACAGCTCGGTCTGTCACCTCAACAGGAGTGTGCATAGTAGCCTCACTAAAGATTCCGGCGGCTTCGCCGCTGAGGAGCTTCTGAACCTGCTGAGCCTGATCAAGTTGTTGTGGGGTTGATAGGAGGAGAGGTCGTGAAAGTCCTCGACTAGCCAGAATATTGGGAAGTTTGGCTATGGTGCCACTGCCAAATAACACCTTGGACCGGTTGGCCGCATACTCGAATGCCTCCATGAAGGTGTCCATCTTGGTCGGAAAGCTCAGATTGACACGACGTGCGGTGCTCAGGCAGGAACGAAAGCCTAGCATTCGAGTGCTTGAAGAATACGGAGAATAATCTTGAGTGGACAAAACGTGACACTAGGAAGTACCAGAATCCTGCTAATCTACAGGCTGCCCCTAGTGTATTGAAGTAAAAATGATTCGATGGATTGAAAGGTTGATGTCCGACATATGAGTTTGCCCACATTAGTCCGAGCCAGCACATCGACGGGTAAGCGTATTATTGTTAGATTATCCCGCCCCTCCTCAACCATCATCTCTTTCGACATGATGAAACCTATCGAAAATTTAATGGAACGAGCTTGCAAGCAAAAGCAGCCGATTATTTCACATAGTTGCCCCACGCGGAGAGTCCGGGCTGCCGACCGTACGGCCTTCGGTGGGATTTCGGGCGGCAGAGATCTTTTCCGATGGCGTCAAGGTCAACATGCGCGCAGCCGAGAGCCCATCTGCTGATCTTCGTTCGGCGCCCTCCAGCGAGCCGCACGAATACACGCGTGCTAGCCACCAGTTAACTTGCTAGGAATGAATTGGAATGGGATAAGTTAAATCATCACTTTAACCCGCGTTTTCTTCTGCGATATTTCTAGTAGTATCATCTTAACACACACCCATAACACGTATGCCCAATATGCCTAGCTCACTCTCGCCGTTGCCCACAATGGACCCTAAAAATATCACTTCAACTGAATCGCGTCCACTGAAAGATTTGACCATTGAAAACATCACTGAGAATGTCCACGCTATAAACTCCAACTGCGAAGACGTGCGTCTCCGGTTTCTCCTTGAACGGCTCGTCACGCACCTGCACGACTTTGCCAGGGAGACCCGGCTAAGCACTAAGGAGTGGGAGGCCGCGATCGGCTTCCTCACCGACGTCGGCCAAATATGCACCGAGGTCCGACAAGAGTTCATTCTTCTCTCCGATGTTCTCGGCCTCTCTCTACTCGTCGACTCCATCGATCATCCCAAGCCAGCCGCATCTACGGAGGGGACCGTGCTGGGCCCGTTCCACACCCATGAGGCAGAGCATGCCGCCAATGGATCATCAATTTCACATGACCCCGATGGCGAGCCCATGCTCGTCGTGTGTACCGTAAAGGACACGGATGGGAATCCTCTGCCGGGGGTGAAGATTGATGTGTGGGAGACGGATTCCAAAGGATTCTACGACGTGCAGCATGCGGATAGGGACGGGCCTGATGGCCGGGCTATTGTGACGAGCAATGCCAAGGGTCACTTCTTCTTTAATGCCATCGTGCCCGTACCATATCCAATTCCGAATGATGGGCCTGTGGGTAAACTTCTCGGGAGGTTAAAACGGCACCCTTATCGCCCTAGCCACTTCCACTTTATGTTTGAAAAGCCCGGATACGACCGGTTGATCACGCAAGTCACGACCCTCCCCCGGTCCGTACCTTTGTTTGTCCTGAAACTAACGCCAAATTCCAGTGCTCTCTACCTTCGTGGTGATCCGTATGAGAGATCAGATGCTGTTTTCGGCGTAAAAGAGTCCCTTGTTATCGATCTAATGACCGTGTCAGATGTGGAGGGCATGGCTGAGGAGTACGAGGTGCCCCCTCAACGAAACTGATGAAGTATGACTTCGTATTAGTAACAGAGGAGGAAGTCGAGAATCTGAAAGTGAAGAAGGAGAAGGAGGCGAGGAACAAAGCAGGCTTGTAGATGATAGTGTATTTAGGATATCGAGCAATGGGATCAAAACTATGGGATCAGTGATGTATTCGTCCTCATCCACGATAGGCTAGCCGTCTTGCAACTTCCCGAGCCCGTGCATATTTCCGGCGGCGAAGGACTGATGATTTAGCACAGTCTAATGTATTCCGGATTGCCTGGGATGGCGACAAACGGAACGTGGGTCAGGAGCAAAGGATAATTTCATGTGTTTATTGAGTACGTAAAGTCTATTGTTTGTTTTGTCAATCAACTCGTCACCGTCATGCTGCTGCTCCTGGACCATCACTTTCTTTGGTGCAGGCCGACCCGTCCACAGCGTAAATTGCTGGAAGATTAGCTCATTGCGTACGTCCTCGGAGCTAAAGAATTTCCAGCCTCCTTTTGTTGGAATGTGATGTCGAACTCTCTGGTCTTCTTTGAGACCCCCAAGGTTTATCAACACCCCTTGCATTCCAAACTGAGCTGGCTGAGTTCGGAATCTTGTAAAGATCCCACCACGACTAGGCTAAAAGATTCAGATGTTGACGGCCCGTGGGGATGAGAGTCAGTAGTCGGTAGGGTGGACGATATGGCGTGAAGGTCACCGTTTAAAGGCCCTACTACATAGAAATCCTTGATACCCAATTCCCGTGCCGCATGTAACACCGTTCTCACTAATTTCTCCTCCACACCAACAAGAATGAGTCTGGCGGATGAGAGAAGCGTTGGATCTGTGATAGTAGCCGTCTTGGCAAGGGACCATAGGCTGCGCCATAGAAGATTGTCTCCCCTGATTACACTCTTGCCTGACGAATCTGTGCTACAGTGTACTGTGTCCACGAGCCCGCTTTTGGTGGCGGAGTCGGAGATTTCGTCGACAAAATCACTGAGATCAGATGCTAGATCATCAAATGCCGCGGCACCTCCAAAGGCGGGGCCTTTGACGGTTCTTTCAATGGACGTCCTGTCAACAACAGAAACCCGATGCGGTAAGCCTAGCTCGTCGAGCCCAAGTCTATGAGCCTGCACGGCAAACTGCACACCGCTCTCATCAGAGCCCGCGATGTATAACTCTTTCTTGGGCAGTTGTCCGATAAGATGTCGGGCCACATGGACCTCTGCCAACGTGAGCTGGCCGGGGCTGAAGGGGCGGGGAGAAGTTTGTGCGTAACCAGAGAAATGGGAGACAAGGTTCGGGATAATTGGCCATGCTGGCCCATGCCGACTGCGAGAAGAGGCTTATCGCTGTGTGCATCATGCGTGCGGACAAAAGTGCGAGCTCGTGGCAGTCGTATACGTCAACAGACAGAATGCTGAGTTTAATAATATCTAACGGGGAATTAATATTTGGGGACTATGCACGGGAATCAAATCAAGATGCGACCAACCACCGAAACTATCTGCGAGGGCATATTTTTCCTGCAAGGTAGAACTTGTCCATCGAATATCTCCAGTCCAGCTATGGAAAGAAGCGACAAGCTTGGAGGCCCCCTTGGCGGCGACGAGCGCGTCGATGGCCTGTTGGGGCCACTCGATCTCGACGTCAATGTAAAGACAGTTCAGCTCCACGGCGAGTAGCATCAGCGCAAGGGCCTCGTTCACGGCGTCATCCGGGAACTTCCGCCTTGCGAAAACGTGCGGATAGTAAAGAGGATGGGGAGGGGCGACAAGGTCTGCAGCAGAGACACTTGTTGGCGAACGTATTCGTAACTCGGAAGGTTGGTGGCGCCCAGCGGGTGCTGCGCATCGCTCAGGAGATCGACGCGGACCTCCCAGACGTCCCCGCCATAGCCGATCCGCTCAATGTCCTTGGCGCCAAGAGATATGTCGGGGTACGTGAGGGGATGATGAAAGTCTGCTTGCCACCACCTCTGGCATAATTTTCAAAGATTGGGTCTGACATGGTGCGTGAGGGAGCGGATTGGATGACGGATTCGGCAAAAGGGTAGGATTCACGTATTAAGCTAGGGCCAAAGGCGGTCCTCGTGATGAGCAATGATGGAACATGAAGTGGAAGGGCAGTGCCGGCTTGGGGCAATAATTATGTATGCAATGTGAATCCCCGGGAAAGAGTGTAACGCGCGGAGGGGAATATGGGGAAATAAGCTTCCGTTCACCTCGGAACAAGTTTCCGGGGTTGGCGGAGACTGGGGCCAGAGGAGCCGTGCGACTAGACCGTGTTGTTAGCGGGCGGGTGAGATCTTTCCCGCGTCCTGTTTTATGAGTGGATGAGGGTGCGGGTGGAGTTTTGGTTTGGTGCGCCAGGACGATGACTAACCCCGATCAAGCCATCAGTTCGTCCCGACTTTAATTCATTCTCGTCAATTCTATCCTGCCTCCGTCCACACACAACCTCCCTTAGCTTTGTCTACATCCCTCATCCCTGTGACGAAATTTGAAGGAGTCACTCCACTTGGAAAAGCTCTGTGTACCAAATCACCCGTGCCCAGCGCATGTTTTATTAAGAGTTCCCGAGTTCATGGAGACTCCCGGCGCATCGGGCCCTGCCGCGCAGACAGCACCACCGTCGGCGAGAACCTCGAGCGCCTCTTCAACCGAAGGCGCCAGGCCCCAACGTGACCAAAACGGCGCCTTCGCCTCCGATCTTCAAGCTTCCCTTGGTGAAAAAGAGAGTATTACGGAGGTGCCGTCGCGGTTGACGAATCAGCGCCTTCCCCATGACTACAGGCCAGGTAAAACTACTCCGGCTCGGAGGTATCGCCCCGATGCATCGATTGTGCTCATCGGTATCCGGGGGACCGGGATGTCGACACTTGCCGTAATGGCGTCCAGCACCCTCGGCTTCAAGCTTGTCGACGCTGACCACTACTTTTATCGTGCGACCAAACTCTCTAGGGGCGCCTACAAGGCTACCCACGGTGCCGAAACCTACCGGGCGGAAGAGCTGAAGCTGATACGTTCTATGCTCGTCGACCATCCCTCCAAAGCTGTGATTGTATGCGGGCCGGGAGTAGTAGAAGCAACGTGCCAGGCATGGCTAACCGAGTACTCCCGGACTCATCCCATTATCTACGTTATGCGAGATGCGGACAGGATACAGCAACACCTCCGGGTTTGGGACTCTGATACAATAACGCGGTTGGCTCGACTGAGTGGGCCTACATACCGTACACTATCCAACTTCGAGTTTTATAACTTGTCTGACGCTTTCCCGGAAAATACGTTGGGTCCGTCTTCAAGCCAAGGTCGACAATCTCCGCGGTCACTCGCTCTCAAGCAGGTCCAAGCAGATTTCCTTGAACTTATCTATGGCATTACCACGCAGGATGGCAGGCAAGTCGAATACGAGCCCAGGCATAGCCATTCGAGGCGACCATTCGAGACGCGGCTGTACACATATGCGCTGTCGATTCCCTATCCACCGACGAGTCCGTCTTGTACAAGCTACGGTCGGTGGACATCGTCGCCGACGCCGTTGAGCTCATCGTCTCACCGCCACGGCCTGCCGCCGGCGAGGCCTTGAGTTTTGACAATGAGTTGGCAAATTGCATCACCCGCCAATTCTACTTATTGAGAAGGACTACAAGACTCCCCATCATTTACCACGTTCCTATGGAGTCACTTTCCCCATCAGCCGACGCATCCTGGCAAAGTGAACATCAATCTATCTACTTCGACATCCTCCACCATGGCCTTCGATTAGCGCCCGACTACCTTGCAGTCAATCTCCGTTGCCGAGATGATAATATTGGAAAATTAGTAGCTGCCAAAGGGTCGACCAAGGTAATAGGCCACTTCTTTGATCCCCGCCCACCCACAAATGGGTGGGAGTCACGTAGTCGGATAGACATAGTGCAACGGGCAGAAAAGCTTGGCTGTGCTCTTGTGCGCATAACACAAGTTGCCACCTCCAAGACAGACAACTTTTCCGCGCACAAATTCCTCCAAGACATTCGCAACTCCAAAACTCACCGGATCCCCGTCATCGCCTACAATACTGGCCAATTAGGAAAAACTTCGTGTGTTTTTAACAACATCCTAAGCCCCGTGACCCATCCCCTTCTACTTCCTTCTCCGACTGAGCTTCCCTCGCCTGCCCTCCTCACCATCCAAGAAGCCCAGCACGCCCTTTACTCTTCCTTCATCCTTGACCCCATGTATTTCGGAATCTACGGCTCCAACGTGGAGAAGAGTTTGTCTCCCGCCATGCACAACGCCGCCTTCCACTTTTCCAGCATGCCACACAGATATGACATCTTTCAGCACCAAAGCCTAGATGAGTTGAAGCGTATGATGCTCGACCCCCAATTCGGCGGTTCCAGTGTATCCGCTCCCTTTAAGCGAGATATGACTTTTTGGTGGACAAGATGAGCCCTGAAGCTCAAGCCATTGGGGCTGTCAATACGCTGATTCCCATACGGTCCTTTGATTCGGATGTGATGCTCGGCCGTATCCAGTCCGGGAAAGCCGTGGCTTTCTATGGTGATAATACCGATTGGATCGGCATTTACACCTGTATCCAACGCAGCCTGTCACCGATCAACACAGTCCGGGGACGAACTACTGCACTCATACTGGGAGCTGGGGGAATGGCACGCGCCGCAACGTACGCTCTGATTCGCATGGGCGTGCGAACGATATTTATACACAATCGTACAGTACGCGCGGCTGAAGAGCTTGTGCGACAATTTGCAAGTTTCACGTCGTCTGGTCCCTCGATGGACCGGGGCGATGGTGAGTCCGCGAACCTCGACGTTCCCACTGCCAGTCTTCCTGCGGCGGGAGTAAATTTAAGAGTAATTGCGTCCAAAAAGGATCCCTGGCCAACAGATGCAGACCTGCCCATCATTGTTGTCTCATGCGTAACAACAAAAGAGGTGGCTGGTGAATGTGAAGCGGACACCAGTGTTCCCCCGGCTGGCTCGGGAGCCCGACGGGAGGTGTCGCAGTTGAGGTGAGTGCTTGTCTTCTCGTTGTTTTCGGGTTGGTCCATCCTCGCGTCCCTGTATTTCTAACATCACACTTTAGCTCGGCTACACCCCGCTTGAAACTCCTCTTATACGGCAGATTCGGGAACTCAATGACCTGGGCTGGATCGATATTGATGGACTCCAGGTCCTTCCGGAACAGGCTTTAGTGCAGTTCGAGCTCTTTACTGGTAGAAAAGCTCCAAGAGAATTGATGCGCCGGGAGATACGGCGTACATTTCAATCCCGAGTTCGGTAGCCGCAGATGGAACTTTGATCATGAGATCCGATGTAGATTAAACAAAGCATGTAATAAGATAATGGGCAAATAAACTTACTACGGATTAGATGAGAAACGATCTGGTCCACGGACGGCTAAGAAGGCCCAGCCTGTGACTTGGACCTATCCCTAGATTTGGCCATGGATACTGGTGTGAAGCGAACTCCCTCTGTAGCCCGGGACAATACAGTCGCGGGCAAGGATATGGAGAAAGTCCTGTCCAGTACGCGTGCGGCGGAAAAGAATTTTTCCAGAGTGATCCAGCTGCCCAACTCCGTCTAGTCTGCCGCTAACGCAGCGAGCGTGCGGATGCATATGAGTCAAGCTCGTCCTTGTTACATTCCGTCTTGCTATGTGTCGAGTCATTCAAAGTAAAACCGTGCCACCAGCCCACTAAACTTTCGCGTCCTGAAGCCCATTCCTCTTACATTTTCCCTACGCAAGCCCAGGAAAAATGGAAGTCGACACACTTGCCCAAGCACTCCCTACACCGCGCCCCCAAGCCATTTCGGGCCAGGGGTGTCTACCCACGCCCTTGTTACCACTACAACTGCCGCACCTCCCACCACCACCACCATCGCCACCGCGGTAGGCAAGAGATCAGAGGAGCAGCAGGTAGCTCCCAAGAAGTTTTACATTTTCGGACATAACATCTCTCACTCTCTCTCCCTGCCTTGCACAACTCCGGCTTTCGCCAATTGGGCCTTCCACACCACTATTCTATCTTTGAGACCGAGGGTATCGATGACTCTGTGAACACGCTGATGCGTCGGCCGGACTTTGGCGGCGCATCTGTCACATTCCCACATAAGCTGCAAGTAGGAAAGCTCCTCGACACCCTTACGCCGGTGGCAAGGAAAGTCGGGGCGGTGAATACTGTCATCGTCCGCGAAGAAGGCGGAAAACGCACTCTCCTCGGAGACAACACAGACTGGTTGGGGATCAAGGCGTGCATAGAATCCACTGGCGTCACCAACCTATCTTCATCGACCGTCCTGATCCTTGGTGCTGGTGGTGCTGCCCGTGCAGCGTGCCATGCTGTAGAGATGCTCGGTATCAAAGACTTGATCATTGTCAACCGGACGATATCAAAGGCAGACGACCTCGCCTCCATCTTCCCCAACCTACGCACGCGGACATTCGAGTCTTTTGACGGAGTGTTTTCATCGAATGGGCCCCGATACAGGTCGTGATTGGTTGCGTACCAGCTGATGACTGGACGGAAGACAAGATACCTGTAGAGCTCTTTGCAGGCGCAGAACATGGCGTCTTGGTGGAGATGGCTTACAGGCCACTTGTAACGGGCTTGATGGTTACGGCAGGAAAGAGACATGGCTGGAGGATACTACAGGGCGTTGATGTCCTAGAGCAGCAGGCATACGGCCAATTTGAGCTGTGGACTGGGGCAAGGGCACCAAGGGAGACCATGCGGCGTGCCATGCGGGGCGCGATGCAGTCGCATTAGGTTATTTTAACGTAGCTTAAGTGGTAGTTTCACTCAAGTGTATAGATCCATTGTTGTGAGCCTTCATCGCGAAGAAGATAGTTTTTACTAGACTATGCACGATGTTGTAATCGTGCTCCGAAGCCTCAACTCCGTCATCCCACAAAGCCAGTTGTTGAAATCAGGGATCTAATTTCTTATTCTGAATTTATACTGCCATAAGAATAGCTACGACATAGATACTCTATACTACATGTCAATACTTTGCCCATCTAGCCACTCCTTCGCTAACCTGTATAGGAGGTCATGCTTCTCCAGGTTCACTGTGCCAACATGTCTCCTGTGCCCCGGCATATCCCCCAGCACGGCAACCCCCATTGTCGCTTCTTGAAATAGGCCAAGTACCTATACCCGGGAGGATATGCCTTTGCCTTTTCTTCGTCAATACTAGGGACCAGTGCCGGATTGCAAGGTATGACTTTATCCTTCTCGTACCAATGCCTGACGAGCCTTGCGCCCCACCGATCACCATCTTTTTCAAAGAAGAATATGAAGCGACAGTCAGCTTCAACGTCAAACTCAACGCCATCAATTATAAATCGTTGAGTGATCGTAGCCTTGAGTTTGGTCACGGCGCGAGTAGCATCAGGGGTGATATCCGTCGTGCAGCCATGACACCTGTGCATGATGAATGCTCCGTTATCCATGCCGGCTTGCGAGGCCTTGATGAAATCGGTGGCAAGGATTATGCCAGACCAGGTCGTGCTGACATACGCACCCGGGTGAAAGATGGATTTAAAATTCTCCCACTCGCAGGCATCCCTGGTTCTCAGTTAGTTCAAACATCACCTCAAGAGTCGACTCGCCGCGAGGTGGGCATTACCTATAACAAGGCCAGCCCTCAGCGAGCTCACGGAGCTTGAGTCGCTCCAAGACGAGGTCATCTGGACCATTGTTTCGAACGGCGCCTTCAGGTCTTGTGCCTGCCGGGAGTGAATGAAGATCAGGCATATTGATGAGGTTGTTTGAAGACGGAAAGCTATAGCCTAGTACAACCACTAATACCCTGTACCAAGTCGTCTCTATTCGCTTTCGATCCTTCGAAGAAACATGTGATACACCTATAAAGCCCGATGGCCCAAATCACTAGATATAGATATAGCCCTGTAAAATTAGACCATCAATTTAAGCTATTTGCGTGATGGCGAAGAATCCATCGGTCGAGGAGGTGGTGATGAATACCCCCGCGCTTTGGAGTGCGGTGGAATTCAAACCCGAACCTACACGGCGTTAATCTTTTCCGGCTACCTCACTCTCTTTTCCGGAGTATGTCTCGGCTCCTCATCATCAGATCATCAAACATCTGGATCCCTACTACTCCGCAAATGGCTAGGGGAACTTTACGTTACAGAACCCGTACATATATCAATGATAATTCGGGCCTAGGGTCAATAAGAAGGTGGCCCCATAAACCACCGATTTAAGGGCGTATTCTTTCCCCGTCAACACAGCCAGAGTGAATTGTTCGTGCTTCGCCAACCCCCACCCACACACTACCAACTGTCAAAAGCCTTCCTTCTACAATACACCCCATCCACCTCCCTCAATCCCCTAAACAAGGCTACGCGCAGAGTAGCAATGACAAGATCCGTCCTCCTCATCAATGGCCCCAACTTGAACCTCTTAGGTCTCAGGGAACCTCATATCTACGGCCACACGACGCTCCCCCAACTCGAAGAGGAAGCGAAACAACATGCCGCAACGCTCGGCGCGGAGCTTCACACCTTCCAATCCAACCACGAGGGTGCTATAATCGACCGAATCCATGAGGCAAGGGCCAACATCGGAGCTATTGTCATCAACCCGGGGGCGTTTACACACACAAGCGTCGCGATCCGTGATGCACTACTAGGCGTAAACATTCCTTTTGTGGAGCTACATATCAGCAACACACACACACGGGAGTCCTTTAGGCACCATAGCTATCTCAGTGATAAGGCAGTAGCGGTTATTATGGGCTGTGGTATTCTCGGATACAATTATGCGATTGATTTTGCGGTGAATGGTATTATTGATAAGAAATAGTTTTGTCATCTCGCGAGAGAAATCAATTGGAAGGAGAACGATCCCTTTATAAAATATTCAAGGGTCAGTCGATTGATTCATTCATGGATGACTTGATAACGAACATGAACAACACAACATTTAGATATATCTACATAAGAGCCATAATTGTTAACTTCATACATATGCCCGGTCACCTATATCACGTCTCGAATAAAACAAGAACATCAAATGAAAAAAAAAACGCGTGAATCAAACTACTCCGTCTTCTACCGCTTGGCCATCGCAGCTAGTGCTTTTGCCACTGCAATCTTCGCACCCTCGGATGGAATCTGGTCGGAAGGCTTCTCCATCCAAAGAACCTGCTGGGCAATACCCTGGTAAATCATAGACTCCGTTCCGGGGATAACCTGCCAGCCGTTATCCTCCGCCGTCTTGTAAAACTCTGTAACAATGTTGGGATGATAGCACATCTCTAGCACATAGCCCTTTTGGCTCTTCTTGAGGAACTCGACCGAGATATCGCGCGCCACGATCTCGCCTTGGGTCGCAGGGGGAAGTCGGGAATAGTGCCGACTACTACGGTAGGAGCGTCAAGTTGCTGGACCTCTTCGATCGCCGAAACATGCCGTAGCTTGGGACCGCCTCCAGGGATTGCGGCAAATGAGGCTATGATGTCGTCGACTTCCTCCTTGATACGGTTTACCAAGTAGATTTCGGATGCACCGAGCCACTTGTACAAGGCATACACCGCGCTGCGGCACGCGCCACCGCCGCCGATGACGAGGGCGGGCTTGCCTGTACTCAGCTCCAGGATGTTGGGGAAATTTTGGACAAAGGCTTCTCGGACGCCAACGCAATCCGTGTTGGTTCCAATGTATTTCTTGCAACCCGTCGCTGGATCTCTCCTAATGAAAACAGTGTTGATAGCGCCGATTGCCCGCCCCTCTTCAGTCACCTCGTCACACTCCTTCATGAAGGTGACCTTGAACGGCATTGTGACCGCAGACCCAATGCAGTCGTCGGACTTGAGCGTGGGGATGAATCCATCCTTGTCTTGTGTCTCGACAATTTGGTATGTCCAGGGCACATTGGCTTCCTTGTAGATGGTCGAGTGTAAAAGAGGAGCGAGGGAATGCTGGAGAGGGTACCCGAGTAGGTACGTCTTCAAAGGCTGCGCGAGTTCTATTTTGCCAGGCATTTTGCCCCTAAGAATCAGGTGTGCGACGGTGGGTATTAGAGCTATCGGGAAAAGAATCAGCTGGCGTGTTTCTAGGGCAGGAAGGTGAGATCTCGTTGGACGATGAGATTGGTTGGACGGACGTAAGTGCGCTTGCAGTTTAATAGCTTCGTTTCCCGGAACAGGACAGTGACAAGAAGCATGGATCGCGCTGGGATCCCCAACATAATAAGACCACTGATCATCGTGACCCTGGATTGGGTAGAAATTACCAGGTTCCTGGGCGGCGGAAAAGGTTTCACCCACCGCATCGGGATTCGCACTGGTTTGGGAAAGGAGGAGGGGCCATTTGAGATTTGAGTGGCTCGCGGCCCCCAAGCTCCAGCTTGGCAGCCCCCTCCTTGTCCTCTTCTGCCGTGGGGATTAGGCCGTGAACAGGAATGGCCTTCAAACACAATGTAGAAGAAAGGTGGATGAACTCAACCGCCCGAGATAATATTGTTATCCCGGCTTGGGACGTATGAATGGATGGCTACTGTTAGATAGTCCCAACGCCAAGCGGGCATTAGCGTGGCCAAGTCGGGAGTATGCTTAATATCTAGAGATGTGGAACAGAACAATCTGGGGAGCAAGTGGGGTAGCTTGGGGAGAGTCTGAGGAGACACAGACCCAACATTGTGACCATTGCCGGCGCTTTTTCCTTGCTCATCATGCTCACCACCCGATCATCTGGGCTCACACTACGAGGCGGAGAAAGGTTGGCCTGACCCCAACCTACCCCAAACTTGCGATGCGACCCCACGTGCATGGAGGCGGGGAAGGGATCATCCGCCTCGACGCACCAGAGTGGTACCGAGCCACGCGCGGAGCCCCCAGGTTTCTGCGTGGGGATCCCGGGGTAGAGCATATGCCAAAAAAAAAAAAAAGAAAAAAATTAGTTAGGATTCTGTATCTTGGTTTCCGGGGTAGCGTCGTTCCAAATGTTACCCGGGGGCAAGGGAGAATTGGGCCCTTCTTTCTCTACAAAATGGGACCTCATCTTCCCCACGACTTCTCCTCTTTTCCCAATTCCCACCCCTACTCTACCCTTCACATTTTGGTCGAGAGTGGGAAAGATTCTATCTTTTCTACTCTTTCCTTTTTCTCTCAAGATACCCTTTCCTTCCCCTTGTTGCCACTCCTTGACCAAGGAGGGATCATCACCATGGTAAATCCCTTCAAGAAGCCCCAGGATGACTCGGCCAATCCTGCCCCGGCCGCGGTCTATAACTGGCGCATCTATGCCCTGGCGTTTTCCGCCGCCATGGGATCCGCCATGTTCGGCTACGACTCAGCCTTCATCGGCGGCACCATGTCTCTGCCCTCCTTCAAAAGGAGTTCGGTCTTGACACATCAACGGGCAACGAGTTAGCCGCGCTTAAGGCGAATATTGTCAGCACCTTCCAGGCCGGGTGCTTCTTTGGCGTCCTTCTCTGCTACTACCTGGTTGAGAAACTTGGCCGCCGCTGGGTTCTCCTCGGGTGCGGAGCTTTGTTCGATGTCGGCGCTATTCTACAACTGGTTGCTACTGGTAAAGTCGGGCTCATTTATGCCGGGAGAGCATTGACTGGTACGTTTATTCTTTGACAGCCCATTCCCTCCACATCTCGAACCTGCGTTTGTAAAATCTCTAACCCTCGTCTGCTACTAGGTCTGGCTGTCGGTTCCTCGTCGATGATTATCCCTGTATATATTTCAGAGTGCGGTCCACCAGCTATTCGCGGACGTCTGATCGGCATCTTCGAAATCTGTCTCCAATTTTCACAAATCTTCGGCTTCTGGGTAAATTATGGCGTCAATATCCACGTCTCACCAACCTCTGCTGCTCAATGGCACATCCCCTTTGCCCTGCAGCTGATCCCAGGAACCCTCCTCGTTATCTTCATGTTCTTCCAGCCCGAGTCCCCACGTTGGCTCATCAATGCCGGCCGCACCGAGGAGGCTAGGGGTGTGCTCCAGCGCCTCCGCATGCTCCCTGCCAACGATCCGTATATCAATTGGGAAATCAACAACGTCTTGCACCAGATTGAAGAGGAAAACAGGAATGGTCTTGGCTCTAAGACTTTGGGTGCCAAGCTGAAGGAGGTGTTCGCACCCAAGACCAGGGTCCGCTTGATCCTAGGTATCTGCTTGATGTTCATCCAAAACATGTCTGGCATCAACGCTCTCAACTACTACTCACCCAGCATTTTCCAGTCTATCGGCTTCACAGGTACCAGCGTCGGCCTTCTTGCTACCGGTATTTTCGGCATTGTCAAAGCCATGGCCACTATGCTTTATATGATTTGGGGCGTTGACAGCCTTGGGCGCCGACATTCCCTCATCATTGGCTCTATCGGTGCATCCATTGCCCTTTGGTACTTGGGAGCCTACGCCAAGCTAAGCGGTTCTTTCGAGGCGGGCACCCTCGGTACCGGCGAGAAGACTCCCGGTGCCTACGTTGCCATTGTTATGGTTTACATCTTTGCCGTCTTCTATGCCATCTCTTGGAACGGTATTCCTTGGATCTTCTGGTACGTTCCTGCCCCTGCTGCAATCTATTCTCCGGTTTTAGTCACCAGCTAACTTCCTATTTAGTGCCGAGGTCTTCCCTACCGCTATCCGCTCCGTCTGCCTCGTCTTCACCACTTGTGCCCAGTGGCTTGGCCAGTTCATCATCGTTTACTCGACCCCGTATATGATGACCAACATCACCTATGGTACTTTCTTCCTCTTTGCTAGCTCTGTCGTGTTCGGCATTGTCTTCACTTGGTTCCTCATTCCCGAGACCAAGGGCATCTCCCTAGAGGATATGGATACTCTCTTCTCGCGATCCGGTATGCCTAGGACCTGGCGTAAGCAGCTGGATGAGATCATTGAGGAGAGGAGGGCCGCAGGTGATCCTGAAATGTTCGTTGCAGACGAGAAGGAGCACGCTTCTCATCGGGAGAATAACTAACGGCATCCCACTTGAGCCACTCGCACAAATTCCATTCTTTTCTAACGGGCTGGGCCTTCTGGCTCTTAGCACGAGTACTACTGAGCCATCTTCAGCGTTGGGGAGTGGACTCTGACTGTGGTGATTGAAGTTGTAATTCGATCTGAAAGTGTAAACAGCGTGTGAGCTTTCGTCTTGGGATCTCCCAAGTCAACCCTAGTACGCTCTAGAACCACTCTACTCTTCCAGTATACCTCAATGAAGGCAATCACTCCAATTCAGTACCCCTCTCCTTGCATAGCTAGCTCCATAATTAATATCTGACGCAGTTGTTCAAAATTGTCGCGATTACTTGAGAAGAAGTGTATCTGATGTACTTCTTACTGTGGTTTGTTAAACCAACCGCGCTCTCGCGCCAAATTCCAACGCCATATTCTTCATTCTTGTTCCCAAGCTGGGCACGCAAATTTTCGAGAAAACGGTCCGGCCTTGGATCGAGTATCTCAGCCCGCAGTGAATGTGCGTAGATCGGCATTGTGCAGTTGTGCATTGGGGGAGCACATAGGTTCGTACTGACCCGGCCGCCATCTAACAGACATGGGTGAGGTCTACCAATTAACCGGCTTAAGTTTTACATTTCTATAATCTATCACTACTATATACTGAACTCTATTCTATTGTTGGCTTTCAATCTTCCATCTTAAGAGCGTAAAACTATGCCTCTCAAATACAAACTGGTGCTTGTCTTCTTCCGGGACCCATGTCTGTTCCTTGATCACGACCGTTTCCTTCTCCTGTGTGTTCACGTCTGTTAAAGAGCATTCGTTACCCCCATTCGAAAAATATTCACCGATGAAGGGAATGACGGGGCGCCACCGATAGTCGTCTTGTAGCTCTTTTCATCGTCAACGTTCACAACTGCAAGATTGATCCATTCTCCATCAATAGCAGCGCTGACATCCAGCTTAGGGATATCGCAAGTGCTCTGTAGCCACTCAGGGCTCGTTTTCCCCTGGTATGCAGTGCACCGGACGTGTACAGCGATACTCTTGCCCCTCATGTACTTGGAAAATAGTAGGAGCGGCCAGTAGGTTGGCTGCTTAAATAAACCTGTGGGTGAAGTCATCAAAGGCGAGATGACGTTGACGCTTTGCGCGACCGTAGCCATGCCTAGGTCCTTGGAGTTTCGAATAAAGATGTTAAGCCAAACAGCCATGGCAAGCCCATCAGAAAGAGTGTACTCTTGCTCGGCGCCCTTATCACCAGGCGCCCTTTCCGGGTCCCATATATTCCATTCATCGAAGCAAATCTTGGGTCGGTGACTCGATCTTGGTCCCGTGGTGATCCTTCCGACGTCGGGAAACGGTGACAGATCAATCTCACAGCGAGCTAAATCAATCAGCGCGGAGGTTACCTGGATAGCGCGCTCTGCAGCATAAGGGCTGGTAACATTTTGGTAGTGCCTACTCTGGTCAGCATGGAATCCTTTAGCATCTAACGCCACGATACACATACGATTTTCCCTGGGAGTAGTAGTGAATAGAGTGCATGTCAACCCAGCGGATGCATTCTTGTAGGACATATCGATCCCAGTCGGAGCATCCATCCCGACCGCAGAGTATGAGCTGAATTGAGGGATCTTGCAGTTTAAGTGCTATTCAATGCGTTAGGAAATGGTGACCATGTCGGAAACGATAAATGGATTATATTCCGACGTACCCTTGGCCCATTGAACTGCCTTTTTGGCGTAATCTTCCTTGGTATGCTGCTCAACTTGCCTTTTGAGACATCAGTAAAAGCTTAGGTGTGGCGGCACACGATCGAGGGGAGAACGGTTCTAACAACTGACCATGGACCCCACATCTCGTTGCCAAGCGCCCAATATTTGACTCCGTACGGCGCGTCATGGCCATTCTTGCGTCTCAGATTTGCATAATAAGTGTTCTTATCGCTGTTGCAGTACTCGAGCCAGGCGAGAGCATCTTCGAGCGTTCCCGTTCCCATGTTCAGGCAAAGATATGGCTCGGTACCGACCTCTTTAGCCCATGCCATGAACTCATCCGTCCCGAATTGATTGGTCTCAACGCCATTCCAGGCAAGTTCAGGTCTGTGAGGCCGGAGTTCTTTGGGGCCAACTCCGTCTTGCCAACGGTAAGTGGCAACAAAATTGCCCCCAGGGTACCGAACAACCGGCACATCAAGCTCTTTGAAGCACTCAATTACATCCTTACGGAAACCCCTTGAGTCTGAGAGTCCGTGTTCATTTTCAGGTTCATATAGTCCGCCATAAATGCAGCGTCCCATATGTCTAGGTATTGTTGCGGTGTTAGCAAGTACAACGAGATTCTCATCTAGAGACGGGGCGCGATGATAATTACTCACTCTGTGAATCCGCCATAGATCAAGGGGTCAATGTCAGCAATGGTATGGGATATGTCGAGAGAGATGGCCGTGTTCTCGGCATCACCATCGCGAAGTAATGTCAGTGTAGTCATGCTGAGAAAATTTGAGCTGCGAAAGTTTTCTTAATCCGATGTGTGCTGATACATTTATGACGCTTAACTAGACATGCCCCAGACTAGCATCCGGCATCCTATATATCCCCGCCTTCGACCTTTACAGCACTTTCCAATTTTGCAACAAACCTATCTAGTAGGTAAATTTCGCAAAGCTTGGACAGTCGCATCTCAAACTTCGATTGACGATGATATTTAGAACACACCGGGGCTTGTCGGGGAGTATCGGCGAAGGGGAGTATCGGCGACATCCCCATCAAGCTAGCCCTTTCTCCACTTCATTTGCATGGACAAGGGATGCAGTGGCGTTACGGATATGAGGGTGGGGGTGTGGGGCCGCCAGGACTCAGGAGCCAGAATCGGCATCCACGTAAGATTACAAGTAGAACTATTACACTAACTAATTTGTACGAGTCTACGACAGCGGTAGTCCAGCACATGAACTAATGCGTTGCAGCATGGTGTGTACAAGTTCCAAGTCGGGGCTCTCGTGTTTCCAGCTTTCGATCCATCGCATAACCTTGATCACGGATTGGTCCCAACCTGGTGGTAAGAGAGCCCGCAGCGCCGGTTCGTTTAGGCCCCGCAGTGCAATGGCCAAGAGGTGAAGGGTGCTTTTGTACAATTGCGTAGCATCAACCATGTGCCCTGGTGCCGATGCCACGGTCCTTCCTCACATATGGCGATCCTACTCATATCATTCTCCATGGCGAGACGGGCTAGTCGCTGCGTCCTTGGGCCCAGGTCCTGCAGCTGAGGTGATTCGCAGAGCGCCTTGAGTGCCGGGAAATACAAAACCTCGCGGATGTCAAGTAAGTGGCCGCGAAGTATGGCGCGCATGACATCGCCTACCGGCTTTGCGGGGTCTCTGGGAAATACCATTGGAGCGGGTAGAGTAGCGTACCACGACTCGAGCTCCCCATCGAGCCGCTCCACATATTGCACGAAGTGGTGCTCCTCCTCCTCTGTCCACCATTTACTCTGGAAATACCAGCTGAATGGCTGATAGCGACTAGATAGGGCGTCGTTCATGATACGTCGAGTGGCGATTTCGGCGAGGTAGAAAAACCAACCTGTTTCAAGCTCAGACCTAACCCTCTCCGGCAGCTCAGATGTGGGGCCCCAAACCCGAGCAACGGTCTCAGGCGGCGAAGGGTACACATGGGGGTAGGCCATTTCATTGAGATTAGATCCTGGTAATGTAAGTTCTGTTCTCAGCTCACTAGCCGATAGAGGTGGCCGAACAAGAACCCGCAAGGTTAGTAGTTGTAGCGATATGGCACGCTCTACGGATCTTGAGACATTGATCTTACAGCTCGCTTTTCAAGCAGCTCCAGTAGAGGCTTTCCGCAATGTATCCCTCGCCGTCGTTTCCCGGCACAGGCTGATTCATGGCGTCGGGGCCCTGGTCTTGAACACGGTGGATTCTCCACGCCAGATACTGCGTGCCTGTCTGGGCGAAGCATTTCCACGCGGCTAGAATTCTCATGGTAGACATGAGGTAAACCGCCGTCAAAAAGCTACACTGGACGGCAAGGATCGAGTTGTCGTGGTAGAGAAGACCGATTCGGCGTTGAGCGGCCTGGAAGTAGGCTTCGGCTCGCGCTCGGAGCTCTTGAAGAATCGTGGAGCTTAACCCCTTTCGAGATGTATAGGAGGTGAGATTGCGCTAATGGCACATACGAGTAGCTGAGGTGTACGCATTAGCAAACTAGGAACCTTCTTTGTGGCAGTGACTGAGAGGTAGCTTTGCATACCACAAGACAGCTTCTTCCATCCCATCCTATTCCCGCCTTTGCCAAATCCATGGCGTCGACCCAAAGCGCATCAATATCCAAGACCGGGTTCTTTACATGGTTCGTTGACAAGAAGTTCGAGATTAATTCTGTCATCGCTTCCGAATCGAGTTGGCGAATGGAATCAGCTAGAAACGACTCACTAACCAATTCTGTGCTCTTCTGCCCAAGCATAGATACTAGCCGCTGTCGTGAGGCGCTCCAATAAGGATGAAAAACGCGCCATTCTAACATGCTTTCAACTGACATATCCCCACTATTTTGGATGATATCCGAATTCGGTGGAGTGTCCCGCAACTATTCTCCGCCGTGGAGGCGGTTACCGATGCTGGGGTAGTCACCTGAGCTCCCATTTGTGGGGACGGGTCTGACCCATGGGACGTTGGTCCCTCGCGAGGAGACGGGATAGCCGAGGGCCCGGCGATGACAAGCGAACTCGCAGAGTACGCCGGTGAGCCCTGCACCACCTTTCCATTTACCAGTGCAGTGAGCGATTGCTCTAAGTCACCGATCCTTTGTAGGATGAGTAAGCTTCCCGGTCCAGCTGAGAGTGGTCGCGATCGTCGTCTCCGTATACACATCTGCCACCGGTTGACTCGCAGAATCCACAAATAGGGCGCCTATTGTCGCATTTCGTCTTCCGCGCGCGACATACCTATGAAGCTCATTAATCACCTCCTTTCTCGCCGGCCAACTAACTTTTATCGTGGGATGCTAGTTTGAAAGGTACATCATTGGTCGGGTTGCATCATCACATACCTGGCAAGCAGTTCCAGCACGGCGGCGGCCATACGACCCAGCGGCCCTAGTTGCGGGCTTCGAAGTCTGGGGGAACATCCTAGCTATAGGGCGGGTCTGGGGTATCGAGCTTGAAATGGGGTCGTGCCAGCTAGATTACAACTAAAGAGATTCGATTTCTCGGCCTGTGAGGTTGTCAAAAAGGCAGTGTCACTTCTCGGCACCATCGCCGATACTTCCCGAGGAGGGTGGTTATTTATGAATGGCCAGGCCTCAAAAGACAAAATGGGGTGGGTGGGGCTTATGACAAGAGTTGGTTGAGCCTCGAAGCCAGGGTCTTTTAGCGTCAACGAAGGACTTGCGTCGTGCTCGCCCGGGTGCGTTAGCCTCCTTCGGACCCCCTTTTGCAGCCCTCATCTTAGACGCATTGCCGACCCCGGAACTAGGATTGCTCCACAAATTAGCCCACGATTTCCCCATGGGCGATTTGCGGATAGGTCCTATTCTCGCCCTCGAGTTATGTCGTCCTTGGCTTTGTCCCATAACACCACTTGGTAACGTGCAATACCCCATCTCTGGTCGGAGCACATGAGCATGGGCTCACAACCGCCAAAACGTACCACCGACAACCGGGCTCGTGGCGGAAGCGTGGTTCTCGCGTCGATTTGAGCATTAGCACTCCTCTTGAATATATATCTATACGGTTCCCGTTCTTGCATCGAACCGTCATACTCTGAGGGCCCCCTGATCCTCAAACTTATATTCATCCCCCAGTACACCTTCACAATTCCTCCTTCGCCCAATACGCATATGGAATCAGTTCAGAAAGAAGAGCAGACGCAAGTCTGGTCTGAGCATTCCACAAATGACCTCGCCCTTATCGCAGATCAGGAAGAACACGCGACAGGTGTGTTGATGACGGTGCGGAAGAACCCGACCTTAGTAGGCTGGTGCTTCTTCTCCGTCTTCACTTGCCTCCTGGTTAGCTTCGAAAACCAAGCTGCCGGTCTAGTACTAAGCGTACCAAGGTTCCGTCAAGATTTTGGGTATAAATTCGGCGACGAGTATGTTCTTGACGCGGCCTGGCAGTCAGCCTTCTTTGGCGGGCCAATCGCCTCCACCATCATTGGGACTCTGGCCTCTGGCTACTTCGCCGACCGACTCGGCCGCAAGCCCCTGCTCATAGGTGCCGTCGCTCTCTCGTTCGTTGCCGTGGCCATCGAGTTCATTGCTGAGACGAATGCGATGTTTTTGGAGGGAAATTCATGAATGGCTTCCTCCTTGGAATCATCATGTCGATCGCATTGACATATCTCGGAGAGGTAAACCGTGCCCATTCGCAACGCCCTATAACCTTCGCGGATCTCAAGTCTCATTGAAAATAATTTTCTGAACAGATTACTCCCCTGGCACTTCGCGGAATTCTGACGTGCCTGAACGCGCTCATGTTCACTCTCGGGCCCCTTTCAGCTTCCATCATCGTGGAGAGAACGGGTACAAAGGACAACCGGTGGGCGTATAGATCGGTATTTGTGGCCCAGTTTGCTTTCTCTGCGGCGTCATTCATCGGTTCCCTATTCATGCCCGAATCTCCAACCTGGCTATTGAGCGTTGGCCAGGATGACAAGGCAGCCCGGTCGCTGAAACGTTTAGGATATGCCGATGCCGACATCCCCATGAAGACAGCACAAATCCGGAAAACTCTGGAGCAATCTAGGCAAGAAACCGAAGGGTCGACTTATCTAGAGCTCTTCCGAGGCTCAAACGCGAGGAGGACCGTCATATCCATTATGCCACTATCAATCCAGGCTCTTGGGGGTGTTCTTTATCGGCTCCTACGGTACCTATTATATTCAGCTTGCTGGGTTTAGCGTGGACGACAGCTTCAAGATGCAAATTGGACAGCACGGCCTTGCTATGCTTGGGAATATATGTTCATGGTTTTTGATTGATAAGGTGGGCCGCAGGCCCTGACATTCTGGGGCCAGGCCAGCCTCACCGTCATTCTAATGCTATGTGCCGGGCTGGCGGTACATGGAAGCGCCGGATCGATCAAGGGGTCTGTCGCTTTGATCATCATGTACAACTTTTTCTACAACATATCGATTGGCGCAACAGCGTACACATTGCTTGTGGAAGTGGCCACATCGCGGCTCAGAGTCAAGACCATTGCAGTCGGCGTAGCTCTACAGTATATTGTAAGTACAGTGCGCGGCCTCCGTTGATGTAAGTCGGGTTGCTAACGTATCAATTGATATTACTTAGATATACACAATCTGGGCTTTTGTTCTTCCAGTTCTCTTCAATCCCGACAAGGCCAATTTAGGTGCTAAAACAGCGTTTATATTTGGTGGCCTCAGCATCTTCTGTCTTGCGTACCTCTGGTTTTATCAGGTGGAAACTGCCGGCCGGAGTTATGACGAGCTAGATGAAATGTTCATGAATGATGTAAGCGTCAAGGACTTCGGGACATATATCACGGAGGCTCAAAGGAAAGAGAAATAGAGGTGCTGGAATAATACCAGCCAGCGCTTTCGCGGACTCATTTTCGGCCTCAGTATTAGGGAGGGCCTTTTACCTAGCACGCTACATCTCTAAAGGAACACACTATCGGCATGATGCCTTTCGTTTCTAGTCATCTCCCACCTAGCCGTCTTATATATCGCGGAAAGTGTGTTAAGTTCGGTGTACCGTCAAGTCATCTGGTGGTCAAAGGACAGGGGCACCTTCCATCATTGATCAATGCTTGGGTGATTCGTTCGCCAGACGCCTGTCTGCCTTTCGAGATGTCTGAAACCTGGACTAAGCACATAGATGTAACACAAATGCTACTTTCTTTCCACTGATGTCAGATATATAAAGTCAGCAGCGACGAATTAAGCAAATCGCCACCTCATGCGAACGTTGATCAGCTTAAGCCGTTGTATACCAGCTCCTGTGGTCAGAAAGCTGATGATGAACCCTGTATTAACTGTAGCGCCGGCAAGCAAGAGAACAATACTGCTTAAATCTTGCAGAGCTTTTTAATATCATGAGCCCGGGAAGTGGAGGGGCTTTAGGGCGGTATACTACATCGTCACCAATTCTTTCCAGAAAACCAGAGAAATAGTACGGTATGAGAACATCTATGAGAGCGGTTCGCCTATCTGCTACTACACAATGTGAAATTTAGCGCAATCATTATGCCCATCAAACATCTCACCATCCATAATACCATAACAGTAAGCCTCCCCAACGTAGCCCCACATCTCACCGCCTCCCAACGTAAGCCGTCGAAGAACCATGGGAACCGAGGCACCCTTGAGTATCACGAGGCGATCACCGCGCCGCATATCCTCAGGCCCTAAGCCAACGCGGCCCCCGATGTGAGAAAACACCTTCGGCGCTGCTGACCATCGACAGCTAGACCATAAACTCCTTCGGCCAACCGCACCTCCACTTGCAGGTCGGGGCCGATGCCCTCTTCGTCATCCACATCGGCCTCTGACCGAAGCATCTGCGTCGACTCCGTCTCTTCCGCGCTCCCTTCACCATCCTCTCGAGCCTCACACCCATCACCCCTGATGGCTCCCTCAAGGGATAGCTCTAGGCTTTGGTGGGCTTCAGGCATGTAAGGACCGTTTCCAGATTCTTGACTAGTGGTCGCTTGGAGCTTAGACAGAACCATTCGCCTGATAGCTCGGACGTGGCGCGCTGTTCGTCGTCGGAGCACCTGGTACGTTGCACCAGCGATTGTCCGTCCTTGCATGGTAGCTCCGACGTGTTGACTTGGTCCAGGGCTAGGTCTAGGCAATATACCGCGGCCCCCTGACGCTAAAAGAGCGGCGAGATCTTCTTGGCTGTATCCAGCAGTGAGATGTTTGTTGTTTTGAGTTGCGAGGCTACTAAAGGCAGTCGTGTCTGAAAGGAACAAGTCTAATGATTGCGCAGTTTCTGTTTCGCTCGCCGATATCTCGTAATAGTTGGTTCCTACCATCTCGACGGCCCCAGCGTCTAGCCCTGGGATGAAAAGGGCCCCTCCCTCAACATGTGTATCAGTATATCCACCCCAAATAGCGCCTGAGCCTTGCGCCATTCCAGCGCAGAACAGAGGCGTCTCCGAATTCATATATCCATGGGGTTTTGTCAGCTCTGAGGTCCAATCGGGCACCCAAGAAGGCAGCCCGTCAAGTCTCTTCACATGATTCTGAGAGAATAGGATCAAATCAGTCTGGCCTGCTTCAACTAGCGATCCCGCGAGATCTCGAAATACCAACTGCGCCGACGACGCGTAGTCGACCCGGACCGTCTTCAAGACGGGGTCATCTTGGCGCGGCAGCGCTAAAATTGAAAAATAGCAGTCACGCGCGTCGCCGGCCCTAAACTTTTGCAGATCGCGCGCCGCTGTGGATGCATTCACTGTGTCTGCTACGTTGAACTTGGCGAGGAGGCTGAGCACAGAGAAGCGGCTATCGCTCTCGCGGTGAATGGTGCGACGGACACCAAAGAGCCGGTTGGCGAAACGCACAAGGGCGAGAGCGTATGTCATATCATCCATTGTAGGATAGTGGCGTCCAACGTCATCCTCGTTCCAGGTCGCTGCTTTGAGAGCTACAGCAAGAAAGGTGAACAACAAAGCGCGCTCGAGAAGGGAAGCATCGCACGTCTTGTTTCCGCAGACGAATACGAGGCGTTTCGGGAGGCAAGCCTCCTGGACTACCCACATGCGGCCGAACCACTGACGGGAGCAAAAGTCGACCAAGCCTTGTAATGGAAGCCAATGCCACGCGTCCAAGGCCATGGCTCTGAGGTCTTCGATATCGTCTGCGAGGCCTCTGAGAGCGGATGCCATTTCTCCCTCCGGTGATATGATCGAGGCCCGAATGGCGTTGAACGTGGGGTAGTCGTGCTTCGCCAGTTGTGAGAATGCCTGAGACTCCTTCTTGTCAAGAAATTCTACATATTGGAAAAAGGTGTCTGCTTGACAAGTTAGAGGACCAGTCCAGGCGAGCACACGATTAGCGTTAGAGTATATCTCTCCCATAAGGCCGACGAGCACGCTCTTCTCCGCGAGGTCTTCTTGATTGATACATATCTGGTCAACAAATAGCGGTGCATTCGTCTCGTGCGCTATAGATCGGAGAGCCTCGTCGAGGGAAATACTAATCCGGATGGAAGTATTTTCGCCTTGAAGAGGGTTTCTAATCAACATTGTTTTTCCTAAAGCAGAGGAGGACGATCGTTCGACTTCTGTCATCCCCTCCGATACCCCGCCCAGCAATATGAAAGAGCCTCGTACATAATTCCACCACATAATGGGTTGACGATGAGCTCAACGCAAAGAGGGTAATGTATATCATGAGAATATTCGAGCAAGCGAATTAAACGGAAGTGCCCTGGCCTGAGTGCTTCATAGCGATGTGAGACTGTCGGTCGCTCCATCACTGCGTGGGTGCGGAGCTGGGTGGACTAGCGACAGGTGATGAGCGACTGGCTTAAAAAAAAAAATAATAAAGCAAGAAAGAAAAAGGGTGGGAGGGGAGGATAAGCATGTTGAATAGCCACGTGCACCTCAGCCGCTATCACGGTATCTAAACATCTCAACGTGCTTAGTATTGAACAGAGGGGAAAATATGGGGAAATGCTGTCCGTATTCGCTGCTTGGATCCTTCTAATAGATCCGTTTCTATGGGGAATTCCTGCCCCTTTTATATCTGATATTTCTAGCATATTTTACAAGATCCATCGTCAGATGTCATTCCATTTGGAGGCAACCGATGGTTGCCACTGCGGCTGAGATTCTTGCCAGCTGGATACGCGACCTTTTCAGCTGGACTGGGATCCGGGCTGCCACCGGATATGGGTCCGGCGGATATCCCTTATCCAACACTTAGGATATAGAGAGGAAAGAAAACAAAAAAACAGCATTTTTACAAGAGCAAGTTTAGGATACGAGTGGTTTTAACTAATTATATATAGAGAACGTGATAAAAGTATATATAACAGTAACTATATCATGCACGATCACGTAACGGTAGCTTGACTATGATATATAGGTTTTTAAGAGGATTAAATAAAAATTAGGTTATACTTTGAAAAGGGGGAAATTTTTATAGATACTTGTGCCTTACTACTTCCTAGCGTGTGGTAGACTGTAAGACACTTAGCGTTTAAGACGGTGTATCGCAGTCCCTCATTACCGCTTCAAATACAGCTGCTAGATATCGCCCCCGTCTCACCAGGACCGTAGCCGTCCTCTAACGATCACACTAAATGTACGAGCTGAGGAACACTTGAGATTCACGAACCATATCTGATTTTAAAGGGAACAGCACGGCCGACTCGAATGCCAGAATAAAAGCACTACGGTCAGAACGCTTTTTAGGCTATGAGTACCGTAAGCGACGAGAATAAACAGCCTAATAGAAGGTTGAAATATTCCTCCGAGTCCACATTTAACTTTACAAGCAATTTCAATGCGATCCTATTAATCGAACTTACCATTTAGGTTAGACGGGTCGTTGTTTAATACCATTACCGCTGCTTTAAGAGCCTACCAACCTCCTCCGCGATGGCCATTATCCTCTCCTCTGTAAGCCGTCGGCCAATAATTTGCACAGCAACCGGCGCCCCATGATATATATCGGGATCATCTAGCATTAGCAGAGTTAGCCATCTGACAAACCCACTGGAAGGGGGATACGCCTTACATTCAGCTTGTACTATAGAGTCTATTTTTGTCAACGGCTTGAAGTCGACAGGGAAAACGTCGACATTCTTATCCGCAAACGTCACAGGCACAACCAGACTGGTAAAGTCAAGCACATTGATAGCTGTAGCGTAGCCATAGTACTTGAACTGGTTATGGCGGATGGCAGCCGTGGGCGTAATTGGAGCGATGATAGCGTCAAGTTCGCGGCCAGCCTTCGCCTCGAACTCTCGGATATTATTGAGGTAGTCGATTTGATAGTTCCACTTTTGAAGCTGGAGCTCCCAAGCCTCGTTTACAGTGACTTTAGGAAGGTTAGGGTTCACAAGATCAGCAATGTTAGGTATGGCTGGCTCGCCAGAGAGAGCAAGGGCATCGAAAATGTCCTACTAACTTGTTAATACTGAACATTCGTTGGTGGCGACGAGCCTTAACCTACTGTGCCACCGTCTGCGGCATATACCTTATTCGCAAGGTCAACTGCAAATGGGTGTTTAAAAGGCTCCCAAGGCAGGAGAGTGTGCCCTGCACCCTTAAGCCTGTCGACAACCATTTGCATGGCTCGGAGTACTGGTGGATGAGGAAGAACCTGGGGGAGAGATTAGTACACCGGGGCCGGAATTTTAATGCGTAGGAAGCCAGGTAGAGAAGAAAACTAACGTTTCCGTCACATGTGTAGAAACCGAGTGTAAGTCCACCAGATGATAGCTTGCTCTTGATCGCATCGTCCTCCTCCTGTCTCCATGGCATCGGTATCACTTTAGAATCAAACTGCCAAGGCATTTGAGCTAATACCGCTTTCATGAAAAGCCTCATATCCTCAATCGAGTGACAAAGCGGCCCACAGACGCTGTGAATTGTCTCTTGTCCCTCCATGCTATTAGCCATCTTAGCATACGGCAAACGGCCGTGACTAGGGCGAAGGCCATAGAGGAAATTGAACGCTGCTGGTACTCGAATTGACCCGCCAATATCGGTACCGATGCCGATCAAACTACCACGGATACCGACAAGAGCACCCTCACCACCTGAGCTTCCTCCACAGGACCAATTCTTATTCCGAGGGTTCAAAGTCCGGCCAAAGACGTTGTTGATTGTTTCACAAACCATAAGGCTTTGCGGGACGCTAGTCTTAGCGTAGAAAACTGCGCCAGCTTTCTCCAGCAAGTCAACGAGGATAGAATTTTCTTCGTCAATTTTCCCGATCCATCCGGCGTATCCCATCGTGGTCTCGAACCCCTAGTGTCGTATTGAGTATTTCTTTTCTATGATGAGAACCAAACCACAAACCTTGATACGGCACTGATCCTTGAGAGATATAGGTAGACCATGAAGAGGTCCGATAGGTTTCTTATGTTGGGCATAGTATTCATCGAGGGACTTAGCTCTAGCCATCGCATATTCTGGCAGAAAGGCGTGTAGGCAGTTTACCTTGTGATGCTCATGTCAGTAGCAGCTTAACAGCAGTAAACGTGTAATTTAACGGATAAAACTCACTGTTTGCTGAGCAATCGCCGCTCTCTTGCAAAATGCAGTCGTGACAGCCAAGGCGCTCAAATTGCCAAGCGCGAGGTCTTTGACGAGGTCCGCCGCAGATGATTCCGTTATAGTTAACTCTGCAGAAGTGAGAATACCAGAATTACGTGGAACACCTAGGAGAGAACCAATAGTTGGTGCCTCTTTGAGATGCCATTCCGTAGGAATAGCATCGATTACCGCAGCTCGCCGCTGTGAGGCCAAGGTTTCCCAAGCCATCATATCTAGATGTTTCTCGAGTTAATGGAGTTTGCAGGTTTGGGCAGCAACTAGGGCGGGGTCTCGTTTTATACAGGTCTTGTTTCCATCCGTAAGGTCGGATCACCTACGAAATCTAGAAAGCCCAATCAAACACATAGACAGTTGCACGACCCCGCATGTAATCTATGTATATAGAGCGATTTTTCAAACTATGATAAGTAAACCAGTACCTCGGCCGCCGATAACGATCATGATCTCCCCGCTCCAATAACAAACCACCATGATTACCTAATTATATATCCCACCATCGATCAAGCTCATAGTACCCTTCACCTCGCCTATCTAGTTACTATTTCTTACAATGGATATAGAATCACGCAAGCAACTCTCCTAGACTCTTTATTATCTCTTATCGCCTTTAAGGCTAAGGCTATAAAGCTTTAAAATTAAATCAGTCTTATCTTTCCATGAGTTGCTTGGTGCGGATTTACTATACACTCATCGAGATAACGAAATGTTTGGTTAACTCTAGGCTTCCAGGTAACACCGGCGATAAGCAACCGATAATAGGGAAGAAGAACGTGCCAGGACTTAGTATAGAACCTTAGTATTAAACCCGAGTATAAATGCCAAGTGGGTCATAAAGTAACACTGCTCTAGAAAAGAATATTGGTGAACGAGCTAGCGAACTGCAAGGTCGCTTAGTCCGATAGTATGAACCTCGGCGAGTTAAGGAAGGAGAATAGCAACGGCAATTTAAGATATCGTGGCCGAATAGAGACTGTTCTAGAAACTAGAGTCTCCTAGAGGCATTGATCAGGTTTGCTCAGACCGACAAAACCTAGCTAGCACGCGTTAGTAGAACCGGATTGATAAAACCAAAGTCCTTTTAACTTAAAACCCGTAAATGACGACTCTAACGCCTAAAAGTTTACCCTAATAGTCATCAAGGCATAGCTGATCCGATATCCATTAATTGATCCGCCCTACTACTTTCTTATACTTTCCAGCTAAGCTATCTATACTAAACTCGAATAATATATCTAAGATCAAGCTAGTTGAATCTAACTAGTGTCGACTATATAATCTCGCTCTTTTAGTTAATCGTATCGGCAAGTTTATTATCATCGTGTCCGGATCCTATATTATCTATTGTCTATTAGAAGGATCAATGATAAAATCGTTTGGGACTTATATATAACTATAATACTAGTTGTTATGCTTATCTCCTTATATTTTACCTAGAGGAATTAAATTGATTTAGAATAAGCTCCTCGCCTTAGAAACAAAACTAATATTTTTAGATATTATCATGTTAGGGTTTCTAAGCGATAACCTATATATCCATCTACTACGGATTCAAGGGCCTAGGAATCTCAGGACGGGATTTAGCTTAAGCCGTCTCCTTTCTTTTATGTTGGCATCTTAGCAGATCTGACTTCCAATTGCTTCTTTAAGATGCCACCTACGACCACACCCTCAGGTTTTGACACTAATCGACCCTTTACAGAATCTTGATACAGGTGGCCAGGCCAGTTAGTGCTATGGGCGGGCTAAAGGAGAAATCTAGCAGACATTGAGAGACTTGAAAAATGCGTGGACCTCGGGACAGGAAGCCGAACACTGGTTGTCTCATAAAGTGAAAACCTCAAGGCATTTGTTCCGCGAAGCGGTAAGGTGCCCATCCTAGATAGGTCATGTTAGGCATCCTTGATCATTTCTATCGCCTACCAACTCCCACCTTCTCTCGGCAACCTTCGGTTTACGGTGCTTCAAGTTAATACTAAGCTTTCTAATATGTGCCGTTCCCGTTCTCTATTAGGGTTTACTTGCTGGGGAAGAAAAAGCGGTACAAGGCCGCATCAATCTCCAAACACCTAGAACATAACTATGCCTCCCCTTTGACACTGCTCTTTAGGATATTTAGCACTTTATCAGTCTAGCTATTGATTAGTTATATTGATAGCTACTCCCAGTTTTATCTTTAACTACCTTTTTTCAGTATTTTCTAAACACTTTTTATAGCTATTGTGGGCCTAGTTAATGTATGCTCAATTAGGCGTACACCAACCTGAACATTTTCACGTGTCCCGCGTTTTTCTTACTAACTATTAGTTGGTGAGGTGAAGCATTGAGAATGCACGAGCGCCCCTGGTGTGTTGGAAGAGGTTCCACTCGGGACAAATATTAAGCCGGCTGACAGTTTTACTCGAGAGGTGATTAACGAGTGAAGAAAGAGGGCAAGCCACTCCTCAGTGCTCATATAAAACATGTAGTATGTACCTCGGTAGAGAGAGAAGAATTTTCTCACTTAATCACACTGTCTCTGGCTTCTAAACTGTTTGTCAAAAGGGAATGCCTGGAGGTGTTATGAGCGACGCGGAAGTCAGCGTCGCATTGATAACATCGTCGGTATGGAGAATAACGGTCTCTGATATATGCAAAGATAAGATGTCCTCGGTCATTTCACTGGCTTACCCCTTTCATATCCCAGGATCAGCAAGCAATGATTAAGAACCAATCAATTCTTCAAATGTTACAGATGCTGCAGGGTAGCATGGCGCACTTACCTCCCAAGTCATCGTTGCCCGTTATTTTTGACAGACATTTTAGAAAGACGGGAGGGAGAGGTGCGTGAGGGGCGGCCCAACCAACCTCACGACAAGATCAGACCTTAGGTTAAACTTCTTCTCGACATCCTTCTCCAAGCTCTAATATACAACGTTCCTACATTCTATCGTAACAACTCAGCCGCCAAACTAACGACATTCGAACCGATGCTTTTCCTACACTTATTACCACTTCTCTTCGTCGAGGTTCTATGCGATGGGCCCGTTACGATCGATCAGGGCGATGCCTATCAGAAACAGCGCAACTGTGCCTTTTCTTGCTTTAGGAGCTTTGATGACCCCGGTTACCCTATTGCCATGACAATTTCGTGTCCGACTTTAAAGTACAAAACGATTGTTTCTGCCGCCCGGACTTGCAACAGGACGCACAACAGTTCGTCTTTAGCTGTGTCAGTAACGGCTGCAGCAAGAACACGAATGACATTAGCCTCGCGACGAGTATTTATAACGATTACTGCACATCTAATGGATACGAGCGGGCGCAGGTGACTACACCTCCAAATACCGGTGCGTTGACCGTGACTTCCAAGAATCTAGTGGACCACTTTTGTGACCCAACATTCGGGCGATAACGGCTACCCCTCAAGCCTTGGCCTTTCCTAGGCAGTGCTGATACGTGTATATATTTAGAAAGTTCACCAACGTCTTCTACTGGAACGACGAACGCCCGAAGCACCGCGACATCTGCACCTGGATCGTCACAGCCAGAGGATCAGCTAGATGAGCAGTCATCTTCTGATAAAGGGGACGGGCTAGCTGGAGGGGCAATTGCGGGGATAGTTGTAGGCGCCGTCAGCGCTGTGGCTGCAGTTATAGGTTTATACTTCCGCTGGAGAACATATAAGCTCGAAAAGAGTAAGGCGATGCCTGAAACTATGGGGGCCGGGGTTCAACAGTGGGGACAGGGTAGCTATCGTTAATATGGAGAGGAATACCAAGCCAGATATATATTCATCTACCTCGTGATATCTAGGCCGCGAAGGTACTTCTCAGCTGCAACCTTATGTTTTCTCCTAGGCCTTCTTTATATGTCCTCACTACTATACCTCGGGTATTTCTCCTCTAGTTAAAATACGAAGAGTACCCCTACGAACTGAGGCGATTGTGAGATAATGATGTGGAATATGATATAGAAGTAAATAGTATTTAAATAACTGAAGACTCAAGTAATAACATGACAAACCCATGCTAGTTCACTATGTGATAAATATTTTATAGCTCAATATATGTAAACCATGGTTTCTAGAATATTAACTCTCTACTATACTATGAACATTATAGAGCTGCTTACTGGTAGTATATAAGGCTAGAAGAAGGAGTTCTTGTATACCGAAGTAGAAATACTAGTTTTCGTAACATATTCAGTTGAGCACCACGCATGCTCCACAAGCTTAGACCACCCGCTCGGCACGCGCCGCTGATCTCCCTCGCCAAGAATAGTCCAGCTAATAACCGCCTCCTAACTACATATCTAAGCGGCCGTGATTGTCTCCGAGATTTGCGATTACGGGTCATTATTTTGCCCGGTATATTACTTCTACTAAGATAAAATTGCACTAAAACCCCCAACGGTTAGGTTAGAGGCTGCGTCCTTCACATCGTCATTGTTGGCCAGTTCGATATCTCCGTACGTGCCGTAGACGCCCGTCGTAACAACCATGTTGTCACTGATTCGTAAGCCGTTGGTCGTAGCGAGGAGCCTCCTCGTCGCCTGGGTTGCTGTGATCCCTACAGTAGGCAAGTTTGCCTCTAATATTCAACAGTGAGATATGTTAATAATTTAAGGGATCTAGCTGCATCAGAGCCGTGCGATGGCGCGAAGAGCGTGGAGTGCTGTCTCGCGTTGCGACAATTATGGGCGGATCTCAGGAGCCAGTTCACTTCGACCTTCACTAGTGTCGAATACGCGGATCTTGGCTCTACAGCTTTATGTAACGGCCAAGGGTATTACTTAAATCGCAACACCCCTAAGTATGTCACTCTTACCATCCCGACGGCAGCTACAATCACCCCTACTGTTCTACCCGATTATCCGCGGTGCTATATAGGTGATGAAGACTGTGGCACTTTCCAAGAGCTATACTCCTCATCCTTATCCGAGTATGAGTCGGACCGGTCGCTACCATCACCGACTCGTCCAATCTGCCAGCGCTATCGTGCCTGCCCAAGGGAAGAAGATCCAGGCCTTTGCAAACTCCACCTCAACGAAGCAACAGTGTATTACTGGCCGGTAATAATCACAACAGGTAGTACGTGCGGTGGCGCCTCGACGACCTTGTCTCATTCACTATCAGCCCGCTCTACTGTTATCTCAGGAACTACATTCCTTTCTCCTAGCATATACATGTTCCTCACTGCTGTTTCGGCAAGCAGCTACCAGAACAAATTCACGGCACGCCCTTGCGGAGATGGCGCTGCCCGTGACGTGTTTTTGGCCTTCGACCCGTCCGAAGTGAGCACGCACTGGGGCAAAACACACCGAAATAGGCATACCTTCGCTCCACTTCATCTCGCAGACTTGAACAACCCTACACCGGCGAGTGTATATTTCGCCGTCACCGAACCGCTTGATTGCGAGGCAACTCCGACTGTAGAGCCGTGTACACAGTTCATTGACAGGGGCGTCCCGCCGTTCTTGTCCGTGCCCGTTGAGGCGTTACAGAAGCTGACGCCGGATTTCGCCGATTGTCTACTCCACCCCAGCTCAAGGGGTTCACTGCCGAGAGATTCAGTAACATGGGTCCCGTTAGAGGAGACGCCTGTTCCAGAGGGGTGGCCGATGGACGGCCTCATTACGACCAATTCTCACGAGGGCGAGGGGCCAGTTGAAATAGGCACATTCTAAGATCGGAGGGGTCTATCTCACTATGTACTGTAATTCACATATATCTCCAATACGACACATCGCATAGTTTCATCCTTGAGACTTCTCAGTTGAAGTGCCTCAAATTTTACCGTGGCATTGCTAGTTAACGAGTCTATCTCACTAAGGAGCAATGTGAGCGATGGTAGGTATAGAATCCGGTTCGTGGGAGAAGCCCACTTGTTAGCTCATGTCTATACTACTAGTGCCAATCCCCGGAGATACCCTACTTCTTGTAGGACGGTATCATTGATGGCTGCTGCTATTTTTGATCCTAGACTTTGCTCTACCATTCAGGGATAGCATGGGGCGACGGCTTCAAGTTGGCTTTACCTAGAGGAAACCCGCCAGTGTCTTTTCGCAGAAAGGACAATGGCCTAAGCTGGTGCACCAAATAGGACGCACTTTTTTACGCTGCAGAGGCTCTCATACAGATGTGACAGAAGCGATATGTCGCCTAACCTGCCTAATTTCCAGCAGGTACTACTCAAAATGATGTAAACAGCCTAACTATCATCACAATAGGGCTGGTAGCTGTTTGATATCAAGTTGTATACTACACGAGTCTCTGGTAGGTTATCGGAAGCGTCCTAAACGGTAAATTATCTACCACTGCGCCGTTATCATGCATTAAGTTAGATGGGTTCTAAACAAGACCCAGCACCTCGGCCTCCTCCATAAACGCTTTCTCCCTATAGACCACACCACCTCAGCCAAGCCAAAAGTACCAGCTAACAAGGGGAGTAGCTGACCAACAGTGACGACATTATCAATCTCTGTAATGTTATTTGCATCTAGTAAGTATTCAATGGCGGCGACAGAAATGGCGATGATGGTAAGAGATATGGCGAGGAGCTCGATTTGGACTCGCGCGCGCCGCCGGGAGCCCGAGTAGTTATTCCCGTTTAAACGCTTGACCATAGCTGAAACGTTCCAGCATAGGAAGACAAGGCATATAGTACCGCCAGCTATAGCGGCAACCTTGTTAAATAAACGGAAGCGACCGTTGATCGAGATACCACCGAAAAAGGCGATAGTTTGGCAATCAGCGTCCGCGTCCCCCATTGTGTCAAGGCCAATCCACCAGAACCAGCAAGCATAGCCTGCGACGCCGGAGTATAGCAGAACACGAAATAAACCGCTCAGCCGACCGATAGGGTTCAGGCCGCTGCCTGATACGCTCGAAAGAGCACCGAAGATAAGCCAGATCGTAATAACCGGCTCTATCGGGTGTATTTCACCATCGGCAGTGAGGAGCACCATACCGATAAAAATAGCTGTTTGAATGAGAAGGTTGAAGATGCGGAGGACGTCTTCCTGAGCAGGTGTAAAAGGGTCGCGAGAAGGGTCGAGATCCATTGCATGTAGAATCCTACACGGATGCCTAAGCCATAGAGGTCGTTATTCCCCTCAAATGAACAGACTGGAAGCGTGTTCGCCATCTTCTCCCACGCGTTATAGGTCACGCAAAATATGCGCTTTGAATTGTCGTAGAAGTCATCGACTGACGCTCATGTTTGATATCAGTTGGATATTTTGTCTATGAGCAGGAGAGCAGCCTAACATCTAACGATTCACGATGAGATGCCGAGGTATATATTCGAAAATTCGCCCCATCTTTCTCTTCGCGATCTCTTTACTCGCTACCAATATATTATTAAGGGAACCCCTTTTTTCTTCTTCAACTTTCAGCTTAAGATACGCTATTGACAGCCCATTGTTCTCAGCCCCAGTCTGCGCCCCACAACCAAACATGGCGAGAGGAGTGAAAACCCTTGAGCCACGCTTTTACCCCTGCCAATTTACTAGCGCCATGCATAGTGCATTACGCTTGGACCATGAGGCACATTGAAGAGGGCAATCTTGATGAGGGAGGGTGGAGTATGTTGAAATTTGTCCATCGACCCAAGATAAAATGTCTTTAGAAGAGCGATTGAAGCTTGAGGGAGTGTTAAATCTTGTGGCCTGTGTATGAAGCAGTAGAAACAGCAAAAATCGACCACAATTATGGCAAACGATGACTGCCCCGGCTTCGAGGGCCAGTCTGACCTCTATGGACTTGGGGTCCGCATTAGCCTCTATGTGCAGCTTGCCACCATGCTCTCGATCCCCATGCTTGGCCTTCCACGATATAACAGCTTCTTCGTGCGCTCTAGTTTTTCCTCTTTGTCGCGACCTGGATCGTCATTGTACAGCAATCCGCAATATCCAGGATGCGCGGCTCGGAGATCTACTTCTTTTCATGGCTCACCCTGTCGCAGGCCGTGGCAATCGTGTTCCTCCAGTTCAACACGTTTTCTTCTGTGGCGGAAATGCGCAAGATGTTAGATGGCAACAGGATGCTCAAAATCAACGCTTGCTTCTTGATTATCCTGGCACTTGTCGCTTGCTACTATACGTGGTTTTTCTGGAAGGGGTTAGACATCCTCCCCGGATCGGAATGTGGTCGTGACTACGCTTTCTTTTTCTCGAAAGCTAGCATTTATGGCTGGCTGCGCACTTTACAAAAGGTAGTCTGGGGTATCCTAATGGCTACCTCAGGGATTTGTAGGTCTACTGTTAACCATCCCGTCAATGTGCCTAACATTAACCCGATATGCCTAGGCCTACTCTTCTTACCATGCATCTACCTGATGGGACGACAGGCCTCCAGCATGTTTGAGGACATGTCTGACATGGAGGACCATGAGGTCGGCCATGTTTTCGGGGATATGATTCATCAGATGCGTTTCCAGGTCTCTGTCCCCTTTCTTATCACGGCTATCTTCGCCACAAGCTTTGTTACACTCTCTGCGGAGCTCCCCATTCACTGGAACGGTATCACTGGGGTCCAGAGCATGAAGCCTGTCGGCCAGTTGGTGCCGTTCGTGGTTGCGATCGGACTGTCGGTCAATGTCTTCTACCAAGTTGTAAAACGGTACCTCTTCGGCGATGATGGCGGCGGCAGTGACTGTGATAACGACTCAGATGATGGCGATGGTGGTAAGCCTTTCCCACCAGAATCTACCATTAGAAAGTGTTGTGACGACGCTAACTACTCGAATAGTGCAATGCCCCCAGCTCTCTCAGTTAGATGATCAATACGGGATACCACTCTAGAAGTGTAACTCTAAGCCGTAGTTCAAAGGTCTAGAGTGATCAGGTTGCGGAACACTAGTACTAGTATTCTTTGATACTTAGAGGAGTCGTCGTAAGAATAATAGCTATTTGGGGGTGATGCCGTTCATCGGGATAGAGGCGTCGAGAGCAAATTTATCGATTCACTAAAGGCTTAATTGATAGGAGGCGGCAATTATCTTGTCATTCTGAAGAAAGGAAAGGAGTGATCCATTAAATACATTATAGCCGTAGTCCTCAATCTGATAAATATCATACTATAAACACTAAAAGTCATGTTGATTATATACCGAATTTTCCTCGTGATAAAAATATGTATCAAACCTATAACCCCGAAGTAATGAGCCACACAAAGGCTTAGTCTCCCAACTATAGCCATCTAGCTATCAATTTCAATAGTAAGACCGCTTCCGCGGGCGCTGTTCCAGCCGATATTGGTGCCGGGACGTGCAACAAGCTCAAAGCTGTACTCGCCCAGTGCACAGGGGAACTCGGGTGCCGATCCCATCACAGGAAGCGTTGTGTCCCCGCTCATATCCACGCCCTCCCAGGCTGCCTGCTGCCCCTTGGTAGGTGTAAGCACACCAATATGAGTGGTGCGAGGGATTCTGTTTCCCCAACTGTACTTGTCATTGAGGCACGAGGCGAGGCGGTAGACATCAAACACAACGGGCTGATTCTGGGGGCCGACGATCCAGTCATCCTGAGAGAGGCGGAATGCGAGTCGGCAGGTCTTGCCGACGATCGCGGGGTCGACAAAGGGAAAGTAAACTGCCGTGACGACTTGCTCGTTAGGAGCGTTAAGGATATGACCGGTCGGGGTGTTGCCGGCAAAAGTGCTGGGCTCCTTCGATTTCCACCGGACTTGGAGTGTGGGGCGGATGATTTGGGCGGCGGTCTTAGGAGCTGGGAGGTGGTATCTCCCCGAGCCGTAATAGCGCTGGCTGCTGCGGCGGGCGCGGCAGTGACGACGGTGAGTATAGATAAGATTTGGGTGAATAGAAAGAACCTCATTGTGGAGATAGGTGGATTAAATTCTTGAAATAGGAAGCCGGAGGGTTGAAATAATGAGATCGTGAAGTGTGACAAGCGGTGAGTTACAAAACGTTGGCGATGGTGCTGGTTAGAGGCGCAAGTATGCGGTTTCTTATGGTGATAAAGAGACCGGAATCCCCCATTCGAAGTGGTCCCCGGCCCATACTTATACTTAATTCCATCAGATTAACCTCGAGGATGTGTTCGCAACTCTGCTCTAATATCATTCATTCTCCGGGGCTTTGCATCAGCACAAAAGGGAGTCACAGAATAGGCCGAGGCGCAGACTCCCAACCTTAAACCTTAAAGCTCATATTTTGCCCGAAAGGTTCGAAACCAGAGCCCCCGGCGACATCGAGCCTGGATGTGATTGGGTTAGCCACAGCGCCTGCATCGCCTTGCTCCCTGGCAAGGGAGGTATGGTGGTGGCGCGAGTTGTGCAAACCAATGTCTCTAATTTTAGATGGTCCACCCTAGGCCTGTTTCGAGCATATTGTTCGAGGTGTCGAGGAGGAGGGCCTCCCGCAGAGCACGAGTGACGGCGAGCAAGTATTATAGCACTGCAAGGTCACCGAAGGGAGGGAAAAGCACACAACGAGATTAATAAGCTTCATTTCTAAGGTTAGGTTAGGAATTATAAGTAAATTAGCTTCCTTTTCCCGATCATGTCAATCACTGCCTTAGATCCGATGGCGTATCATCTTGGTTCGCCCAGTGCGCCTGTTCCACAGCATTATCCTTGCTCAGCTCCTCGTATATTCTCTTAGTAACGGGATATGCATCCATATCAACCCCCACCTCACAGCTCCCCAAACCGCGGGGACTAAGCACACATCGGCCAGGGTGATAGAGTCTCCAACGGAAAACTTGCCCGCGGTCTCCTCTACCACGCGTTCGTAGACTTTGAGCCCACGCTCCTGGAGCTCCTTACTCCAAACCTCCTTCGGTGCTCCGAGGCCAGATACTCGCTGTAGGATACGCAGGTTGGTGACAGGTTGGGTGTCGACGGCAATGATGTTCACTAGCGTGCGCACGGAGGCACGTCCCTCAGGGTCGGAAGGAGGAGGTAGTAGCGGTCGTTGTTTAGGGAACACGTCTTCAAGGTACTCAAGAATGGCGATGGACTGAGTAATAAAAACCTCTTTGCCGCTAGGTTTTATGATTTTCAGGGTCGGGACAGAGAAAGATGGATTGATCTTTCCGTATGACTCGGCGGATTGGTCCCCTTTGAGGAGATTAATGAAAATAGGTGTGTACGGGATGTTTTTCAAGTTCATCGCAATCCGGATCCGGCCCGAACACGAAGACCTAAAGTAGGTATAAAGGGCGTACTCATCAGCATTTGATGCCATGTTTGCTGCGTGTCTATGGACGGTGCTCCCTTCGGGCATACGCCGTGAAACTATGCTCGGACGTGGAAAGCCTATATAGTTTATGAAGGCTAATCCGCGTTCAATGTGCCGGTGTTATCCGATGCGGGGTGCGTACGGACAAGTGGGTAGCTTCGCCTTTTCGGGATTGGCACACACTATAAACTTGCTCCCTCATCGCTACATGTAGGGAACCAAATTCTCGGAATGGATACGAAGATTGGACCTCGAAAAGCGTCTGTTCCGTGGGCTCAATTCCGCAGAATAATTCCGTGTGGATTCCGCCCCCGAACTTCTTAGAGGATTATTAGATGTGATGTCAAGGACTGCACATAATAATCCTCTATGACCCCATCTACTGACTGGTTTAGCTTGAGGATGATGCTTAGCACGCGGAGATTTGGTACGGACGCGAATTAGAGTATGGCTTGTAACTTAACATCTGCTTATTAAGTTCCATGATTTTTACTTTGCTATAGAGTATAGGTTTCATTGATATAAGAAAGTCTTCTCCATCTATTCAAATTTACACATCTCCCACACTTTATCGCATGATCAAAGATGATTTGTCCTCTCTTCCGCCGCTGCAATCCACTTCCTTAGCATGGGCTCATCCCGCGCCTTGAGGCTAATTTTGAAGGGCTTAGGATCCGTCGTTAGTGCCGTGGGGACGCTGTTGCACTCGATGGCATCGATGACGGGGCGGTCTCGGGGCTCGGTGGCTTGGGCGATCCGGAAAGCGGTGATGAGGCGGACATAAGCGGTAAAGAGCTCGCGGTTAGCTAAGTGAGAGCCGGCACACATGCGCGAGCCGGCACCGTAGGCGTAGTGGGGGTACCGCCCTCCGGATCATCGAGGAAGCGCTCGGGTTGGAATTCAGACGGAGAGGCGAAACGTTTATCATCGTAGTCGGCAGCCCAAGCGTTCTATGGTAGGGGATTAGTATACTGTCTTATCAAACAGGAGCCGTGAAAGGAGAAAAAGAATGAGGGTAATAACATGGGGGATATACGTACCATGAAGAAGGTGGTACCCGCCGGTATAACGGCTCCATTATATTCGATTTCCTTGATGCTGGTACGGGGAGACAGATGGGAATGACGGTCCAGAAGCGCAGAGTCTCCTTGACGAGCGCGGTGACGTAGGGGACCTTTTCTTCCTCAAGACATTTTTCCCAGGCGTCGCCATTAGGGTAAACTTCTTGGATCTGCTGAAGAGCCTTCTCCTGAATCTCTTGGCCGTGGTCAGTCGAAAGGTAGGCGAGACCCATGATAAGGTTTCCGGGGACCGTGTCGAGACCAGCAGAGACCATTGTGAGGCAAATAGATTTCAATTCAGCTGCGTGCAAGGATGGTTAGTAAGGAAAAAAAAAAAAGAAACAAGAGTATAGAAGAGAAGGAAGGCCTGATGCTGATTAGCTAGGATAAGGGGGCAGTGGGCATCTTTTACCTTCATTTAGCTTCGCATCTGGGTCCTTCAGGATATTGCCCGTGATGCAAGGCTTATCGGTGCCCTTGGCAATACGGTCCTTCAGGTCAGCCAACATGTCGGACAAGTACTTATCGCGACGGTCACGGAATTCCTTGGCTTTCGGGTTCTGCGCACCCCATAGCCTCAGTAGTGGGACGTAATCCTGCCAGTTGTTGCTGGTGGAGCGGAAATTTGAGATTTCACGCTCGACCATGGTGATCTCCTTAAGGAGAGCGCTGTCGACATTGCCGCTAATGCGGAAGCCGTAGTTGAGGGTGAGGGAAGTGTTGAGCGCGAAGCGGGCAAAGTAGGGGTCGGGTCGAGGTCCTGAGTGCCACGGCGGGAATCCTCAAGGAGCTCCTTGATGCTAGCAGTGGACTCGAGATCGAGAATGGGCATGTAAGACTGGACGGCGGGGCGGTTGAGGGCGGTGCCCGCGGCCTTGCGCCGCTTCTTACACGACTCATCCCAGGGCGAGGTGCCGATGGTGAAGCCCTGGGAGGTGGAAACGACGGAGTGGAAGGTATGGAACATTGGGCGAGAGATGAGGGCGGACTGGTTCTTGATCCAGAAGTAGCGCACAGCATCATACGAGTTGACGAAGATAACCCTCTGTTTTCAGACGGTGAGTATCGTGAGCAGTGATAATTGGGTAGATGTGGTGACGCTGGTACGTCGGGATAAGTCCTACCTTCGTTCCCAGCCGAGTCTGGAACACGGGGCCGTACTTCTTCGCCCATTTTGCGGCAACGCGAGCGTGGTCAGTACCTAGCTGGAAGAGATTACCGAAAATCGGGATACCGGGAATCGTGGGCAGATTCTTGATCTCAGGAATATCCGTTTGGTACGCGAATTTATAAAGCAGGAATGCTACCGCCAGGGCAGCGACTCCTACAAGTTGGTACGTCATTGTGTGTAGGGGATGAGGACTAAGGAAGAAAAAGAATGCAGATGTATGCCGCGGTGAGGATGGGAGAGAGCTAAGCTGCGAATTCATAAGATTCCTTTGAGCTACCTAGGCATTCTCTTATATTTTACCACTTCCAGTCAGCAGGAATTAGACCCCGCTACAAAGAGAAAGCCGGAATAAACAAGCAGCAGACGAACGAAATCGGCTACTCCTTAAGCCTGTCAGACCGAGCTGACATTAGGATCGCTCTCATTGCTCCATTGTCCTGGCTGGGGAAGACAAAGAGTCTGGGGTCCCCGCACGAGCCGTTGGTACCCTTGATTGGCATCTGAGAAGAGACAATGCTTGGTTGATTTGGTGACGACCACATTCTCCACACTTGGCTCCGGTGCGGGGTAGTAATTCCGATTCCGATTCCGTGACCGAAAAAGGGCTAGGCCAAGACATGGATTTTGTTGGGGACAAGTTCCGAGTTCTACATATTGATTTCGGATCAAAATGGAGTCAATATTAAATAACGGAATTGGTGACTATGTCCCACTTAATACGTCCAAGAGTATAAGAACTGCACCGGAGGTAACGCGGTGCACTGTTTCCCAAGCTCAGTACCGGTAGCTGGGATATTGAAGCCACGCTATATCATAGAGAGGAACCACCCATCAACATGCCGCCCACACAGTTCACAGTAGAGGAAAAGTACACCTACCTTAATGGGTTAGGATCCTATCATGAGTAGGTCAAGTCCTCTTTGAAGATGCCACAGTAGTCCCGATATCAGTTGTCTACCCCGGGGTTGTTGGTCGTCATGTCAGGAATAACATCGCCGCAGGACGGAGGCTGTCAAGGGCGCCCTGCCAGTCGGCCAGAATTCGCCGCAAAAGGTCGCACATGGGCTCTACGCAGAAAAGTTATCAGGCACGGCCTTCACAGCGCCTCGCCACGAAAACTTGCAAACCTGGATGTATCGCATAGTGCCATCAGTCACGCACAGAGCTTTCCAGACGTCTAAGATAGAGCTGGCTGGATACCCATCTAATGGGAAGCCAGAGTACATCCAGGTGCCTAACCAGTTGCGGTGGCGGCCCTTTGAAACGAACGGGGACGTTGATTTTATTTCCGGACTAAGGCTGGTAGCTGGCGCAGGAGACGCAACCGTCAAGACGGGTCTGGCCATTTACATATACGGCGCGGGAAAAGATATGGCGAAGAAACAGGCGTTTTACTCGGCGGATGGCGACTTTTTGATCGTGGCCCAGATGGGGACGCTTGATATCCAGACCGAATTCGGGCGCCTATTAGTCCGCCAGGGGGAGATTGCCGTGATCCCACGGGGCATCCGGTACCGCGTGGAACTGCCCGAGGGCGCCAGCCGCGGCTACGTTCTCGAGCTATTCCAGGGCCACTTCCAGCTCCCTGAATTAGGGCCCATCGGGTCAAACGGCCTAGCTAACGTGCGTGACTTCCAGGTCCCTGTGGCGGCCTATGAAGACGACCAGTCAGACTGGACGATCACAGTCAAATTTGGCGGACGCCTCTTCGACGCAGCACAGGATCATGGGCCTTTTGACGTGGTGGGGTGGCATGGAAACTACTACCCGTATAAATACGACCTTGGCAGGTTCAACACCATCGGTAGCATCAGTTATGACCACCCGGACCCTAGCATCTTCACCGTACTTACGGCGCCTAGCCCGGTAACCGGAACAGCTGTGGCAGACTTTGTCATCTTTCCCCGCGATGGCTCGTAGCAGAGGATACCTTCCGGCCGCCGTGGTACCACCGCAACACCATGTCCGAGTTCATGGGTCTCATCTCAGGCGACTACGATGCCAAGGCCGGCGGCGAGGACGGGTTCCAGCCGGGAGGGGCCTCGCTGCACAACGTCATGGCGGCGCATGGCCCGGACGCTAGCACGTTCGATAAGGCGAGCAGCGCGGAGTTGGCGCCGCAGAAGGTTGGGGCGGGAAGCATGGCGTTCATGTTTGAGAGCTCGCTCATGTTGGGCGTCACGGATTGGTCGTTGGTTAGGTGTCAGAAAGTACAGGAGGAGTATGTGGAGCATAGCTGGGGGAATTTGCAGAGGAGATTCAAGGGACTGGTGAAGGAGTAGGGTGAGGGTCGGATTAGGCGGCGTTAGTGAAATTTATACCTGGCCTAGAAGTAAAACAGAGATAAGGGGAGGATGAAACGAAAATTTTGTCCAGAGTGTGGCCTCTTCTTAGTTATAGATATTTCTTTCCGTGTCGTTTCAAAATACTTGAAACGCCTCCAGCTAATGTTCTCAAGATTATATCTAATAAAGCCTGGCTGTAAATTATTATTGCATTTCCCGCAATCCCCGAACCCCTCCCCCAACTTTCCCCTATAAGCAACTCCACATTTCACCCCGGCATATGCGACGGTTCCTCACAATTTACTGATACCGAGCCAGTCAGGAAGCGGGCTTAGTCATGCTTGATGGCACCTAAAGTTCTTTGACTCTTCGACCAGTGACGAGTACCGATTCCCACTCCAAACTCAAATTCCAGGCGTCGAACCCTAGCTGGTCCTTCACGCCTTGAACTTGAAATTTACAGCTTTTACTTATCGTGGCGTCGAGTTCCGATAGACTATTGATGGCTACTACATCTGTCTTGATGCTCTCCGGCGTCCGTAAGAAGAGGGACCCTTACACGCCGGTTGCGTGGTACGCCTTCTCCCCTGGTCGTTGGTCTCTTGATGCTTTTCCGCCCCTCATTCCCATCCGCTGGTGCGGTGCATTAACCGAATCACTGCCGCCACGCTAGGCGTTGCCCTCAATATTGCCCGCTTGCTGTCTCTCAATTGATCCTATCTATAGAATCACTTATGTGAATATCCTAACTCTTGGATTATCTCTAGCTCCACCTGCAAACGCCGAAAAATTAAATGCACTGGCAAGAGGCCATGCGCGGCCTGCGTCGCCAGCGAGTCCGAATGTACCTATGAACGCTACTCGCGGTTCCGTCCAAGGCTGTCAGTTTTGTCGCGCCTGCTTCCAATTCTCCCTTCGTCTACTTGGGCATGCTCTTGCTCACCTCTGCCGACCTCTGAGCATGGCCGATTGTCCCGTCTTAGTATTTCGTGCGAGTCCGCCGCTAATGTAACGAAATTAGACAATCGCAGGTCACCGACTCCCAAGGCAGTCCCATCCCCGCCATCGAAGCTCCGACCTCCACCAGCGCCGCCAGCACCACCACCGACGCCGCGGAGGTCGGCGCTGCGAAAGAAACCAATACGTCACCCTCCGCCAGCCGCGGCTCGGGCTACACACCACCCGGAAGCTCCGACTTCTTTCTCAATCTCGCCGAAGAGCTGCACGTTGGATCAGAGCCCCTCCATATCCAGGGACGGCCGCAGTCGCGGCAGAATTCGATCAGCTTCACGCAGCTGGTACGGCAAGCCCATGAGTGGCGACTTAATAATAGTAGTGGCAGTCTCGTTCGCTTCGTGGGGCTACAGTCGTGGCTCCATGTGCTTCACGTGTATGAGGAGGAGATTGGCCTACAGAACCCCTTTATAGACCTGGGTAGTCTTAGAGAAGACGTAAAAGCGACTTGCCAAGAACTAGCACCAGAGCCTGGTCCTTTAGAAGGTGGCGGGGAACACGTCTTGATACTTATCCTTGCTCTAGTGGCTGTTCTCGAAAGCCTAGACGTTAGCCAGCTCACGGATTCCTTTACGCAAAAGTCGAGACAATACGCCGCTTCTAAGTCACATGGGGAGGTTGTTAAGGAGAACACAATTCAGTTACTCGTGCTGATAGTAAGACAAGTCCTTTAGTCCCCTAACCTGACCCGACGATTGGCGAACGGTTACTAATCTCTTTTTCCTTGCTTTGCAGAGTATCTACAACTTCCTAACCGATAGAGAGAATTTAGCTTGGCGGTGTATTGGTAGCGCCCTCCGGGTACTCCAAGAACTTGGTTACCACAGCTCGAAATCTTTTCACCGATTCAATTCCCTGAAGGAACGAAATCAGGCAGAAAATTTGTTCTGGGTCGTCTATATACTAGACCGCCGATGGAGTTTCGGTACTGGCCTGCCCTTCGCCATATCCGAGTCTGACATCGACCACGATATCGAGACAGGTGTAAGTATATCTATATATCTTAAGCCATAGACTATAATAGCTGTAGATCACCAAACTACCTCGCTGCAGTTGCTAATATCTATATATGATATAGGACGAGTCCCTCTCCTCCGCATATGTCCGGTCCATGGTGGCGTACTGCCGTATAGCGACCGAATGCCGATCCTCCATCCTTGGCCAAGGCTCGTCGCGGACGGCACGCGATTTCTCCGACTTTCGAGTCGTCGAATGGCGCCGTAATCAACCCCCTTCCTCCAGTTCGAGAGTGGCCGTGCCGAGTTTGATTCAGTTAAGGAATCTCGCAGCCGCTACCGCCTGCGACTCCTGTTATACCTGCGTGCTAACCAAATGCGCACTGTGATTCGCCGACACTCGGCGTTCCGGTCCGGTCAGGCGGAGCTTGATCCTTCCAGCCTGCAGACGGCTCTTGATGTTGCTTGCGATACTATTCGCGTCCTCGTGACCGTTGTGCGCACCTCGGACGTATACCAAGCGCAGCAAAAGACTTTTAACCACTTTCTTGAGTCTGCACTCTCCTCCTTGCTGCTTTTTGCCGGCCGGCATCGGGGTACGGTCGGGGCACCTTACCGCCACGTTGAGGAGCTACACATGGCTATGGCACTCGTGCGGGGTTTATCCGATAAGTCCTGGATGATGCGCAAACTCTGTGATAAGCTCGAGCGCTTAAAAGTTGTCCAAGCTGCCCTCAAGTCCCGTGAGGGAGCACTTAGCGGCTCACTGAAAGTAAATGCTGATAATTATCTTGGTGGTGAACAGAGGTATGGGCAAGATGACGGCGGTGATAAGCCATCACCGAATGAGGGCCTATCGCCAGTTTCGAGCAGCAGTGGTCAAGGGAACACCGAACTTCGACGAGCAGAACAAAACGACGATGATATTAACCACTTAGATATAGGCGCCGCGACGCCCTCATCCACGGCGATCGCCATACCACCCCCACGTCCAAGAGGCCTGTTTTCCACACGCGATGGTGGGATGAACCTTGAGCCGTGTCCCCCGGACGCGGCGTTTTTGATGGGTTCGCCCCCGGTTGGAGAGCCCCAAATGCTTCACACGGTTCCCACAAGGGGCCAGATAGAGGGCACTGACAATAACTTTCCATTTATATTCTTTGAGGACATGCAGAATTTTTTGACGTTCAAGATAATATATTTGCGTTTTAGTTCCTAGCGTTTTCAATAAACAATATATATTAACAGAAGGGTTATTCTTCAAAGATTAAGGAATACTTCTCGTGAATGAATATACTATCCCTGTACTAAGACTCTTATAACATACTCGTTTAATTTGTCAAAGAAGCCCATCTTCGTCCTCGGAGAGGCCGAGTCGCCACCGGCAGCCTGGTAAATGACTGGCAGTCATGACCGACCTCAGCTTGCGTACCGTCGAGGTACTGGGCCTGTCCTCGCTCCTCCCGTGCAGGGCTCAGTCGTGATTCCGGAAATGGTGACTAGAGCCAATAGGATCGAGCGTAATTCCGAACGCTCGGGTTAAGACCAGGGCTTCCCGCAATGTACCCCGGGAAAAGGAAGCGGGGAGTTGAAGGCTAACTTAGTTGGGAAAACTTGGTCTTGGTTGATCTAGCGGCGCCACTTTGGATGGCTTCTTGCTAGGCCTCGCTGGAGAGTAATTGTCGGCCTCTAGATAAAGTACCTGGTTGAGGAGCCAAGAATGGAGGATTCCGCATTCCGACCAGGAGGCCTAGGCTTGCTACCCCATGTCAACTTATGCTTCACCCCCAAAAATCACACGCATACCTTAGCTGACCACTTCGGCCTTTTGATATATAAATTCGCTCGGCCACTCTCTGTCGGTGATCATGTTCCACCGGCCTCATTCGAGTCCTCTAGTCGTTTCTTGAGTTTGACAAGCCCAAACCGTCTTCCCATCCTCATTTGTAATACTACACGTTATTGAGGGAGACTCACCATGTCAATCCGACGGAATAATCAGACGACGGCCTCTAGGGGTTCCGAATCTGAGAATGAGAAGACGTTTGATAGTGAACGTGGCGAGGTGACGCATACTGAGGGTGGCTTCGTCGCCGCAGGGAGGTAAGTCTAACCACGTCCGACGATGGCGGCCTTCATAAAGAAATTGGCACCGCTGACCACGTTAACCCCCATAGTTCCTCTATAGTGCAGTTAGACAAGGCAGCAGAGAAGCGCCTGTTATGGAAGATTGACCTCATGGTCATCCCCACCGTCGCACTCATATACCTGTTCTGCTTTATCGACCGAGCTAACATTGGTAATGCTCGTCTGGCCGGTCTCGAGAAAGACCTCAATATGACGGGCACCTACGACTATAATCAACTTCTCTCTATCTTTTATATTAGCTATATTCTCTTCGAGATTCCGTCTAACATTGCCTGCAAGTGGATGGGCCCTGGCTGGTTCTTGCCCATCCTAGCCCTGGGCTTTGGTTGTGCATCGATCGGCACGGCGTTTGTCAAAGATATGCCTCAGGCCTGTGGCGTTCGATTTGTCCTAGGTGTCTTTGAAAGCGGCATGATGCCAGGAACCTCGTACTATCTGTCGCGATGGTATAAGCGATCTGAGCTAGGTTCGTATAGACTACCCTATACTACCCCGAACTTGCTTTATCTATCATTCCAATACTTGCAACCTTTACATAGCCGTCTTATCGAGCCGTGCGCATTCTAATTGTTGAATAATATGCAGCTTTCCGCCTTTCTTTATACGTTGTTATGGTGCCCCTTGCCGGGGCGTTTGGTGGTTTCCTCGCGTCGGCGATCCTAAAGCTTCCTAAGTTTGGTAGCCTCACGGAATGGCGAATGATATTCGCTATCGAAGGAATCGTGACTGTCGTTATCGCACTAGTTGCTTTCGTCACCTTGACTGACCGGCCAGAGACGGCCCGCTGGCTTACAAAAGAAGAAAAGGACTTTGCCATCGCCCGTGTACGAGCGGAGCGTGTGGGCCAGTCCGAACTCATTGACAAGTACGATCACAAAAGGCATGGTTAGGCATTTGGAACCCTGTCGTGCTTGCTACATCGTGGCTCTTCTTACTCTGCAACATCACCGTCCAGGGTCTGGCTTTTTTCTACCTACTATTGTCGGCAGCATCTACCCGTCGCACACCGTTGTCCAAAAACAGCTTGCCACAGTTCCCCTTATATAGTCGGTGCATTCTTCACCCTGCTTCTTCCTGCCCTCAGCTGGAAGACGGATAAGCGCCAGATATTCATCATTTTGTCCGCCCCGTTGGTCATGACGGGCTTCCTGATGTTCCTTGCCTCCTCGGACGGCAAGGTGCGTTACGCGGCTACCTTTCTCATCGCTTCTAGCACTTTCGCGATGGGGCCCCTAACCAACGCCCAGGCCTCCGCACAGGTCATATCTGACACCTCGCGCAGCATGTCGCTCGCCACCAATATGATGTTTGGTAACGTGGGCGGGCTAATCTCGACATGGTCGTATATCAAGTGGGATGCTCCGGATTATAAGATTGGTAACGGTTTAAACCTGGGAGCTGCAAGCGGAATTCTCATCTGTGGTATACTGACGCAGGTATGGATGACTTGGGATAACAAGCGACGAGAAAAGCGGGATGTTGAGCGCGAGTTGGAGGGTCTATCGCCGGGTGAGATCGAGAACCTTGAATGGAAGCATCCTGCCTGGCGTTGGGCGCCATAAGCGACAATTAGTCTCTTAAGTAGGTTAAGTGGTGTAATGAGATATCTATATAAAGTAGTCCCTGTAATATTGAATACAATCCCCGCATCTAAGTTCCTCTGTCTCTCTCTCGCAGTATAGTAGATACTAAACCTGTCTTAGCCGATATGTTGTTGGTAGACTAGCATAGATGATATATGTGGTTTCCGAGGCTGGTGCTGTCGCTCACATACTATGACTCTATACCGTTCAATGGTGCTGACTAGTGATAAGTCACATAGCGATCGGCTATGAAACGAGTAGTAACTACAGTTAACCCATGCTCTACTTATTCTATGAGACTATAAGTGTACGTTGTTTCCTATAGCAGTAGAAGGCAAGATCATTGAGCATAAAATGTACGTGTAGAGCTGCGGGTGTACTTGAACTCTTTGATAGCCTAGTAGCCTGTTGCTGAAGAGCGGTATCACGGCGGTTAGGGCAAACACACGTATAAATTGGATTCAGGACCTTATTCCATTGTCGCTAGGTCTATTTCGCATGAGGGAATGTAATATAGAAGCCTTAGCGTACAGCCAGGTGATCTCTCAGAAACGGAAGCGACCTGGAAAATATAAAGGGCACGATTCGCTTCCTTTTGGCCACTCCTTCCCTAAAACTAGCATTTGGAGGTTATCACGCTATAGTCACCCATCTCTATGCTGATTACTTCCAGATACTCGACTTGTCTTTTTCTATTGGTCTCGTGGTTGCTAAGGCTGTCTATTGTCATGTAAGGATGGATATATTGTTGCCAGTGTGAAAAAGAGATTACGTGGCGCAGTGAATAGAAGAATATATGAAGCTATCTACAGCGCGAGGGCTAGTTATTCTACATACAATTTATTACTCTCTTGGAGGATGGATTTTACCCACGCATTCTCCGAAACCAACCTTGCGGCCCGGCGGTCCAGTAGAACCTCGAATGGTGATAGTGTCGCCATCTAGGATAAATTTGCGAACTTCGCCGCCATTTAGGTAATTTCGCTCTTTCCACCGCCGCTTAGCTCTAATAGACTTCCCTTCTGGTTTGCTTCTGTCCCGCTAATAGTACCGGAGCCGAGGAGATCGCCTGTCCGGAGGGGGCATCCCCCAAGTGTGTGGTGCGCGATCATCTGGGGAAAGGACCATAGGAGGTTTCTCGAAGTTGTTTTGGCTATCATCGTAGAGTGGCCCTCAGAAGCTATGAAATGTTAGAGAAATAATATTTTAGTTAGAGAAAGGCCCGGGATGGATCGGCTGGCTTACTTGTCAATTCTACTTCAAGCTCAAGGTCGACCACATTCTCAGCCCTTGACTCTTTTAAATAGTTCTGAATCACCGTCTTGTTCTCAATGCCCTTTGCCATAAAAGGCTCCAGGGCATCTGCGAGTACGATCCACGGGCTGATAGTGCTGGCAAAGTTCTTAGCGTTAAACGGACCAAGAGGCACGTACTCCCACGCCTGAATGTCACGTGCGCTCCAATCATTGAGGAGAACATAGCCAAATATGTGGCTCTCGGCGTCGTCGATCTTGATACGTGATCCTAGCTCGTTCCCCGTGGCCATGATGACGCCCAGTTCCAGCTCCATGTCGAGTCTCCGAGCGGCGGCTGTGGTTGGCTCCTTCTGTTCCGCACTCGGATCTAAGAGTATCTGACCAATAGGCCGATAAACCGGCGTATTGGAGACGATAACGCTTGATGAGCGGCTATGATAGGCGACAGGGAGGTGCGTGTAGTTAGGCTGGAGCGCGTTGGCAGGCCCGCGGAATAGGCAACCGACCATGAACGCATGGTTATATCCGGCGTAAAAGTCGGTATAGTCACCAATGCTCACTGGTAGGTGGTTGTGTACCGTGCTGCGGTGTAGAAGGGCTGCGTTACGCAGGTCCGGGTCATCGCGGAGGGCCGCAGGATTCTGTGTTTCCGATGAGAGGAGGTCCTGGAGAGCGCTGCGCACCTGGCTATGGATTTGTCTGCCGAGCGCAGCGAATGAGTTAAGAGTAGGCTCGTGAAAGACTGTAGGGGAGTCCTTGAGCATCGGGAAAATTTGGCCAAAATGCGCCGACTGTGATAACCGTTTCAAGTCTAACACATGGTCGCCGATCGCAACGGCCGCTCTCCGGGTATCATCATGACGAGAGCTGATAATCCCAAAGGGAATGTTTGCAATTGAGAACGGAGTCTCCTGTGTAGTATCGGGAACCCAGGTATTTGACATTTTGTTTTTTAGAGAAGGAATTTTTAGTGAGATCGTCTCGAGGTATGAATTTGGAGTAAGGGGTTAGAATTCAAAGATTTATGGTTAAAATGGTGCCAGCAAGTACCTGACCTTTCATCCCCAAGGTAGTGGGGAAAAGAAGTGAGGTGAGTGCGGGGATCGGATTTGAGCCTGGAGCGGAAGGACGACGGCCTCGGAAAGCATTCCGAGTTGAAAGCCGATGGAGGCCGAGAAGCCGATTCCGTTTTAGGCCGAGCGGAAGGGGGCGGAGGATGGACCCCACCTATGACATAGCTCAATTGCGCGTAACGAGTTTGTAATCCAGTATACCGTTATAAACTAGGGCTCTAAAAACCGCTGCTATCCTTTCCTTAGTTCCACATCTAAATCAAATACCGAAGCGGAGCACTCAGTCTTCGCCTCTGCGCGTTTGTTTTTTAACTCTTTGATATGGGTAGATAGTTAGGTCTCCTCGAAATACCCACGAGGTCTACCTGCAATTAGAGGAGGCTTAGGATATGTCATATAGGAGAGGCCAAGTATACGACTTATAGCCATTACTAAGGCAGCTTTTAAGAAGCTTATAATATATCTCCTGCTATATTATATTTAGGTGCTTTGAGCTAAAGGTACCTGCTACGCCTTATCGGAATGTGATGAGTTTATAATAAGTTACCTATTATTATAGTTACTAGGGGAGTGAACGTGTAAACTTAGCAGTGAATCTTAATGGTAACTGTCGATTTATTAATGAAGAAGCGTCTCCTCTTTAAGTGAATCCGCCACTACTTAAGATGTAAACCTTAAGCTATAAAGTGTTAAAAGATATCTTCTCGAAATGACATACTATCTAGATGCTTCCTCAAGTCTACTCTATTAATCTCTACCTTAGTGATAACATATTATAGAATTCTACATTTTCATTACTAAGTAGGTTTATTACTATAGAAGTACTCTTTATATATTATTCTCTAGTATAAGAGAGGGATTTCTTTTAACTCTATCACTAATTTAAATATATATGTTACAACTTCGCTGGCTACACTAGCTGTCGTCAGTGAACAGGGATTCACTATAGGTGGACAGTCGCCCAGCCTGTCTACATGTCAAAGCCGTCGACTGGTTACCGATAGCTCCCAGTCGTTGCAGTCGGTTACTGTTAGTTCCTATAGCTGCTAGATGCTTAACTTGCAGACTGTCTGATTGACTGATTCCGTCAGTGTGTTGACGAACGAGAGTGCTCACTGATTGTGAGCAGTCGTGTTCACCTCAGATCACATATAGTATATGTACTATAGTATGATATTTAAGGTTGTAAAGTTTGTGTTTTTTCTAACTCCTGTATCTATCTGTTTACTGTCTTTTATGTCTGCTCGCTAGTGTGCCTGCTAGCTGCTCAGGTTGCTAGTTAGTTGTCTGCGCTGGCTGGCGTCCTTGCTTACTTGCATGCTGACAGTGTTGACAGGTGTTAGGACTTTTCTATGTGATAATATACTACTACCTTTAGCTAGTCTTTAGATATGGTAAGTATAGATCCTTTTACGTATACGGCGGACCCACGCACTATTGTCATAGGTATGATCTCTAACTAGATATTGCCACGAAGATACTCTGCTTATCAACGTAACTAGTCTAGTTCCGCCGCCTCACCTTAGGCGACTTAACCTTAGGCGATACCCGCTATAGCCGATAGAATTAGGGCTCCCGTTCTCGCGTGTAACCTTAGCATTTAGGATCCACTCGTTTTTCTATATGGGTACTATTAGATCAGATGAGGGGGACTTTGGGAAACGGGTAAAAGGAGGCGGGGTTAAACTAACGGGTTAAAGTGAACCGTGGCGGGACGAATAACATGATCGATGTAGTATTAACCCCGCGAATGCGCAATCGACTGTGAATAAGAAGGAAAGGTATAAATATCCATGGCCTACCTTCAGGCATTATCAATAAGCGGGGTCTGTAGTTAAACATGCCGATTTAGCATACTATATGGCCTAAACTTGACAGAGTTGCCGTCGTTGCTACGCTATTTGCAATCAAATCTTGTGGTCTCGCTCTGCCGCGTCTCCCGGCCGCAGTGTAGCCTACTAATGTTCGGTATTATGTAAATATATCTCCTATATCACCCCGATACCTTTAACCAGTGCTTTCGGCCGTGATCAATCTTTACTTAAGCCGGGAAACCCCTCGAGTTGTGATCCTGAGCTTTAGCATTTAGCACACTTCCGTATTCTACAAAGGGCCAGCATTCCGACGGCACTGAGACTCGGCCTATCATTTTACAACAGGAGGATTTGAGCTGCGGCTGTGACTACGTTAAGGCTAGTTGAGATGTTGGTCTCCCGTATAGCCATTCTCTTCAGCGTTATCTCCGCCCCCGCCGCGATAGCGAAGGTTATCTCAAGGAGAGCTAGCAATCTCGTTTATAACTCGCATGAAATCCGCGACGAGGAGCCCACGTTTACTCGGGACCCAGATGCACCTAAGGACTGCACTTTATGGTACGGTCATGAAGGTACCTATGATTGCGATTCAATTTCCGATACCTTCTCTATCTCAAAGGAGGAATTTATTCTCTGGGTAAGCATGCTTAAATTATAGCGTCTTACCTTGAAGTCAGCTAATGTGTTGGTCCCAGAATCCATCGTTGGGTGCGTCTTGTGAGCTGCAAGTGGGATACTCTTATTGTATCAGGGTCTTGCATTCGCCTACATCTAGTCCTGCTCCTAGCCCGTCCTCTATAGAGCCTCCTGTTTCAGAGGAGGGGGAAGATGGCGATGGTGAAGAAGACGGCGAGAATGAAGATTTACCTCCGGTCATAGACGGCGACGACAAGGATGGCGAGTCTGCGACACCAACTAATCCTGGGAACGGAATCAAGACCCCTAGTCCCACGATACCTGATATCGTAGACAACTGCGACGCCTTTTACATCATTGAAGAAGGCGACTCTTGTGTAGCGGTGGCGTCCCAGAATGGCATCACGCTCTCGGACGTCTTTGCCTGGAACCCATTTATCGACTCAGAGTGTTCGAATCTCTTGATTAGTTACAATGTCTGCGTGTCTATCGTCGGACATGAGCCCGCACCGCCAAACGGAGTCGAGACCCCGGCACCAATCCAGCCAGGCATAGTGGATGATTGTAATAAATTCCATTATGTTGAGAGCGGGGACGAATGCCAGGCGATTTCTTCGAAGTATGGTATTAGTCTTGATGATTTCGTCAAGTGGAATCCGAAGGTGGGAGGGAAAGCGTGTACCGGTCTCTGGTTACATAGCTACGTCTGCGTAGGGGTTATTTGATCGTTGCGCCTATGGTTTAGGTACGTGCTAGGGATGTAAGAGTATAGATCAATAGGGCATGGTCCCGAATATAGAAACCCTACAACTAGCTAGAGTAATATAACTAGCTAGAGTAATATAGGTACTATAGGGAGTTCCCTAGAGTGTAGATAGTAGGGGTTACTATATAACCAACTATTTATTAAATAACAGATATCCCGATCAAGGGCGGGATGTCTCTAGGCCAGGCTAGAAAGTAGACGGTAGCTAAGTTAGCCTATGAGGCGAAAATCATTCCACGCTACTAAATACTTCGTATTATATTATATACAGTCTTTACTTAGACTGGTCTAGTTACTAGACCGCATTTACCTGTTTGTTCTCTATTATCATCTAACTTTAGACCGTATATTCACCTGCTTCCCCACCTAGGGTCTATAGTTGACTATAGCTCCGCTTTATGGTCCCATTCCCTTTACTAGCCCTTCTCCTATACTTTAGGCTTTACTTATTGCTCCTACATGTTTTTACGGTCTCATTATCACGCCGTTTACAACCTATCCACTTTTTCTTTAAGATAGGTAGTTGCCTAGGCTTTCTTCTAGTGCTTTCTCTTAACATACGAAAAGGGGCCTTAATGACGATCGTAGTACTAGGCTTTAGTAGAGCGAAGCCTCTGATACTATTGATAAAGTATCACGTGCTCCCGCCCTTATCCTGTCGCTTTTAAGTTGTTCATCATCGTTACACAATTTACGTAAGTGAGAGCTAGGTTGCGCTGCATCTGCGGTTCTTGCAGCTATTTTTGACCATGAGGACTCCTAAAGTGTATTAAGGCTCGATGCTTGGTTGGCCTGCCGCATGCTGTAACCCCGCTTTGGCCAGATCCGTGTGGACGAGGTGTTTAAAATGACCATAAAATGAGAAAATGGCCTTGAAGATTTTGCGGCGAGCGCTCATACACATCCCAACTTCCGTTTTTAACTTATATGCACGGCGCATCGGCTACATCATGCTCCCAAAAGACATCCCAGAGCCCACCGATGGCGTCGCTCACGACCTTGGAGAGGTGGTCAGCGGTTCGCAACGTGGGCTACACCGTACAACGTACTTCGGGACGTTGCTCTTCAACGCCGCTGCGTTCCTCCTGCCGGCGCTACACGGAACCCTCTCGAAGCTGTGGGTCGCCAACATCGACTCATCCCTCGTGGTGACCACCGACATCTACACGTATATCGGTGTCATCGCCGAGGTTCTAAACGAGGGACTCCGCGCGCGGCTTGGGTGATTATTGGCGACAAGGCGTCGCGGTCGCTCTCCCAGCGTCTCCAGCTCACACATACTCTGATCCTGTTCCAATCCATTCTCGGGCTGATGATGAGTGTTGTTTTCGTCGCGACTGCTCCTAACTTTGCTAAGGGCTTCGTTCCCGCGGAGGTGAGCAAGGCCAGCATCGCCTACGTCCGGATCAGCGCCTTTAGTGCCTTGGCTAGCGCGGTAGAGACGTCTGTTTCTGCTGCCACAAGGGCCTTAGATAGGCCAGATGTTCCTTTGCTAATCAGCTCGGTCAAATTCGGGGTCAATATCGTCTTAGACATATTAATCATCTCCAAGGTACACGTTGGAAAGCACGAGCCCACCGTAAATATGCAGGCCGGTATCCAGCTAGCTTGCGGGCTGACCTCGGCGGGCGTGGGTCTTGTATATTTCCTATGGAGGAGCCGATCAAGGAAGCGGCGGGAAGGAGATGACGATGGAGTTGGAACATCACCGACGCTCAAGTCGCTCTACATCCTTCTCTATCCCGGAATCGCCACCTTTATCGAGTCCGCCGTTCGCAACACGTTGTACCTATGGCTGATCACCACTATTGTCGCCATGGGCCTCACGTATTCCACGGCTTGGAGCATCTTCGTCACCATCCGCTGGGGCCTTGTCATGGTTCCCGTCCTCGCTCTAGAGCAAACCTCGCTTGCCTTTACGGGCCACGCGTGGGGATCTTGGCGCCACTCCGTCGGCGTTGCCAACCTCCGTCCGAGAATGACTTTGCTACAAGCCCGTGCCGTCCTTCAGCCTGCTATCACCTCCCTCGGCATCGCGGTGGCCATCGAAATACCGCTTTGCCTCCTTTTCACGTACTTTGGAGCACGCCCATTTGCGCGCTATCTCAGCGGGTCATCCGAGGTCGCCGATATCACGGCTATGATGTGGCGCAGCGTCGACTGGTGCTACATTTTCTACGCCGCGTCGACGCAACTCGCCACAATCCTGCTCGCCACTAGGCCTAGGTGGTACCTCTGGCAGAGCCTGGTCAGCAACCTGTGCTACGTGCTTCCTTGGGCTATCGCGTGCCAAGTAGCGGACTTGAGTTCCGATAGGGCCTGGACGTATCATAAATTCGTTTTCGGAGGCAGCTTGATATTTAGTTTTGTTGATGTGCTAGTCGTGGAAGCTTTATGGTTGTGGACTCTGCTGACGGGACGTATGAGGCTAGGCACCTTTCAGGATATAACATTTCCATCTTAATAGATGACTTTTAGGGCTAAAGGTGGTGTATAGATTTACAATTTAGTTATTTAATTAGGAGCTATCTTATTATGAAACTTCTAGTCGTTTTATTATGGAAATATATCTCAGTAGAAATTGAGAGATTATATAGGACTAGAATGCTTAGGACCTATTAGTAGCTTAGTGAGGGTATATCGATCCTTTCCACTAGCTCATACCACCCTAGCCCTCCTTAGTCTGTTAGCCTATAATATATCTATACCCTACGCCTAGATCGCGTAATTCCTATATATTCTCTCTTGCGGCCTATGTGTTAGGCCGCATACGAAGGTTTGCCCTGTAAGTTTTAGCCATGCAGGAGGTACCTCAGACTAACCTCTCCCCCCTGTTCAGTCACTTACAGATCTCAGTAAATCTACTCACCAGCCACACCCCACACCTTCAATAAAAAAGATATTTCTAAAACTAAGAAGAGTTATGCTTTAAATAGGTCTAAAATCTCTGAGGTCTACCCCCTCTTCTGAGGTGCTGGTCTGCTCTTCTCTCTTGCTGGACAGCGGGTGGTAGGGATTGTGTGGGGCTATGTGACTTGTGGTGTGTCTCAAATTTCATGGGGGACCAAGTATTTTCCTCTCCTTTACCTAGGGTCTAGGACCAGACCACATATTTCCCTCCGCTCGTACTTGCGGTCTATGCGCTGGGTCGTGATCGTCCTAGTCCTATGGTTCTTGCTCTATTTGCGGGCTGTTTCCGTCCTTCTCTACCAGCTCTAGCCGCGATTGTGACCAGCTCGTAGGCATATGACAGATGTCACTAGCTAAGGATGACTTTCTCACTAAATAATAGATTGCTGGCAAGGTATATGTTCGTTGTCCTTAGACACCGCCCACTAATTCCCGATGTTTGTTAGAGTCTCAGTGATAGCATCTCGAAATGTTAAGTGTTCGTTCTAAGAATTCGCCGGAGGCACCCGATTAGGCAATTCTGGAAATTTGGAGTGAGAGATGATAAAGTAAAGAGTGAAGGATAGCGATACTAACGCTCCTCGCTGTTAGTTAATATCACGCTCGAGAATTTATACCTCTTAATTTAACTACAGTGCGGGTCTACAAAGGTAGTTTCAGCCTCTTTATATTTATACACCGACAACGTTCATGCCCTCCCCTATTTCCTCAAGGCACGGCATCTGACTTCGATAAGGAACCAGACCGAGCCTCTTCGTGATCGTAACCAGTTCTATCTTCCACGATTATACCTCTAAGAGAATGAATCCAGTTCGAGAATATAAAAACATGGCCGCCATTCGGCCACTGCCTGGTGGCCCCAGTCCTCCCCTCACCACTACGACGAGGACCACGGTACCATACGGCCAGACCATCTGGATGATGCAGACTTCGGGCTTTCACTGCTGGAATTTCCTTGTCCTACGCGCCACCTCATATGGCGGCGATCATGACAAGCTTTGGGAGGAGTTCTTATCGAGCATGCGCTCAACCACTGAGGGTATACTTCTACAGAAGCCTATCGGAATGCCAAAGGATGAAGTAACGCCAGCGCTGTTGATGCCGCTCCTACGGTGGGACGTGCTTGAAGACCGCACTACACTCGAGCGTGTGAGTGTTACCGACGCGACGAAGAGATTCATCGCCTGGCGGGACGCCACATGTGTGGAAAGGGATGGCGATGGAGCTGACCATACGTTCGTGCGGGCAGGAAGCGTCGCACGGTTCCAGTTCTTCGTAATGGTTGACGACGAGTCTCTTACATCGTTCCAGGAGGCAGATGGTAACATGTCTGGTCGTGCAAAAGGCCGAAGGCCGCCGCTGGTTAAAGTCCGAGTCGTGGATGCAGGGAAACCCTGGACTGCTGAGGCGCTCGATGCATCAAGTGTGTCAGCAGATGAGGAGTTGGATGAGGATGTTGATGAGGGGGCTCCTAGATAATGAGTATGTACTGGTGGACGGTTGTACGGACTGGGATGTGGGTTGGATGTGGGTGGAGGCCAATCTTCTCCTCGGCTTTTATGATACATTACAAGCCGACTCAGGCTGGGACCACTTTTACACACGCCCACCGAAAGTATATGGTCGGTCGTGATGTAAAAGGCGTCACGACTTTGACAAGTAGGGCATTGCATCTACTAACAACCTCGGGCCGAGCTACATATAAATATATTGAACAGAGTGGATATTGGGGGTAACTGTCTGTTTGCATTCGCTACTTAGATCCTCTTCTTGGGGTCCGTTTCTACGGGATAAATCTACGGTATGTATAGTCTAGAACTAGGTTCCGTTCAGGGGTCCTTTAGATACGAGAATATCCGTTATCCCGATCTGAAGATAGCCGTTCTTAGCTATAAACGAGATGGGGGTTTCCTACCTATCCTTGCATATAAGTGTAGACGGCTTCCGGGTTTGATCCAGCTGGATTCGTACCCACATCTAGACGTCAAACACTAGCCTGGTTCCGCATCCTTGCCCGTCTCCTTAAACAAAATATGCCTAATACTTCTCTTAATTCGTTACTAGCCTAATCTAGTAATCTAATAAGTCCTATCTAGACTATATCTACGCTTATAGTAATTGCGTTATTATATGTTTCAATTTATAGTACGAAATTCGCGGATGCTAAGGTAGTGCATTGTGACTCGCCACTAAGTAATCAGTGGTGTAGTGTCATAGTAGCCTGAAGAGGGATGCTTAGATGCTACAGTTTCCTATGGGAGGCAATTAGTATAACGCCGGCAGCGGCGAGAATTCCAGTCCGATCGCTAGACACGCTTATCACAGTATGTTAAGCGAATCAGGTTAAGCATGTTATAGAAAAAGGTAGCGGCCCTCCGCATAAGAGGGGTGGGAAGGCATATAAGGTTAGAAATGAAGGATTGGTTAATATATCTCCAACGTACCAGCAAGTGGTTATATCCCAACGCAATATCAGCTACCGGGCTGCAAAACGCAGTTTTCCTCAATCAGACTCGGATTCCATTCAATAAGTTCTAATACGCCAACGTTCCACTTGCTCGCTATAGACGCGCAGGCATTCAGATCGATAAGTTCCAACCTAGGCCCAAGTCGCTCCATGGCGGTCGTATCCCTGTAGTTCTGGTAGCTAGCACAAACTGCTACTGGGCACTTCAGCCTCAAAACCCGGGCGCGGGTATTAGCTGACCGCATCTATCAATTTAGCTTTTAACGCAAAGGAGGTAACGCTTGCGAGAGACCCCGTTGGGGACAACTTCTGGAAACCGTGCCTGTCAAGTGTACGCTCCCAGATTCCCTGGCGCCGTCTGCTACGTATTGTACACGACCGGGTCTCTTTTACTAAAGCCAGGCGTTGGCCGTTCTAGGGGTCGTAATAATGGCCTATGCTGTACCGTGAATACGCACATTACCTAATTCAGGTGCGAGCGGAAGGCCTACGAATACGACGACGATTTCCGCTGTGGCGTCGACGACGAGACCGACGACGAGTCGTTCGACGAGACTGATAAGAATGGGATGATTTGCCGGAAACTGGGCTGCTTGTCACGTTGGCGGACGCGACGCTTGCCGCGCCGGGAAAAGGGAAGGGGAAGGGTAAAGTCTTCGAGATCAACATCGAGACCCCCATCGTAACCCTTATCATCATCTCCAGGGCATGGACTGGTAGTAGACACCTGCACGACTCCCAACGAGATTGAAATGCTGTATCAGCAACTGAATTTATATAGTAACTTTAGATATATCTACTGTAAATAAAAGAAACGACATAAACATGAAAGGAAACCAGCGGCCGCAGCTAGGTCTATTCCTCTATATAGTCCCTCTCAACCTATCTAAACTAATCAGCTATCTTAAGAGATAGTATCGCTTCCAGAACTAGGCAGCATCTCTATACAACTCTCTCTTTTCCCGTCGCCAGGGGATGCTAGGTCGTCAACATAGTAGACCAGGAAGATGGCCATTACAGCCGCCATCAGTGCTGCGTCGAACATGTACAAGAATATCTCGCGAGAGATCAAGTAGCCGCCATTCCCCTGGAGATATTCCACCACCCGGAATATGCTCCTGATCAATATTATCGTGCTGACAACGTAGAGAACCCAGAGGTGTTGTTCCCACGGAACACCGCCCGCCGCCGCCTGAGACTTTTTCGCCTGTCGCCGGTGGAATGTGATCGAAGTCACCACGAAGAAGCTGAAGACGGTGATCTGGACGAAGAGGCCGACGATGATAATCTTTTCGCCTATCTCGTACAGCTCTAGGGTTCCTGCTGCTTGGATACCCCCACCACCACCCTGGAGCACGAAAGACACGACATCGCCGATGACAAAGAGCTTCGTCATCCACTTTATGGGGACGAGGGAAAGGCGTTCAGAGCCCAATGTGCGAATCAGTCGGCCGAGAATCATATAGATGGATGCAGCGTATAGAGCCGGCGCAACGAGGATGAAGATCGCCTGGAGGGAGAATGCGATGACGGAAAGGGGATCGAAGTGGGACCATATTCGACTGGCGTAGCCAATTACTTGAACTAAACATTATTACTCCGTATTAGCGAAGGCGAAGCAAAAGCCCTAGCCTCAAATGGGAGGGAGGGTTAGGCATTCTAAACGTACAGAAACCACCGATTGTAAAGGCCGTGAAGCAGTACGACCGGTGGCGGAAGAGTCGCCAGATATGGAGGAGCGACAGGATCGAGAAAATGGCTGTAGCTGTGGCGGCAGCGGGCAAGGATAAATTATAGCGGTAAAGCTTGAAGTCAAACGCTGCGGCGTCCGCTACGGGAGGTCAGTGATATTTTCCACCGCCATCTGAGGGCATTGCTTGATCTCGTGGGTTCGGAGACTGCTGTCAAAGGATTCAGGCCAGAGAATGTGTCGGACCTCCGGTAGCTTAAATATTGTCTATAATAGAAACTATGGAAGCGGGTGATCGTGTGGGATAGAGAAGGATACTTGGTATTCTGAGTGTGCTATGATCCCTGTTGGCAATTTAGGACCTAGGAAATGGGCTTTTCTATACTTCTCGGGAAAAAAAGCGAAGGCAGTGCTGGGGACGAAAATCCCACCATAGCTTGCTACGATCCGACCCCTTCCCTCCATCACCAATGAACGAGAAATACGATTCTCTTCGTATACTTTCCGAACTAATCGGGCCATGTCCGAGAAATACGCTACTCCTCGTATATTATACGAACGGACCCGATTGGCTAGAGACTGAGCCTACACATCCAGGCAGGATTCTTACCCAAGACGACAAAGAAAGGCATAATAGTGGGGCACTCTAGCTATATCGAGCGGCTGTGTACCGAGGTATAATCTCGATCATCTACTCACTTCTCCGATACTATCATTAGTACCTAAATTCAGGCCCACCGTCGAAGAAAAATCGCCCGCTAAAAACTCTATTTACTGTAGCTTGCACTTATGACAGTAGGCTTGCATGACCCAGCCCGGCATCTGCCCTATAGTATATAAATGAATAATTCGAGTTTAAAACGAAGGAGCTTTGCTTCGCCTCAACAGGCTGCATTACCAGCTAAAAGCGCGGATACCAGCTGGCTGGCTCCTATGCCTCAGGATTCGCTACCCGTTGCCTTGTTTTCAAGAATCTAAACTTAACCATCTATAGATATACCCTCTATTTACTATAGAAACTCAAACAATACCCCTGGCGCCTTAGTCCTTTCCTGCTAGTCGTCCTAGCTCTAGCCCCTTCATAGTCCCATCGGACCGAACCCCTTGCTCATGAGCCTGTCTATAATATACTTCGAAAATATACTGCTGACGCTATCCGCAACGTCTCTAAAAGTATAATGCGCTATATCTTATCGGTGACGGACGAGGCAGAAACCCTATTAGTAGTAAACGCTGATGTCTCTCGGAGTTCTAAATCCTTTATGATGATTGGTTAGTCGGAAGGTGGCAATAAGGAACTCTAGGTTTTACTTCGGCCGTTAAGCACGATGGCAGTTAGATGTAGCATCCGCCTTATCGCTCGTATTATCTTCCATTTCATTTGCCTATATCTATCCCTACCTTGCCACATGCCGAACACGCGGACCCTGCTTTTCCTAGTTCGCTAAGTACTATCCCGAAATGAAAGGCTCGCCGAGGAGCTGTTTGGAACCAGCAACACCTCCACACCGAGCTTGTTGTTATGCGTTTCTAGGGCTGAAGCGTACCTGGGTGGCTCCTTTGGGTCCGTGGTGTCTCATCCGGGTCCAACCAAGGGGGCTCGTTTAAATCCGGAATAGCTCGTTTAGGCCCGAGAAAAACTAGCATTCGGAGGATATCCACGGTACGCGGAATAGATTTAGCGTCCTATGGCAGCTACTAAGCACACGGTTGAACTCCCAAGCAAAAGGAGGCGAATGGACTATTATGACTGACCTAGCCCCTGGGCAAATTGGATGATGGTGTGTTGTCCACGCTACGTGCACGCTTCTGTATGATCCGACGTGTGCAGCATTCAGGAATGGCACCCGATCGTGATGTTAGGAATGACCATCTAGTCACCCGGGGAATTCCATTCATCACCTTCTAGATCTATTACCTTTTTGAATAAATACTTTCGATAGGATCCCCATCTCAACGGACTTCTCTGTCCTTGAGCCTATCGTTTTAGCATCTGTCTTCTCGGTATTTCTTAATGCTATCGAAATTATTTACCTGTCTGTTGGTCTCCGGCCTTGCGAGCCACCCTGTAAAGGGCTCCCCTACTAAATCACCTGCCACTCTTCACAGCCGAGGCAACACCGCAGACCTCGTCCTCGGAAGAGCTAAAGATATCACCCTTTCGTCTGATGGTAAGGTGCCTGGCATCCTGATCATTGATTACGATCACAATGTAGAAGGATTTCCAACCTTCGAAGTCGTGGAGGTCCAAGGCGATGCTTCCGTGTTCGAGGTAACTTACGGGGAAACCAGAGCCGCCGTTGATCAATACCCGGTAAGTTTTCTCAGCCAAAGAGACAATATTGGGGTTCAATAAACGCTCACGCTGGTCCCAGGCTGCTGTGCCCCTCGCGTTTGCCGCCGCAATGGACAGCTACCCTATCAATAGATACAACATTACCAGCCCGTCCATTATATCTCATGATCTTATCCAGGAGCCTTCCGCTACCAGAAGCTGAACATCTCATCCGCCGGGAGCCTTGTGCTCAGGAACGTCGGGGTCAGGCCGACGACGAACACCACTGCTCTTGACAAGCTACCAGGTCGTTTCGAATGCTCTGACGAAGACTTGACTAGAATCTGGAGGACCGGTGCAAGGACTGTCCAGCTCACGGAAATTCCGAAGAACTCCACTCCCGACTTTTGGAAGATCACGGAGGAGGGCGCCCTGGTCGACAGCCTAGTACCTCAGATACTAGCACAAGCTGTGCAGCTGTCAACATACAAGGTGCAATTTGAGGTCAAGCCCCTTACTGGGCAGTTTGGTTTCCTAGTTCTTGGCGACACTCTCAATACCGGCATTTACATATCCTGTGACCTCGTCAATGGGATCGTGTCGGCCTACGTTGGCTCAAGCAAAGCAGACAGGTTCCTTGATACAGCTAAGCTCCCGAGCACCTTCGCGGCAAACGAGTGGCACACGGTAGATGCCACCGTCGACACGGCTCAGATAAATGTCTCACTCGATGGCCAGGTCATATTTGCCTTTACTCAGACAGAAAAATTTTACGGATCCTTTGGACTCGGCACAGACTACGGTCACGCTGCAGTGTTCAGAAACTTGAATGCCACGACACTCACTGGCAGTGAGATTTACTCATCAACACTTAAGGACCGATCTTTCTTTGACGATTTTCTTCTAGGCACCAACCCACATGACACCATTGTTGATGGGTCTAGGCGAGACCGTATCGCCTATGCTGGAGACTTGGACATCGCCGTGGCCGCGTCCTTCGCAAGCACCTTTGCTCGATCCTTCGTCGACGGGACCATCGACCTCCTTGGTTCATTCCAAACGACTGAGGGCTTCTTTGTTCCGACTGCGAAAATTCAGCAGCAGCCTCTCTCCGACCTCATTCCCGTCAACATCACAGGTCTGATCGGTTATTCATTCAACCTCCTAACTGCGGTTGCCTACAATTACGAAATGACGGGCGACACTACTTTCGCCAAGAAGTGGGCACCGAAGTACATTTCGATGCTCGACTGGGCACACTCACAGGCTAAAGATGGCCTTTTCTCAGTGACCGACTCGTCATTTGGTGGCGACTGGAATTACTACGATCCTTCCCAGACCGGGATCGTTAGTAAGTTCAATTCCCTATACGCATACTCATTGTTACAGGGCCTCCCGATCCTGAGGGCAGGTGGCGTCGATGTGTCAGTGTATCAGCAGCGCCTGGAGGACCTCTATGTATCGATGAACAAAAACCTATGGAGTGAAGCTTTGGGCGCGTATGTCATGTCGGACACGCTCCAAGACGGATTTGCACAAGACGCAAACGCTATCGCCATCCTCGCGGGCATCCCAAGTGGCAACGCATCAGCGGAGAGGATTCTCTCGACATTGGCCGAATGCCTGACCCTACCGGCGGGTCCCTAGCTTTCTCCGAGGGCACCATCCAGGCTGGCTGGGCACGTAAGATCAGCCCCTTTGCTAGTAGTTACCACCTACGAGCCGCTTTTCAATCCAACGACACAGAGACAGCGAAGTCTCTTCTCACAAGTTTATGGGCGCCGATGGCGAATCCCAGCCACGACAATTACACCAACTGCTTCTGGGAGACCCTCGAAGCAGACGGCTCCCCGGGCCTCGGCCTCGGCACTTCTCTATGTCACGGGTGGGGCGCGGGCCCTACCGCCGAGCTCATCCGCTACGTTCTTGGCATCCAGCCCGTGGAAGCAGGATTCAAGCAGTGGAGGGTCGCGCCGCAGACTCTTGGCCTAGCGTGGGCCAAGGGTCAGCATCACACTGTTCAGGGTGCTATCAGCGTCGAGTGGAAGTTTGAAGACAACCTCCTGAATATGGAGGTACAGGCCCCTAAAGGAGGGTCTAGCGGGACTATCTTCTTACCTTATCCACTGCTTACTCCCCGTCCGAGACAGTCATTACGGTCAACAATAAAGTTGTCAAGGGAAGGAGTTTTACCATCAGAGGTGGTGAAAAGGTGTCTCTTCGACAAAGGAAAAAGGCTGGGAAGTGCAAATAGCCCTGTACATGTAGCATACACTCGTTAAACCCCACAGAATATGTTCTTTAAAGTCTTGTATACACCTATCTATATAGATTGAATTATTTTATCCCTGTCCTTTCGTTTGTAGCCGAGCTTCTTTAAGCTATTCTTAAGGCGCTGTACTCATTGCCAAGTGGGCTTAAAAGTCTGTGAATGATTGTCGGAGTGGCACCGCGAACAAGCATTAGCATGACTCCACCTTGGGACGGAAAGGTTGCACGCTTGTCCACCGAGGCTCTGTTTCAGTCGCCCCAACTATTCACACTAGTTAATAGAACACCTAGAGCTTGGTAACCCACCTTACACTCTAGGGTAGACGAGACCAAACATCTAAAGCGTAGTTCCTTAGCAGGAAATAACCTATGATGGAGTAAAATACAATGATTAACGACTATTTCATCTTAAGGCATGACTGATGGCGGAATCCAGCCAATTTCTTCTATGGGCCACCGAATCCACAGCCTCGATTCCTCATCCAGTAGCGAGTACGCTCTTGCGACCAACTGTTGACCCCAGCCCTGTACCCACCAGTGGCTATCCAATTTCTTAAGCAAGACGCAGAAGAAGGCAAAGATGGCGATAGATTCCGGGGTCTGGACCTGCAATAAGGGTAACAGGTCATCAGCTACCATCATAAGCCAAATGAATGCATCGACTAGCTCGAACGCAGGTGTGTTCTGCTGAAGCTGCCCAAACGTGTTCATCAGCTCATTGATCGAGGTAAGGTAAGTAGATCTCAGCTCTTCGGTTAGGGGCGCTGCATAATTATGCCTTTGAGTTTTGAAAGTGGCGCGTGGGCAGGAGAATCTTTATCGACGGCCGAATCCCGTGACACGAATCTCGAGATAGCATGTTTGATGATTGGCGAGAGTAGCCCTCCATGTAGGACATCGCCAATCTCGACAAAGGCTCGGGTACCTCGTAGAAGGAAAATCCAGCCAGGGAAGCTAGGTTCTCCCAAGAGGAGACTATCATCAGATTTTCGGGGCCATCCTAAGGCTAGTAGGGCGGATTAGTTGTGCTCTACCTACCAATACCTTGCTGACTGTCGGGTATTTCCTAGAAAGACAAAAGATCCATGGATGTATTTTTACTTACTATCGTACGTTGTCAAGACAGAAAACAAGAAGAGCATAGGTGCCGTATCTGGCGATACGTCTACAACAAGGGGGTAGCTATGCTAGATGCTTCCTGATAGTGTATAATAGCAATAGCTAGATAGTGCTCTTTCATCTGTGGCCGATGGCGGGCTAGATGAAGACTAGAAATGGCCAAGATCGCCCTCATGATATAATCACAGCTAAACCCCATCTGTACAACAGATATCCTATAGAATTCTCGGAGAGCCTATAAGAGATATATGTTAATAGTTCAAGGTATGTAATAGTTTACGTGAGGCTAGGCAAGGATGGCTTTTAGGCTTGGAAAAGACAAACTTGATTTTCTGACAAGGTGGCGTATGTGACTGTCGTGAAGTTGTGTAACAACTCCAAATCTGTCATGTTCAGACCGGCCGGTGACGAGGCAGTCTCAACGCTGAGAAAATCGCACTCTACATTGCGTTTTATACAGTTCAAGCAGGCAGGCTTCGTCTCATCGCACTTTGAAGAATAATGTTAGCAGCAGCCCAAATAAGCAATCCCAAGACTTGATAAGGGCCATATGAGTAATGAGGGGCGTCTAGTCTCTATTATTTAGGAGAGTCGACTGTGCATTATATACTTTGATCTTTCTGCCTTTGCAGCTCTTGCATCCTGCATATATATAGCCTAGGTCAATTGGGACGACCGGTTAGCGGAGATGAATGGACTACTAACTTACCTAGCCGGCTCTTCTGGTGCGCCCGCCTCTTGTCGCCAGTCATGGTGTATGTACTAGCTATATTAAACCAGACTGGTCCGAGGTTTCCCAGGGTGGAGTTTGCTAGAGTAGTAGCTTAAGTGGCGAAGATTTAGACGTTGTTGCTAAAGTAGACGTAGCCGTGGAAGCGCGCTGTGTTGCGGATAAGAATTAATTCGGGGATATGGATAGAGAGTGTGAGAAGGCTTGCGGCTTCGTCGACTAAAGTACAGATTGTTACGACCTTACTAATAAAGCAGCAGCCAGGGAAGGAACCTAGGCGGTCAGGACTGGCAGTAAAGGGGAAAGTTCGGCTAAGCAAGCCGATAGGACCATCAGCAGCTTAGGCGGTCATAGGTGGAAAAGCTACTACCTCGGTATATGTTATAAGCGGCCTAGGAAGTAGGCCTAAAGGCGGTCTAAACTAGTAGAAAAGGGTAATATTCGGAGGATTATAATAGCTAGCCGAGAGGACCTTAACGACTAACCTGGACAGAACGTCGGTCCTAGTAAGGAACGACAGCAGGACAGCGTCAGTCCACCCTAGACTAATCGTGCCATGCACCCCCTCTAGGGGGTGCTCGCCACCCTAAGGCAAAACCACCCTAACACAAAATCAAACCTACATAGCATATATCTACACTTTTAATATACTAGGAAAATAATTATAAATAAATAGAAGTTATTTAACTATTCTAGATTTTTCACTCTATTTAATAAGATATCTCTTTATTTTATAACTAAATTATTTTATATTCTAATATATACTTTAAAAAGTAGAAATTTAAGAGTTTTTAACCTTAGGTATAGGACGACGCTATTTGCCCTCTTCACCTATATAAAAATCATAGCAAAATATACCCTTAACCCTAGCAAAATAGCCCCTTACTTAGTTTACTATAGGCCTATTTTTAACCTCTTTCTCTTCCCTATTAGTATATACTATTAACCTATACTTATCCCTAGCAGTTTAACTCTATAATACTAGATTATAATACTATAATATACCTATACTATTATAGTTTTACTAGGGGTCTATTAGATTACCCTTTTTTATAGTTTTACTAATAATATAGGATAACTCTTATCATAAGCGGCCTAAGAAGTAGGCCAGGAAGCGGTCTGGACTGGCAGAAAAGGATAATGTTCAGAGGAACGTATTAGCTAGCCCAGAAGACCCGCAAAGGACCGACTAGAACAGGGCGTCGGTCCTGGCAAGGAACGATAACAGGAAAGCATCAGTCTATGACGTTCCAACACTAGGACGCGCCGCTTAGGGTTAGGTTGCGTTAGGGTTAGAACAGTCGGGCCTGTTAGTGGCTTAGTGAGGTAATCAAACAGTACAATAATATCGTTATCCGTAATGCGTATTCAAGTGTAGGGGTTAAGTGTACTTAAATTGACTACTAGAAAGGATATAGAACCTCCTTTCCTCTAAGGTCTACTTGGTTCCTTATATAGACAGTGGATCACGGCGTCCAGTCGTGATCCGGGTGATCGGTTAGCCCCGATCACCGTGATCGTGGTGATCTAGGTCACCTGGATCACCGAGTGATCGGGGTGATTCCTTTATCCGCAGTTCCCCCGGCCCACTGTTTCTGCAGTTCTTCACCGCCTTCCCTAGGCCGCTTCTTCAGGCGACCAGGTCATGACATGATACCTCCCCTCCTTTAATCTTTATCCCTAAAGATTTTTACTTCTCCACCCCCCTTACTCCTATTAAATATAGAGGTACTTCTACTCTATAGTTTCCTCATAGTTAGTCTAACTTTCCCTTCCACTTCCCTTTCTACACCATAAGCCGTTCGCTCTCACGCGTTCCTCGTTCGTCTGCCAATCATCGCCTCCTTACTGACACTATTAACTTGTTAGGCTCAATTTCTGAAATACTGTGCACATCCTATTTTAAGGGTAACAAAGTTTGCCGCATGAGCGAGAGCTCTTCTCGTTGTTCCGAGTGCGTTCGTCGTGGTCGGTCGTATAACGGTTCTTTAGTGATATCTTCCTATATGTGACCCCTTTCCTTTTCGTGTGCACTTCTACCGCTTCCCTGACGTTTCTTATAGTAACTCACCTTCTTCGCGAGCAGAAGAAGCTTCCTTTATCCGCAGTTCCCCCGGCCCACTATTTCTACAGTTCTTCACCACCTTCCCTAGGCCGCTTCTTCAGGCGACCAGGTCGTGACACAGTCCACCTTAGAGCAATAGGAACAAAACGTCAGTCCACCCTAGACTAATAGCCAGGGACTATCAGTCCTAGAGTATATAAAGTCTATATAAGGAAATAAGTAGACCTTAGAGGAAAGGAAGTTCTATATCCTTTCTAGTAGTTAATTTAAGTATACTTAACCCCTACACTTAAATATATATTATAGATAATAATATTATTATACTATTTAACTACCTTACTAAGCTACTAATAGGCCCTAACTATTCTAACCCTAATATAACCTAACCCTAAGTAATATATCCTAGTATTAGAATATCATATATTAACTACTCCTATTTAGTAAGTAACTCTTTTAGATAGTACTAACTATAGTAGGAGATAGATTATCCTCTACCTAAGTACCCTTAGTAACTAAGGAATAGATAGTAGAAATAATCTAGAGACTATAAGTAGAGAAAGAAAAACTTACTACTAATAACAAAGCTAGGGTTAAGGAACTTATAGTAGTATAAGCTAGAGTCCTCACCCTAGAATATACTAGTACTATAGAAGGCCTAATTAAAGCCCTAACTATAGCTTAGAAGGAAATAGCTATTAAGATCACTAAGCCTAAGGTACCCTTCCCACTACTAGAGAAGTTCTTAGGAGAATAAGGGAAGCTCTAAAGCTTCCTTACCTATATAAGGGTATACTATAACTACTATAGTATCTAGGTAGATAATACTAAGGTGCTAGCTACTATAGGTAACCTAAGGGGAGATACTACTATCTAGTTTAAGCCTATACTAAGGGACTATTATAAGAATACTCTATTAAAATAGAATAAAAACACTAAAAGAATCTTTAAAGACTATAAAGAAATAGAGGAAGCTATTAAAGGAGTATTTAGAGATCCTAATAAAGATAAGTCTATATAATAATAACTCTAGGAGATTTAATAGAAGATATCTATATTAGAGTATATTAGTAGGTTCTGATAAATCATAGTATACCTTAACTAGGATAATAAACCTATGATCATATAGTTCTATAAGGGACTTAAGGAAGAGGTAAAAGATAAAATTACTAAGGTCATAGATACACCTAATAACCTTAAAGAGTATATAGACCTTATAGTTAAGATTAATAACTAACTATATATATGATAAATAGAGAAATAATAATAAGGCCTATAAAGCTATTTACTAGTTAGATAAACTAACTATACTAATAGAGGAAGACGATAAAATAGTAATACCTCTTAGGGAATATATACTAGACCTATAGAGTTAGATATAGCCTAGAAAAATAATAAGGTACCCCTAAGTAAAAATAGAGAATACTTTAACTATAGAAAGCTAGGCTACTATATATAAGAATACTAAAGTAAGGCTAGAAATAACTTTAGAAATAAAAAGAAACTATAGAAGCCTATACCTATAATAAGATAGAAGTAGTATAATAAATAAACTAAGGAATTAGGAAGTATTAGTAAGCTACCTGATTATAGTATTATATACTAGATAGTATACTATAATAATAACTACTATATATATTAAAATGGTAAGGATAGAGTAGGTTACTACCCTAAGAAACCTAAGTAACTTAAAGTGATAACCTACTAATTACCTATAGATTATTATAAACGATTTAAATAAATAAGAGGGATCTATTATAAAAAGATTTTATAAGAATACCTATTAGAAGTAGTAGAACTATACCCCTAAGATAGTAAACTAGAACAACTAGTAGAATAAAGCTAAGTATAAGTTATTAGATTCCTTAAATAAACTAAGGGATTAAAGTTAAAAGACTATAATTAGGAAAAACTAGGAAGCTTAGAAGGAAACCCTAAGGAAGAATAATATATCTTCTATCGACTTATATAGAAACCTAGAATATGAGAATAAAAGAAAGACTAATAACTATATAAATAGTACCTATGAAAATAAGTAGGGATTAATAGAGGGTTTAAAGAGTACTTTAAAGACCTTATAAACTATATTGTGGAATAAGATAAAAAGAATATAGTAAGATATAACCTTCTTATCTATAACCTAGAAGAATATATAAGATAGCTAGAGTACCTTAAAAGGATAGGAGATAATATCCCTCTGATGTTACTTGACGATACTATCTAGAAGGTAGAAGGAACTAGAAGCTAAATCTGATAAAATAAAATATAAATAGAAGTTAGACTAGAAAACTAAGAAGATACTATCTTTAGGAAACTCTATAAAATAGAGTAGTAGGTCTAAGCCCTATAATAAAAACTCTAGACCTAACTGCCAGTTCCGCTTCGTTCTGGCAGAACGAATGCCAAGCCCCATATAAATCTCAGGGCGACAGGGATTATTTCCGCAAAACGAATTGCTGTAGAATGAAAGTATTGATTGGTTAAAAACTTAGGGTTAGGGTTAGGGTTAGGGTTAGGGTTAGGGTTAGGGTTAGGGTTAGGGTTAGGGTTAGGGTTAGGGTTAGGGTTAGGGTTAGGGTTAGGGTTAGGGTTAGGGTTAGGGTTAGGGTTAGGGTTAGGGTTAGGGTTAGGGTTAGGGTTAGGGTTAGGGTTAGGGTTAGGGTTAGGGTTAGGGTTAGGGTTAGGGTTAGGGTTAGGGTTAGGGTTAGGGTTAGGGTTAGGGTTAGGGTTAGGGTTAGGGTTAGGGTTAGGGTTAGGGTTAGGGTTAGGGTTAGGGTTAGGTTAGGGTTAGGGTTAGGGTTGGGGTTAGGTTAGATGGGGTGGCCTCGTAGGTCTCGTTGATCCAGCGCGGGGCTGGTGCCGCACCGCGTGACGAGGGTCGCGAGCCCCACCATCTTGCGGATCTGGTGCATCATGAACGACTGGCCGTGGACCTTGAGGGAAAGCCACTCCGTCTCTCCGATGATGATGGGATCGGGTTGGCGAAAAGGACTTGATGAGGCGCTTGGAGGACGGGTCCTTGAACGACTTTGCACCGTGTAGTTGTGGAAGTTGTGCGTGTGCCGGGGTAGGCGTCGAGGCGGATTGCAGACGCTGGAGGTGAGCCGGGGAGATGTGGTAGCGGCACTTCGCGGCGACATAGGCGAGCTTGATGTCGCGTGGAGGGCAAGTCGATCGCCCAGCTCGCGCTGCGCGAAACCCGTGTTATCTTGGGGCATCGCCCGCAGCGCCTTGTTCGCTTCGCGGCCGATTCGGGGACGGCGCCGGGAGACCTCGGGAGCCGATGTTTCCCGGGCTCTACGCCAGCGGCCGGGGCCCCGTCAATGGGTACGTCGACGGACAGCTTGAGCCTCTCCATCACGTTGGCCCTCGTCTGGGGTTCAGCTCCTTCCAGGATCGGCCGATGCAGGTCTCATCCAATTTCTTCCAGTAATCGCCCACGTCGGCATTCTCTCTCTGAGCTCCTCCACCGTGCCCTAGCGCGAACCCGGCAATCTTCTTGCCCAGATAACTGTCCGGGTGCGGCGGAGCAGCGAATAGCTCGGCAGCAGATACTCGTACCACCCTCGAATCGCACGACTGGTAGCATGAAGCCTTTGTTCGTTCCTTTGAATGCCCTTGCACACGCGAATCTGGGGCGGGATGGTTCTCGTTGATTTCCTCTTTCACGACGTGGTCGTCTCCGTCAATGAGCTTCTGAGGATGAGCACGTTGCCGGCGGCGTGCACGCCCTTGTCCGATCCTGGCGCAGCGCATCAAGCTGACCTTTTTGGGATCGTCCGCGTTGGCCTTGAGATGGCGCCCGCCGCGATGAAAGCCTTCATGACATCGCCCTCAATCATCTTTTTCTTCGTTGTTGATCTGTAAGTCTGCGGTAGCCCGTGCCAGAGTACCCAAGCAATACGTAACTGAACGAAGTAC